AAATTTGTATCCTATCAGTAAGTGTCGGAATCGCTTGAGTGACTCAACAATTGCTAACAGTTCCTGCTCATGCACAGGATAATTCTGCTGGGCTGAGTCGAACTTGCCCGGGGTTCATAGCCCTTGTCTACTAGGGATGCTTTAATGTAGGGCAAGCAGTTCATCCAGAATTGCCGCACTTTCTCTCTGTCATTAACATCACCAGCCATATCGGCAAGGTTGTGAATCCTTCGTAAGTAGTCTTGCACGGACTGCTTATTGTCCTGGCGACAGTCCAAGAATTTCTGACGCTGTTGCATCCGGAAGTCAGGGGGGAATATGTAGTCAAATAACTGTTCAAAGAACTCAGTGATTGAGTAGTCCTTATTAAGGTCTAAGATGTCTCTCTCATAGAAACGGTATGCTTGGCCACTGAGGTACTTTCCAACCATTTGAAGGCACTGAGTTGTAGTGAGTCGAGCTCGTTCTTTCCAGTCGCGTACCTCTCTAACCCATTTCTTAAAGGTAGTAGCATTGGCCTCACCATTGTAGTTGAATGGTGGTTCGTTTTTGATAAAGCTTTGCTGATATCGGAGCAGGTTGAGTTTTGCGCGATACTCACAACGTGCCAGCCGCTTGGCGCGCTTGACTTTGGTAGAGTTGCTATCGTGATTGGACTCTGGTTCTAGGGCCAGGAAGTCTGCTCCAAACTCATTAGAGGTCGCGATCACATTAGTGCTAAGGTCTCTGCTGTATGGGAGAGTATGAGCAATAGCACTCGAATGGTGAGTCTTGTTTTGGCCATTGGCCATCCAAGGCAATCCATTGCTTAGGTCGGATTCAGTAGATGATTGTTCGCTGTCATCGGGTGAGTCATCAGGTGAGTCTTCAGGACCCGGGTTGTCTGGACAAGAGCCTAACATCGCTCGCCTAACCAAGCTGTTTTGGGGAAGGATGGATGAGGCACACTGATATCGCACGTTGAGCGCTTGGGTGGACTTGGGTTTTGTCTTGGCAACAGGGGGCATCGGTTGACTCGTCTCAATCGCGTCGGTTGGACGCTCCTTTGTTGAATGGTTGTGATGTAAGTTCGCAGTCTGTGAGACTGGATTTTGTGCGCTCACACGTTGGGAGCTGTAGGTCTCACGAACACGTTTTCAGGACTCCTCTTCACGGATTTGACTTTGAATTACCAGGATTTCGAGCTCCCTAATCTGCTCATGGAGTTCGGTAACTTCATAATTGTTCTCATTCAATTTTTCTTGTGCGTCCATGCGATATTGCCTGAGATACAGGTTCTGATGTTGCAATGATTGACGGCAATCATTGTCGTCCCAGGTTGCTCTTAGCGACACATCAGGGTCATTCGAACTTGGGCGAGCTGCGCCAGCAAGTCCTTCGTCATATTCAGTCCAATGATCCAACCAATCCTTGGGTGAGGTCCCTAAGGTGGTGCTCTTCCCCTTTCCCTTGAACTCAGAGGGGATTCTAGGGGTCGAGGAAGCGGATACCGGGTCGCTGATTGGTTTCAATATCAGAAACTCGGGTACGTCCCCAATTTCGTCATTTTCGGGGAGGTCAGCCCAGCTGACTATGTTTGACAGGTATCCAGTACTTGGGGGGTTATGAATATCATTTTCATATTTTCTATCTATGGGGCTGGGCAACACCAGGGGGCATAGTCCAGGGATACTCCCGAGTAGTGGAGAAACGCTCATAGGTGCAGATCCATCTGGATCAGTACCATCAACTACTAAGGTTGTTTTAGGTACGTCCTCATTGATCGGTATCAATAGGGTACTAGAGTTTTGGGGAGCATCCATTGCTCCCTCCGCGCTCGCGGCGGTTGGCAGGTCAATGGTTGGGGGTTCGGCCCGCACACTATCTGACCGCTCGACTCCAGTGACGAACATTTCGTCACAAGTCCATGCACTCTCGACGCCCAGTTCGAGAGCGCCATCATCTCTGCTCACTCTGCTCATAGGAGTCGGAGGGCGAGACAATGTACTAAGTGCACTGATAGATTTTGTTGACATTTGTAGAAGAAGGGTGAAGGGTCGTCGGGTCTGAGGGTGATCAATCCTCGTCAACGGCAGCCGTAGGAGAAGGGGGATGGGGAAGCTTTAGAGAATCGAGTTTAAAAATATGTGGTGTTTAAGGTAAATGTTCACACTGAATAGAGTTGTTTTCTTTTGAAGGACTTAAGATTCAGACAGAGAAAACTGGCCGAACTAAGCTTTGTGTTTTGGTGGGGGTGAAAGATCAACTAACTATCTTCTACTACTAGTTCTACTTTATATACCGTAGTAATGAGCCAATAGAATGTCAAGGAATACTGAGGAAAGAATAGAGAGAATGTGCCTGATACATATATGATTCATCGTTTAGGTGACGAATCAATAACTAGGCTTTTACGAGTGTTACACACTCACTCCTGCTAGTGCGGAGTCATCCGCTAAACCTGATCTCCAGCTTTCTGCAAGTCAACGAGGCAAATGACTGAACGATACATGGTGAATTACATCTGGGCGGGATGTTGTCCATGCATATACTTCAAATTGTTCGTTGTATTAGACAACTTGATAAGGTAGATGCCTTTGTGAATGCATGTTGTCTTGCACGCATGCGCTTCAAGTTGCTCCATACGATATGAAGACGACGGATGGGAACTTTGGCATGGATTGACCGTCATCAGCCCTCAGTGGGGCTCAGTCGTTTATATCATGGTGATGATCTTGCCATCAAGTTTTGGTCAGTGGAAATGAGAGTACTGAATAGGACAACGCACCCTATAGAATAAACCCTTTCACGTCTTCTGGGTCGAGGAGACTATGTCTTGGGTGTTCGCCACGAGCGCAAACCACCGCCAGTGAGGGTAACATTCTCCATCGGCGAGGGAACTGCTTCCAAGGCCCTCAGCACTCTTGCTGCCATGTGCATTCAGTACTTTCAACTAGCAGTCTTTTATAGAAGGATATCAGTGGGGTTGTAGGTTGGAAATGCAAAATTTACCTCGACGCTGTACAGAAGTTTGGCCCTTGGAACTTGAAGGGAGATTGAGTCAGACTGCTTAGCATAGCTTGCAATGAGCATTTTTCATATTGGTTATTAGGACTTGACGGGCTTCAGCTTGACGACCCCCAATCCTCCCAGTCACTACCATCCGTTTAATGTTGCTCTCAGTAAAACCAGACTGGAATGCCATCACAAATTGGGGTACTAGTACTACCTGATCGATGTTTGTCTGGTCGGTGATTGCAGAACCTTTCTTGTTCACTCGAGTAGTCTCATCGCATTCACGCCTGCTCTCACTCTTTTCCCTCTTATGCCGTACCTCACAAGCTTCTGCAGTGGGAGCAGATCTCTCAGGAAATGACATTTTTTCTCAGAAAGCGAAAGAAGCCAAGAATCACATTGACGAAGATGACTAATCACATTCCACCAGTCCCTGTGATACCTCTAATATGTTTGCTTAGCTTTCGCTTCTCATTTCGCTATCTACACCTACGACGCCTTCTCGGAGACTGCCACCTTTCTGACTGGTTGCAGTACTTGGTTCCTGGCCCTACAGCTCTACTAGTCCCTCGCAGGAATCCGCTTGTTTAGCCTCACGTTCTACTTTCTCCTCGCCCACAGCCCCCACATACTGTATCTGATTAGGTCGTCCCGCAATACGCGCATGCAAATACTAAGGCTCACCGAGGAGGTACCATAGCGCTTTACCCAGCGATGAAGCTTGCCTCGAGTTCCACCCTGGAGCAGTACGGAGCAGTATTCAGACATCCCATCATCTCTGTTCCTCTAACGACGCATACATGGCGTGCAGGGATCTCCGCACCATCTACCACCAGATTGACCTCTGCCACAGGTTCCTAACGCACACCCTATGCACCCTCCAGCATTTCCCTCGATTTCCCACAATCATTTTTAGTCTGTGTCGTTGACAGGTCAGATGGGTCATACTTCATCTGCTTTGTTGACCTTGCGCAGTGCGAGTTGGGTCAGGTTCATCCACTCATCTTTTTGCTCCACACGCTCCTCCAATGCCCTGTCTTGTCATAGATACGAGCCCGGAAATGAGGTCCTCCTTGCGGTCAGATACCAGCTACGGGAAGATCACGACCCCCGTTTATAGAACGCACTCACATTCATCCATGCTTGATACCTGGGACCACGGCAGCACCAGCGTCTATGAAGCACATACGACAAGGATGCGGAAATTGAACCGACTAGGGCATGCGGACTGATGACAAGGTATTGTTCCGTCCCCAGATGAGAAGACAGCTAGCATGCGTATGATGTACCTCGTCAAATAGGGCCAGGCTCTGGATGAGGTGGGGATGTTTTCTCGCTCATATTGCTACCTCCAGTAGGAAGATACTTTCAAGTGAGATGTTGGGGAATACGTCCCGTTCGCTTCAATTTATATGCTCTTTATTGCTCGATTGCTTTGGCTTTTTCTTTATGATTCTAGTGACATAAGACTGGTACGGCTGGTGCTGAGTGTGCATGCATAATTTGATGTTCTGTTCCATCCCTGGTTATGTCGCTGTCAGACGAGTGATGACGGTCAAGTGAAGCCCAACGAAGTGAGTACTTTTGCCACCACTTGGATATCTTGCATGGAACATTACCTGATCACACCCAGGATGTAAATGATTGATTCTTCTGCATTGTGATATCACGAATAGCATTTCACAGCTGTGCAGCCCCTGAATAGATGTATGAGATGTTGATCCCTAGCGCCAGCACAACTGCAGATTTTTGGCTGAATTCAAGCTCGTTAGGGGGCATGTGTGCAGAGTCGCTAGTAGATCTGTCTACTGGAGAACATGAAACCTGGCAGCGCAGTAAAGTATGACAGGAAACAAGTACTTAGAAATGGAAGTAATGGGACAGCAGGCTCGCTTCGGTGTGAAGACCTTCAAAGCTAATCAAATATGCATGTGTTGTCCAACTGCGCCATATGCACGTTGTTCATGGGCATTCTCATCATCCTTCAATGCGAGCACTGCTGCGTTCTTCTCTGCTTTCATGTAAGCTGCTACTGCAGGTATAATAAACTGCTGTGTTTTGCTCGTCCCATCAGGCTGTGCTCCGTGCCCCTTCCATGACCATTTGAGGGGGTCTAGGTGATACTCGCCCACGTCAAGGTGCTCTACAGCCCTCGCCAGGAGTGCATAATCATTCCCATCCCAGTGTCCTGGAACAACAATCTGATCATTATACACGGCTGCCAAAGCAGTTGTGATTAATTGGGCGGCCCTGCATCGTGCAGAGATGCGTAGAAGTAGTACTACCTCCACTTCTTCATTCTCCAGGACTCCTCCACTTCTTCATCCTCTACTCCCTCCACTTCTTCATTGGGCTCTATTGTCTGCGCACCTGTAGATGGTATGAAATGAGGCGATATGATATACACATGTCACTATTGCACATACTAGCAGATGCACCCACGGTTGAAGCCAAGTTTCAAGTGGACAAGCGTGCTAGTAGATGAATCTCTGCGGGAAGCGATTTCCAATCGCAGCGGTGCAGATGCCAGTCCCGGACTGCAATCTTATTTGTTGTTTGGTTGTTGATGTAAGAATATTTTCCCTCTTGAATTCAATGAATGGTCGGGACCCCATGCACAGTTTCAGTGGCCACGAATGGAGCAAACATTACTTAAAAGTCGTGCAACAATGAGCTCTCTGTACAAGCAAGTATTATATATCGCAGTGGCGGCCACACAACAAAGCACTTGAGAGACGGCAACCGCGTCGGAGATCTAGTTCAGTCAGATGTGAGAACATGCCACACTGGAGTAGGAAGTGAGACAGAATACAATTGATGTAGGCATCCTTATGTCGGTTCTGAAGGCAAGTTGTGGCACAAAGAGCCGCATCGCAACCGAGGTTGTACAACAGACAAGCGAACATGACAGGCACATTATGTCAATGTCGGAAATTTCCCACCTGCATTACAATGACTGATGATTGAGATAAGGTTTGAATTGAACATTGTAATGCACGTGACCTGATTGCAACACAGCTCAACACTTTACAAATGCACCCGTAGATATGATAAGATTGATATGAATTGCATCATCTTATTCTAATAATATATACAGTCATTGCCTGGACCGACGTCACTGCGCAATTTGTTCTGAACCACATCAAGTACATCTCTTAGTACTTACATTGTTCTTGCTGTAGACGATAATGTCCCTTTCTGATCTGATCAGTCTAAGCTCAACAACTTGCAACACCAGCTCTGGAAAAGTCTGACAACCCACTGGCCCGTCGATCGTGTCAAGAGTCCTTGCAGGAGGATCGTAGGTCTTCGAACAGCTCCAACCTTTTCACGCCATGCTGCATCTACGACAGGGCCATCATAATCTACTCACCACACGAGCTTCCATTATCTGGCGAGGATTCCCGGTGACTCATTAATATCATCCGATTCAGAGTCCACATGTCATGCTTATCATGACACAGTCTGCACATTGCAATCGCATGTCAACTCCATTTTCTGCCGCTGATTCAGATGTCTCTTGTATTACCCCCACTGTATTCTATCTGGATAACACCTCGAAGTCTTGTCAGTACCACACAGCACCACCGCAGCATGTCTGCACATCTACAATACATACAAGATGAAAAACGGCAAGTTTGTGATACCTGTGGACACAGTTTCAAGCCAAAAGGCTTCAACAGTCATCAAAGAGCCTGTGAGCGACATGCAAGAGAGTCTGAAGAAGATGCAGAGCAATGGGCTTCGATCCTGCATGTACAAGGTCCGCAGGTTGATCTTATGCTTAGACTATTAGTACAATTCTACTAACATAACACCAATTTTACAGCAGCTGCTGTGCCGGCCCTGTCCGTACAAGCTGCACATGGCAATGGTGAGTTTTATATCTTGACTCGGGCATTTTAGACCAACTGATAACCTGCAATATGACAAGCCTGGATTGAGCAGGACTACAACCATGATCACAATAACGACCATTATAATGCCGATGTTGACATGTCATCAGGTAAGTTTCCATCAGTCAAGTGTTATTTGGTGTCTTGACCATTATGTTTATTAGATCACTCCGACTCGGAGCCTGATGTCGATGTCCCTGGACCCACTATCGACAATATCCGCACTGAATTTCACCCACATGTGAGGATCGCACCACGCATCGAAGTGTTCACTGATTTCACCCAACACCACAATTACGAGCCACCCTGCCCGGAACACCAGCCCTGGCTTCCATTTTCATGTCGACTTGACTTTGAGGTTGCCGAATTGGCACACGAGGCCGCACTCACCCATGAGCAAACAACACGCCTCATCCGGTTGGTTCAACGCAGTAAGAGTGAAGTTTTCACACTTAAAAATTATGCCGATGTTCGGAATACTTGGGAAGCGGCGTCTCATCGATTGACACCAGTAAGTCATGTCTTTATTTGCTCTCGTACATTATCTGATTCATCTAGTTTGAAAAGGATACTGTTGTGGTTCTGCTTGACGGTACAGACAAGGAATACACAGTTTACTTTCGCCCCCTTTGGGATTGGGCGATTGATATTCTGTGACATCCCATCATCGGCCCGCATTGCATTTTTGATGCCCAATGGTTATCAAAATTCGATGGAGACATGTTCATCAGGTTCATCGATGAACCATGGACGGCGGATGCGTTCTGGGACTGCCAGGTAACTATTTCCATGTTGTACTATGATATGGCTATTGATGTTACTATAGTCTCAGATACCTCCTGACGCGAAACCATTAGCGTTTATTTTGTATGCTGACAAGTCAAAACTATCATCATTCGGTCGTGAGAAAGGATATCCTGTAATCGCTTGCCTAGCAAACCTTCCCGTCACCATCAGAAACGGAAGCGGGATGGGTGGGGGCCGGGTGGTTGGGTGGCTCCCATTGGTACATTTCATGATCATTTTTCATATCTAGAGCTAACTGTCATGTCATAGGTCAAAGAGGACCCGAAATACAAAGGTACACCACAATTTGCCAACTTCAAAGTAGCTGTATGGCATGCGTCCATCAAGAAGGTTCTCGCATCAATTGTACCGCCTTCAATAAGTGGCCGATGGGCAAATTGTTGGGACAATATTGCAAGGCTCTTCTATACCCTGGTGTTGATACTGTCCGCAGACTACGAGGAGCAGTAGGTTTACATTTTAACTTTATTGATATGTTGTTTAACTTCTGACACTCCAGGAGTGTAATGTCACTCACTTGGGGTGTTATGAGCAACTTTCCGTGCCCGATCTGTTTGATTTCCGGAGATGAATTAGCTTCCATCATGCCTCATAACTACGCTCTTCAGACAAGCCAGGCAACAAACACCCTTTTGATCGAGGCAAGGGCGGAGCACCGTAAGGGACGACAGGAGGCAATACTTAAGAGTCAGTCAATTCGTGATGTTGATGTATGATAGCATATTGTTCCACGTTTCATAACCGTTTAACTTGAATACTTTTAGAATGCATTTCATGACATGAATCTGAAGACTACTGATGTGCACCACGTGCTATGCTATGACCGACTTCATGCTGTCCTTTGGGGTCTCTTCGGGGATCACATGTGGCCAGAACTACAACTACTAATTGGCCTTTTGGGACGCAACCCCACCATGAAAATTGACCAGAAGTAAGTCATGTTGAGTTAAATTCACAGCATTTTGTCTCACTTCTCGCTCTACATGTAATAGTTTTGATGCACTGCCTTGTTGGCGGAATTTGAACCATTTCAATGCTGTTATGTCTATATCATTCACCGACGGAAGTAAATACAAAGATATTTTCAAGGTAAAACTGATCTATCTAAGTGATGACAATGCTGTTTACTAACAATAGAGCTATGTACTATTGAATCAGCTGATTACATTCACGGCTCATGATGTTCTTCCAAATGCTGATGAAAGTGAAGTCGCTTACCTTCTCCTTTGATGTATCCGTGCATACCTTGACGTGGACCTGTATGCAGCACTTGAGGTACAGACCACAACAACAATTGTGGGAGGACGAGAAGCCCTTGAAAAATTCTCCGAGCTAATGAATGTAAGTGATATTGGACTGTCTGAATCACCTTTTAATTATTAATCTGTTAGAAATATATCGAGAAGTCTCAAGCTATATGGCCAGACAAGAACTGGTCATTTCCGAAGAACCATCTAGCTGCCCACCTATTTGACGACATCGAGGCTAAGGGAGTGACTCGCAACTACAACACAAAGCCGAATGAGAAGTGTCACGGCCCCCTGAAGGAATCATATCAACGATGGACTAATTTTAAGAATGTTGCACCACAGGTTTGTCATTCTATTTTCGATATCATTGGTTCTAGTTTTAATCTAGTAAGTTACATACAGATTTTACGTGCAGACCATTGGTCTCTTGTTTCTGAGTTCATCAGTGGTCGAGTGGATGAACTGGATGCATACAACACTTGGATGGCCAAAGACGAGGACAATGAGAACGACCCTGATACTAATGTCCCATCCAACTTCCATATCAGATTCAGATCGAAGCAACCGAAAAAGTCTCTGGAGGCAATTGAAACACAATATATCGACAATCCTTCCTTCAGATGATTCCACACAAAACTCAATGCATTTTTAAATTCTTTGCCCGCTATTACACAGCAGGCCCGGGTGAACATGTTACCATTGGACGAAGTAAGTCCAATTTGAAAGTCGGTACTCACCCATAACTGATCCTGAGAAGATAACAGAGTTTCAATTCCTCAAGGTTAACTATGAGTCGCTAGTTGACTTCCGTCAGACCACCGACTATCTCCGTTGCAGCCCGGGTTTCCATAATCTTCCCCGATACGACTGTGTCATTGTTAACACCACAGCTGGTGTCTTTTTTGCATGGCTCCTCTTCCTCTTTACGTGTGTCATTCATGACACATCCTATCCCATCGCCCTTGTACATCCATATGATGCACCAACTGGGAGGCACCTCCAGAAGGACAAACACCTGAAGTTTTGGCGTGTTAGATCACAACCAAGAGAAACTGCTAGTGAGTTCATACTAGCAGAATCGATCATCCGAGGGGTTGCTCTTGCTCCCGATCCTACTACAGCTGGTGACTTTCTTGTTATGGATACAGTAGACAGTGACATATTTCTGCGCATGAAGCAAATGCACCTTGCAGCCGGGCATTAATCATTGTATTATTATTACTAACAGTCTGATCTTGCAATATCTCACTTTGATTTAAAACTTCTGCGGTTCTGATTCTCGAGCAAGGTCTGATCGCTGATGTATCATTCTGTCTTTTCACACTCTCGCCCATCACCATAAGCGACTGTCATGGCAGTATACTCTCATTGGAGGTCCTCTGATCGGATCGGATGACTGTGTGTTCGTCCTGCACTCATTCACATCCGTTTGGTGCAATCTAGGTGCGTCTTTTCATTTATATATGTATGTACATCACTGACAAGCATCTTCACTCACTCCTGTGTGCTTGTGCATGCATGTCTATGCCTATTTCGACATGTCTGCATCTGGCATCTTGCACGATAGGTACCGCTTTTTCATGTTTATAACTAAACTATAACTGATCGTTTGTTTATGCTTCCCGCTTGTCTGCTAATTTTTGTGCTTGCCTGCACTGGTCTGCACCCCGCCTCTGCGCCCCGCCTCTGCACTTGTCTCTGTGCTTTTACTCGCATTTAGTTGTTTCTGCATGCCGCCACTCATCTGTGCTCGCTCGCACACATCTGCACCTGCTGCTTCTCGCTGCCCCCTTCCTTCAAGGCTTGTGGTTTCATTGCTACCTTGTCTGTTAGCAACTCACCCCTCGACTCTGCGCCTCGACACCTGCCCTATAACATACTCCCTCTAGTGAGAGAATAAGATCGAGGGGACGAACAATCAATATTGTACAAATCTCGGCATGAAGTATGTCAAGTATTGATCTCGGTCTAGATGTGCACCGTTGACACGTTTGCTAGGATCAACACCGAACTTGGAGGCGTCAATTCACTACCAAGGTCGGGTGCTTTGGAGAAGCTCACGAGCGCTCCATTCATTGTTATAGGTATGTATCATCTGTTTGGCCTTTGAGACTCATTGAAGGCTGGTTCATCCTGCAGGGCCAGGTGCCAATGTGGGATATCCTGCACCTGGCACAGTCAACCAGCCCTCTGCGGCTTCTCTCGTCTATTTGTTTGATCAGTATTATGCTGCACACTGGCAGTCCAGGTATGAGGCAATGATATCAGTCCAGCACCACATCAAGAGAAAAATCGACGAGTTGCACTCGCTGGTTTACGTGAGTTCATTCCATCTACCACGCGCACATGCGGTTTTAGCTATCACAAGCGAGCAATCAACAAATTCGACGAGCGTAACAGGGTCACACCTATGGGAATACAGAATCATGGGAAAGAGGAAATCAAGGACATCACAGGTAAGTTAGTCCGGCAATGCTTGTTTCTTTTCTAACTGTGTCTACTAGGGGCGATCGATGACATCTGGTGCAACAAAAGTTCAAAATCAGAGTTAATATTCATAGTTGTAGGTAAACGGTGAGTCTGCGATCCATTTTATACCTTTGCTTTTGTTGCTCACCAGCTGCGTGTGCTCAAGGCACCATGTCCGATTCTTCCTGAAGAACAGGTACGTCGCTCAGCCACTACTGACCTCTGTATCCACTTGATTATTGAATGGATGTCTAGGAACAAAGCGGACAAGTCTAGGAACTGCCCTGCAGGATTCATTGCTGACCAGGGAGTGGACAATCCCACAGTTGGGATGGCCTCACACCCTGTTCCGGGTGACAAGGGTGGCATTAACTTACTAACATCAACTCCCTCAAGGCCGATCTCTCGCAGATCAACTTCCCAGACTATTTTGCCACATTCACGCCTCATGTCTTCTCAAGCCGTGTTATTATCACATACAAACCTTACCCAAATTCCCTGTCAGAGACTCATCAAAGAAGACGCCAGCAGATGTCATTGTGGCATATCTTGTTGTACGAGCGTCAGTACCGGAAGATACTTTGTGAACAAGACATTCTCTGGCGAATCAAGGGTGTAAGAATGGATTTTAATCTTCAGAATGCTACTGATGTTTCATCCTGAAAGCTCTTGGACAATAACACCAGCTACTTGCTGCGTGCACGCTACTCTACCAATCATACCGCCCTATCTGATGTGCCAAGACCAACACACCTCATGGATGAAGGGTAATATTGCAGCACTCATCTAGCACGTATCAAGGTTTGCACGTGCATTATTTGGCGTGCGTTAATACTCATTCAAAAGAACTTTGATTAGATGACGTGCTCTCGTTACGTCTCAGTGGGCTTTGAATCATCAAGGTTCCGAATATATTGACAATTACACAATGGAGGAGTAAGTGTTTTGATATCCGGGCGTTTATTATGCACTCCTTACCACCACCTGCAGTTTCTATCATTACACAATGATAGTCATGGATTCGTAATGTGTCCTCCACACCCTGATACCAAGCACCACATGCACTGACCGTCATCCGAACCATTGCATATAAATTGTAACTACTTTGGCATTGGGCACCACTGATCTTATTCCTTAGAATGTCTCAAGTAACTCAATACCACTATGCCGATGAATCTTCATCAGCTGACAAAGCTTTGTCATCCAATGAGGGGGTCGGGTCCACGCATGGCGTCGTTCAAGGGTCGATCTCTAATCCCGTTCAACGTCAAGCCACAACTCAACCAAGATCGCGCCATTCTGAACATGAAGTGGAGGCAAGTTTGAACTGAATAATCTTCGTTCATAGCACTAATGGAAGCATTGTCGATGTCTGCAGGAGGTCAAGAATGCGCAGCTTGAAAACCAGGCGCTGAAAGAACGACTCCACACCATGGAGGAGCAAAACAAAGTACTATCAGCCAATAAGGGTCGTTGCAAGCAGGACACTGCCGTTTCGGAAGATATTGTAGCATTCGAAGGGGAACTCAAGGTTTGCGCGAAACGCTATGGTCTGAGCCCCTTCAGTGACAAATCCCGTACTATACGGGTCACCCGACCTACATAATATCCCGTGTAATACGGGCCAGCGGATTATGGGCCGATGTTATGTATATTCCCGATGTTGACGGGTGGGCCCATCTATGCTGATGTTATATATATCATTGACGATGGCGGATGGGCCGGGAGAAATATTATTATGGAGATGGGTGGGCCCATGTGGGTAATATGTAGAGTAGGATTGACATATATTATAGACCTGAGGAGAGATGTATAGCAAATATTATTATATAGACGGGTGGGCCGACGTATTAGTATTATTTTGTAGACGGATGGGCCAAGGGAGCGGTGGAATATTTATTACATAGATGGGTGGGCCAACATAGGGAAATATTAGATAGACAGGTGGGCCGACGTGGGGTATTTTACTTAGATGGGTGGGCCGACGTGGGGTATTTTACTTAGACGGGTGGGCCGATGTGGGGTATTATTAGGTAGATGGGTGGGCCGAGGGTGAGGTGAATTATTTATTACATAGATGGGTGGGCCGACGTAGGGGTATATTAGATAGACGGGTGGGCTGAGGGTGAGGTGAAATATTTATTATATAGATGGGTGGGCCAATGTGGGTTAATATTAGATAGACAGGTGGGCCGAGGGTGAGGTGAATTATTTATTACATAGATGGGTGGGCCGACATAGGGAAATATTACATAGACGGGTGGGCCGAAGTTGGGAATTTTACCTAGATGGGTGGGCCGACGTCGGGTAATATTAGACAGACGGGTGGGCCCAGATACGTATCATATAGACAGATAGGCCTAGGTATTGATATACTATATCCACGAAAGTGGTGAAAGAGAACCAGAGAGCTGCCTCGTGTCGACTCAGACTCAGCGACAAGTGATACCAATAAGATCACAGTCACGTTTCACCACAGTGCTTGTCAATCGAAACATCTTCGTCGAGTAGATAGATACCAGAAAGCCTGAATACACCATGTCTGACATTCACCAAGTAACAAGTACCGAGTACTGAACCCTGAAACCTGAAACCGGAGCCCCGAACACCCAGACTGGAAACTCGAGAGAGACTCAACTTGAAATTCAAACCTCAACTGGAAACTCATACATTTTTATGAGTTTCGAGTTGAGTACCGACACCCGACACCCGAGTACTGAGTACCGAATCTCAGGTGTCGGTACTCGGTACTCGGTGATTCGAGTCTCGGGATTCAAAACTCAGATTTATACGACTTTCAAGTTTCAAGATTCAAGATTCGAGTGTCGAGTTTCGAGTTGAGTACCAACACCCAACACCCGAGTACCAGGTACCAAGTACCAAGTACCAAGTACCGACACCCAAGATTCGGTACTCAGTACTCGGTGAAATGTGTACAGAAATACAAATGTAAGATGATACACACAAATCACCGAGTACCGAGTACCGACTCGGATCTTAACCTATTGATGTTGTGAGACCATGGATAGACTCCCCTAGACAAGGGCTACAACTTTGGTTTTCATCGAAAAAGTTCCCACGGTCTAGAATATTGAGTACCGAGCACCGAGCACCAGGCACCGGGCACCGAGCACTGAATACTCGGGACTCGGTACTTGATACTCGATGCTGAATATCTTGGTACCTACTCACTACTCAATATGTACCTTAACACTTTTGAACCCTTCATTTTCGAGTATTTTGCTTATACCTCACTAGGATATTAACCTATTGATGTCATGAGATCATGGATAGACTCCCCTTGACATGGGCTACAACTTTGATTTTCATCGAAAAAGTTCCCACGGTCTATAAAATTGAATACCGCGCACCAAGCACCGAATACTCGGTACTCAGTACCTACTCGATACTCAAAACTTGGTACTTGGTACTCAGTTCCCAGTACTTGATACTCAATGCTGAATATCTTGGTACTCAACTAAGCACTGAGCACACTGAGTACCCACTACTGAGCACCAAGCACCCAGGTATGGGGTCTATTTCTATGTATATTGGTAGTAGATACATCATATAGATAGACCAGGACACCTACATGATCCTTCCATAGGAACAACACTTGACAAATTACAATTGTGACATTTTGATATGTTTTACCACCCTACCCTTACACAGATTATCCAAGTCACTCATAGACTGTCATTATTACATTCATTATGCTAAGGATCAGTGATATTTAGGCCGGAAATTTGAGATCTGATGTAAAGGGGATATTTCTACTGATCAAAAGCCCACATGGTAAATGATAGCCTTAAAGGCTTAGAAAGATCCATCCAGGATTGAGTGAATGACAAGCAAAACAATATATGTGTGAAAAGTGACAATTGACATCTGTTCACACAAAGTCACATTTATATATGATACAGGTTGAAGATTTCATTAAAAATGTGTAGGATACATGGTGGACTACCTAAGGAACCTATACTGCATACTGCCCTGAGGGTAGAGTGTTGGTGGGAGGGATGTGGCATAGAAGTGTTTGAATTGGTTGCCCATAGCCAAGGATACACCAACTGACCATTTTCGATGTTTGGGGCATTTGAGCTTTGACGTTTCCCACACTCGATTTCTTATCTATTTCACTTCCCCAGCTCTCAATTCCTGGTGGATCTTTCTGTAATTTTAGATCCATCATACTGAATATATGTGAAATATACTCTAGGTGTCTGATCATTAAAGTTCAATAATTCAGAGATATGGGCATTTTATCAGTAGAAATATCAAGTATATACACCATCTCAAAGCAACAGCATATTTTGAGCTGATCCTGGTCATGAAAAGCAAGTATATATGCTATGCTAATGATATATGAATATATTGGATTATTTATGCAAGGATAGAGCAGTCAGAAACATGAGAAATGTGAAACACATGATTTATCAATTTTTGTTGCTGTAGAAGGATCGTGTAGGTGTCCTGGTCCAGTGATATGATGTATCTGAGGGAGGGTACACTATACAGGTACTTGAGTATCAAGTAGGTACCGAGTACCAAGTATTCAGTGCTCAGTGCTCAGTACTTGATACTCAGTACTCAATACTTGGTAGTCAGAACTCAGTGCTCAGTGCTCAGTGCTCAGTGCTCAGTGCTGAGTACAGAGTATTGAGTATTGAGTAGGTACCAATTACTGAGTACTGAGTGTTGAGTATCAGGTAGGTACTGAGTGCCAAGTATTCAGTGCTTGGTGCTTGGTACTCAATACTCGGTACTTGATACTAAATACTAAATACTTGGTAGTCAGTACTCAGTGCTTAGTGCTCAGGTGAGTACCAAGATATTCAGCATTGAGTATCAAGTACCAAGTACCAAGTATTGAGTATTGAGTATAGTGCTGCCGTGGTCCAGTCCTGAACCGTGGTTCGAACCTGACCATTGGTCAGGTTCATCCTTGGTTCGGTCCATGGTCCAGCATTTTGCACAGACCGAACCAGAACGAGGTTCGTGGTCCGCTAACTCCTGTGCGGTTCATCTATAGGTTCGGACCTTCCCGAACCGTTCCGAACCTGGAACCGAATCTTCCTTGCAACGCCTTCAAGGCTCAAGCACACGCTTATGGTCATTTTGACTTCTCGATCCTCAAGATTCGCCATGGTCACTTTGACCTTTGGCATTCTCAAGACTTTTTTCGACTTATCCTGTCCAGAGGTTCGCATCCCGCACACCCTGCTGTCCGATAAAGCCTACCTGTCCAATCAAGCTCGAGGTACGACTTTTCCATCAAATCAAGCGCAATAAACTGATTGATCTGATATATTGATATATTTTTTTAGGATCTGTCAATGCATACTACGAGTTAGTAGGAGATTGGGTATTCACATATAAAGGGAGCAAGGTGAGTGATATATTTCGACTACTGGTACAATGTCTGAACCTGAAGCACAGTGTGCCCTCAACCCAGACGGGTCTCTAAAGGACGCCAAAGACATCGTTTTTTACAACGATCCTGATGATGCCGTCCCCATTTCCACTCCATCCTCTGCCCAACCCCCCACAGACGCCTTCTCTGTGCTACTGCAGACTGGACGCAAACCAGTGCCACTTACTGCAGGTGCTCGCTTCATTGGACATGTAACTACGAGTACAAATATCTTGCCTATGTTTTTTTTTCCTGGCTGTAATTTTTTCGCATTCGGTTCGCGTTCAGACCGAGAAAAAACCGAACCTGACCGCTGCGAACCGTTCGCAAAGGTTCGGTCTAAGGTTCATTGAAATACCTAGAACCGAACCTTGGCCCGGTTCTTGGTTCTCGTCCAACCACCTCTGAACCGAACGGAACCGGACCACGGCAGCACTAATTGAGTAGGTACTGAGCATCGAGTATCAAGTACCGAGTACCAAGTATTGAGTATTGAGTAGGTACCGAGTACTGAGTATTCAGTGCTCGGTGCTCGGTACTCAATATTCAGTACTTAATGTTTGGTACTCAATACTCAATACTCAATATACTAAATGCTCGGTAGTCAGTACTCAGTGCTCAGTTGAGTACCAAGAGATTCAGCATTGTATACTGAGTACCGAGGTCTGAGTATCAAGTAGGTACCAAGTACCGAGTATTCAGAGCTCGGTGCTTGGTACTCAATATTCTAGACCGTGGGAACTTTTTCGATGAAAACCAAAGTTGTAGCCCTTGTCTAGGGGAGTCTATCCATAGTCTCATGACATCAATAGGTTAAGATCCTAGTAAGATATAAGCAAAATACTTGCAAATGGAGTGTTCAAGAAAGCACTTTGACCATGGGAACTTTTTAGATAAATATCTGCCCTGTGCTCGGTGCTCGGTAGTCAGTGCTCGGTGCTCGGTACTCGGTGCTCGGTACTCAATATTCTAGACCGTGGGAACTTTTTCGATGAAAACCAAAGTTGTAGCCTTTGTCTAGGGGAGTCTATCCATGGTCTCATGACATCAATAGGTTAAGATCCTGGTAGGATATAAGCAAAATACTTCCAAATGGAGGGTTCAAGAAAGCACTTTGACCGTGGGAACTATGTAGATAAAAATCAAAATTGTAGCCCTTGTCAAGGGGAGTCTATCCATAGTCTCATGACACCAATAGGTTAAGATCTACCAAGATATTGAGCATTGAGTATCAAGTACTGGGAACTGAGTACTAAGTACCGAGTGCCGAGTACTGAGTATTCAGTGCTTGGTGCTCAGTGCTTGGTGCCCGGTGCCCAGTGCCTGGTGCTTGGTGCCTGGTGCTCGGTGCTTGGTGCCCGGGGCCTGGTGCCCAGTGCTTGGTGCTTGGTGCTTGGTGCTTGGTGCTCAGTTGAGTACCAAGATATTCAGCATTGTGTATCAAGTACCGGGAACTGAGTACTAAGTACTGAGTATCGAGTATTCAGTGCTTGGTGCTCGGTACTCAGTACTCGGTGCCTGGTGCTCGGTTCTTGGGACTCAATATTGTAGACCGTGGGAACTTTTTTGATGAAAACTAAAGTTGTAGCCCTTGTCTAGGGGAGTCTATCCATAGTCTCATGACATCAATAGGTTAGGATCTACCAATATATTCAGCACAAGTACCAAGTTCCTGGTATCAAGTACCGAGTGCCGAGTGCTGGGTTTCGGCACTCAGTACTCGATGCCCGGAACTTGGTACTCGGCACTCGGTGCCCAGAACTTGGTGCTTGGTACTTGGTGATTTGTTCAATTTATGAAATGTTGTATTTTAGTTTTGTGTTTCAGTGCTCAATGCCCAGAACTCAATGCCCGGAACTCGGTGCCCGGAGCTTGGTACTAGGTACTTGGTGATTTGTTCAATTTACAAAATGTTGTATTTTAGTTTCATGTTTCAGTGCTCGATGCCCAGAACTCGATGCCTGGAACTCGGTACTCGGTACTTGGTGATTTGTTCAATTTATGAAATACCCGGAAGTCAATATTAGTTACCTGGACATCAATAGATGTTACCCAGAACTCAATAGATGTTACCTGGAACTCGATAGATGTTACCCGGCCCGTGGATATGATATCAACCATCTCAGCCCACCCATCTATATAATATACTACTACCTCGGCCCATATGTCTATATGATATGTATCTGGGCCCACCTGTATATGTGATATCCAACTACCTCGGCCCACCCATCTATATAATATCTAATAAATTGCTCTCTCGGCCCACCCGTCTATATTATATACCCCCATGTCGGCCTACCTATCTATGCAATATACGACTACCTTCGGCCCACCTGTATATATAATGAATATTTTACCGCTCCCTTGGCCCACCCGTATATATAATAAATATTTCACCACTCCCTCAGCCCACCCGTCTACAAAATAATACCAATATGTCGGCCCACCCATCTACAAAATAATCTTAATTTGTCGGCCCACCCGTCTAATATGATATATATCTGGGCCCACCCGTCTATGTGATAACAAGCACCCTTGACATACCTGGCTATTTGATACACATCTACCTTGGTAAACCCATCTACATAATATCCAACTACCTCGGCCCATCCGTCTATTGAATATTCATGTCCATCGGCCCACTCATCTACTCTACATATTCCCTACATGGGCCCACCCGTCTCCATCGGGAATAATAACACTCCCGGCCCATCTGTCATAGTCAAGGATATATCTACCTTCGGCCCATGGTCCGCTGACCCGTATCATATGGGATATTATGCACATCTGTTCACTCGTATAATACGGAGATATGTTACTGCAATATGTGCCAACCCTTCGTTCCATTAACTTCTCATGCAACATCATTCCCATCGAGCTTCTTTGATCGCATTCCATTCCATCATTCCATTAACTTCTCGCGCGACATCATCATCATCATGCTTCCTCAGCTGTGTTCCGTCCACTCGGTCCGTTACAGCCACATCATGTGACTCTTTTAGAAGGAATCCTGCTAAGTCCGTCAATTACTATAGTGCTGACCAGGGACGGTCAGTATCTGAGTCCCCCGCAGGTGTGGGGAACGTCCCCACTGTAGGCCCATATCCCATATAATTCCCATGCCTTCCCACCATTTTCCTGTCTGTTCCGCCACCATCCTGCTACCCATCCACATCTTCCCTGAGCTGTCCGCTACACGGAAACAAGCAGAACCCAGCAGAACCCAGCGGAACAATCACGTACCACACGCATCATATCCTTTTAGCCTTCGGAATGTCCTCCTCTGTCCTGTCCTTGTCCTTCCATCCTTGCTGGTGAGTACTAGCTACGTTCCCCGTGTCACTAACATGTTCCTATCTCATTTCCCATGTGTTATGGTACTTATCTGGATCCTTCTGCTACTTGGGACCGATTCCTTATCTCACAGCCTCACCCGGTTGTAGCATAGCGCATTTCAGAACCCCTTCCTATATAGGTAGCAATAGATGGGATCTTAGTTTTTTACCTTCTGATAGACTCGACTCCACTTCCACTTACAGAGTACTTCCCAGTACTCCACTCACTGTCTAAAATATCTTCCCGAATCTATTCCTGATCACATTGCATCGTTCCCACCCCCGTGAGTTCCGCTCGAAATGCCCGACATCAGATCCAACAACTTGGAGCGAGTACCAGACACAAGCCTGGTCCGACTTTGCCCAATCATCCTCCTGCAGGCTCGTAGTTTCTTTTCCCTCCATTTGTTCCCCATTATTTCTGTTTGTTCCCCGTTTGTTCTGTTTGTTCTGCGTTAGTTCCATTAGTTCCGCTTGTCATGCATTAGTCCCACTCGTCGCGCACTGAGTTTCACTCATCGGGAACCCTCCACATCTTTGTGTTCCCAGTCCTAGTAAGGACCGGAACCCTTCGGGTCACTAGACAGAGTCTAGTCTTTGTTTCCTCACACTTATTTGAGGACTCGCTACCCAGTAGCAATCCCCTTGGGATGAGTATAAGTCTCGCACCCTTGTTAGACTTCTGAATCACCCAGAGTCTATTTTCCTCACCCACACTGTGCCATAAACTATCCGAAAAATACTGGAGTGTGAGAGGATATGTCTGTGTTCAGTCAGTAACAAGAAAATGTGTGTGAGTATGTACCAATGAGGTAGAATGGACGTGGACAGGATGGATGCGGCGGATGTGTGAGCTATAGGGGGAGATCTGAAGGTATCCGCATGTCATCTGAAAAGTGGATGTGTATCGGATGGAATGGATAGGTGTCGGATGGACGTCGGATGGACGCCTGATGCATCGGAAAAGTGGTGGATATGAGCCTAGCATAGGGAAACTCCCTACACCTGCCAGGGACTTAGATACTGACCATCCCTGGTCAGTTGGTACCAGTGTGAATGGACTTAGCGATTTTCTGGTGGAAAGGTCATGTGATGCAGATCAGATGAACCGGATCTCCAGATTTATGATAATGGAACCAAAGAACACGGCTGTGGACTTCTGATGGATGTGAAACGCGAGAAGACAGATAAGCATGCATGTGCAAGGCATGTAGTGCTTCTATTCTTTCAACTTTTCCCCCCTCCCTTTGTCTCTCAACATCTCTTATCGATCTTTTGACATGTCCGGCTTTTCCTTTGCAGCTCTAGGGACTGACCCAAATGAGGATGAACGTATCCGATGCGAATTCAATGCAATCCGCGAACGGCTAGCGGGTGTAGCTAAATCGGTACCGGACAATAAGGATGAGTTGCTGGAGGAGAAGGAGGATTGGATGCGGGTATGGGTAGATCTAACTGTGCGTCCCACTCTGTTGTGACACTCTCTAGTGCTAATTCATCGGATGGTAGACTCACTTGGAGGCATGCATAACAGTTGGAAGGGGGAAGGGTATTGTCCTTGCACTATCTGCGGATGAAGTGGCGGCGGGTGAGGCGGGTCAATTGATGTATGAGCACTTCCGCGGACAGGTCAGCGTGTTGAAGGCAGCCGCTATCCGGATGCCTGAGCCGATTCAGCAGGATACAACGAGTGTTGCGACTGGGATGGTGACTAAGAAGAAGCTGGCAATGGAGGTGAGCATCCCAGATATGCCTGGGGTTTCTAGGACGTCTCGATCAAAGTTACCACCAGTGAGTGGTCTCTATGCATCCAGGCTATCTGCATTAATCCATACTCATCCACTAGCGCATGAGTGCTAAAGCTCCGATCAATCCGACGCATGTGGTGCATACTCCTCCATGCACTCAATGCCAGGGGAAGGAACTTGTCTGTGAGGGTCCGAAGGGTCAGGGTTGCACTTCCTGCCAGGCTGCGAAGCAATCATGTGACTATGCGACGGGTTCTCATTCTGCAGGTGAGTGTCGGATGGGCATCGGATAGGTATTGGATGGCTGACATGTTTGTGTGTAGCGCGTAGAGAGAAGGCCGACATTAGCAGGGTGTCTGCAGTCAGTGTATCTGTGAGCGGGTCTATCTGTCGCACAGTCTCGTCTCCTACTCTGGACTCTGCTGCTGAGGATGCTTCGTCAGATGGGGAATCTGAGGTTGCAGCTGATCCGCCGCCTCGTCATATTTGTCCCCATCCTACTCATCAGACTAACAAGGGAAAAGGGCACGCAATCAATGTCAATGAATATGAGGATGAGAAGTTGAAAATGCGAATGGAAAATGATGAGCTTCATCACAGATTGCGCCTTGCGCAAGGTAAGCTTTTGAAGATGTACAAATTGGCATACAAGTTGGTGGATGACCTGAGGAAGATGGAGGTGAAGTTGGCAGATCGCATGTAAGGTGTTCGTGTCGTATCCGATGAATTTGCGGATGATCTGTAGAACAATCTGCTCCTATGCTACTCTTTGTATAACTGTTTGTACTCAATCCGATGTCCTTATCCATGTCCCTGTCCGATTCTAATCCCCATTGGCACCTAAGTAGTGTGAGTGAACAATTGTAAGTAATGTTGTATGCGGATCCGATGAAAAAGCGGAAATGATATGAGTGGTTTGCAGATAACTCATCCGACTTGTCTTCATTAACTGTTGTTATCCCTGTTCTTCTTGAGTATCTGTGCATGGTGTGCTTCGGATGTAATGGATAAATATGTATAACATGAAATAAAATGTGCATGGTGCCACTTCATGCGTTTGAAGTAAAACAAATATTTTGTGGTTTATGCGCGCACTTACTGTCTAATCGGATCGGATGGTGAGTATATAGCGGATGTCTATGCGGATGTGAGTCGGATAGGGGATGGATTAATGACTGATCAAGAACAGATTGAGAAAAAGATCACCAGACGAAACCTGGGGTAAAACGGATACTAAGTACTTGTTTTTGCAGTTGTTGTTCTATGATTTCGGGTTAGCGGATATGTATTGTAAGAGTGTCAAGTTAGGTGCGGATGAGGGCATGAAAATGCGCAAAATTTGCAATCTGGTTCTCTGATGTATTCCTCCCTCAGACTTCGCATGATGACCTCCTGGTCATCCGAGTGACATGGAAAGTGATCAGGTAGCTGGGCATATACAAGTGTGATCGGGTTGTTGAATTGGATTGGATGGTGGACGGATGGATAGCATGGGTGGATTGGATGGGTCAAATGGGTAGTGCGTGAGTGTCGGATGATGAACAGATTGGACAGGTGCATTGCTTGGAACGAGAATGGAACGAGGGAAGGATCACTGGACAATACAGCAATATGGATGATGGATGATATAGATGGATAATGGGTGGATGATGAACGGGTTATTGGCGGATCGGATGGATCAGGTGACAGACGGGTTGGACGGGTAATGGGCAATGAATGGACGATGAACGGATGGAATGTAGGAATTGATTGTTTATGCGCCCATGTTGGGATCGGGTTCCTCTTCATCTGGCTTGTCAATGTCCATTCCTACCATATTATCCAAGATGTTATATTCCGATGGTGGGCTAGTACCCGGTGAGATGTACTCTTGTATTTGTCGATCTGGGTTCAATGTGTGATGATGAGGGGCAATGCAAGTGATAGGTGTAGCGGATGGGTGAACTTGGTACTAGTATGACTGTTGCACTATATGAGGGATCCGCTTGTCCAGATGTATCCCTGATTCATATGTATTGGAGTGGGTTGTATCGGAAGGTGTGGGTGCATGTGATGGAGGTCGGTTGTGTGCTCGGAATGCAGTGTGTGTGGTTTCCTGTAAGGTTTGGATCGATGCTATCCGATGTATCCTAAGTGCAGAAAGTGTGGATGAGATGTGTGATGGTGACATGTGCAGCGTAGACACGGGTTGATAGGCTTTGTGTGACTGCGGGTTGGAACTGAATTCTATTCGATGTGGATTGTTAAAATGACTGTGTGGGTACAATGCTAATAACCCTATGCGATCATCGGGAATATCCCGGATGACCCGAAAATCATTGGATGGAAATGCGGAACTAAACTTGAGATGTCTCCTTGAGAGACCCGGACATAAAATAGACAGAACCCGCAATATGAATGCAATGATTAAAACAGCGGATGGAAAATCGACATCCATGACACCTGCCTCCCGAGTAACTACACGGAGTACTGGAAGCGAGCTAGGGTCATGCAATGCGAAAACGGCGGATGGAAAATTGACATCCATCACACCTGCCTCCCGAGTAACTACATGGAGTACTGGGAGCAAGCTAGGGTCATGTAATGCGAAAACGGCGGATGGATAATCAGATAAAGCGGAATCATTAGTAATACGTGCGGTTCTGTCAGATGGATTTGAATCTATAAGTGGATGGGTCAAGCTGGCTAGTGGTGCGATGATCTGTGGGTAAGTATCGGATCCGCTATCCGATGCCTGCAAAATAGCGGATGGTTCGATGTCGTCAAAGAACAGTAGTTCATCAATAAATGTTGATTCGTCTGTAAAAGGGTCAAATATGTCGCTCCAATGGACGTATTCCTCAGAGAGCAGATCATCTGTGGTGGATGTGGATACCTCAGCAGATGGGACGGGTATGGGGGACTTAGCTTCTGATGCTTCATCGATGATGACTTCAACTGGTTCCTGTCGATAGTAGTGCGTACCCCGGAATCCTGGGTAAAGTTGCAAGACTGCATTAGCGAACTTCTCGTAGTTATCACCGTGTGATTCCTCCTGATAGGTCCATAGGTCTGTGTACCATAGGGCTGCCTTGATGTGAGCCTTATCCGATAATCCGACGATATCCGCTAATCACACAACTTCGTGGAAGAAGGGTGGTAGATCCAAAGCGATACCGGTAAACCATGGTGCGCTGTCTGATGTGCTCGGAGGCATGAAGCTCATTGCAGATGACATTTCTATGCGGGTGCAAGTGTTAGGTGTTAGGACCAGGTCGCGGAACACTATGCACAATTCCTTGACAGTGAAGCGGATTGGAACAGACAGAAAAAAAACAGATAGAAAGCAGATAGGAACAGGTCTTAAGCGACTGCTAGCTTCCCAGATGATCCCCTCGCGGTGGGCTCCAGTTGTGGGTACAACAAGTGCAGTAGCGAGAATCCGATCAACTACACAGTTGGGTCTTTGCTGCCTGCTGCTGTGCTTGGAAACAAGCACGTTCGACCCTTAAGGGGATTGCTACTGGGGAAAATACTAGTCTCTGTCTAAAGCGACCCTATAGGATGAAGGATCCACAAAAGCGGATGAAATGGATAGGATGCGAAATGTACGGATTCATCGGATGGAGTGGATGATACTTGTGGATTGGACAGGATGCGAATCAAAGTTGAAGGAAGTTCATTAAAGGTTGGATGGATAGTGGGTATAAGTCAAAGCGATCTTCTGGTAAGGTGCAGGAAAAGTGGGAGGAAGTTACATGAAGTAAGTATTTTTCGAAAACCTCCATGCTTATAGGGTACAGTATTTTCAAGGAACATAGAGATATAGGTAGCGAGTCTAGACCGTGCCATAAGCTATCCGAAAAATACTGGAGTGTGAGAGGATATGTCTGTGTTCAGTCAGTAACAAGAAAATGCATGTGAGTATGTACCAATGAGGTAGAATGGACATGGACAGGACGGATGCAGTGGATGCACGAGCTATAGGGGGAGATCTGAAGGTATCCACATGTCATCTGAAAAGCGGATGTGTATCGGATGGAATGGATAGGTGTTGGATGGACATTGGATGGATGCCTGATGCATCGTAAAAGTGGTGGATACGAGCCTAGCGTAGGGATACTCCCTACAGCACGCAATGTCAATAATGATTGCAATAATAGTACATTGATATCAGACTCGGAGTGGGCAAGCGTTACATGATGCGGTCCAAAAAAAAGAAATAACGATAATGAAGCATCGAGGGTCCAGCAAGAACATGAGTCCAGAGTGTATCAAATAGCAGGCTGCCAGCAGTCCAAGGTGCATGTGGCCTCCATTTGTGAGACAAGACAAGTCGAAGAAAAAAGGTCAGTACATCAGGAAAATGTCGGTCCACTTAAATGATCCTTAAAGTGTCTTAGATGCCTTATCTGCGGCTTAAAGTTGAGATTTCATTGCTCAAAATAAGGAGATTCAGTAGGTCCATCTCCTTAAAATAAGGCCACTGGTGCATTTAAGAGATGTAAGCACAATATAAGCACACGAAAGGAATATCATTAAGGAACACGCAGATCAGTCCAGGAGCCTAAACTATGGTGAAATAAGGAGATTCAAAAACTAAAGGAGAGTGGTTTATAGCATCCATATTCAATAGCAAATAGAGCGGAAAAAGGGTATACAGTGGCTCAAAAAAGTGTCCAAATGTTTATGCATTTTCAAGTAATTGAACAATAGCAAGGCAGAACCAAACAACGACCAAAGGGTATAGGGACATGTCTGAAAGCCCTATATCATGGCTCAAGTCTGAGATATATAGCGTGTAGACCTGACCATATATGGGCAAGCTATGGTAATTCTAAATATATGACTCATTCGGACACTTTTTTGACTTTTTATTGAAATCACAAAATCAGACCATTCATACATAATACTCTTAATTAAAGCCATGTCATAATGATAATATGGTCTGATTGCAATATTATTTGAATATATAAACCCACATAAGATCATGAAATTCAACATAATCATCATGAAGCCCATCTCCTCTGCTCACAAGGATAATATCATTGTTCTCTGTACCTCTGGTTTATCTACTAGGCAAATTGCCTCAAAAACTGGTCTTGGAAAGTCTACTATTACTACAGTCATAAAGCAGCACATGCCAGAGAAGGAAAATCATCAAATGGGATGTCCTCCCAAGCTTACTCCACAGAAAAAAAGAGCTATTGTTCACCAAATTCTATCTGGCAAGGCTTCAAATGCTACCCAAGCTACCAAGGTCATCAATTCCATCATCACCACTCCTGTCTCCACCCAAACTGTCAGAAACACCCGCAGGGCAGCCAATCTTAAGGCTGTAACTAAGAAGAAAAGACCTCCTCTCTGTAGCTCATAGGAAGAGAAGACTGGCCTTTGCTTTAAAGCACCAACATTGGAGTGTGGAAGACTGGAAGAAGGTTATTTGGTCAGATGAAATAAAAATCAATAGAATGGGGTCATATGGCCAGGAATATGTGTGGAAAAAGGCAGGAGAACCATTAGGAGAAAGAGAAGTCAAGGGTACACTGAAGTTTGGAGGAGGAAGTATGATGATATGGGATTGTATGGGGTGGAATGGTGTGGAGATTCTTTGTGAAGTGGAAGGATGGATGAATGCAGAGCAGTACATCTCCATTCTAGAGGAGTGTCTACTCAAAAGCATGCAGGAGTCAGGAATTGATGAAGAAGACATTATCTTTCAACAAGATAATGACCCCAAGTACACCTCAAAACTGGCTACAACATGGTTTAAAGACCATGATATCAATGTTCTATCATGGCCAGCACAGTCTCCAGACCTCAATCTCATTAAACATCTCTGTGAATTACTCAAAAGACTACTTGCTGCCTATCAAGATCATCCACAGGGGCTATTTAAACTATGGGAGAGAGTTGCAGCAGAGTGGACAAAGGTTGCTGAAGAGGAGTATCAAAAATTGATAGAAAGTATGCTTAGAAGGATTGCAGCAGTTATTAAAGCCAAGGGGGGTAGCACCAAATACTAGAATCATAGAATAGTCTTGGTTAAACACAAAGTCAAAAAAGTGTCCGAATGAGTCATGTATTTAGAATTACCATAGCTTGCCCATATATGGTCGGTTACCCACGCTATATATCTCAGATTTGAGCCATGATATAGGGCCTTCAGACATGTCCCTATACCCTTTGGTCATTGTTTGGTTCTGCCTTGCTATTGTTCAATTACTTGAAAATGCATAAACATCCGGACACTTTTTTGAGCCACTGTATGTGAGCAGTGGGGCCACAGCTGCGGAGGTTGAAAGAGCAGGGAATGATGATATTGCAGTCTCTGTTAACATTGATGGATGAGTAAGACAACTATGGAGATCTGAAAAACTACTTACTCAAAAAACGATGCATCCTCCTGTTGAATGAATAAAATCAGCGGTTGAAAAAATGAGAAAAAAATAAATGTTACAGATATGAAGGCGGGAGCGTTTGTTGACTGGAGTGATTGAAGCGCTGGAACCATAAGGTTCATCCACTGTGCTGTGGTGATTGTTACATGGGTGCTTCATGTATTCTTCTGCCTGAGCGAGAATCTCCTGGATACGTTTGTAAGGCAGATCCTTGATACTATCCATGTACACCATGGTGTCCGTCTCCCAATTTCCAGATGAAAATGATGTTCCGGTATGACTCATCTTATTAGTCGCCTTGTTAAGTGTCTGGATAATCTTGTGGTTTTTGCTGCTGTTGTTGGAGGGATTGCTATCAACCAGTAAGCAATTTTTAACCAAGACGAGAGTGCGCTCGGCCTAAGAAATATAGTCAACATTCTCCAGCTCAAAAAAGAGGAAAAAAAAAAGTTAAACTTACTGCCACTGCTGACAGCGCCAGCACAGTCTGATACCCAGGCTTGCCAAATTCAACCAACAAATCCACCCTCACTTGCCCGGCGATCACAGTGAGGTGGGAAGCAAAAATGCGCAATATGTACTCTGACAAGAACGCACCCAGTTGCTCTTCATTCTCAGGATCTTCATATACAAAGCGGCATTCTTCAAGTTGTTCCTCAGTGTATTCCTCACGGGCTTCCTGAGTCTTATACTCAGGTGTTGAAGCGAAAAAAGCTATCAAAACACTGTTGGCTGTTGAACCGAATGAAGCCCGCCACTTGTGGACCCTTTGGCTGACCTGTTGAGTAAGTGAATCAGTGGCCATTACAAGTGAAGACTAGAATGCAAACCAGTTGAAATGCCAATTCCTCGACATTAAAATTGCACCCTCTGAGTTTGTGTGGGTACACCGTGTAATATATTTGCTCAAGAACAGACTTGAGTTCGGTTTCTGGTACGGTCCACCCATAGTCGCTGTTACCGATCCAATACATCAGACAAGGAAGGAACCTCATACACCATAATCCATTCTCGAGGACTCCGCTGGGTAAGTGCTCATTTCTCACCTTTCCTTTCTTGATCTTTGCACGAATATTTTCTGAGGCTACAACCTTGGTCTTGACCTTGGCCTTGACCTCAGTCTTGGCCTCGCCCTGTTTTGTTGTGGTCTTCTGTTCTGAGACATCAACTAACATCTATCCAGGTATCAGTCCTTTCCCGCATCATGATCAACCAATGACTTACAGAGCTTGTGCGTCGTGCCACACTAGCCTGAGTGTTGATGGTGGGTTGATCACGATCCACCATCATTGCTGTATCACTCTCATCGCCCTCTTCAGCAGACTCCCTGTCCTCAACCATCATCTCAAATTCTTCAGCAGCCTCCGGGTCCTCCAGGACCTCAAGTACTTCTGCGGCGTTTAGGACCTCAAGTTCATCTGCAGAAGACTCTGTGTTTGGGAGTGAGCGCTTCTTGCCTCTCAACGTGGATTTCAGTGTCTCGTTTACATGCACGATGTTCTGACTTTGGTGAGTACATATTCACAACTCAAATCACTACTTACCTTTCCCCTATATGATTTTGGTGCCGGCTCACTGTACTCTTCAGGTTCATCATCAAGATCCACATCAGACTCTGCAATTTGTCCTGTCCTGACAGAGGTTAGTGCACTTGGTGGCATGCTTGGCTTCAGCTGAGTTTGTGATGCAACTTTGTTCACCCAGTTGGGAATGGGCCCTTCGAGGTTGGAACTTATCACCTGCTTGGGATTGGTGCTGATTTGGTGTGTGCAGATGTAATCAAAGTAATGTAGTGTGAGTTCTGATAGAATTAGCATTGTGGTCAAACTGAAACTTACGATGTTTTGATTTTCCCATTGCCCATTGTTGTACTTCCAACACGTGTGTCACTGTCACCAGTGATGATTGTGACTCCACCATTGGACACCTTGCGATTGGCGTTCACGCTGTCCCGAAAGTTTAACTTTAAGGCAGCACGCTTCTTCTTTACTGGTTGACTAGCCTGACCATCATCTTCAGGAGCTGCAGTTGATTGAACTGCTATACAGGTATCAATCAATCAATCAGGTAAATTATTCACTGAGCGCTGGGTCATGACTCACCTATAACTGCAGGTTGTGCATCCACATTTGCCAGATTGGTGCTCTTTTTGCTGGCAACCATGCATGGCTGAATGAGCTTGGGAGGGCCCTTCACCTGAGTCTTCTGCTGGATGGCCATAGCATCTTCAGCTGCAGCAATCATTGTACATGATTTATCTACTGCTGCAGCATGAGCATTCTTCTCAGCTTGCTTACGGTTTTTTTCAGCAGCGACTTCTTCTTTAGACTGCTGCTGCACTCAGTTCGCTTCCTAGACAATATTTCCAGGATGCTTTTTTACATTGCTGGGACGCGTTTGTGGATGAGACATGAGGAATTGAGGTTTGGGGAAATGATGGGAGGAAAACAAACAACACAGCAAATTGAACAACTCAAGAAAACACAACTGACTAAGGTGTTGCAATTTGTACTAAGGTTCAACAGTTTAGGGTGAGCCTTGGTTTCTGTCAACTCAATCTGACCCGAAATAAACAAGTTCACACAGTGTGCCGCTACCTTGAGTTGTTGGACTTAGCCTCAAACGATTACATTTGCTGTTTCTAGTGAAAATGACGCGGTTGCCTTGTCGCATTCCTGCATGCAAACAGGTCTTCAAAAATAAGTCGGGTCAAACAAAGCATGTACACTCAGCACACCCGAAGCCATTGCGCAATCATCCAACCTTCCATCAAGCAGCTCCCAGGTCTCGCTCTCCAAGTCCTGAGAATCCCGCCTTCGATAATTGGCCTCCAAGTCCCCAGCATGATGACTTTGATGATGCTGACAACATGGAAGGTGGTCTGGAAAACACGGATGAAGCCCTTATGCAAGCACAGGGTGTACAGTTTGGGCTGCTATTCTGAACATTCCATCCTCATCTCACAGGTAACAAATTCGCACCATTCATTCATTCAGATCTATTCGTAGTGCAGGACACAAGTGCAATGTTCATGGCAACTTCATTGACCAAAATGCGCCCCCACCACCCCGAACTGAAGCATCACCCACCGACTGGACCCCATATGAAAGTCGTGTTGTGTTTGAGGCAGCGGAATTGCTCTATACACGTAACCAAATGTCTGCAGGTCAAATTGACACCCTTCTTGACCTCTGGGCAGCAACACTTATCAAACATCAGGACAGTCCTCCATTCACTGGCCACCGGGACCTATATGAAACCATCGATTTGACTCCTCTTGGCAATGTTACTTGGGAGACTTTCTCAATGTCCTACAATGGAGTTAAACCTGCCAATAATGTTCCGCCATGGATGACCGCCAAGTACGACGTGTGGTTCCATGATCCATGTCTACTTGTTCACCATATGCTTTTGAACCCTGACTTCGCCACTGAAATTGAATATGTCCTATATCGGGACTATACTGATGAGGATAAACACTGTTATAAGAACTTTTTCTCTGGTGATTGGGCTTGGAAGCAAGCCGTACATTTCGCTTTGTGTTGAGCCTACCTTTCTAACTAACAGTACATCACTTTACAGGACATTATCGCAGAGGATCCGGAAACCCACGGATCAACATTTGTGCCTCTAATCATTGGCAGTGACAAGACTACGGTGTCAGTGGCCACAGGACACACTGAGTACCATCTGCTCTATCTCTCAATTGGAAACATTTTTAATGGAGTTCGATGCACACATCACAATGGCGTGGTGCTGGTAGGCTTCTTGGCTATTCTGAAAAGTGAGCCAATGCCTTGATATACTGTTTCAATTACTCATTTTTGTTATTCGTACTCTAGGCACAAAGGAACATCTTGAGGACAAAGACTTTCGCAATTTCTGCCGTCAAATGTTTCACTCCTCACTCACCAAGATATTTGATTCCATGAAGCCGAATATAACAATCCCCGACGTTGTGTGCTGTCCTGACAGCCATTATTGGTGTGTCATATATGGGTTAGGCCCATACATCACCAATTATCAAGAGCAACTGGTGCTTTCAGGAGTTGTTCAAAACTGGTGTCCGAAGTATGTCTTTTTCTGCATATTTATTGACTTACACTCATGCTGTTTAAGGTGTTTGAATCATCGCAAGAATCTCGAAGGCGATGGGCTATCTTTGCTCCGGTGCAGAGAACACACCGACCTCCTGGTTCAAGAGCTCCAGCATGCCCACCTCTGGTATGAGTATGGTATCATCCAAGAGGTTGTGGTATGTCGTTCGGTTCTCGTGCACATCAACTTCTCATTTGTTTTTTTCGGCCTTTCACAAATGATTTTCCTCGAGCGGATATCCATGAACTTCTCTCTCCAGACCTCCTGCACCAAATCATCAAAGGGATGTTCAAGGATCACCTTGTCAACTGGGTAGAAGAATATTTGTTGCTCACACACAGGGCTTCATGCGCAGCAGAGATCATGGATGACATTGATCGAAGGTATGTGTCTTTTTTTAAACAAATCACTATTGTACTCAAGGTACTCCAACAGGATAGCGGCGGTCGCCCCTTTTGCAGGTTTACGGCGCTTTCCAGAAGGGTGCAGATTCAAGCAGTGGACAGGTGATGATTCCAAGGCTCTGATGAAGGTCAGTCACAACTGATTTTTACTATAATGTGTGAGTTAACGCTACTACTATCTAGGTCTATCTGCCTGCCATTAAAGGTCATGTTCCTCAAGATGTAGTTCGCGCATTTAGCGCATTCCTTGACTTCTGCTACATAGTCCGGCGAGACACAATTACAGAGGATGATCTCATCCAGCTTCAAGATGCGCTCGATTGTTTTCACCAGTACCGTGAAATCTTCAAGACAACGGGAGTTGTACTGGGCTTCTCATTTCTGCGTCAACACTCCCTAAACCACTATTCCCTCATGATCCGGCTCTATGGCGCCCCAAACGGCCTTTGTTCATCAATAACGGAGTCGAAGCACATCAAGGCAGTTAAGGAGCCCTGGCGCCGCTCCAACAGATTCAAAGCATTAGGCCAGATGCTCCTCACAAATCAACACCTCGATAAAATGGCTGCAGCGCGAAGCGACTTTGAGGCTCGTGGTATGCTTCGAGGGTCATGTATATCTGATGCTTTGCAGGTGCTGAGAAATCATGAGTGTTTGTTGGAATACTGGCTTTTTAAGTATTCTAACTGGTAGTACAGGTAATCACGAGTCGCTGGATGACAACGATGATGGCGACAACAACAACGACAATGATGCAGTCGCAGACGCACCCCAAGCATGTCTGAACCGTCTGCGTGTCAATGAACCACAAAACCAGACTGCTGAGGGAGATGCAGCCGATATCATTGATGGACCTACTGTCCAAGCTCATGTGGAACTTGCTGCGACGCCCAGTAAGTCTCATCTTTAGGTCACACAAATTGTTTGCTAACCTGGCGATGACGACACTGATACTATACGGGCAGTACAATCCTCCATACACGGGGGCGTTGGTGGCAATGCAGTTGAGGCCGGGGATGTTGATGTAGAATAACTTGGTGACGGCGTGTCCGGTGTTTTTGGCGGGGTAATGTAGGAGGTGGGTGGAGGGTATGCGGGCTTTGGTGGAGAAGGGTAGCCATGATGACCATAAGATGGAGTAGGTGCCAAGGCGGTTGGAGGAGGCAGGAATGGATTTGTGGTAGGGGGAGGGGTGGTCTTGGATGAGGAGGGAAGTATGTAAGTAGGATAGGGACCTTGAGGTATTCCAAAACACAAACCTACGCTGTCATCACCAGGTATTCCAAAACACGAACCTGCACCGGTACAACTGCCATTGAAGCACAAGATGTTCGTGTTCATTTCACCCGCTGTTTTGTGATGCGGCACTGTAGTTTACTAGAGACATGCCTCCTTAATATTACTTAGACATAAATAAATAAAATTCTCCTTTTTTCTCCTTGTATCTGCTTATTACAAGGGATTATAGAACAGTTCTTGTATTCCTTAAGTCTCCTTGCCACCCTTAAGTCTCCTTTGCCTCCTTATGCAGTTTACTAAGTAGAATAAGGCAAAAAAAGCACTCCAATGTTTTCCTGATGTACTGTCAGTGCCGGGCGCATTTTCTTCTGATGGGGCCTTCCAGTTCATCCCCAGCAGACACAGCACTGCCTTGGCTTTGCTCCGGGTCTCCCTGTGTGTACGAGGTCTTGCGGCAGGTGACTGGAAAAGTTTCAAACATGCAGACGTGAAACTACTCTGTGAATACAAAAGGACTTACTGGTGGCATTGAGGAGAGAGCAGACAGTGATGAGGGGTTCCCCTGGCTCGCACAGTCAGAGAGCTTGAGGGCATTGACATGTTGTGAAGGTCTGGGCTGTAGAGGTGGTGTGGTCTGAATAAATATATGGTCAGTATATGCTAATGAAAGCACCTCTGCGTGCCAAGTCCAGCTGCAAAACCTCGGTGGACCACCCTGAGCTTCATTGTGATGGATGACGATCGTGTTTGACTTGGATCGCTGAATGTTTGACCTGCAGATCCGGTCCAGTTCTTCGTCCGAGTCTAGTGCAGGATGTAGTTGAATCCCAGCCTGTCTGCTTTCCAACAGCATCGTGTGAGCCTCCGAGATACTGACATTGAGTCGATGGGCAATTGCACGAGTAGCAACATATGGAACCAGGAAAGAGTGAGTGAACTTCTTGATGTCAAGCGGCCGAATAGCGTCAAGAAGAATGGTGGATGTGCGAAACATGGCTTCTAGGGTGTGCACAATGACATGCTTGCCCTTTGAGCCGAAACTACTTGGAAGAAAAATTTTAGTCAATCGATAGAAACACAAGACTTACAAGCCAGCGGTCGATAACTCATTGATGAAAGCCGTCATAGGTCCCTTGTCTCTTGCAAAAGCAAGAAGGTAGTCCTCCTCTGTAACTCCCTTGTTGCGGTAATGGTGGGTTATGCAATCCAGCAGGGTTGTCCAGATGATGTGGCCAGCTCGGGCACTGTGATCTGAGAGGATCTTAGCGACATCAGCTGTTAATGACCATGTGAAATCATTAAGTTCAATGAAATTAATAGATACTGGCCAACTGCGCTCTGCCACATGCCGACATATTTTTGACAACTTGTTTTCAGATGTGATATCTGAGCAGATGTGAAGTGTGGATGTGTTCTGCGAGACTGCGGAACATATGAATCAGCTGTGGCGATGGTGGAGAGGGAACAGGATCTTTGCAGTCCTCATTCGGACAGGTGTCTGGAATATCCTGCAGTGAGAAGCTGAATAAAGGGAGCGGGGATGGCAGGGGTGATGAAGGGAGTGGCCAGGATGGTCAGGGTGATCTAGAGTTGTGATGAGTTGAAGGGGTAACTTTGGCCTTCTCTTTCTCCAAGTTCTTGCGTGGCACTGGTCATGGCTGAGGTTTCAGAACTGCCGGTGGTTTGGCCCTCTCACTATGAACTTGTGTGACGGCGGCAGTGGTGATCTTCTTGCTGGAAGTAGTTGCTGTCTGCGACTTCGGGTTAGTACTCTTCTTTGTTACTTTGGCAGTCTGGCTAGTGCCGGTAGGTGCTGAGGGTTGGGTGAGGCATCCTTTGGACTCTGGAAGGCAACAGTTAGTGCAGGTAATGTGCATTGGAGTGCAAACCCACTCAAATAATCACCGACTCGTTTCTTGAAGAGCTCTGTGATATCGGCAGGTAGGCCTCCTGCACTCCCTGGCCCAGTCTCCTCGGAGTCGGAGTCTTCATCTGACCCAGGGTCCGTTTTGGGGTCTGTTTTGCTATTATCATCTGACTCAGAGTGAGCGGCGGGAGTGGGCAACTTAGCACAACTAGTGGATATATGCGCCCAAGTGGATATATTGTACTTTGAGAGAGAGATCTAGAAATAATATAGTCAATGGTCCAATGATGGGACATCGTCATGTACCTTGGTTGAGCTCGGCTTGTCATATCCCATCCTTCTCCTATAGTTAGCATGATTTCACAGGAATTGCTGCAAAAAATCTTTGACAGGCCAGCTGTCCTTAAAGTGTGCTAGGTGTGGGATTTAAAGCATGGCCTATCAGTATTATTAGCGCATATATGCATGTATAATGTAAAAAAAAACACGTACCAATGTGATTATGGTGCCTAACAGTGTTGGTGGCTGGTATTTAATGGTGGTCTCGAGTCGTAAACCATTGTCCTTGGCGATTTCAATGATCTTGTACTTCAGAAATGTGAGCATACACGTAGATAGGAAAAAAAGTGCTTACCCAAATTTTTTTATACACAGTACCCTTATCACCTAGATTCATAGCATGCTGCAAATTAAAATGTCATCCGGCAGTACCATCTGGACGTGTAATTGTGCCCTTCTTCTGACAGGCCCTGAGTTTCTTGCGGGCCTCTTTCTCACCTAGGTTTTTTTGCAGTTAAGACGCTTGACCTAATATTAACATAAGATTTACAGATCGTGTGTTGTACCTCCTGCTCATTGGCATTGACTTGCCTCTGCAGTGCTTGCAGCTTCTTTTTGGTTCCTAGAGTAGGCTGATTTTTAGCAGCGCGTGTCCGAGGCATAGTTAGCAGTAAGCAGTAGGGGTTATTTACACACTGTTTGCACCGACAAGCTGATATTTGGTTGTGTTGATGTGTTAGTCGCATGACCAAAAATTGCACGTGATCATGTGGACATCAAATTTTCGAACTTGTTGTTGTTGTCTCTTCAGTTAGTACCACACACGAAACCTCAAAATTTATTTTGTGCTGATTCTATGTTTTATTCTAGGTTAATTGTGACTTATGCACCTGGGAGGTGCTGGCTGTGCTGTAGGTCGGTGTGCCAGCACCTGTGATCTGGCATATACTTGGAGTGTCTGCCTTTTTGCCTTGAGTGCCCTCATAGGATGCTGGTGCCTTGAAGGTCTGTATTTCTAACCCTAACCCTAAGTTGACCAGATCTCATTGATTTTGATGCCCACAGCTGTCTCCTCCTGCCTCTTTCATCCTACGTACCTCGTCCACCTTCGATCCAATCATCCAGATGAACATTGAGCATCCAAGGATCATCAGGTTAGTTCAATTCAAACACGTACATGCCAATGCCTGATATCATGTGAAGCCTTGGAGGTGATCACACGATTGTGCTCCCAATTCTTCGTGCTCTTAACAAGGTATACGGACCTGTTTCAGTCATTCACTTCGATGCACACTTCAACACCTGGAATGGATATCCAGGAACTGTGTCTGAGCAATCACGCATTACCCACAGAACGTTCTTTTACGTGGGAGGTCAAATAAATCATTTGTGGCCTAGCCAGATTGAACTTTGTGTAGGTAACCCTATCTATTCTTGACCCCGTGGCCCTCATGCCTTGTTTGCGACACAGTGGCGTAGTGGAGGTCGCCCCTGTCTATGACCATGGTTTGTTGAGGACATCCAGGAAATGGGAAGTCTTTGTGAGGTCTGCACAGACATCTGTGTCTAGGTCTGTGTCAAGTCTTTGTCAGTGTTACCTGGGAGTTACCAGGGGAGGTCTGTGAGCCGCCAAAGGTCTGTCTGCCCGTCGTCTTACATAACCATTGATCATTTTATCCCACCACCCTCTCTCGTTTGCCCGCCGCCTCCCTCATTGTGTGGCATCTCCTTCATTGTGCACCACCTCATTGCGCGGTGTCTCTCTCGTTTATAAAGCCAAACATCACATCACATCCTGATGCTGTCGCAAGTCAGACTGCTGGACTTGGTGGGAAGTATGCATGGCTGAATGCTGCAAATTCTTCTGCGACAAGTGCTAAACCGAAGGCTGCAGCATCTTCTACTACTGCAACAAGTCCAGCCACCACCATGACCCCCGCGACTACCACAGCTCCTGCAGCATCAACAACCGCAACAACATCCTGAGCACGGCCGTATGTAGGTAAGAAAGGCAGTCCGACATCACCATGGATGGGAGAGGATGATGATCGGATGCCAGTCACAATGCACGAGGCGATGTTCGCCATAGAGAAGGAAAAAGGTCATGGAGGAGGTTGTGAAACTGCCAGTGGATGGTTGTAGCTGGTTGTGCTTTGTAATGTTGTTGAGGCTGCTGCAAAGAGATGAGAGCCTTGGTGGATATAACAATGTCCTACAGTTCACACATCATTACAGCAAGTTCTCATCAAAATCTCGCAACAACCAAACTCCATCTTGGCCATGAGCTCGCAATAGTGCAAGTCCAACGTAGACATTGAATGGAGTAAGCCCCATGGTAGGTGGTGTCGCCGTCTCCAGACCGTCTAGCTGAACTGTACAAACTTAATAACTTAGAACATATACGGATATGTCGGTTACACAATTGCAGCTGTCAGTGAGAACTCTATTTCGCATTCGTCGAGAACAATTTTCATTATTTCGCCTCAAGAACTGTTGGATTCCATTCTATTCGGTAGTGCAGCACTTTCATCTCGCCTTCCGCCATGTACCGAATTGTGTAACATGCGGTGTTGTACTATGTACTTTCGATAAAGCTTATTCAGGGTCACGAGATATATATGATTTGCCACTGCTCCTCGATTACTGCTTGAACGTTTCCACAATGGCCAACAAGAAGAGGAAATATTGCCATTGCTCTATTGAATGCAAAGCGCACAGGCACCTTCTCAGCTATCACCAGCGACTCTGTCATTACAAAAAGGCAAGGTTGGCCAATATATCACCCTCTGTTTCCCCCACGGAATCATCGGTGGATCCGCAGGCAATGGATCTAGAGCCTGAGATTGGAGTATCTGGTCACAGTGATGCAAGCATGGGTGGCCCAAGTCCAAATCTTTCGGAGCAGAGTGAGTCTGATGAAGAAGACACTGCGAGCAATCATACAGATGAAAATGTTCTCTATGATGAAGAAGAAGAAAACACTGTAGATGAGTTTGATGTGATAGGTGGCCAGGTAGATGCTGAGGTTGAGGCACTGCATCACTCACTCCGTAAGTTCACTCGCTACTGGAAAGTATTTAAATAATCAAGACAATATAGGCAATGCCTTGTTGACAGAGCAGGATAGAGATAATCTCTGCGCTCACAGTCTCTGCATCAAGCCCAGTGAGAACGGCCTCTGATGGGAGAGGTCCAGAGATGTTGAGATGCGATTTTGGCGGTGGTCGAAAATAAGAACAGCTCTCATCACATGTTATATACAGTGTGAAACTCATATCACATTTCAAATGAGATGGGGCAAACTCGTAGATGTCCACATATGTTTTTCTTTGCATGAACATATTTTAATCATATTTGAACATATGCATGGTCTATCTCGCAATATCCTCGAATAGTACCATATATGACTGTATGTGTGCACACCAGATCCTTTGCAAATGTGCTCGGATGGGACGACAAATGATATGCATTGCACTGGGTATTAATACACACGAAATGAGATACTAATAGAAAGCAGGAATTACGAATACATTGAAAACATGTCTGGACAGTGTGTAGAGAGCATCAAGAAAGCAAAAGGAAATCATAAGAATGCGAGAGGAGTCCGTGTGCGAGGAGTCCAGTGTGAGAACTCGAAGTCTGTGTGTGAGGAGTCCAAGTCGAGCTGAAATGATTGGGATCTAGTATATTGTTCCATCGTAAGTGATCTTGTTCCAGGAGTTATTGGCAACCTGCAGTAGATTAGACCAAACCTCGCAGTCGTCAGGCAATACAACTACTTACCAGTGACGCTGACTCGTCATCATATGCCTGTCGTACCAAACAAATCAAAGCATGTACATCTGGAATAAAGTAGCGACGTACCTTTCGTTGAGCCTGGTGTGAGATCTCCATAGTAAGCACAAAATTCCTCAGTCGTTCCATTTGTCTTCAATGTCTTGAGCCATCGTTGGGCACACAAGTTGCTAAAATAAAAATCAGCATAGAGACTGATAAACTGTTGTCATTCGGACACACTTACCGTCCATTTTTAGTACTGCTCGGACGCATCTTACCCTTGGTGCTGATTTTGGTAGATCCTGTTGTAGCCTTTGAAGCATTAGCGTTGTCCGTGGTGGGGAGACCAGCACGATTTTGAGTGTTCGCCTCAGAATTGGCACCGTTGGGTGCAGAAGGGAGTGGGGAAGAGGCAGGTTCGAGAGGAAGAGGTGGCAACTGAACTTGTGATGCTGCGAGAGCAAGTGCTGCCCTACTGAAAAGTTAGTCGAGACATTCAGTGCAATAATGTCAACTTACAGCGGATTTGCAACTACAACGTTGATATGTGTCGGTGCAGCGAGGAAGCTTCGGAGGGATATTTTCTTTATTATGTAAGTCCGGGCCTAACTCGGGAGAAAGCAGCGCAGGAGCAGTTGGTAGAAGTTCAGGTGGGGAATCCGGTGTCAGAGATGCTATTGTTAGAGAGGCTAGTGTCAGAGATGCTAGTGCTATCGGAGAGGGCAGTCAGAAAGTTTGATGTCGGAGAGTCTGGTGTTGGAGAGTCTGATGAAGAATGGGAAGGTAGAGGCGAAATGACTAAAGGTGGAGTACTTGAAGTTGATGATGATGGTGTATTGGTAGTTGATATCCACGGTAGAATTGTATCAGCAGACTCGGAATCAGCTAGGAAATATTGTCAATATCACACATAACCAATAAAAAAAGCTTACCTTTCATCTTCTTTTGAGGGACTTTGGACTTGATGGAGAATTTCGCCTTCTTACACTTTTTACCTTTTAAGCTCAAGGTTTGCGAGTCACCAGCGTTTCCATCATCACTTTCATCCTCATCCTCGTTGCCGTGATTCTTCAACTTCCAGTTGCCGTTGTCAGTGAGATAGGTTCTACGCCAAGCAGAGTATGATGTGCTGGCAAGGTACTCTAATTTCCATCCATCGTTGGCAAACTTTAGCAAGGGATAGGCGTCCTCCATCAGGGTGTGAATGAGCTTTCGTCCGGAGGCAGATAAAACACCCCAAGTCTTTGGGGCAAGTTTGCGATTAGTTAGTTCACACCAGCCAGCATGGAGGGCTTTCTGAATACCCTTGACCATAGTTGCGGGAATTGAACCACCATTTTCATGCTCGAGGTAGCCTAACTTTCCACGGTCAGAGAGTCGGCCCATGAAAGTGTCGAGCCATTCAATGTAGTCGATCTGGTTCCAAAAGCGAACTTTTGGATGTGTTTGAGGCGTGGGGCGATTAGCATCATTGCTACCTAGCTGGGCAGGGAAAGTAGGATCAAAGGTAAGAGGGTTTCCAGACTGCTGTAGTGCACTGGCAAGCTGTTGAAAAATTGACCTATAATGGATGATTAAATCAAAAAAATTTAGACCGGAAAACACTCACTGGAATGCATCACGCTCAGTAGTCAGCTTGACGACCTGAATCTCCAGTGCCTTGCAGCGATCCTGCAAGGCCATCATTTGCTGATTATCCTGCATATATGCGCCCTAAAAATATGTTTTTATGAGATAATAAGTGATCCAAATATGCTCTAGTACTAGTACTCACTTGATGAAACTGATAACGTTGTAATGGCGCTGGAGCTGAATCTGTAAAAGGGTCACTGGGTAATGGCATCCCCGGAGATAGGGGAGATGGAGTATAAGGCTCTCCCCATCCGAGTCGTGGATTCTGCAAAACAGGACCATAGAAATTTCTGTCATTGGAAGAGTCACCTTGAAGTGCAAACATGCTGGATGTCGAGGACAATCACTGCGGAAACGAGTTTTTTACACCAACCGTAATCCGAGGGAGACAATGCGTATAACACGACTGTAAACGTACCTAGCTCGTAATCAGACGTAAATCCGACATGTCGCAAATTTTGCTCGCTCGGTCTGAAGCAACAGATGTAAACAGACGCTTTTCCAACTTCACCAACACACTTTTTCGGACCTCCGTTTATTCTCTTCAGATACCTGCTATTCCACCACTATCCAGCCCAGTAAATTCAACTTCTCGATGTCTGCTTAGGGTAGACTTGAAGCAAGGTGAGTTTTTCGAAAATTTCGCTAAGTCCGTAACTCGAGCGCTATGTCAAATACTATCAGGCTCGAGTTGCCAGCTCATGTACAAGCTTTTACTTTTACCTTCGAAACGATGCATCCGGGACCCACGGTGAGTACTAAGTGTATTTCTACGAGGCCACTACCATTAATCATTCTTTTGTAGAACGAGCTCCTTATCGGTGTGCTGTGCGTATTTGGTCAGTCGTTTGACCTCTGTGATAAGATATGCAACGGTCTCATTCAAATTTGGCGACTGCTCAAGTGCCCCATTTCGCCTATTCACATTCTGGTTCACGTGCGGAAGGTGAGTGGCAGGCTGTCGACCCATTGAATATAGCATCATAGCTTGATACTCCTCGCTTCCAGGAACAACAGATGGTGCCCATGAAGATGCCTCACTACCCGAGTCTCCTGCGAAATGACGGTATGGTGTTTCGCCTCGAGAGGATGTACTATTTGAGCTGAAATTCTGTGGCACGCTACCAGCTCGCATGGACTGGACGGGTGTCTGGTGTGCACCGAAAAAAGGATACGGGGATGGCTGACGCATATCGGGTGAGTGCTGCGGACTGGTGGAACGAAGCCTGTTGTTTAAATGATCTTGGTACATAGGTCCCCCAGCGAATGTGCCGCTGGTGTTGTGGTCACCGTGCTGTCCATTGCCTGACTGAATCGCATCCAGTAAGTCGCTTGACTTTTAGTGGGCGATCTACAAGCTCTTACCATCTCAAATCAAGGTACATTACCACTGAAGTATGGATCGTGTTGAGGCGGCTGATACGACACTTTCCCGGCGACCTGGGGTATATTATATTGAGGATATGCTTCTCCTGCCCCTACCAGTGCTGGCTGCTGAGAATCAGGAGCGGGAGCACCACTCGGGCGTCTCTGAGTCTGTTGGCCTTGGAACCCATACATTCTGGCATGCAAGGTGGTGGGGGATATCAAGGACCGGGGAGCATATGTGGGGACTTAGCAGGACGAGTTCTTTGATACGGCACATGTCTATTCAGAATAGAAGCGGATCCGTTTATGCATAAATCCAGACATAAAGTAGACGTGCGGATCCTTATAACCTGGTCTGATACCGAGTTGGTTTAGATACTAAGGCAACAAACCCTATCCCTGCAAATCCCTAATATTCAGAGTCGGTTTTAGTTCTCAAACGAGTACCTTTTTCGATCTAGACGGGTAGGAATATGCTTGTTTGGCATTGTCCGTTTACATTCCGTTTACAGCCTCTAAACATACATAATTCCGATCCGTTCTAAATCTCGTTTCCACAGTGAATGTAGAGAGAGAAGATATGTGTCGACTGAGCCCAATAAGATAATTCGGTACTCTGCCGGAATTCTCAGATAAGATGTCAATTCATCTAAGTCCCACAAATGCCGTTAGACGTATCCTCTGTCAGCATGCTTGAGGATGTTGTTATCATTGACATAGTCTGATTTTTTTTGTGGCCGCTCGTAATGAACATTCCTATAATACATCAAACTACTCGAGATTAACATCTTCATCATCCTCTGCATCATCGGCAAGGTTTTCATAGTATGGAATCCCAAAATTTGCGATGTCTAACCCTGGTTTTTCTAGCATGAAAAAGCGATCCTCGGTAATGCCTGATGGCAGTCTTGGTTTATGCGGGATCATTGCGATGACGCTAATGATTTTCTTGACATTGACAATGGAGACTTCATCGAGGAGTGTGCATGAAATAACTGTCTGAGATGAGAGCCATAGAAGTTGATCATCAGGGGGAGAGTACATTTGAATGACAGCAATGTTAATGAAGTGGTAGCCAGCTTCATCGTCTGGATCATCTGCGTCTGGATCAGCAACTGCTAGTCTCATATAGTACAGAACTTCAGCGAATCGAGTTTGTCCATTGATTGATAGCTGCAAGAAATAAAATTACATTAGAATGTGATGTACGACTATAGTAAAGAAGCTATACTTTGACATTACGGGATATCCATGTCTTGTCGAGGGACCTCAGCCTCTCCCTCCAGGCAGAGCGTGCAATTTGTCCATTTGGTAATAGAAGTCGTGACCATTTTTTGATGCAAGGGAGTGGGTGAATGGGTCCAAGGAAATCAGACATAGCCTGTGCTTCTTCTCCGACAGGGAGCTTTGCATACCTGTCTCGCTTTCGAAGCAAAGCATACCCATCTCCTAGATCAGCAGCAGTGTCCGAAAGATGTTTGCGAGGTTCATCGAGATCAGGCATTATAGATAGGAGTGTGTTGACCATACACTGTCATAGTCCCTGCTGTGACAAGTTCGCATATGGTCGAGAATGTTGGCGGATTTCCTGACCGAGGCTTCCGATAGTACGTTCCATTGTCCACTGGGCACTAGCAGATTGGGGGGCCCTTCTGAACTGTCTCTGTCACAAGATGACTGGTCTGGTGGATACATGGGCAGTACAAAATGCAAATGGTCCTCTCTGAGCTGATAATAGAGGGTCTCGAACTCTCGCACCCAAGTACCAAGGAGAATGAATGCACCGATGAGATCTTCTGCTGTGAGACTGTGCTGACTCATAATTTGAAACCCGCGCACGAGCTTGCAGTAATTGAGCCAATAGGGCTCAGGCAGAATGTTGTAGAGTAGTGCAGGACCAAGGCCGAAGGTATATAGGTGAAATTCCCAAGTCTTGTAGTCAGTATTCATCTTCTCGGCAATATTCTGAGGTTTTCGATCGAACGAGCCTGGGAGATATGGCCCTGCGACCTCCACAGCTTTTCCATGTGCAATCCAGCCATCTTCATCACGCAGGACAGCCCAGTCCCATGTGTCGACATTGTCGGTTGGTGCACAGTCCATTGTTCCACACCAGAGCGCAAGAAGAAGATCACTAAGGTTGCCCGCAAGATGCATTATATCGGTAGTCCATACAGAGTGGAACACCAAGGCAGTGCTGGGGACTAAGGCCAAGGATTAATGGGGGTTTTCGTGAGACCAGTGTCTGTCTTCTTGAGTTCATATTGGCGTTGGCTTGGCGCAGTCACGATAAGCTCGAGATTTTGGGCATAGTCATCAGCACCACCAAGTGGGATGGTGAATACATCTATATCGGCGTGGTTGCTTCCTTCAACACAGCGATCGCGCGGCTTCAGAAGTGCCGGATAGTAATGAGTGCCGCGAGTTTTACGCCTCCCTCTCACTCCACAATACATGCGACATCCGTTCTTGCCACTGTGCCCTACCATCCCATCCCAATACACGAGCCCTGGGCCATCTGCTGTTGTGAAAATGAGATGGAGGTCTGATTTGACAATGTCATTATGAGAGGTGTCCCAGATAGTGAGAGTTTCACGTTGGAGTGCGGCGAGATGATGCATTCCAACAACAATAAATGAGTCGACATTTTTTGGTTTATTTGGCCCTGGTATAAAGCCACCAGGGCGAACATGAACTTTTCGGTAGCGCTTGTCGGGAGACAGATTAAGAATGACCCATATATAGATCCAACAATCGGATGTCTTGCTCTCGTACAGCTGCGCACCATCAAGTGAGACCATCAGAACAATGTCATCCTGTTTGATCTCTCCAGTCAAGCACAGCACCAAGAATATCAAACCCCATCGCAATGTCGTCGACGACAGGAACCTTTCCTGTCCGCCTCAGACCATCTAGAACCTCCTGTGTTCGCTCCCAAAGGTATCGCATATGACGCGCACTCTCTGGGTCACGATACAGAGCTTGTAGCTGGGGACCAAGTGGGATAGTGACAAATTTTTGTGCTGCGACCTTCGTTCGTCCACTACTCGCTCGTAACTTTGCTTGATCCCATCGAGATAAGCCACACGTTGGACAGCTCTCCAGATGGGCAAATGGACCTGTGAACGCTAAGCATGACTCCGGGCACATGTCATGCTCAATCGATTCAACACCAGTGTGCTGGGCAATAAGCTTCTCGACATTGTAGAAACTGAGGATCTCTTCAGCACCATTAGCACCCTCAAAATTGCGCATTGTGGCTCTCCGCATTCGATTATAGGCCTCTTGAGAGCCATGTTCAAGCACAAGGTACATAGAGATGCTCTGACGCACACCAGGGCTGTCAATAATGATGGGCCCTTGAGGCGGATTCCGCAGTCTATCCAGAGCATCATCACTAAGCTTGGCAAGTGGATCGTCCAAAGACGCATTCTTGAGTGCGAGAACGAACTCCATAGAGTCCTTCATTTTCTGGAGCACAGCACGCTGTGCCAAGTTGTCGACATCAATGTTTGGTCGTGGCCTACAGGCTAGTACCAATTCAATTGGGGGGGGGCTCATGGTTGGGAGGGTGCAGAGGTTCGTCGTTGAGAGGGTGAGGAGGTTCGTCGTTGGGAGGGTGAGGAGGTTCATCGTCGGGAGGGTGAGGAGGTTCGTTGTCGGGAGGGAGAGGAGGTTCATTGTCGGGAGGGTGAGGAGGTCCGTCATCAGGAGGGAGTGGAGGTTCATCGTTGGGAGGGTGAGCAGGTTCATTGTCAGGAGGGAGAGGAGGTTCATCGTCGGGAGGGTGAGGAGGTCCGTCATCAGGGAGGGAGTGGAGGTTCGTTGTCGGGAGGGAGCGGAGGGAGCAGTTCGTCATCAGGAGGGGTCTTTAAAGAACTATGATCAGACTTATGTGTATTTGAGTATTAACAGAAAATACATACCACTTCGGTCTTGGCCCGCTTGCGTCGACCTACAAAGCGTTGAGAATCGGCACTCTCGCGCGCTCGCTTTGCAAGTGCTCGCAAGGTGGCAGCACGACGAGCACTGGCTGATAAGGACATGTCGTGGACATCACCTGCAGGAACATCCTCCAGGCCACCAGTGCTAGGCACTGGATGTCCGGAACTGCCTGAGGCTTGTACAGAAGGATCTGAAATAGGTAGCACTTTCAAACCAAAAGCCTTCGCGGTGTGCATCTTCTGCTTTTCTTCTTCGGTGGTTGCTTCATTAAGATGGCGGTACCAGGACGTGTATGAGACTTCGTGAGGCTGCCCGCGATTATACTTAGTGCAGACACAAAGAAAACGAACACCAGTCTGGTCGGTATTCATTCTAGCCTGCAAGTTAGATAGGTAAATAACTAGATACTAGTGCATATGATACTCACCTGAATTAATGAGAGCTTTTACCTCCAATGTCAGCTCCACCTAATTATGTATTTCGCCCCCTGGCACACCAAAGGGAGTTACTAGGCAAGGTGGGCAGAGCGTGGACAAAGTGTTGCTTGCGACACAACAATGCGAGGTTGTGTTGTATGCGACCTTATGCGTTACGCGTTTGTCGATACGAAGTTGCAAAAATATAACGATAAACAATGTGCGATGCGAAGGAGTTCTATGTATATCAGAAAGAAGCACTTTTCGACACAGTACAAAATAGGTAATCCGCATCTCAACATCTCTGGACCTCTCCCATCAGAGGCCGTTCTCACTGGGCATCAAGAGTCATATGCCATGTGCAATGTTCAATGAATTGCATGAGAAGTTTAGTCACAAAATGGACATCGACTCTGAGTATAAAATGCTCAATCATTTTGAAGGACTCACTACAATCACGCCCATGAAAATAGATTGCTGTATCAACTCCTGCATTGCATATACTGCAAGGTACAGTCACAGTGACCTATGTGACTTCTGCGGAGAAAGACGTTTCAATGCTCAAGGTGTGACGACTCTCGACAATTATAGTCTCAAGCAATCAGACCAGGACTCAAACAACAAACAAAGAGAGAAGAGGGAGAGAGTCACAACGATGGCCACTAAGGACAAGTGTCTGAAGAGGTTAAGTCTCGAACTCACACGGAGGGGAAGGGAGCGATAGACGTCAAGTAGATTCTCTACGGAAGGTACAAGAGGTTTAGACTAGAGAACTACTGACTACCGACTAGGGTTTATATACTATGAAAGCAATGCACGGACCAAGACAGAAACGGTAATAACTAAATAGGAAGGCGAGAATGGAAGCTTCAGGCGTAAGGGTTCGGATCATAGTTTCTGATAAGAGATCATATCTGAAAAGAAGAGACGGAGATTAAATAGAAGATCTATCTTAGATAGAGATCCAAGATCTAATGGGTGCAGTGATAGAAAGTGCTATGGTTCTAGCTCGTGGAGTGGGAGAGTCCTCAGATGGGAGATCAATCGTTGCGTTGATCGGAGATGGGGTCGGCAATGTGAAAGGTGCAATATGGGCATAGGGTATTGGCGCTTCTGTGACGGGTGATCGGAATGCAGGGTGATATATGTGACGGGCATGAAGAGGTGAAGTAGTCACGTGACTCGGGCGCTTAGTCTTGGATGCGACGTTAAGGTAAGAAAAATGATTTGTACATGGAACTCGTGACACAAGGGAAGCCACAACGTCAATTTTCCTACATGCCCCTGGTCCCTCAATTGCAGGGTCTGTTCGCCCAAGAAGATACAGTGGAAAAACTCTTATACTGCCATCAATATGACCACGGCCCCGGTACTGTCAATGACGTGTTTGATGATGAGATCTACCAGTCTCTCCAGGACAAGTTTGTGCTGGTCGACGGTATCCAGAAAAACTATAAGTACTTCTCTGGACAAAACAATATTACATTTTCTTTGGCAACTGATGGATATCTACTGTTTGGACGATATCGCAAGGGCCCATCTGCAACACCAATCCTTATCCAGATCTACAACTTTCCCCCCACTATACGCACTCACCACGAGCATCTTATTTGCCTTGGAGTCATTCCGGGACCAAAATCACCAAAAGATATTGCATCTTTCCTTGTCCCATTCGAGAATGAGTACGCCAAACTTGCCAATGGTGCTCTCACCTTCAATAGCCTTGAGAAGCAGATTTTCTGGCTCCGCGCCTATGACATTTCAAACTGGGTGATATTCTCGTGATAGAAAAACTACTGGAGATTCGTGGCCATAATGGCTTCGCACCATGTCGGTCATGTCTGATCACAGGTGTCTGAAATAAGTCTCAAAACAAGACTAATTACTATGTCCCATTAACCCCCCCTACTCAACCTAATGCTCCGAACCTACATTGGGACCCCCTTCATCTCCCCCTTCGCAGTCATGCACATTTTGAACAGGTGTTGCAGGAGATAGACGAAGCAGAGACTGCTTCAGAGAAGGAGAGGATCGGCAAGAAAAATGGCCTCCGCGCAGGCCATCTTCACATCTCTGACAGGTGGCGAGTAGGGTCAATTGACTTTGCCAAGTCATTTCCATGGGAATGGATGCACGTCTTCCTCGAGAATATTTCCCCGATGCTTGTCAAGCACTGGACTGGCAAATTCAAGGGTATGGATACTGGAAAAGAAGACTATCAGATAGCTGATCATATATGGGCCAAAATCGGAGAAGAAACTGCTGCTGCGATCATAAACATACCTGCTGCATTTGTCCGAGTCCTCGGCAATATCGCAGATGATCACTCAAGCTTCACAGCTGAATCATGGTCATTCTGGATCATTTACCTTGCCCCGACACTCCTGCGCAGTTGCTTTCTGAATGCAAAATACCACAAGCACCTTTGCGAGTTGGTGTGGATCATGAAAAAAACACTACAGTTCTTGATCACACATGCAGAGATTGATGAATTGGAATGGCGAATTGCAAACTGGGTGGTCAAGTATGAAAAGTAAGTAATCTATTGCAGGACGTGGTAGAACATGGCTGATACCATTATAAGGTACTACTATCAGCACAATGAGTCAAGATTACCAGCCTGCACTCTTCCAATTCACGGAATGCTTCATATTGCCGATGACATTCGTCAATGCGGACCTGTGTGGACCACATGGACATTCTTCCTGGAGCGCTATTGTCAGAAATTCAAAATAGCACTAAAGTCAAGAGTTCAGCCTTGGGGAAACCTCAACAAAGAAGTTCTATACATGATGTACCTTCAGCAAGTGGTCCTTCGGTATGATGTCCAAGAGGAAGTGTCTCTAAGTATTCGGCAGGACTGGTCCCAGCTAACAACACACGAGACTATTTTCAAAGATTGTAAGTGCCTGTCTAATGACGCAAGATAACAACATAAACAGTCTTACCAGATGATGATGATGTTCTTCGGCCCCCTTGAGTGACCTCATATGAACCTGACCGCAATGAGCAGGCAAAAGTTGTGTTGTATATCAAGCAACTCATTGGTGGAAGGCAAACAGTAATTCTCGCACATCTTCCAACTGTGATGGCACTCTGGAAAAAAGTTCATATCCAAAATGGTGGAGACAGTATTTGGACACACAGTGCCACCAGGGCATCCAAAAAGCAAAGAAACTCCTCATATGTTCGAGTGAGTCAGCTATATCATATGTTAGATCTGAACTTGACAAAGTTACTTAGTATGAACTTGAATATGAAGACCGCATAAATGGAGCTCTTCAAGTAGTTTGGTTGGTGCAGTATGGTCATCTTGAGAAGATATTAGTTTGCCTGTTGTCAGACAACACTCAATGGCTAGGGCTCACTGGCAAGACTCTTCTGCTTGCTCTCATTCGACCATGCCAGACCGGAGGTAGAGATGCTACCGAGGAGGAAACACGTTACTCAAGAAACCTTGCTAGCATCATCACCGACCTATGAAATGTTAAAGGAGTTGTAGGAAGGGTTGAAAGTCGTGGGGAATGGACTATCATTGACTGCAGAAGCAACTTCGCAAAACCAGCCTTCAATGGTGCTGGGTATAATACAGATGAAAGTGAGGTGGAGTAGATGTACTACGGCCGCGGCCTTTGCATGTGATTATGCTGCAGAATGACATTCCTTCTTTACCTTTGACACACCACAATGATTCATTTGGAAGCGTGATTGAGAGCAGACATGTTGACGTGAAGTTACCCAAAGGGGTGCTGTCCGCATCGTGAATGGCCTCCAAATTTGCCTCACTGCAGTTCTCAAAGAGGGACATGCACGAGGAATCCAACGTGATCCCTGCCAAATACAATTCAATAGCTTTCTCGTAATTGCTGGCAGCAACAGCCTCGTGTCCCATTGCAAGACAGCACGCAGTACAGTTTTTCTTGAAGGCTAAATGGCCTCAGTGTAAGTGTCAATATTCAAGTTGTATACAACCCCAAAGTACCCACCAGTGGACCATGCGAGGTAGCTGTCCTTCACATCCTCGTCAGTCATGCACATAGTGTATTGGTGAGATTTGACCGCTTTGATCACTCAATCGGTGAGAAGGAGTGCATCACACCTCCTTTGGTTGGCACTTTGCCATAGTGAATCCAAGTCCCAGCCAAAGAGCTGTACAGTGCAAATCATTAAAAGTGTCCTGTGGGCTTCATAGTGATGTACCACTGTGAATACCTTCAATGTAGGTTCGAAGGGCATTCGGTGAGAGGACACGTCAGTTATACTAGGCATGATATTGTTCAGTCGATTGGTGGCTTCGCTGTGCTGCCCATCGTCAAAAGCGATTATTGCAAGCTGCATGCGTAGATATGACTGAGGAGTGTGTTCGAAAGTGAGGAAACTTGTGAGGCACAACATAAAGCTCACATTAATAACACTGCATGGAAGTGTATCCAAGTGATGACAAGCAGTGGCGAGGTCTTGAACTCGCTGCATCGCCTCATCGTGGCAACCGGCATTGAAAAGTACAACAGCCTGGACAAGATGACATCGAAGTATTAGTATGACAGACAGACTCTGAGATAGCAACAAGAGTACCTTAATCAATAGCAATAGACCAGCGGTGGTTGGATCACAATTCAGAAATATGAACGCGAGATCAAATGCTTCTGTCGCATCCCAGAGCTGCTCGTTGGCGCAGAGTGCGATGGCCTTGGAAATGTAGCCCAATAGTGAGGGCCGGATAGCAATGGACTACATCAAGAAGCAGAGTCAGCACCAACAGCGTCATGATATGCAGAGCATCTGACCTTGACTGAGTCTTGAAGGGCCTTGTCCCACTCAGAGTTTTGCGCTCTTACAACAGAGCAATTGGCATACAAGTGGTGGTTATTACTCATGTTGATAACACTGCACAGAGGTGTATCCAAGTGATGACAAGCGGTGGCGAGGTCTTGAACTCGCTGCATCACCTCATCATGGCGACTGGCATTTAAAAGTACAACAGCCTGGACAAGACAGTGACATCGAAGTATTAGTATGACAGACTGATTATGAAAGCAGTTAGGAGAGTACCTTGATCAATAATAAAAGATGGATGGTCATTGGATCACAATCAGAAAATATGAAAGCGAGGTCAAAAGCTTCTGTCGCATCCCATAGCTGCCCATTGCCACAGAGGATGATGCCCTTGGAAATGTGGCCCAATAATGAGGGCTGGGCAGCAATGGACTATGTCACCAAACAGAGTCAACGTCAACAGCGTGATGATAGGTCTATATCCTACGATATTCAGATGCCAGGAGAGTCGGTGATATGGAGAGGTTGTTGACAGGTGAGATGCCAGAAGAGAGAGCTTCAGCTGCATGCATGTTGCAATTTGGCCTGAGTCAAGTGCATTAGTGTGATGAGTAAATATAACTAAAAAAATTCAGGGATGGGTGAGGGAACAGCAGCATGATACTCCACCATTCAGCTTGGGGCAAAACAGGCCATACCAGCCTCATGGTAAGGAGGGGAGGCAAAGGAGCAAATACTAGATTGAGACTTACCAATTCAACAGAATAGAATAAAAATATGAAAAATAAGAACAAAATAAAAGGCTGGAATGAGCGGGATCCGTGTGGTATAGAGAAATGCAGTGCATTGGACATTAAGAAATTATTCAGTACTTGCAGCACTGGCCAAGGGAATGCTGAAAAATATTCAGTACTCATGGCACTGGCCAAGTGAATACTGAAAAATCAATTTGATTAGTCAGTGTCACAAGTACTGATGGACGTGACTTTCACGTGAACACTGAAAATAACAGGTTTCTTTTTCAGTGATGTAGTCACTGGGATTTGTCATTCAGGTTTTCTCACGTTTACTTTCAGGGTATTTACTTCCCACAGTGACTTACTGGTAGATACGATCTCGATAATAGCTTAATGGCTTGAATCTTGCTGTGCCTGCAGCTCATGTCATTGAACTCGATATTGGTGGGCAGTGGGCACATGTTATTTGGTGTTTTTCTCCATCCCTTTCATTAAAACTCCATCGATCTGGCACTGCATCTGAGAGATGGCCTAGGTTATGTTCACATTTGAAACTTTCTTCAGCCATAAGCGTGCGTTCTCATTGGTGGAGAGGTACTTAGGCGACGCTAGGCACTATGCTACATACAGCCTGGCTTCTGTTCAAAACAAGTTCAAAACTTGTTTTTGACCAGTTCAACTTTTTTAGATGTGAGATTTAGAACGTTTCTAAATTATTACCCCTGTTCTCCTATTTGGAATAGATGGAAGATATGGATAGATCACAAGTCTGGCTACTGTCATGTGGTTATGCAAGCCGAACGAATGCAAATGGAAGGGCTCTAGACCTGGTAAGAATATAAGTAGTACTCACGATAAAATTTAAACTGTTGAACAAACTCGTTAAAGCTTCAAAAAGCTCGCTAAAGTCTTCAACAAACTCACTAAAGTCTTCAACAAACCCGGCCCGAAAGCCACAAAGACACACGGCACACAGCGGCATCAGAGCGGACTTGGAAACAACACTTAGTCAAATTTTGAGGCATGTATCTACACAAAAATATATAGATGTAGCTAGGTATTTAATGAGCGAGAAAAAACAAAAAATAAATGCGTGATGGTGAGGTCAAAAATAGGGCGCAAGAGCAGGAGCAGCGGGAAAAGCAGGAGCAGAAGGAGCGGGAGGGGTGGGAGCAGCAGAAGGAACGGGAGCAGTGGAAGGAGCAGAAGGAATGGGAGCAGCGGCAGAATGAACGGGAGCAGCGGCAGTGGCAGAAGGAACAGGAGCAGCGGCAGGAATGGGAGCAGCGGGTGCTAGCAGGCGAGGATCAATTTGTGGATCAGTGAATGGATGGCTAGGAGGAGCAATATGAGGGGGGGGCTGAGCCCTGGTGGCACCCCTGGTATGTGCGGAGGGGCCACTGTAAATAGATGGCAGTAATGGGGAGGAGAATGCTTCTTGACAACATGAGGGGGGCTGAGCCCTGGTGGCACCCCTGGTATGCGCAGAGGGGCCACTGTAAATAGATGGCGGTAATTGGGAGGAGAATGCTTCTTGATAGTCGGTAAATGGAGGAAATGCCATGCCTGACCTAAGTCCCTGCAACAAAAATCAGTGGTGAGAGGGGCAGAAAAATGACTCACATTTGCATCCTCAACCTCCAATCCAGCGCCATATTATCCCTCCCCACTATCCACCTGCAGGATTGTGCTGGGAAGGTGCAAGGGGAGGCCAAGATTCAAGCTATTGAATGCACGGAGGTCTGAGGGACACAGATGCCAGCTGGCGCTAACTGTGGCAGAGATTTAAAACTCCAATTTAAACTCCGACTAATCAGTTGGATATCCAGTGTACTGATAAGAAAATACCCCCCTCCCAAGTCACAGCCATGCCTCATCAGTCCACACGTACAGACCTCCTTCATACCATTGATCAGGCTTCATTGGCATTAGCCAACTCACAATATTTGAATATACTCCTAGACGACCAGGACACAGACTCTGACTCTGATACCAACTCAGATTCACTTTATACTTCAGATGGTGAAGATCTGACTTTTGCCTCCCCATCCCCCATATCCTCAATGTCCCCAATGTCCCACCTTTTGGGCCTCAGTTCCAGCCACAGTGACACATCTGATGACTCTGATGATGTTGCTGTGCATTATGACCGGCTCCAGCACACTATTGCTGCTCTTCGTGATGAGGTTGAGAGGGCCTGTATATTCCACAAGCCTGACCAGCCTCCTCCTCAAGCACCTCAGCTGCATATGCTGGTTCACCACGAGGAACACCACCCTCATTTGTTTCGCCAGAAACTCTGTGTCAATCCAGAAATATTTGATGATATCCTTGACCAGATCTCCGATCATCCTATCTTCCACAACCAGTCCAACAATCCTCAGCTCCCAGTCTCCATACAGCTGGCCATTTTTCTAAATCATGCAGGCCATTATGGCAATGTCATTTCACTTGAGGATGTTGCACAATGGGCGGGTGTAAGTGTTGGGTCAGTCGTCAATTGCACTAACCATGTGATGGTCGTATTGCTCGAGGAGCATGATCAGTTTATCTTCTTCCCAGAAGATAACTCTGAGGATACTGAGCTGGCTCGGTGGTTTGCTGAGACACAAACCTGTCTGGAGTGGAGGGGTGGCTATCTAGCCATTGATGGCTTGACTATGGATCTTTTCACCAAACCTGCCTATTTTGGTGAGACATTTTACGATAGGAAATCCAAGTATTCCCTTGGCTGTCAGGTAATGTGTTTTTATTTATTTTTCATGGATAGTAATTTAATTTAATTCTAGGCAGTTATTATGCCCCATAACCTCATGATTGTGGACTATTCTCTTGGTCAACCTGGGAGTGTCCACGATGCATATGCATTTCGATCCACTCGCCTCTATGAAGAGCATGCCAACCTTCTCCCAGATGGTCACTGGGTTTGGGCAGACAGTGCATATCCACTGGAGCCATGGTGTATCCCCCCATTCAAGAAGCCTCGCAATGGACGACTGACAAAGAACCAGAGGACATTTAACTATCACCTTTCTAAGGTATTTTTCATTTTTTGCTGTTTTTATTATTATTAATGAATTTAAAGAGCCGTGTACGTGTTGAGCACGCATTTGCAGTCTTGAAAGGGCAGTTCCAGTCTCTCTGAGAGCTCCACATCAATATTCAGGCAGAGAAGGACTTGCAGGTTGCTGTGCATTGGATTAAGTGTTGTCTTATCCTGCACAACATGATCATCCACTTCGAAACTCATCGTCGCAAGCAGGACAAAGACTATGATGAGTCTCTGGAGTGGGCTCATACAGAGGGTGAAGGTTTTGTCCCTCAAGAGATTGAGGATCCAGAGGGTAATGAAATAGTAGGTGACAGATCATACGAGGGAACCCCTGGCCAGGCTACTTGTGCAAGGCTCATGGATCAGCTCTTTGACAGCCCTAGATCAAGAGCACAACATAGGGAAGGATAGGCACCATGTTCACATTCACCAATAATACATGTACTACTACTAGTACATCTTGTACAACACATGTAACATCAATCAAACAAGCACAACATAGGGAAGGATGGGCAACATGTTCACATTCACCAATAATACATGTACTACTAGTAGTACATCTTGTACAACACATGTAACATCAATCAAACAAGTACTTGCAGAAAAAAATGAAATTGATGAAGTCAGATAGCAACAGCAGTAAAAAAACACAATGGCAGAGAACAGCAATGATGATACATAGCAAGGGGAACAATGACAGCAAACATCTCAGGTATCTCCAGATGCAGAAGCTTTACCACCACCCTGCGTCATCTGGTGAAATTGAATCTTCAGGCACCACATTTCTGCCTCCTTGTCAAGCGCTAAGGCCTGGGCCTCATGCACTCGGACATCCGTCTCATGAAGGCAAATTTCAGCATCCTTAGTCTCCTGCTCTCATTGATGGCTGGCAACAGCTTGCATGGCCTCATGCGCACACACTTCGCAAAGGTACTCATTTTTCTTGGTCTCCCGATGGTAGTCCTTCTTCACGTTGAGCTTCGCAAGGAAGTGTTCGTGCTTGAAGCTATGGCGTGATGCAACATCTGATTGAAGACTCTCGATCCCGTCATTGACCCTCTTGACTTGCTCCTGGATGTCCGATTTCGCTTTTTTCTTCTTCGACCCTGCGCTCTTCGGTGGTGGTGCTGATAGCGAGGTCTGGGAGGTTGTCGTCGATGAAGGTGTTGACGAGCTGTGAGTCATCCCCAGTGACAACGACGCAATAGATGACGGTCTGCATTGTGCGTTGTGGCCGGAGGGCCCCTGAGTGCTGAACACTGTATGGCTGTCATAGAAAGGCATTGCTGACTTCTGGGAAGCTGCAAAAGGGGTGGGGGGGTCAGGAGGAGGAGACGGCAATGATGGGAGTTGTCATTTCTTCCCAGCAACCTTCGGAGGGCTGTTGAGGTCAAAAATAGGGCGCGGGGTATCAGTATCCATGTGGTCTTCATCCAAGTGGTCTAGCGCGTCGCCAAGAGGGGAATGGAAGGCGGAAGAATATAAATTGTCATCGTCAAGGTCAGGATCATGGTCCATGGTGATATCTGAGTCAGCATTGGGAGGTATGGGAGCAGCGGGGAAAGCGGGAGCAGAAGGAACGGGAGCAGTGGCAGAAGGAACGGGAGCAGTGGCAGAAGGAACGGGAGCAGTGGCAGCGGCAGAATGAACGGGAGCAGCGGCAGGAATGGGAGCAGTGGGTGCTAGCAGGCGAGGATCAATTTGCGGATCAGTGAATGGACAGCTAGGAGAAGCAATATGAGGGGGGGGCTGAGCCCTGGTGGCACCCCTGGTATGCGCAGAGGGGCCAGCCCTGCCATGCGGATGCACTAGGCTGTACATGTCATCGGTGTGGTCAATGCCGGGCTTGGACAACGTAGTTTTTGCTGCAAAGGAGGGGTTTGAGTGCCAGATGGCGTCAAGTTCATTGTACCATGGAAATTCACGACAGACTTCTTCTAAGAAATTGAATCAGTCAAACCTCTAAATGAATCAATAAGAACACTTACCTTGTAGGTTTTTAGCAGAGGCATCATCAAGAGGGACTACACCAGCACCAGTTGCAGTAAACTTAGCCTTAAGGGGCTTGTATTTGTTTTTAAGACTAAGGGATTTTATCAGCGCATAGTACAAAAAAATAAATGCTACATACCTGGTGATATGGTTGTTGACAGAGTCGCGAAATTTCTTATGACTGTTTGCATATTCAGACCCATATTTTGCGTGATGTTGAAAGATGACCTGGGCAATAACAGAGCAGATTTGAGACTTATCCTTTCCTGAGGGACGATCAGAAGAGTTTGAATCCAGAGATTTCTTGCCATCAGAGTAGAATAAGATATGACAGTTGGGAGGGTGTTCAGTGAGCCAGGTGACCAAGGCATCAGTGAGAGTGTTGTCACTCTGCCACTGAATCGTCATCTTGGGTTTGGGATTGGGGGGAGGTGGTTGTATCCTTGATATTGATGGCTCGGGATCCATTGCTTTAGATCTGGAGCGCACTGGAGGGTTGCCTCCAAGTCGTGCAGAATGACGGAGGCGTTGGCGAACAGCAGGCATATTTAGAACTCAGCTACGATGCCGGCCTGACTTCCAAACTTGCAGCATGCGGCTGTGCTTGATTACAGCCTTTAGCAAGCTTTAGCAAGTTTGTTCAACTGTTTAAATTTTATCGTGAGTACTACTATAATCTAAGGGTATGTTAGCTCTTTTTACGTAGACGGGAATATAACGACTTACATCTCAGTTTCAAGTAATGGACTGAGATGTTCTAACAAAAACTCATAGGTTTATAGTAGGTTAGCATAGTGATAGAAAAACATAGCGTAGCATAGGAAATGACACTTTTATATTAGTTTTCTCAGCCGACATCATTGCGTCGTTCTTCGCATTCTCAGGTTGCACTTGTATTGTCTCACTCTGGTATCTCCTGCTCAGACTTCATTCCAGAATCCAACACGTCGGAAGCTAGATCACACACCAGAATGCAAGCAATCATTGATCATTGATCCCGAGTCTGGGTTCTACTCAACCACGGGTCTGTCATGGTTTGATTGTGAATAGCATGCCACATCTGTGTAGCTGGCCCTGGCAAGCATGTAGATCTTGAGCTGCAGTACTTATCTTTGGCGCTAGTGCATGCAAACAGGCTATGCTACTTGGGTGTACATGGTTCATTTTCACTGCAGTACAGGGAGCGCCCGCAAACCACTTGATATCAACACATAGTTGTTATGATGGCAGACATCTTGGACCAAACTAGCTGGCTCTATCAGGGATCACCTCAGACTTTCCTGCCTCTGTTGTTCCATTCCACTAGCTTTACTTTGCAGCTAATATTTTTCTCATATCAAGAGCATCGAGGGCTAGCGTTGACAGCACCCCACTTCAAAGTGCCAATAGCGATGAGCAAGCTCCACCTGAGCATGATACCATAGGGCCCACCAAGGAGTAAGTTAAGATATCCTGGAATCTATCCCTCATTTGACAGCAGGACAGGGAGAAGGAAAATTGTGAATCTTCAGCAGTGAAGGAGTCATCAGGGATGTGCGTATTTCTGCCCTGATGATTCTGGGTCCTCCTTAGCAGGACTTCAGCTCGAACACCCCTTCCCAGCCATCAGACCCTCACATACAGGAAAGGTCTTCCAAGATTTCACCTGACGGTGGCCTAGCTCTGTAAGTTCCACTCAATGACGATGCCAAACAAGCTCACAAATTATGTCAGTGAGGTGGAAAAGGTCGAAGTGCAGACAGAACAGCCAAATCTAAGTCATGTGTGAGTGAAAAAATTCAAGACACGCGATCACAGCTGACGATATAGCTACAGATTAAACGTGATGGAGCGGGTGTTGGGTGTTCTCCAGGACTCAACAATTGCCTTGAAGGGTGGCAAGGATGACCGCTCTCGTTTCTGGGGAGTATACAAAAGGATAGCGGAGGAACACAACGGCGAATTCCTTGAGCAATACAATGGCAACATGGATATCGTGTTGGTCTTCGTAGGTTTCACATGCTCATCTATAACCCGTCTGAGACTGATGTTCGATAGTCCAGTCTTTTCTCTGCTGTTAGCACAGCTTTTATCATATCTATGGAGTATAAGCTCAGTGCTGACCCCAGCAACACCACCAATGCCCTTCTCACGCAGCTGGTCCAAATTGAACTTAGCAACATCGCTGAAGCAGGCTCTACCCCCGCAGTGCCAGCATCTACGTTTTCACTGACAATGTCGGATATAAGAATCCAAATGGTCGCATATGCAAGCTTGTCCATGAGTTTGCTCACTGCGTTCGGGGCCGTACTAGGCAAGCAGTGGCTTGGGTACTACAAGTCAAACAGATACAGCCGCGGGTCGCAGGAGGAACGAGGGAAGCACAGACAAGAGAAGTTTGACGGCATCATCACATGGTACTTTGATGCTGTCGTGTAATCGTTTCCGATCCTACTTCAGATCTCCCTTCTTCTATTTGGGATCGCCCTCAGCGCCAACATTTGGTATGAGTAGTCGATGATTGCTTGGGTTGTTATTTCAACAACGGTCTTCGGGTTCTTGTTCTATTCCTTGACTGTGATGGCATCGTTGATATCACCTGCGTGTCCGTTTCAGACGCCAATATCGACGATTTTGCATGTATTTTGCATCAACAGTGAGTGCTCTTGTGATTTCTGGTGGTCGTTTCCAGTCTGAATCACATTGCAGGAGTACTACGGCTGGTGTTCAAACCAGCATCTAGGTATTTCCAACAGTTCACGACCTCGGTCTACGGCGAGTTACATTTTCTTACGCACACACACATTTTGACCGTTGTTGTTAGGTGTACTGTAGCGGCTGTGCGGTACCCTCATGTCAAATTGGACCCGATTATCTGGAGCACTGGCAGGTGATGTTCTTTGGTACTATCGCATAGGACACCCAGCGCTTATTTCGCTCCACAGGCACTGTGTTTGCGGTCGGCTCATTCGCACAGGGCTGTCTCCAGCCATCATTCAGCGCACTTCGTCACCTGATATCCTCCCTGGGTTCTTTGATTCTGCCCACTCGGACAAAGGTCACAGACTCCGAAGCACAACTGCTGGACCAGAGCGTGTCAGTCAATAATCAATCCCCCTTTAACCTCAACCTCCCAGAGATACCCACCAGTTGTCTCGAAGCACCTAGCATCCTGTGGCTGCCCGAGACATCCACTGATCCTGAAGTATTTCTGGCTGCTGCTAGCCTTGTTCTGCTGGTCGAATGGCCCCTGGACCTTGATGTCTCAAACATGCTGCATCAGCTGTATGATATTTACACGCGCTGCTTGGACGTTCAGGAGCACATTATACCATCATTGAAGGAGAAGGCATTGGCATGTACAATGGCTCTGAGTCATCTATACTGTGAACGAGTTCTTTGGGAACATCCTGGCCATGGTGAATTTCTTGTCCAGGGGAGCAGAGACTGTGGGGTGTTCGCACAGATGTGGTGTCAGTGTGCGATCACAGATCGGGCGGTGCTTACCACAGCTGCCCAGCTGTCTGTTCCGGACAGTCATCCATTCTTGGGGTTCGCTTTACAACACCGACTGCCGACCAGTTTTGACTCTGTCCCTGTGTGGTTATCACATGCTCTGCCTTACCACTTTTTCACTGGACAAGCAGACAAAGACATAGAAACACTTGCCATAGCAGTGATATCAAAACTGCTATCCTCTCCATCTCCGCCGACTCAAATCATAGCCAATTGCACTTTTCTTGCTTGCCTCATGGTTGGGGTTCAGTTTGATAAGAAGGACATAGTTCGGGTTGATAAAAGGTGCTATTGGCTCATTCGGTCTCTTCCACTATGTTTAATGAAGATATTATGTAGTTCTGCTCTGCCTCGACTCGCGGAGCCTCTCTTGCAGCAGTTCCAACAAGCTCTCTGGGCATGCGATGCAGGCAATCTCGACAGCGACAGCACAGGAGTTGCACGCCGAGCATGGAAACTCCTCGATGTCATCTGTCCCATGCTCAAACTTGTTACATCTTATGACCGTTCACTCCACACAATGTGGAACCTGAACATGTGCAAGAGGATTTATTCACGAGCGACGTCATCCAAACAGGATGATCCATCAGGTTCATGAGCAGCTCTGCGAAATGCACTGCGCTTCACATTCACCGCTGCCAAGGTATCCCAGAACTCTGCCAAGGGGTATAGTCAGTTTCGGCTGTCCAAAGGTGATTCCCACTCGCCAGAAGACTTCGACTGGCTGGTTGATTACCTTGACCACATTTATTCCGACGACCACGAGATGGCAGGTGACATCCTTTTGCTACTGGGTCACATGGGAGTGACCTGCAGTCCTGCTAAACAATATCTATTTACCAAGAGGCTCGTCGCCTGCATGGGCAGCAGCATGCCTCATAGTTTACGTCATGCTGCCCTTTGTGCTGCTCACAGTGCCTGGGAAGTCTTTGCCTTGATCGATGTCATTGATGATGTGATGCTACAGGACATGGTTTTCACCAAGTTCTCCCCTGCTGTCCTAACCGCGGTTTCTCTGTGACAGGGTGCAACACCCGCTGATGATGGTTCTGACTGCACATTTGATTATGGCTGCAACATGCACTATCTCGAACTGGTCTTTGCCCTCGCAAGGAATGCCAACTGGCACCCCCATTTGTCTAGGGATGGCCATATAGATCAGTGCATTAGCATGATTGCACAGTGCTGTGAATTATCCGAGTCAGAGCATGCATTTTACCTAGCTGGTATCTTCCTCCGAATCGCATCTGAACAGGCGTCAGTTACACCCCTCACTTCTATCACAGAGCAGCATTGGTGGGAGGTGACAAGATGGGCATGGGACTCTGCTTACGATACAACTGGCAACATGCACTGCTTCGAGTTCCTTCCCGTCCTTGTGGAAGGGACAAAGAAGCATATAGAGATTGCTCCGCAACCCAATCTCGAGCAGCTCATCAAAGTTCTGGATCATTTGCTGAGGTGGAATTCAGAGCAGAGGGAGGGTGTCCTCATTGTTGTGAGAGAGTTGAGGGCTGTAGCAAGTGAGAAGCTTGAGAAGCTTGAGAGGTCCGGTCAATAGTTTTTGGGCAGGAAATATGTTATTAGTCCCCTGATTATCACGATGCTCACATATTCTGGGATCGCAGGAGGGCATGGTGAACAGTGCAAGTGCAGAAGGTAGATGAGATGAGAAGCAGCAAGCAGCAAGACTTGAACAAATTTGATGACTCTAAATTGATGGACGCACAACTGCAATGAACACGAGGGATGTGATGCAAAGACTCGGGACACTGGCACATAAAACATTGTCAACAGCGATTCCTTGTCGCTACAACTGGACGCCGTCACCTGCAAAGTTTTGTACCTGGCTGCCCGAGTCAACCATTTATCGGACGAGATCCTCATACCATACCATGAAGAAATGTAGAACTGCACTAGATTTTCTCAAGTCAGCATCGTTGACATGCCACAAGTGACTTTACATTCACTTCTGCCAGTGTGCCTGTCCGCTAAACCTGATCTCCATCGAGCTTCCTGCAAGTCAAGCAAACAACTGAACGATACATGGTGAATTAAATTGGGGTAGGATGTCATTCACACATATATTTCAAATTGTTCGTTGCACTAGACAAGGTAGTTGCCTTTGTGAATGCATGTTGTCTTGCACGCATGCGCTTCAAGTTGCTCGATACGATATGAAGACAATGGATGGGAACTTTGGCATGGATTGACCATCATCAGCCCTTGGTGAGGCTCAGTCGTTTATATCATGGTGATGATCTTGCCATCGAGTTTTGGTCAGCGGAAATGAGAGTACTGAATAGGACAACGCACCCTATAGAATAAACCCTTTCACGTCTTCTAGGTCGAGGAGACTATATCTTAGGCGTTTGTCAAGAGCGCAAACCACCGCCAGTGAGAGCAACATTCTCCATTGGCAAGTGAACTGCTTCCAAGTGCCCTCAGCACTCTGACCACCATGTGCATTCAGTACTTTCAACTAGCAGTCTTTCATAAAAAAATATCAGTGAGGTTGTAGGTTGGAAATGCAAAATCTACCTCAATGCTGTACAGAAGTTCGGCCCTTGGAACTTGAAGGGAGATTGAGTCAGACTGCTTAGCATAGCTTGCAATGAGCATTTTTCATATCGGTTATTAGCGACTTGACGGGCTTGAGCTCGACGACCCCCAATCCTCCCAGTCACGACTGTTTGTTTACATAATGTTGCTCTCAGTATCAACACCAGACTAGAATGCCATCACAAGTTGGGGTACTAGTACTACCTGATCGGTGATTGCAGAACCTTTCTTTTTCACTCGAGTAGTCTCATCGCATTCACGCTTGCTCTCACTCTTTTCCCTCTCACACTGTACCTCACAAGCTTCTGCAGTGGAAGTAGATCTTTTGTCTGTACACATCACCAAAATTGCTCAAGCTATACATAGCTAGAAATGTCGGTATCCAACAATGGCTAGGGCGTCACACATGTCAGCGATGTCAGCCGAAACCTGGCCCTGTCTGACAATCCCTATGAACTCAAGTGATGATGTCAACTGAGGTTGACATCGTCGTCGCTGTTTAGATATTTTGTATCACGCAGACTAATAAAGATATTGAGTGCTGCTCAGACTTATTCAGACATTTTTTTCTCCTTCAGATACAGCACGATATTCATTCTCTTCCATCTAGTACAAGTTATTAGAGTGCGAACAAGGTATTGTAAGTCGACAATGAGGGATGCAGTGCGAGAATGATGGGAATGACAGCAGCGGGAAAAAAAGCACAACTGAGAGTTCTAGATGCAAGGGTGGCAGTTATTTCTTCTGCTTCTTCTTAGCGGGCTGGTATCTAGTGGCAACAGCTGCCTTGTGCTTGGTTGAACACCTTGGAAGTTCAGACTCATCATCTGAAGCCTCAACTGCCGGTGCCTTGGACTTGCCCTTGCCACATTTGGCTGATGCTACCTTTCGCTTCTTCGGCTTCGGCTGGGATTCTTCTTCCTCATCGGAGGTCGTCAGTTCACTGCCAGGTGTGTCGCAATTGGCTTGCAATAGAGTCTTTGCTGGTGATGCTCACTGTGGAGCTGGAGCTGGTGATGGTGGTGGAGGGGGTGCTGATAAGTTCTCCCAAGCAGCCAATGGACTTGACACAGCTGGCTTGGTTGAATGAGCAATAGGACGTGGACATGGGATGCTGCGAGCCGGTGAAGAAGGTGGAGGTGTCCTTGGACAAGGGAGTGAGTTCTCTCGAGTGGGAAATATACTTGGCTGTGTGGGACGACGTGGGCTCCTGCGAGCTGGTGAAGAAGGTGGAGGTATCCTTGAAGGAGGGGGCAAATTCTCTCAAGTGGGCAATGGGTGAAGTAGAGGTGCAGCTGGGCGCTCTGAGTCCATAGTGCAAGTCTTCGCTGCAGCATTGCGAGCTGCCATTTGTGCGCGCAGGCGGGCCAAGTCGCTGCCACCCTTGCGAGCACCCGAGGGTCCAAGCTCGTCAGCACTGTCTTTAGCCACATCACGTCCAGCCTTGTTCTTGAATAGTTTGCTGATTTTACATGATAATAGTACAATGAAAAAATGGGAAGGATGGCTTACAGGTTCCAGTCCTTCAACAATTGTTCCTTGTCATCGTCAGGTAAGTCGTTGATAAGCTCAATGATGTGGCGGTAGAAGTCGTGATAATTGAAATCACCGTCCTCCTCGGTCCATGTATTTCTGGAGCTGATTCCAAATCGGACCTGGGAGACATCAATGTGAGCTATGAGTGATGACAGTGATGACGAACCTGTACACAGCCATAGGCAATGTGTGGTGGTTCAACAGTAGTCATAGTGTGCAATGAAGCATTGGATGGACGTGTCCCGCGCGATTGCGCACCATACGCAGTCGAAGGGCCTGTGAATATGTGTCTCATGGTCTGGGAATAATGTGAGAAGCATAAATAAGGGAGTGATAGCAATACCCACACGCTCAAGGACAAAGCCGTCAAGAAAACCGTCCATCATGTTGTCCGGGTCATAGTTGCCTCCAGGCAGATCACCATTCCAAAGAAAAGCCAGAAAGGCGTCTGCCTCCATGCGAATTTTGCCGCTTTGCAGCCATTCAATTGTACTAGTAAAGTAAAGTGTAGTAAAGTTAGCAGCACATTTAGAAACAAATGAACCTTACATTGTTGGGTCCTCATTGAAATTTTCAATCTCACCCATCAGGCAGAGAAAGCGGGCCAAGACTGGGTGGTTTACACCCAAATGCGTGCGTCAACCACTGCCATTATGGAGAGGCGGCACCACGGCTTTGTCTGCTGGATTTGGAGCCATGTAGTCGCAAATCTGCATCTTCAAATGTGTCAAGTCATCTGAGCGAGTGCCCGAAATGGCAGATTCCATCTAAAATCCAAGTTAGAAAGCACTGATGGGTGCATATATGCGCATATACTTACCTTTCAGATGATTCTCCTGAGTTCCGAGGCTTTCTTCGGGTCTTTCGAGCCGGCTATGAGAGGTTTCAAGCCCAGTGCAAGCTCTAGTAAGTGCTTATAGTTCTGCTGGTACCTATCCTGTGTTTTCTGAGATCTATAGGAGGGAAAAATTAGTCCATCAGTGTCAGTAAGATACTTCCTAGTCATACGGTTTTGATAACTGCTTCTCTCGATGAGCTGCTTCATCCTCATCCTCGGATACCTCTCCAGAATTGGCGAGTTCACGCTGTTTCAGTAGGGTGCCAATGTCGATGACCTTATTGATCTTGCAAAACATGTCAATGCATCGCGTGATGCAGCGCGCAGCTGCAAGGTACTCTTCATGCAAATCTGATTTCGATTCTTTCTTGTCAGGCCTATCGACAGTGAGAAGCAAGGGCTCAAGATGGATATGTAAGGACTCACTTTCATTTCTCATCATCGGACTTTGATGAATGTGATTTCTTCTGCTTAGTAGAATGCTTGCGAGTGGGTCAAGAGTGCTCTGAGTCACTTGAGGATGAGCATGACAATTCTGATGGACTTGGGGAACGCCTCCGACGCACCATAATAGTTGAAGGTAAAGGAGGGGTACAGGGTTAAGGGGAAGATTGGGGCATATCTTTTTGGGGCAAGTCGTGTGATTATGGACTTCACATGATTTTAAATTCAATGCGCAATTTACTGCGACAACAAGAAATACAATTTAATGGTATGACTGCAAGTAATACGAGAGACAATGTCCATGGGAAGTGATATAACAACAGTGCATGAAGCAGGACAAATGCGAAGCGAGACAGCAAGTACAGTAATACAATAACAATAATGATAGAGTGCGAGAAACGATTGCAGGATTTAGTCTAACTTTAATGCTGCTACAGCAGCGGGTAGTGTCATGAATGCGTCAACATGATTGAGTGGCACTTCGGCAGACATCTTCCTGAAGCCACGACGAGGGGGCCAAGTATAACTGTTCTCCTGCTCAAACTTCTCCCGTAAGGCGACAACTGAAGGAGGGTCCTTAGGGATGCCATGTAGTTGCATGGGTTTCACACTGAAGCGCTGAGGTGCATCCCTATAGTTGGGGTCAATGCAATAATCAAGATAATGTCATGAATGCTCCCTACTGCATCTAAATTTCGATTGTCAAACCCTAAGTCACCGATCCGATAAGATTAGATTAGATAAGATCCCTGATAAGATAAGATGGATAACCGATTAACGATCACTATCTTCAATTCACATCTATACTACATCAACGTTATCCATCTATATCCGTAACCCTAAACACTCGACACTCATCACATCCTTAGAAGTCCTACGATTAGGCAACCGGCTACATCATAAGCATCTACACACCTCTATGATCGAACCACAACCAAGAGTCCCTTACGAGCCGTCTCTCAAAGTCATCATCTCTTCACATCGCATACCTTCACTTTCCACACATGACACATTAAGAGTTACCTCTGTCATTTCACCGAACCCCTTACATTGGAACCTGTTGCACAGTCACAACTAAAACCCTGAACCCCTATCACAGAAGCGCCACTCATAAAGAAGCATGCTCATTACCGAAGACCCTGGAGAAACCCTTAGATCCAATCATACTCGATACATCTCCAGACCCTACCTCCTATCGAGATCCTAAATCACCGCTCGAGACTTCTTGTCACAGAACTCTCTCACTCCTCTCTCCATCCACCCTGAACAGAAGCAGTACCCTGAGACCCTGCTTAATCACCGATATCCCTAAAACCTATGGACCCTTTCTTGTAGTTGATTGGTTGGTAAGAAGCCTTATACTCTAGGTGCAATGTTATGACCGTATATAGATATATCACCACCTTTCATACTCAGATATCTCCGACCCAAGTATAGTATATAGTCTAGGTAGTAGTCAGTAGTACTCCTTAGACTTAACCTCTTCGTTCTTATGTCATCATAGACCTAGACGTTCCCTCTCAATACTATCCTCCGTTATTCTTCCTCAGACGAGTCCTGTGGTGTGGTCCGATCTCCAAACACCTACTAGTTAGGTTAAGGGACGTTGGTCATAACAGATATACAGGGAAAAAAAATGTACTTGGACATTGCCTCACAGACCATGGTAACATCTGCATCCTCCTTCCTTGCTCCCGCTCCCTCTGCCTCGTCTTCACTATCATCATCTTTGGTTGATCGAAATTTCGATGCATCCTTCAAGTGCAAAATAAGCTTCTATAATGTATGTATCAGTTGTATTGAGCAATTCAGGCAGTAACAAAATTACTTACCAGCGGTCCTGGATGCTCAGGCGTGAAATTTATTGTGTAAGTGGGCCATCCGGCAAGAAGATTATCGACCTCCATGACGACGACATTGTCATGAAAAAAGGTGGTTCGGCTGGACAAGTCAAGAGGTTGGTGAGGATTAGAGACATGCATTGGAAAAAGCGAGATGAGTGTATGAGTCAACTGCAAGTGTGGCGGGCTTTGAAAAAAAAGTATTTGCAAGTTCGAACTTCCCGTTTTTGTTCCTCAGTTAGTACCACTGGGTTCCCGCTCATTCCAGACTGCCAATACGAGCACCATGCGTGGCTCCCCTCAGCGGGACACTTTCAGAAGCTTAGGCTCTGATCCATGACCGTCTGCCATTATCTTGCGTGTCTAGGTCCCTGAGCATCAAAGGGCGCCCTGGGAACACTCAACTTTTTTTTCCTACTAACTTTTCATTTCATTCTAGTTTATATTACTACTCATGAGGTGCTGGCAGTGCTGTAGGTCGGCACACTAGCACCTGTGTCATCTTTATCTTTCGCTCACTTGTCATCGACCTGTTGTGACCGCACTGTGTGTGCCAGTTCACTCACTCATCATCGACCTGTCGCGACTGCACTGTGCATGCTGGTTTCTCTTTCTCGGCAGGCTGATGCCTCCCTCTGTTCAGAATATGTATGACCGCGTTTTGGCAGGCTGATGCCTCGATCTGATACAAGGATGGTGAGTATCGTCCTGGTACCTTCAGTGTTTACTATTACTACAATGACGAGCTCGGTCTCAAATGTATTTTAAACTATCAAAATGATATCTGATTTTGTTACTGATATTGCCTTAAGAGACTCAGGGTGTGGTGGATCACCTCACAACACCCTCATGATCCTCTGCGTGCGTGCACTGCTTATTCGTGGTGTTTATCCACGGTGTCGGCAGGTATAATAGCCTGCATGTCTCTGAGTAGCAGATCCAGCATCGACTGTCTCCTTCACTTGCCTCCTGGCCTCGATGGATGACCTTGCTTGTCTAGGCTGTGGCAAGACATTTTCTACTCAGAAACGTCTGAGCAGTCATGAGGCTCAGTGTGCTGAACAGCGCACTCTCAAGAAAAGCCTCAACAAGAAAAAGAGGAGAAAAACACACCACAATGAAATGCATGATGACATGCATGCGATGCACGAGGAACCGATGGGTATCAGAGATGACATGCCAGCTGATGACATGCAGGTAAGTTTGGCGTGATGATGTAAAGTGCTACTGACATAAATTTCGCCAAGTTTGATGATGGTGGCATGGCTGGACCTTCTGGCATGTCGCCCCACGGTTCGGTTCTCCTCCGTTGCCAGAACCATTACCTCCCAGCCCTGTCCCTGCTGTCCATTCGGCTCGTTCTGGTCGCAGGATACACATGCCAAATCGCTATGTGGATTACCTTCCAGGCTCCGCGACTCATCTTGAGCACATGCCTCCAACTCGGCAACAAGCTCGTGGTCGCCAATTAGCTCAGGCTGATGAGCCAAATGTGGAGCCTGATGTTCCACAAATTGACCAAGACATTGACCATCAGCATCCACAGCTCATCCCTTTCGAAACAGAGCCTGATTCAATGGGTCTCTACCGTATCTACCCCACAACCCCTACCTTAATTCCCAAGGGCGGAGGTGCACTTGATAGCATTTGTGATGCTCCCATGTTGGATGCCACAGGCAACGCGGCTGAGCAGGCTTCTCATAGCCTCACTGGCGTCCCACTTCCACCACCTGAAATCACACGCGATAACCTATATGATGCCTTCAGCAGTCCAACAGCAGGTCTTCTGATGTGTTGGCATTTCTCTGGCTCAACTGCAAAGTCAACTGCAGAAATGTACCATCTCATGACATTTCTCGATGATGACGAGTATAAACAAGAGGACTCAAGGATATTCAACATCCTGCGCGAGAAGAAGCTCCTCAAAGACTACCTTGCAGATACCATGAATCCCTTCCGTGCAGAGAACGGCTGGCAGAAGTCATCGGTCAAGATACCTCTACCGAAAGAGAAGAGAAAATGGCCCTCCGAAGCAGATTCCCCCCAGCTTGAAATCAAGGGAGTTCATCACCAATCGCTGACCAACATTATCACCTTGGTTTTTGAAGACAGTGTGTCGTCGACATTCCATATGACACCCTTTCAGCAAATGTGGAAAACCCCCAATGGGCGCAATATAGAGGTGTTTTCTGAAGCCTACTCATCCGCTGCAATGTTAGAGGCTTATGCTGAGGTCAATTCTCTTCCTCGAGAAGCTAACGACAATCTCGAGCATGTTGTGGCTTCACTCATGATGTGGTCTGACGCGACACATCTTGCTAGTTTTGGTGACGCATCCCTCTGGCCATTCTACCTTTTCTTTGGCAACCAATCAAAGTACACCCGCGGCAAGCCCACTGCTTCAGCATGTCACCATGTTGCTTATATTCCAACTGTGTGTCATTCCATTTAATCTATACATGTGCCAATTGATCGGTTACATGCAGCTTCCTGATAATTTTCAAGACATCTACAAGGGGATCTCTGGCAAAGCCTCGACATCAGAGATATATACACATTGCAAGCATGAACTAATCCATGCTATATGGGAGCTTCTCCTCGATGAGGAATTCATGCATGCATACGAACATGGTATCGTCATTTGTTGCGGAGACAGAGTCACACGAAGAGTCTTTCCACAATTCTGAAGCTACTCTGCTGATTATCCAGAAAAGTTTGTTTCCTGTTGACTTTTAAACATCATCTTAAATTTCCTCCCAGGATTCTTTTGGCAAACATCAAGTTCCTTGGCCAGTGTCCATGCCCTCAGTGTCTTGTCCAGAAGGCCGATGTTCCGAAGATGGGAATGAAGGCTGACATGAAGCATCATGAAACAACTGCATGAGTTGACAACCAAGCTTGCCGTTACAATATCAATAGAGCCTGGAAGTTTGTGTTTGAGAAGGGAGCTCGAATTGATGGCAAGCACATTAAGGATCTTTTAGGGCTGCAATCACTTGTCCCTACCCAAGTAAGTTTCTCGCCACCTTTTGTTACATGATTAGCTTACATTATCCTCAGAACACTTTCTCAGAGCGCTTTTTCAAATTTTTACAAATTTTTATTCAATTTTTTCACGCTGTTTGTGGTGGACTTACTGCACGAGTTCGAACTCGGAGTCTGGAAGGCAATTTTCACACATCTGATGAGAATCCTTTTTGCAGTGGGCAGCTCAACCGTTCAAGATCTTAACTGGAGGTACGTTCAAGTCTGTACCTCTACTATCAATAGTACTGAACCATTAGTGCAGATATCGGCATGTACCCACATTCGGAAGGGGTACAATTCGATGTTTCCACAGGAATGCATCAGCGATGAAGCGCCTTGCTGTGCATGACTTTGAAGATCTTTTGCAGATATGTAATTCGAGTCTGTCTTTTCAAACGAGTTGTTAATGATTGTCTTCTAGTGTGCAATACCTGTATTTGAAGGTCTTCTGCAAGATGACGAAGACACTTGCTTCAACAAAATCATATTGGATCTCTTATTCGATTTAGCAACCTGGCACGCTTATGCAAAGCTCCGTTTGCATACTGAGGACACTTTGTTGTTCTTTGACTCTGTAACTGTCATGCTGGGTGAAACAGTCCGCAAATTTTCTCGAACTGTGTGCTCTCATTATCACACCACTGAACTCCCTCATGAGCATGCAGCGCGTGGCTGCCGTCAAGCACAGCTTGCAGTCAATCAGCCTCATATTGCCCAAGGAAAGATTGCAGGACCAAAGGCAAAGCTACTCAACCTCCAGACATATAAGTATCACGCTCTTGGTGATTATCCAAATACAATTCGGCGCATTGAGACCATGGACAGTTACATTACCCAACCAGTACGTATTTCTTTCATTAATGCCACCTTTGACTCATATTTCCTTGCCAGGGTGAACTGCAACACCGTCGCTCAAAACAACGCTATCCATGGACTCCAAAAACCAAAGCAACAACAATCCAAAGCATTGCATCACAGGAAGTCATAGAACGCTTCTGTGAAAAGGTAATTGCTGCTCACCAATACTTTGCCAGTGAAAACCCAACTCAGCGACGCCGATGTGAATGCACTTCACCATACGACCATTATTATATTGCAACATATTCACGAGTGACTTATGATCTCATGTCTTGGTTAGGTGGCCTAGGAGATGATCCTGCCATTGAGGTAAGTCATTCTTGCTTTTCGTCATTGGAACTCGCTAAGGTTCTTTGTAGAATTTTATACCTCGACTCAAGGACCATTTACTCGCCCGCCTTCGTAACATTGCGTACAGTGGCGACGAACATGACTTCTCTGACGAAGATTGTGACACCGTCCTTTTCACCAACAACAAAATCTTTGAGCACAACATTCTGCGTGTCAATTACACTTCTTATGACCTGCGACGCGAGCAAGATATCATCAATCCTCGTACTCAGGCCAATATCATGGTGCTCTCTCACAAAGATGAGCATACACACCCATACTGGTATGCTCGTGTCGTCAAAATTTTTCATGTGAATGTGGAGTATCGCGAGCATCTTTCAACATTGCGGACTTCTTCAACTCGCATGGATGTTCTATTTGTTTGATGGTTCTGTCGTGATGTCTTGCCTGCAGGCTGGGCCGCAAAACACTTGCAGTGCCTGGAATTTTTCGATAAAGACAGCCTTCCAGATGCATTTGGATTCTTGGACCCTGACTCGGTTATCTGTGGTGTTCATCTTATCCCTGCATTTAATTTCGGTACCACTGATGAGTTACTTGGACCGACATTTGCACGACAAAAGACCGACTCATGTGAGGAAGACTCAGATTGGCGCTTTTATTATTTAAACATGTAGGTGCATTTGAATTCATGCTTGGATTAATTCTAACTCTACTTATTTACAGGTTCGTTGATAGAGATATGTTCATGCGGTTTCGGGGTGGTGGAGTAGGCCACAAGGCCACACATGACTGGGATTAATTCCTTCAGAGTGAGGAACACGAACCTAACAAAGTTGGCGACAATAGTTCCGACTCAGAGAACGATGAGGAAGAGGAGAATTCAGAAGATGAAGACATTGAAGTAGATGTCAATGAGGAACCCGAGGATAGCAGTAGTGATGAGGAGGACAAGGAGGACGTAGTGATAGCTGATGACGGTGAGGAACTTGACGATGACATTCTTGCGGAGGAGGGTTATGGTGCACTTTGAGAAGATCACAGTAGCACTGAATTTGTTTAGTATATGCCACTCCAATACATTTAATTATCTAGCAAATATCTGACAAGTACATTACAGAGAAGGTGGCATCTACCAGACAGCGAGTCTGACGAACTTGTATCGCGCCGACACATCAATGTCACCGGTGAATTGGACATCGCTGACGTGTGTGACACACGTGTCCAAAATTAGCCATCTATCACGTGGTGTCTGAGTTCGGTAATTTTCGTGATGCATCTGTTCATTCTCTCGAGCAATGTCCTTTTTTCTCAGAAAGCGAAAGAAGTCGCAGCAAGCCAAAACAACATCGACGAAGATGATGATTTACATGCCACCGGTCCCCGCGATACCTCCAATATATTTGCCTAGCTTTCGCTTCCCATTCCGCCATCTACACCTATGACGCCTTCTCGGAGACTGCTACCTTTCCGACCGTTTGCAGTACTTGGTTCCTGGCCCTGCAGCTCCGCTAGTCCCTCGCAGGAATCCGCCAGTTCAGTCTCGCATTCTACTTTCTGCTCGCCCACAGCCCCCACATACCGTATCTGATTAGGTCGTCCCGCAATACACGCATGTAAACACTAAGGCTCACCGAGGAGGTACCATAGCGCTTTACCTAGTGATCAAGCTTGCCTTGAGTTCCACCCTGGCGCAGTACGGAGCAGCATTGAGACATGTCATCACCTATGTTCCTCCAACGACGCATGCATGGCGTGCAGGGATGTCCGCACCATATACCACCAGATTCACCTCACCCACAGGTTCCGCACGCAAGCCATATGCACCCTCCAGCATTTCCCTCGAAGTTCCACGAATGTTTTTCGTCTGTGTCGTCGACGGGTCAGACGGGTCATACTTCACCTGCTTTGTTGACCTTGCGCAGAGCGAATTGGGTCAGGTTAATCTGTCCCGTCTTTTCGCTCCATATACTCCTCCAATGCCCCGTCATTGTCACAGATACGAGCCCGGAAACGAGGTCCCCCTTGCGGTCAGACACAAGCTACGGGAAGATCACGACCCCCATTTATAGAGCGCACTCACATTCGTCCATGCTTGATACCCGGGACCACGGCAGTGCCAGCGTCTATGAAGCACATACGACGAGGACGCGGAAATTGAACCCACAAGGGCGTGCGGACTGACGACGAGGTATCGTTCTGTCCCTCAGATGAGAAGACAGCCGGCATGCATACGATGTACCTCGTCGAATAGGGCCAGGCTCTGGATAAGGTGGGATGTTTTCTCGCTCATATTCCTACCTCCGGTAGGAAGATACTTTCAAGTGAGATGTTGGGGAATATGTCCCGTTCGCTTCAATATATATGCTCTTTATTGCTCAATTGCTTTGGCTTTTTCTTTATGATTCCAGTGACACAAGACTGGTACGGCCGGTGCTGAGTGTGCACGCGTAATTTGATGTTTTGTTCCATCCCTGGTTATGTCGCTGTCAGACGAGTGATGACGGTCTAGTGAAGCCCAACAAAGTGAGTACTTTTGCCACCACTTGGATATTTTGCATGGAACATTACCTGATCACACCCAGGATGTAAACGATTGATTCTTCTGCATTGTGAATCGTGATATCACAAATAACATTTCATAGCTGTGCAGCCCCTGACATCTATGAATAGATGTACGAGATGTTGATCCCTAGCGCCAGCACGACTGCAGATTTTTGGCTGAATTCAAGCTCGTTAGGGGGCATGTGCGCAGAGTCGCTAGTAGATCTGTCTACTGGAGAACAGGACACCTAGCAGCGCAGTATAGTATGACAAGAAACAAGTACTTAAACATTGAAGTAACGGGAGAGCGGGCTCACTTAGGTGTCAAGACCTAAAAAGCTGATCAAATAGGACATCGTCCAACTGCGCCGTTTACATGTCATTGGCAGAATTCTCGCCATCCTTCAAAGCTTCAACGCGAGCAATGCTGCGTTCTTCTCTGCTTTCATCTAAGCTGCCACTGCAGGTATAATAAAGTGCTGTATTCTGCTCGTCCCATCAGACTGCTCCGTGACCCTTCCATGATCATTTGAGGGGGTCTAGGTGATACTCGCCCGCGTCAAGGTACTCTGCGGCCCTCGCCAGGAGTGCGTAATCACTCCCATCCCAGTGTTCTGCAACAAAAATCTTTATGCACGGCTGCCAAAGCAGTCGCGATTAATTGGGCAGCCCTGCATTGTGTAGAGATGCGTGGAAGTCGTCTGTTCACTCCACACGCTCCTCCAACGCTCCGTCATTGTCAAACTCTGATAGTCATGGCCGGTCGAGTCGCCATTCAGGGGGCGTCATAGATACTGGTCCGGAAATGAGGTCCTCCTTCCGGTCAGAAACCAGTTACGAGCAGAGCACAGCCTCCATCTCTAGAGCGCATTTACACTCGTCCATGCTCGATACTCGGGGCGATGTCAGCGCCAGCGTCTACGACGAGCGTTTGAGCACATACGACGAGGAGGTGGGAAATGACCCCAAGGGCGCACAGGCTGACGACGAGGATGATGACGACGCATCGTTTTATCTCTCAGACGAGAAGACAGCTGGGAGGCTTACAATGTACCTCGTCGAAAACGGCCGGGCTCTTGACAAAGAGGAAGGAGATGTTTTCCCGCCCCTATTACCGCCTCCGGTAGCAAGATACTTTTAAGTGTCGATGAGATATCGGTATAAACATTCGCTTTAATGTATCTGCTGTTTATAGCTTTTTTTTAGGGTCGCTCGTTGGCTCGTTTTCTGTTTTTGTTATCTTTTTGGCTTTTTTGATGATTTTAAATAATGGCACAAGACTCGAGAGACGTATGTGGTACGCCGGTGGCTGTTCGATGTAGCTGTGGTACTTACTGGTAGATACATAATAGCTTAAGTTAGCAACGGCCATTATGATGCTGCCAGATTACAAGTTTGGTTGGTTGCCTTCAAAGGGCCTTACAAGCCCTTACAAGGCATCATAAGGGGCTGTATCGGTGCCATAGCAGGCAATTTTCAATGTAAGGCCATCAAAAGGGTCCTTACAATCGCCTTTCAATGCCTATTAACCGTTTCTTTGAGCGACATGGAAATTTTGCACAAAATAGGTGGCCACTCAGTGAAATGCACCATAGCTGACTCTATCAGGGATCACCTCAGACTTTCCTGCCTCCGTTGTTCCATTCCACTAGCTTTACTTTGCAGCTAATATCTTCCTCATGTCAAGAGCACCAAGCCCTTCCATACATAGCCTGGGGCCATCAAAGGAGACTAGCGTTGACAGCGCCCCGTTTCAAAGCACCAATAGCGACGAGCAGGCTCCGCCTGAGAATGATACCGTAGGGCCCACCAAGGAGTAAGTCATGACTTCCTGGAATCTATCCCTCATTTGACAGCGGGACAGGGAGAAGGAAAATCGTGAACCTTCGGCGGTCAAGGAGCCACCGGGGATGTGAGTATTTCTGCCCTGATGATTCTGGGTCCTCCTTAGCAGAACTTCAGCTCGAACACCCCTTCCCAGCCATCAGACCCTCACGTACAGGAGAGCACTTTCAAGGTTTCACCTGTCGGTGGCCTAGCTCTGTAAGTTCCACTCAATGATGATGTCAAACAAGCTCACGAATTATTTCAGCGAGGCGGAAAAGGCTGAAGTGCAGACGGAGCAGCCAACTCTAAGTTATGTGTGAGCGACAAACATAAGACAAGCGATCACAGCTGACGATATAGCCGCAGAGTAAATGTCATGGAGCGGGTGTTGGATGTTCTCCAGGACTCAGCAATTGCCTTGAAGGGTGGCAAGGACGACCGCTCCCGTTTCTGGGGTATATACAAAAGAATCGCGGAGGAACACGACGGCGAGTTCCTTGAGCGATACAATGGCGACATGGATATAGTGTTGGTCTTTGTACGTTTCGGATGCTCGTCATCGACTCATTTTGAGATTGATGTTTTATCAGTCCGGTCTTTTCTCTGCTATCAGCACATCTTTTATCGTAGCTATGGAGTATAAGCTTAGTCCCGACCCCAGCGACACCACCAATGCCCTTCTCACGCAGCTCGTCCAAATCGGACTTGGCAACATCGCTGAAGCGGGCTCTACCCCCGCAGCGCCAGCATCTACATTTTCACCGTCAACGTCGGACATAAGAATCCAAACGATCGCATACGCAAGCTTGTCCATGAGTTTACTTGCTGCGTTCGGGGCCGTACTAGGCAAGCAGTGGCTCGGGTACTACAAGTCGAACAGATACGGCCGCGGGTCGCAGGAGGAACGAGGGAAGCGCAGACAAGAAAAATTTGACGGCATCATCACATGGTATTTTGATGGTGTCGTGCAATCCTTTCCGATCCTACTTCAGATCTCCCTTCTTCTATTTGGGATCGCCCTCAGCGCCAACATTTGGTATGAGCAGCCGACTATTGCCTGGGTCGTCATTTCAACAACGGTTTTCGGGTTCTTGTTCTATTCCTTGACTGTGATGGCATCGTTGATATCACCCGCGTGTCCATTTCAGACGCCCATATCGACGATTTTGCGCATGTTTCGCATCGACAGTGAGCCCTCTCGTGATCACTGGTGGTCGTTTCCAGTTTAAATCACATCGCAGGAGTACTACGGCTGGTGTTCAAACCAGCATCCAGGTATTTCCAGCAGTTCACAACCTCGGTTTACGGCGAGTTACATTTTCTTACGCATGCACACATTTTGATCGTTGTTGTTAGGTGTGCTGCAGCGGCTGCGCGGTACCTTCAGGTCAAATTGGACCCGATTATCTGGAGCACTGGCAGGTGATGTTCTTTGCTACCATCGCATAGGAGACCCAGCGCTTATTTCGTTCCACAGGCACTGTGTTTGTGGTCGGCTCATTCGTACAGTGCTGTCTCCAGCTGTTATTCGGCGCACTTCGTCACCTGATATCCTCCCTGGGTTCTTTGATTCCGCCCTCTCGGACAAAGGTCATAGACTCTGAAGCACAACCGCTGGACCAGAGCGTGTTAGTCAATAATCAATCCCCACTTAACCTCAACCTCCCAGACGTACCCACCAACCGTCTTGAAGCACCTAGCATCCTGTGGCTGCTCGAGACATCCACTGATCCTGAAGTATTTCTAGCCGCTGCTGGCCTTGTTCCGCAGGTCGAATGGCCCCTGGATCTTGACATCTCAGACACGCTGCATCAGCTGTATGATGTTTATACGAACTGTTTGGATGTTCAGCGGAACATTGCACCGTCATTGAAAGGGAAGGCATCGGCATGTACAATGGCTCTGAGTCATCTATACTGCGGACGAGTTCTTCGGGAACATCCCGACCATGGTGAATTTCTTGTCCAGGGGAGCAGAGACTATGGGGTGTTGGTACAGATGTGGCGTCAGTGTGCGATCGCAGATCAGGCGGTGCCTACGGTGGTGCTTACCACGGCTGCCAAGCTGTCTGTTCCGGACGGTGATCCATTCTGGGGGTTCGCTTCACAACGCCGACTGCAGGCCGGTTCCGAATCTGTCCCTGAGTGGTTATCACATGCTCTGCCTTACCACTTTTTCACTAGGCAAGCAGACAAAGACATCGAAACACTCGCCATAGCAGTGATATCAAGACTACTATCCTCTCCATCTCCGCCGACTCAAATCGTAGCTAATTGCGCTCTTCTTGCTTGCCTCATGGTCGGGGTTCAGTTTGACAGGAAGGATATAGTTCGGATTGATAAAAGGTGCTATTAGCTCATTCGGTCTCTTCCACTATGTTTAACGAAGATATTATGTAGTTCTGCTCTGCCTCGACTCGCGGAGCCTCTCTTGCAGCAGTTCCAACGGGCTCTCTGGGCATGCGATGTAGGCGATCTCGACAGCGACAGCACAGGAGTCGCACGTCGAGCATGGAAACTCCTCGATGTCATCTGTCCCATGCTCGAGCTTGTTACATATTATGACCGTTCACTCCACACGATGCGGAACCTGAATATGTGCAAGAGGATTTATTCAAGAGCGAGGTCATCCAAGCAAGATGATCCATCAGGTTCATGGGCAGCTCTGCGAAATGCACTGCACTTCACGTTCACCGCTGCCAAGGTATCCCGGGACCCTGCCAAGAGGTATAGTCTGTTTCTGCTGTCCGAAGGCGATTCCCACTCGCGAGAAGACTTCGACTGGCTGGTTGATTACCTTGACCACGTTTATTCCGACGACCACGAGACGGCAGGTGACATCCTTTTGCTAATGGGTAGCATGGGAGTGACCTGCAGCCCTTTTAAACAATATCTGTTTACCGAGAGGCTCGTCGCCTGCATGGCAAGCAGCGTGCCTCCCCGTTTACGTCATGCTGCCCTTCGCGCTGCTGACAGTGTCCGGGAAGTCTTTGCCTCGATCGATGCCATTGATGATGCGATGCTACGGGACATGGTTTTCACCAAGTTCTCCCCTGCTGTCCTGACTGCGGTTTGTCCGCGACCGGGTGCAACACCCGCCGATGGTCCTGACCGCACCTTTGATTATGGCCGCGACTTGCGCTATCTCCAACTGGTCTTTGCCCTAGCGAGGAATGCCAACTGGCACCTCCATTTGTCTGGGGATGGCCATATAGATCGGTGCATTAACATGATTGCATGGTACTGCAAACCATACCAGTCGCATACCTTTTACCTAGCCGGTATCTTCCTCCGAATCGCATCTGAACAGGCGTCAGTTACACCCCTCGCTTCTATCACAGAGCAGCAGTGGTGGGAGGTGATAAGATGGGCATGGGACTCTGCTTACGGCACAACTGGCGACATGCACTGCTTCGAGTTCCTTCCCATTCTTGTGGAAGGGACAAAGAAGCATATAGAGATCGCCGCGAAATCCGATCTCGAGCAGCTTCTCGAAGCTCTGGATGATTTGCTGCGGCGTTCAAAGCAGAGGGAGGGTGTCCTCGTTGTTGTGAGAGGGTTGAGGGCTGTAGCACGCGAGAGGCTTGAGAAGCTTGAGAGGTCCGGTCAATAGTTTTTAGGCAGGAAATATGTTATTAGTCCCCCGATTATCACGATGCTCGCATATTCTGGGATCGCAGGAGGGGATGGTGAGCAGTGCAAGTGCATAAGGTACACGAGATGAGAAGCAGCAAACAGGAAGACCTGAACAAACGTAATGACTCTAAATCGATGGACGTACATCTGCAATGCACACGGGGATTAATGCGATGCAAAGACTCGAGACACCAGCATATAACTAGTCTTTGCCCTTGCAAGACATTCCAACTGGCGCCCGATTTTGTTCGGGGATGGTCATATAGATTGGTGCATTAGCATGATTGCGGCGTGCTGCGAAACATACATGTCGCATACCTTTTGCCTAGCTGGTATTCTCCTTCGAATCGCACTTGAGCAGTCTTACATTACTCGAGTTTATCACGGAGCAGCAGTTGGTGGGACATGATAAGCATGGCATGGCACCCTGCTTTCTCCCTGATTGATTCCGATGCACACAGTTCTGAGTTCCTTCCCGTCCTTGTAGAAGGCACAAAGAAGTGTATGCAGATTGCTTCGAAATCTGATCTCGAGGAGCTCATGAAAGATAACGGAGAATGTTCTCGAGACAGTGAAGAGGCGAGGTTCAGATCAGGGAGAAGGGGTTGCCATTGCTGTGAAGGAATTGAGGACTGTAGCCAGCGACATGCTTGAGGGGTTCAGTCAATAATTATTGGGGAGTTAATCCAGTTATATTGTGTCAGGGTCCTGGAATCACAGGAAGGGAGATGGTGGACCTAGTGCAGAAGGTAGACGACGGTACTAGTATAAGTATAACACCTGAACGAACGGTCGATATTGCAACGTCTGGCCTCCTGACTTGGTGGAACTTTAAGCTTATTCGACCAAGAGGCGTGTGATGCACAAACTTAGGACACCAGCATGTACAATCTCCTACAGGAATGGGGTGTACTGTGTTACAAGCGAAGTGTTGCACTTGACAGCCCGTTTTCGGACTTCAGACAAGACCATGGAGACACGTAAGACTCAATTTTATTTCTCGAGTGATGGCAATGTTGAGCATGAGCTGGTCCATCGTCGAGCCACTCCAAGTGTTCTCGCTGAAGCGGGTCGTTGGTGGCTTCCGGTGCTGGTTGTAGAACTTGATTCGTGTGGGTGCAGTAAGTTATTGAAATGACTGTTCCCCGTCAACACGTAGATATACAACGACGAATGTGAAACCATTTCCCACTCACCTTTCGGCTCCCTTTCCACTAAATGACATCCAACAAATTTTCTGGAGATCATTCTGAGGTTCTCAGCCAGGACATCTGCCTTAATGTTTGAACGAAGCAACACGGCGTTTCAGACATGATAAAGAGGCAAGATTATGCTTTCATTATTTTACAACTAGGAGCTGTCTGTTGTAGAAGAAAGATCAGTGGGGAAGGACAGTGTACAAATATAATCTTGCCTCGCCATGAAAGTTCAGACCTTGGAGGGCTGTGCCTGAGACTGCTGTAGCTTAGTTTGCATTACATTAATGAGATAGTTCATATTCTCCTGCTTCTTCTGTATCGTTTCTTGTAGTGTTTCGAGATTGGTGCGAATATATTCCACCTTCGTTTCATAATATTTTGTGGCTTGGACTCGAGACTGTGTATAATCGTCTAGTTAGCGGCGAACTGTAGCAAAAGATCTCGTACGTACCTTCTTCACATAATAACCGGTACCAACGTCGACGATGACATTCTCCGCATCACTCAGATGACCGGGAACATACAGAGAGTTGGTCAAAGGAACGAGGATAGTCGTTCCTGCAGGATAGAGTCAAATGAGCACTTGGAGAAGGGGAAAACGTGGACATACCTTTGTTTTGAGGTTTAACTTCTCCGACATTCTCGATGCACGACTTGAACTTCGCTTGTGCCTGCTTCAACTGAGCGAATGAGTTCGTGAGGTGGTTCAGCTCCTACACGGCAATCAGAGATGCAGAAAACTAATCATATTGTCCACATACCTCTTCTAGCTGGCGGCGCACGTCAGCCAACTGTTGAACGTCGAGATCAGCAACATTGATTTGTTGAGGCTGCGATGCAGTGGTTGAAGCCATCGCGGAGGATTAAGCGTGACAGGAGTGTGACTGATGCTTTCAGTCTGTGACCTTGTGTGACATTCTATTAAAATGACACTCCTGCTGCCAGCAGCAGCCTGTGCAGGCTGCAACCATGTCCATCGATGGCATGGACTCAAGAGGAAGAGCACCTCAGGATATAGGTCCGTTATTGAATTAGGCTGCAACAGCTCAACTGATGTCTGGGTGTCCAGTTGCCATCTTCCACGCTTCGTTTCACCCAACGAAGGGTAATCTGGTGGACTGGTGTTTGAAGGCCAGCGATGGTGTGTTAGCAATTTTCATATCGGCTAGCGACTTAAACATACTTCAGACCTTGACCTTGATGGTGTTGAATTCAGCACCCTTCCCAGTGGTCTTCACCTTGTAGATCAGGATGTGGTGTATGTGCCCTGCACCCATATCACAGCTCTACTTATCAGAGTCCAATCAGATACTTCACGAAGGACACCCTTTCCGGAGTATGTGTTTTCCGTCGGCGGAGGACCGCCGAACAAGGCCACCGCGGGTTTCGGTTGACATCTCTCGGAGTGCTACTGGCCAAATCTACTCGGCCCCGTCCGTGGCGGCATGTCGCAGCCCTTCGGACTTTAGCCGACTCTATCTATCTCTCACTAGAAACTAGAGGTGTTTTGGAGCCATCTGACAGCGATTGGGATCCTGCTCGTGTTTTCTTCGAAGAACGCAAGGTTCGGAGAGCAGATCTCGGTGGTGCTGGTGACTGGCATGGTTGGAGCCATGAACTTGATAATGTGCGAGGCAGCATAAACTTTTTCTTACTTTTGGCTGACACCTATACACAGCCGGATTCAGAATTGTCTCGATTTAATCCTACTATGCATCTCTCACACTTGTTGCGCATCCTAGGACCTTCGGCGTTGACGCTATACAAGCACGTCCTTGGCCGCCAGAGGATACTTATCTATACCCTCCCGCCAGTTGAAGCCGCGTGCATACTGTGCCAAGTGGCTGCGGATATTTGTTACGCAGCTCAGCTTGACCCATCGACTAATGATATCAATAAGAATGACCCGGCAACGCAGTATTATACTAGACTTAAAGGAAAAACACAAGAGGGCATCAATGTACTTGGCATGGTTACTCTCAATGACCTTGACAAGATGGATCGCGAGGGTAAAACTGGTCGTGGTTGGGTTGCTTGTAGGTGATAATCATACTGTCGTCGGCGCGCCCCTTATTCTGGTTTGAAAGGCACGACTGACGCCATTTTCATGGAGAAACCATCTTACTACGATCTTCTGATTGACCTCACGACGTCTACGCCCTCGAAAACTTCACGGCCAACCTTGTACCTCTCAAAGCCACAGCAGCAACCACCTGGTTCCAAAGGGCCTACGCATCGCCTATCTCTCTTTCGTTTCACGTGGAGTGACATAAGGCTGGTACATATGATTTGCAATTATGTCTCCGTATACGTGTTCAACGCAATTGACAGTGGAATGAGCTTGAGCGCATTCTGCAGCTGGACGGCGATCAATGCGCACAGTCATGCTGCCGCCCTTCATCCGAATCCGAATCCAGAAATAAATCATGGGCAGATCCTTGGAGAATATATGAAGATGTGTGTATTGTATGTGCTGGGCTCTGGATGGGGTCCTGGCGTGGCAACTCAGTTGCATCCTATTCTACCGGCAACGGATCCCTCGCCAACTGGGGCAGCATCAGATTAGAAGGTGATGACGACCTTACTGTTGATGGTACATTTGTGCGCAGCGTGGGTATGGGGATTGAGGGGTGTCCTGGTGGAAGCACAAACTCCAAGGGAATGAGAAGGTCCAGCGGAATGACTTGGCCAGTTGGAAATACTGGTGTGGACCGTCGCCAACCTTCGTCATCTTCCGCTACCACGCGATCTATGCCACAGCTGTGCAGCACTGGTAATGAAACAGATCCAGAAACTAGCGAACAACGCGACCGTCAGGTTTTAACGACACTCGCACTACTCCAAACATTCCACGCCAACACCAGTTTCCAACTCTCTCGCCTAGTTGATCTACTTCCCTCTATCACTTCCGCTACACCAGAGACTTCGATCACCTACATTACTCCAAAAGATATGATATCGTTTGAGCTTGGGCCTCTCAGCTCTCTTGATGCCCGTTACCTAGAGTGGCTAGCTGACGAATATGGCGCGGGGTCGCGGATTGTGGTGAAGAGAGGATGGAGGGATTTATTTGGAATGATCTTTGGCTTTGGTTGACTAACATCAAATCTCGCTGAGAAGGCGCGGTGTTTTATAATTATTGCTTTGCTTTGTCCGCGCTTTGATACCGACGCAAATGTAGAGTTACACCAGCCGCCTGCCTTGAGGCTTCATTTAATTATTCAGGTCTCAGATACGCTTTAGACTTGTCCGACTGTCATTGTCCACACCTCTACAAACCCACAGTTTGCTGACTAAGCTTAAGTCCTAACGCGATGTGGGCCGCACTAAGTCAAGCTGTATCTATCACACAGCCAAAGCCCAACAGCCTACATCGAAAGCTGTAAAGCTTCCTCTTCTTTCTTGTAGTAATCTTCTATTCACCTAGAGAATGGCGGAGAGTAAGGTGAGTTCAACGGAACTTCTGACATCTTCTCACCGGCTAACTTTCATCACCGTGGAATACAGGGTCCCACAACTGCCACCTCAGCGAACAAGCTCGCCATGTCTCGAGCGCTCGGAGCTGCATTTCTGAGTCACCAAGTCGAACAGCTGGAGAAGTCAGTTACACGTGGGCCAGCATCTGGGAACTGGAGAGACCGCCGTCAGCCGCAAGCCGACCCAGGTCACACTAATCGTCGCGGAATTATCAACCATGCACCCAAGCAGCGCCCATCTCCAGGCAATAGGTCTGTGAAAAAGCCTGTTACTGAAGCTGTACCAGAGAGAGAGCGCAGCGAAGTCAAGGTGCCAAAGCACAGGAAATCAAGCGAGGAGGCGAGGGGTGACAAGGATGCTGATATAGTGGTGGTTGATGCGAGCGTATTGGTACATGCCCTCCACCAGGTGAAGAAATGGTGCAGAGATGGACGTGATGAAATAGTCATCGTGCCCCTGGAAGGTAAGTTGACACGTTCCAAGTGTTTTGTCAACTGACGTAAGGTTGCTTAGCCCTGAACACTCTTGATTTACTCAAAAAGGGCACAAGTCCTCTCGCCCAGCGCGCGAGGTCAGCTTCACGGATCTTAGAAGCTCAAGTTGGCACAAATCCTCGTATCCGTGTTCAGCGGGACGATGCCTTCGTTCCGTGGGACCGCATCGATTTCAAGGACCTGCCACTAGATGACGATAAGGACAAGCCTACGTCACAGCCGCTCCATCTGTCTGGCTCTCCGGAGTGGGTTCGACGCATGATCTGCTGCGCACGTTGGGAAGTTGACCACGTCGCCGAAACTCTTGCCTCTACGAGTGACAAGCTGAAAGTTGTTCTCGCGGTCCTTTCCTCTTCTGCTGCACCAGCTCAGGTCGGTCGAACTGAGACAACGCCCGAAGTCTCCTCTCCAGTACCCCTTCCAGCGCCAAGCCCGCACACTCACAAGTATGAGCCTCGTTCAGCTGGTCTGCTGATCGGACACTGGGCTACTCGGGCCGGTATTACTATCTTAGACGTGGAACCTTCCACAGCGCCGCTTTCTCTGCCTTCATCGAACCACCCTCGTAATGTTGACGAGGAAGATAGAGGAAAGCGGACGGCTGGTCGAGGAACCCGTAATTCCCATACTGCTCCGGGTGCTCCCACCGCTCGAGGCACTGGGCTGGTTGAGCGCCCCCCTGCCGTTATGCAAATGATGGAAGTAATCTCTCAACCAAGTAAGGTCGTTCGCGTCCTCGCTAGAGGCGAGAAACTGGAGCCAGACCCATAATGCTGATTATGCGGGCTCTTTGAGTACAAGGTGTGTTTACTTCTGCTTGTAGAGGTTGACTACTGACCAATGCAGCCGAGATATGACTGTTCCTCAGTTCCAAGGCTGCTCCAGCTCCGTCTCGATTAAAGACGTCAGGGAAAGTATTGGAAGCCTCACAGATCACCCTATCCTCGCTCTGCCTCTGTCATTCCTCAGAGTATGGTTTCTGCAGGAAATATCTTCAGGCATCTTTGTGGTCTCTTTGCTTCGACTGTGCAGTCCTTACGAGGATCTAACAATGGCGGTTACGGAACTAGTGTTCATGATAAATTTTGACTGGTTCCTATCATCCTACAAACACTTTGCTTCACTGTCCGCGGACTGTCTGATGTACCTATGTCTCTACTGCGTATGTTTTATGATCTCATGGCCCATTTCTTGCAATAAACTATTTTCGTGTCCCCGGCGACCGATATCTACTTCTATTTTTCTGATTGGTTGCAAGGGTGGAAGATTTTACTACCAACCGCGCGGTACGCCAGGGCACGCCCCTTCTAGTTTGTGTCTGTTTATTTCTGAAGCTTTTGCCAAACACGACTCACACATTCGTGGGAACTTATCATGCGAACCATCGCACAGGCAGCAACAATATTAATATCAAATGATTGGAGAACAAACATAGTATTTCTATTTATTACTATACGCCAAAACTTATCAGTGATCACCGGAGTTCTTCGCGCCGTGTTTGGGAGGATATAGGGGTCTTTCTCCGATATAAGGGGACCAATATTGTGGGCGTTTCCCACCATGTTATTTGACATTCAAGCTTCAAATTCAATTGCCCATCATAGCTTTGTTCTAGCTTGTGCAACCACCTTCAAAAAATTGTTCTAGTCTATGTGGTATATAAAAGTCTTCCTGCGCTTGGCGGAATTTAACTTATTGAACACAATATTACCAGGCGAGATGTCCCTTGAAATAGCCTTCACACATCCAGCAACCGGATCAATATTTGTCCGCTTTGGCGGATTTGATGAAGATTTAATTAGCTCATAACCTCCTTTGATTTGTGCAGGTCTCTCATTCTCCTTGCAGTCTCCCCCACCTTCCACACAGTGCACAGAGCCTTGTCGACTGCGCACGCCGTTTCATGGCTGATTTGGTGCCCACCTTCACCTCTAGCGAGCTGCTAAATCTCAAGGCATCCCAGTACGTCAGTGGTAAGTTTATATCCACGGCTTCTCGTTGTCCGCCGACTGATTTGTGGTCTAAAATCCTATAGCTGCAGGGCTTGTGGTACATATAATTTATCAATGCTGCATTGCAAACTAAATGACTCTGTGGAATAGGTTTTACTCTGGGACCACTTATTGACGTTTCATGACGAGGTTGAGCTAATCTGGCGTGCTCGGTTGTCTCTTCCCAAGCTGTTGTTCTTATTCAACCGATATGCCGTCTCGGCTTCTCTGATCATCCTCACTTACGGTGAGCTCTTGAACATGTTTTACCTATCTCACCTGACTCGTGTCCCCTGAAGCGTTCAGTGGTATTTCAGATGACATTCTTTCAGATTCGGTATGCAGCATAATGTGCATTAACTGATACCTCGTTTGACACCAGAATTTTAGTTGTATGTGGCTAAGTGGACAAAGCTGGACTGCATATTGATGTTCTGCATAGTTGCCACACATGGTTTGGTGTCGGGGTAGTAGTCGGCATGGTATCTATCGGCACCAGCAACTGTGAGCTCCATTTCACTATGAACTATCCGTCTCCATACTAATTTAAAAATAGTCCTCATCCTCCTTCGTCTATGGGTCCTCTGGGAACGCAGAACCCGCCTTGTGGTCTCCACTTTGATCCTTTTTCTGTTGACACAGACAACGTCAATCATTTGTACTTCCTACATTGTATGTAGCATGTTGCGTGAGTCGTCTTACGATTGAGCGTGGGCACACTTACTGATTTATGAGGTAGCCTATATGATCTTTGAGCCTCAGTTGCATGTCTGTATGTTGATAAAGGAGGTGGATTTTGTGATTCTGTGGGCCCCAGGGGTAATGTCTATTTAGCTTTGTTCCTAGGCTTATGGCGCTGAGGTTGCACAGATTGCGTTTGAACTTATGATATTTATAATGACCTGGTGGAATGCCCTGGACCGGCCACTCCCACGGCATGCAAAGATGGCGAGGGTCATGTATCGTGACGGAAGCATCTACTTTTTCGTGAGTGGTCATTGTGAACGTGCTTGAAACACAACTGACCTCCGTCAGGTTTTATTTGGTAGACTTATAATTAAGAGGTTTTATACATTATACTCATTTTTCTTTTCATCAGCACTGCGTCTCCTAAACCTGGTTCTGTCCCTCGTTGCACCTGTAAGTTTGCAGGCTCCTTCACGTCAGTTCATTTACGTGCTTGCTAACCACATCAGCTGTCATTAACATTCCTTGGAGTTTTGTCCGTATCATCAGTTTCATTCTCTTTTTTTCGTTGTCTGACCACCTGCATTAGTTTCATCTGGAGCGCCTGCAATGTGACACTGACCCGCCTTATCATGAACTTGCGGCGGGTCGCTACCGAGGCTGAAGAGAGTGACTTCGAGGAAACTTGCATTAACCCTCCACGCGGCTGGCCTCTCTTACCTAGACAGGAGAATTGTGCGACTGAAAACTTTGAGCTTCAGGGCAAGAAGGGCCCCGATGTGGGGGTTTGTAGCCACCCTTGTCCTTCTGTTACGTCGACCATAGTGTGAGGGAATAGGCAGTCCTCATCGAGACAGCAGTCTGGGGTTGTAGCATATAACTTTACTGTATCGTTGCTCACAACACAACTTAGTACACTTAGTATACTTGTTCGCTCGTTACAATTACTTAGGTTCAGTTTTATACGGATCCCTGTGGCAGTGCAGCACGCTCAAATTTCAAATTTCCGAACTCCGTGAAAGTGGTTTGCATTCACAATTGTCCACGGGGAAAAGGAAGATGCACAGAGGGTCGAGGCTCCTCGAGGCTACCGCTCAAAGCGCTCAAAGGTGAGGAGAATCCGTCACTTGGCAAATTAGACGAATTCTGTGTCAATATATCGCGGACAAATTCTAACAATTGGAAACAAATTGGAAATGCCTTTTTTTATCAAGTGGCAAGCAGCACTCCAAACTCAGTTTTTCTGGGACCGACAAGTCCGAGTCGTCCTACGGTGACTGAGTAGTACTAGATTCCCATGATTCCCAAGGATCTTGACAAGGACTGGAGCGCAGAAGTCTTCGCGCACTTTTCTGTGGAAACCACTATCAATATCTATTCGCCAGCAGGTGATCCTGTAAGACTAAGCCTTGACATTCTTAATTTTCTGGAACAGAACGGGGTGGTGAGCACTCTTCATTGGCGCCCAAACTTCTAGGATCTGGACTCATCCCTTTAATAGGATGCCCATGAACTTCTGAAACTACCAGTTGTCCGCCCACAGGTTGTCGATGACACTCGACCCTTGAGGGATTATTTCGTCTCGTACGTCAATTCAGCGATACATAAAGTGAAACGTTCTTTGACCACAGATGTTTACCAGCTCTTCGCATAACACGTATCTACTCGCATGGCAAGTCCTTGGTCGTGCATCTTCCGAGTGCTACACACTCGTTCTGTCCAAGAACGCACGCTGCGTCGAGATCGATGTTTGGTGGTCTTCCAAGGGCCCAATCGTCACCCATGGACGCACGCTCAGTCGAAGTGTCCCGTTCAAGCCTGTTTGTGATGCTATTGGCGAAGCAGTCCATGATGGAGATTGGCCTGTTCTTGTCAGTCTAGAGTGCCATGTCCCGGTCGCTCACCAAGACGAGCTCGTAGATATCATGAAAGGTGCGTGGGGTAATAGGTTGGTGCAAGAGCCACTGGAAGGAGTGAGTGGTGATACCATATCTCCAAGGGATCTGAAAGGAAAAATCTTGCTTATGGTATGCGAACATCGTAAGTTTGGATTGTTTCTGAATGTTTCTTTTAGGTGGAGTATTATCCGGACGTAGATTTCCAGGAGATTACTCCAGATTCCGAGGCATTGGATGACGAATCATGGCCCATCGAGTGCGATGAAGTTTTCGAGCTTGATTATGAGTCCGACCCTCTGCTTGAGAAGGCCGATCACGCCCATGCAAAGATCGCAGATTCGCTAGCTGACCTAGGTTTTTATATAAGAAGTATGAAACCAATAGAACACTGGCTTACCGAAGGCAAGTGCTTGTTAGCTTCTTCACTCATTTTTACCAATCTCCCTATAGAGTTACCCAGTCCCCCACATCCCCCCAACATCATGATCAACATGAGCGAATCTTCCATACTAGCCATGGTCCCGCACTTGCTGTTAGAGTTGATTGACCATTCTCAGCATCGACTTCGACGCATCTATCCCCGCGGTACACGTTTGAGCTCGAGTAATCTTGACCCGTTGAAGCAATGGCGCAATGGCTCCCAGATTGTGTGCCTCAATTGGCAGAACTTCGATAGTGGTATGCAGCTTAACGAAGCGATGTTTGCTGGGACTGTTGGTTGGGTTGAGAGGCCGAGGATAGGAGTTTCTGAGCGCAAGGTGAAGTTGGTCTGCGACATTATCGGAATCAGTTCCTGTAAGTCATTTCAAGTTTCTTCAAGTTTCCGTCAACGTTCTGGGCCCCTGTAGTGCCTCGCCCAAATGGACGCACCGAATTCTCCTCATATGTTCATGCAGAACTTGTCCAATCTTCAAAGAATCAAGATTGGCGCTCCGAGCATGTTAAATGTCAGGATGTTCCAGAGGATAGGCGCAGATGTCATGTGGAACGGCAGTTTTGAATGGGAATTCGAGGAGGATGACTTGACCTTTATCCGGTGAGTGAATTATAATGAAGTATGAAGTATGGTCAATTAACGAACTGATGGTGTGCAGCCTGCGTATCCTTCGTTACGGAGGACTCTCGAGGGATGAACAATTGTTGGTTTTCTGTGCTCGTCTATGCGACCTTGAGCAGGGCCTGAGGTTCATTCGCCTCCTATCGATGGACGGGAAGTACACTGGAGCAACGCTGCTAGTTCGATTTACAATCAGTGGAATATAGGGAAGGATAAGTAATAGGCATAGTGAGGCATAAAGTAAAATATTCAGCGAGGTGGTAGCAGTGCCAAAAATCAGAACGAATATATACCAAGGATGCTAGGAGAAAGTGTGTTATTTAATATCTGATAGGTTACCCCCGGCTGCCCTTTCAATTACCCCGAACACGTTCTTCAGCTTCTTGTCTCTGCTGCCCATCCCCCGCACTGGCCCTTCCCTTCCCCCTGCCCTGCGTTCTACCATCCTCTTGATCGTCTTCCTCGATATCATCATCACGGTTGCGTTCCACCATAAATTCAGCGATGAATGTAGCGACAGCCTGTTCTCCGATCTCGCTGTATGAGCGATGTCCCCAATGCCATTCAAATGCTTGGGTTTCATCTGGATTGGCTTGAGTCGCTGCAGGAGCGCGACTGCGTTTTCCAGGCGCCTTCGTTTCGCCTGGGTTAATACGGTCTAGGTATCCTTGCTTCACCAGCTGGTTAAGATATGTGTCTATAGGAAGGGACTTGTGCGTAGACTGGGTATTCATGGATATGGACCCAGTCGATGTTATGCCGAGGCGTTTCAAGTTAGGCACGTAAATCCACTGAGTAGATATTAGTTAGATGACCTAAAGGATGAGCTATGGCACGCACGGTCGGTCATGGATCGTCCGCTGACGAGAATGAGCGATAGAATGGTGTGCAAGACACCCAAGGCACCGAGCTGATCTGTGGTGCTCCAAGAAATAATGCATCCGTAACTTCTCGGCATGTCGTCGTCATCATCACCGTCTTCTTGGCTGTCAGCTATCTGTTCTTCATAGAGCCGTTCGTCCGTCCGTGCTGCTTCCTCAATGATGACGGGATCAAGGACAGAACGAAGGATGTATGTCTTTGATCCTGCAGCCGCAGCTATGAAGAGAGAAAATGTGTCATATGCGTCAGGAGATATGGCTGCAACTTACTTTTCTTCTTACTCCAGTAGCGTTGCGTGCCTCTTGAAGGTCGTCTCCGGCTACTACATCTTGTTCGCGATAATTCCGCGACTGCAGCTCTACAAGCTCCATTGCAAAAGTCTTCTTAAGAAGCTTCTGCGCTCTTTCAAGCACATGATTGAACGAACGCGAGTTAGAGGCCAGGACTGTTGTCTCTTTCAGTATTTAAGTGGATGAGTTCTGCAAGTTCAGCATACCCTTCTTGTTGATATCTTCCCGGCGTATAAGAGTCCGCTTCTGCTCCATAAAAAGAGCAAATCTTACGAGATCACTGGCTTTTCTGTCAAGTTCCTAGGGGGTGAATTAATTAAGCACCTCGACAGCACGGAAGTAACTACTCGGCAGATTAGAAAACCACTTACCGCCTCTGCATCGCCAGCTCTTCCCTGACTTCCGTTGATGTCCATATCTTGGTCATCATCGTCTCCTGCATGTTCTTCCTCGTCGTCTTCAATGGCCGCTCGTCTTCCACCTCGAGCAGGTCGCTGGGACTGGGACTGAGAGGGTCGTGGGGCCCTTTGTGACCTCTGGGTTCTGCTGGGTCCTGCGCGCGCCATGCTTGTCGCTGGTATGAATTAGGATGAGCGTGACCGGGAACGCGCGACTGAAACGCGTGACGTCTTGACTGTGACAAGCGCGTTCAGTTCTTCTGACTCTCTTCACTTTGACCTCTCCGCTATATGCGTCTATGTTGAACGTACTTATCTTCTGACATCAACATAAAGCTCGAGTAGAAATTCTTTACCAAACAAGGGGACCGACATCAAACTTTCACTGCTAGGCACTCAGCTCCTGTTACTGTCACAGCTATGTGGACCCTGGTCGTCTCCACGCACGGTGATCACCATGATATGTCATCACGAAGTAGTAGTTTGCACTACAGAAGCTTTTCAAATTATCAATCGCGAGTTCCTCGGTCTTCCTCTGATCCAAATTGCCAAGCCAACTGTGGCTCGTTTCTCTTCAGAGGCGCTATGGTCCGACTTAAGGAAGCGCTGAGATGATTCTCTGCTTTCAAGCCACTTTCGTGGGGCACCCTTCCTCCATGTACTTAGCTACTATAATAGCTCACTGGAGGATGCCGCACGCTCTTCACCCTCAAACAGCTGTTTACCCGATTCCCATGATGGGTCATATCTTTTTCATGAATCGAAGGTCGTCTGGGACAAGCCTGGGATGTTCAATTGGGTGCACACCGTATACAACAAAAACTATCAACCTGAGCATGTCAGTATATGCGAGTCGTTGGTTCCAAGAACTTATCGTAGTCTGGTTTTACTACTAGGATGAACGTAGTGCTGGGCCCGGACTGGCGCTACTGTCCGGTCATGACGGGTATGACGTATGTGCGCACACAACTGGTTACCGGTCAACCTAAAATAGAAGCCCGCTGACCTAGCCCTTCGCCTCAAAAACTGGGGGCTCCAAAGTTTTCGCAAGCCTAGTCGCTTCTTTGTCCCTTCACGCTTGCACACTAGTGAACTGACAATACAGGATGGCGTTTTACTTGTGAGATCTCATCGCGCCAACCAACGACCACGATGAAGCTTGTGCTAATTACCCCCTGTCATACAGTCACGGACTGCCCATAGGATGGGTGGCCATCATGCTGGCACTCGTAGCGTCAATGGGTGGTTTCATCTTCGGCGTAGGGTCGCACGATTATCCTACTTGTTTGCGCTAACCCACCCATCTTAGTATGACACTGGTCAGATATCCGATATCTTATTGATGAACGATTTCCTCCTTCGCTTTGCGACCTGCTCAACACCTGGCGATGTATCGACTTGTTCATTTTCTACTGTGCGGGAAGGTCTCATCGTTTCTCTTCTCTCCATTGGAACCCTCGCTGGTGCGCTTTTCGGTGCTCCGTAAGCAGCCTGTGATATCCGTCTCCGCAGTTCACCAATGACTCTTTTAGCACCGCTGACTTCCTTGGACGCCGTTATGCCATGTCCGTGGAGTGTGTAGTGTTTATCGTCGGTGTCATCATTCAGATAGCTTCGAATCATGTTTGGCAGCAATTTGCTGTCGGTCGATTTGTTAGCGGCTTGGGTGTTGGGGCGCTTAGTGCTGCCGTTCCGATGGTGAATGCTTTGTAACCGCTATCTTTTCCTCGTGTTCTGATTTCCTCAGTATCAAGCCGAGACTGCTCCGCCTCAGATCCGTGGCACTTTAACGTATGATTCGCACACCTCAGTGGCATACACGATGCTGACGCTGCTCTAGCGCAACATACCAACTGTTCATTACGCTCGGTATCTTAGTGGCTTGTAAGATCGTTCATGTTAAGTTCCTTGCTAGCTACTAATTTCCTGCAGACTGTATCTCCATTGGAACCCGGAACGTCTCTGGCTCCGGTTCATGGCGCATCGTTGTTGGTGTCGGCATATTGTGGGCACTGATTCTCGGCATTGGCATCCTCTTCATGCCAGAGAGTCCTAGGTTAGTATCAGCGATATCTGGTTCCCTTTTTTCTCTAATCATTCCTCCAGATGGCTTGCCGCACACGGCAGAATGGAGGAGGCTCAGATATCTCTCGCGCGCTCTCGTGGTATTCCCAAGGAAGAGGCAAAGAGCCACCCCATCATCCTTCGCGAAGTCGAGGAAATCAGGTCTTCAGTCGAATACGAAAAGCAGGTTCGCGGCGGGTGGATTGATTGCTTTAGGCCACAAAACAAGACTCTCTACCGTACTCTTCTTGGAATGAGTCTACAGAGCCTTCAACAGCTCACCGGCGCCAATTACTTCTTCTACTACGGCGCAACTGTGTTCAAAGCAGTAGGTCTCAGCGACTCATTTGTGACTCAGATCATTCTCGGTACTGTCAACTTTGTCTGTACATTCGGCGGAATGTATGTCCTCGAACGGGTAAGCGACGCCGTCCGTTTATAAGTGGACAGTCATGTTTCTCACTGCGCGTCCAGTTTGGTCGTCGCAGACCTCTGATCATTGGAGGGATCTGGCAATCAGCATGGCTTTTCGTCTTCGCCTCTGCCGGAACTGCTGTGGATCCTACGACTCATCCTGGCGTTGGAAAATGTAGGATATTATTTGATTGGTGTATCCCGTCGCTGACTTGGCATCTTAAGTGATGATCGTGTCAGCCTGCATGTTTATCTGGGGTTATGCGATGACTTGGGCTCCGTAAGGATCTACATCTTGAGGTCTTGCGATTGACTGACGTTCGGCAGTGGTGTCTGGATTCTCATTGGGGAAACTTTTCCCACGCGGACCCGGGCCAAACAAGGCAGTCTGTCGACCGCCGCAAACTGGGTCTGGAATTTCCTGTTGGCGTTCTTCACGCCATTCATCAGTAGTGCCATAGGCTACCGCTACGGTTTTGTCTTTGCAGGTATGACATCTTCCGGCGTTAGCAGCACAATATTCAATTGATTATCCAGCTTGTAACTTGGCTGGAGCCGTAGTTGTCTATTTCTTCCTTTACGAATCATCTAATCTTTCACTAGAAAGTGTCAACATGGTAGGTGTCCCTTCTTGGCCAGTCTATTGATCTAAGCACTGTCTGTATCAGATGTACACCGACCCCAACTGCAAACCTTGGACTTCCCGTGAATGGGCTCCGCCCGGGTTTACCTCGCGTCAGGATCTCATAGACCAAACCAGAGCCGAGGAGGCGGGTAAACCCCCTGCGTCCGGCGCAACCGAGGAGGGCAGGATCGAGAAAACTTCTGATTCATCCAATGGAGGATCATAGAGTCGAGTGCTGCCGTAATTAATTTCGAGCAGATGCACAGTTACCCTTTCAAATAACCTGTATTTGTGCTAATGATATCATTTTCTGTGACGCTCTTATCTTCCCCTCGCAGGTTCTAATTATGCCACATCATGATGCATATCTGAGGATCCTGATGTCCGTGATGTCCTCCTAACCCCCGTGTTTGACGGCTGCTTATTTCGCCATGAGGGCTGTGATACGGACCATACGGTCATCTGATCGAAGTTCTGATCTTCTCGGTGGTATATATGGACTCAATTGACAGGACGAAGAACGGGAATGAGTCCAGGTACACCGTTCGTAAAAATCACAAGCGAAGCGCTGCACTAATCAGGCACTTCCTCGACGCCCGAATTTGGCGCGTTCGAGTGAACCGAGCAGGCTGTCGAGAGTTTAGACAATTCCATATTTGGAAACTACGTTCAACATCTTCAAATTCTGGGCTTGAGTTCGTACCTACTGCCCTCGAAGTCAGCCAGGCCTTCCTGGGGAAGTATACACTGGTACTCACGTGCGGCGATGAGCTCATCAATTCAAGCTAACAACATGCTGACGTTCTTGTAGCCTCGGCGATGGTACCTGCCCGCAAGCTGCATATGAAGCTGAAGCGAATAATTTCTGAAGCCTGTACGTACTTATTTACACAGGTCATTGTGTGTAACAAATTCTGAAGAACCAGAAGTTGCGTAGCTGAAGGATGCGATTGACAACGACAGTCTCAAGAAAGTGTTGGGAGTCTCGTCTTCAATCGTGCATACAACATACTAGTACGGGTACTACGTGCAGTCAGCCGCTTGAGATTGAAAAAATTATGTAATGGTACGCGGCCAAGATCGTGGACTTTGTTCGTGTGATCATTTCATGCGACAGGAGGCGGGGATGATGGTCCATCGGAGAGGTACAGAACGTTCAACCCCCAATAAAATTTGATTGCTTTTTTAACGTACGTACGTAGTAGTTCTAGAACCGCTGGTCAGCCGTGGCTGACGACTGATATAAAGTCGTCGGGTAATAATCTTTTTCCTTAACTCACTTTGTCACTCGTTTTCCTTTCAAAGTTTCGATACCACATAAACATGATCGCACCTTCTATTCTCCTCACTTCTCTTCTCGCATTCGTTGCGGGAACTAGCGCTGTGCCTGCATTATCTGCCCGCGGCGGCAGCGGTGACACGTGCAGTTCGACGGGTGCAGACTGCAACACGGGCTCCGTCTCGTGCTGCCAAAGCACATATTCAGTGCGCTGTTTCTTTTTGGTCGGTGTTAGCCCATCTTTGACCTCCAAATAGTCCGACAGCGCTACAGTGGGCACGCTCACAAGCTTGCTGGGCATCGTGCTTGGGCCCGTTGAGGGGTCCGTTGGACTGGGCTGCAGCCCCATCAGTGTCATCGGCGCCGGCAGCGGCGCGACGTGTAACCAAGAGCCCGTCTGCTGCAGTGGCAACACATACGTGAGTCGTTTTCTGCTCGCAATTTGCACCCTGACATACGAAACTCGTTTAGAACGGCCTCATTAACATTGGGTGCTCACCCATCAACATTTACTTGTAATCCAGATACCAAAATCGTCTCCATCCCCCGAGTATTTACTCTACTGTCATTGACTTTTGTAGTGTTGTAGTGTTGTGCGTCCTAGATTTATGTTCTATTGATATTTGAGGACCCCCTGCATGTGTGTTTTGCTCATCGAAAATGGAAACAACCTCAGGTCGTCGGTATCATGGCCCGTGGGAGGTCAGATGTTCGAACACCGAGTGGTGTTTGGATGCGTGCTGACTATTGCGCTGATATTCGATGCATGGCTATCTTTTCGGTCACGGGGACGTGAGTGGGACGCGTCGAGGCGCAATCGACTTAAAGCATAAGTAGTTACAATAATAACTCACCTTGACAGGTCACGCGCTTTAAAGTTCGAATCAGGGTTTGTGCAGCGTGCACATGAATGAACCGTAGATGTACCACATATAATTAAAAAATATAGAACAAATGATAGCTGTACATGTTATAGAAAGTGCAATGAAGGGCTATCCCATAGCCATTGTAATGCTTGGTATGATGACGCCTTGCCTCCAACCTATTCAATAGTTCAAGGTCATTTAATGGATGTCTTGCATCATTCGACTATTCCACATGCTAAAACCGGATGTTTAACTGTTGACACAGTCCTCGAGAGCAACCGTTTGTGGACAGTACTCGACAGTGCCATTCAACTCTCCAGTATCCTGTGTTCCAAACACTATCAGGAAATCTCACACTCGCATCGATCGCACTCACCGTTACGTAGGGACAGACAATCGTGCCGGAACTCTCGTCGTAGCTGCACACACAATGAGTAAACGTCGGCAGCTGAATGTGCGCAAACTCACATGCACATAGTGATCCCGTCATTTGTCCCTTGATCAGAAGCAAGTGTTGCAGTGCCATCATTTGTCTCAATGTCTTCTGGACAAACAGCGCATTGAACTTCTCGAAGGAGTTGTACATTTATTGATCTTGCTTGTCCACGAGCGGGAGGCTTTGCAGCACGGCGGGTTGGACTACCCACTGCAACACCAAGGAAGAAGGATGCCAAGAGAGTGAGAGTTGCGACAGTCAGCTGCATGTTGTGGGCTCAGATCAAAGAACGAGAGACTACCTAATGCCAGCTCCGTCTTTTGTCTTGCACTAGAAACGTACATTTGACTCCTGGACTAACCTGGTATCGTTCATGTTCTTGGCAAAGTTGCGCTAATATGGTTTCAGCTGCATGTGGAGATCCGATGCAGTCCTAAAGTGTACCCGGCCGAACAATAAAGATTGAAATGTCAGGGTTGTGCATGTGACTGCACGCGGGGCAAGAACATGTCAAATTACACGAGTGTTACATGGACCTAGACGCAATACATAAGTGTTTGAAAGAAGTAAAGAAGGAATGATCACCAGAATGTCGCATTCGCACCATGTTGCGTAGCCGCATTCCCGATGCATCGATGAAGTTCCACTACAGACAATTGACATGAGTACGCGTAGGCTAGAACGTCGTATGCATGTATCTGTTTGGTCCAGGTCAAGTGGATTACGGTGTGAAAGGGCGCTTAACACGTCTGTCAGCGGTTAGCGAAACGTCGTTTGACCCTGTAGCTATGGTGAGGAAGCACTGTGGAGCCTTAAAGTATTACCCAACTATATCTGCAAGGCCGTTTGTGTATTACGAGTGCCGAGAACGTCGTTGACTGTAAATGCCTTTTCGAGCAATCTCCTTGTCCATTGGAAGTTGAAACTCCACACCTTGAACTTGCTCGTGAGACACGACCGGACGGCCAGCAAGAAGTCAAATGCTCCTCCGACAACTCCAAAAGCTGGGAGAAGAGAACTTTTTCATGTGCGCCAGGCTGAGCTGCTGTATTTTTGTTGTGGAGTGGTCTGTATCGGAGGAGGGAGGGGTGGTTGACTGCTCGTGCATAACATAACGGATTATTTCGTCTACAAGCATTGAATGTTCTTCAACTTCTGTATTGCTTCTGTATGCAAAAAATGCTTCACATCGAGCACGTCAATGAGGAGGAAGAGAGGTACATTTTTGCATTGACCGAGAGTCGAACTCGGAGCGCGGCCAAGCTCATACTGATGGGAAGACCGCATGTTACCGCTACACCATCAATGCATCACGTGTATTACCGACAACAACGCAGTTTTCGAAGGATTGATTAGATCTGGCTTCCCTTTCACTGCGACTCGGACCAACTATCTTCCTTTGATTTGGTCTGCTTAGGGGAGATTTCCCTTTCGCCAGCATGAGCGCATCTTCTAGCAGTCAAACGGACACGAGTTCGAAAAGAAAACCGCATGTCATCATCACCATCGGGATGGCAGGGGCTGGCAAGTCTACCTTCGTGCAGCGCATCAACTCCTACCTTCACTCGCGAGATCCTCCACAGCCGCCATACATCCTCAACCTCGACCCGGCAGTCACACACTTGCCGTTCGAAGCCAACATTGATATCCGGGATACTGTCAATTACAAAGAGGTCATGAAACAGTGTGTTGCTGTTTCCATCTGGACGGTAGTGCATAAATAACGGAATGGATAATTGCGATGCAAGGTATAATTTGGGCCCAAACGGTGGAATTCTGACCGCTTTGAATCTTTTCACGACGAAATTCGACCAGGTTTTGGACTTGGTCGAGAAAAGGGCCGAGACGGTTGAGTACGTGCTCCTCAATTTTTATTCTGCATTCGCTCTTACTTCTCCTTCTCGTGTGCTCATGTAGCCACATAATTCTTGACACTCCGGGTCAGATCGAGATTTTTACCTGGTCAGCGTCTGGCGCCATTATCACAGATGCCGTTGCTTCCTCGTTTCCTACTGTGGTGGCGTACATCATTGACACCCCGCGGACCACAGCGCCCGCGACGTTCATGTCCAACATGCTGTATGCCTGCAGGTAAGTGTTGTGTTATCAACGTCGGGTCGGTAATTCGTGACATTTTATTAGTATTATGTACAAGACAAAATTACCATTCATCCTTGTCTTTAACAAGACTGACGCACAACCCCACGGTTTTGCTCTCGAATGGATGCAAGATTTTGAGGCATTCCAGGTCGCTCTTGCGTCGCATTCAGGGTCAAGAGACTCTGAAGGCGAACCGACCTACATGAACAGCTTGATGAATAGCATGAGCTTGGTTTTGGACGAATTTTACAAGCACCTCAAGGTAATTTTACTTCGTCGTCATGCTGAAAGCATAGCTAACTGTTCTGCAGGCCGTCGGTGTCTCAAGCAGGACAGGTGACGGTATCAAGGAATTTTTCCAAGCGGTGGAAGAGTCTCGTGAGACATACAGGACGTACGTTTCATCTTCATTATTCCTCCTTTCCTCCTATTTTTTTTCGTGTCTGCAGTGAATATCTCCCGGAACTCGAACGCGCCCGCGCTGCACGGGAACAGTCACTGGAGGATGCAAAAGAGGACTCGATAAACCGCCTCATGAAAGATCTTGCTGTTGATCGTGCCGCAAACCCCAAGGCGGCCGCAGAAGACCGCTGGGCATCGGACGAGGATGATGATGACGAAGACGGAGACGGTGACCTGGATATCAACCTCATCGATCGGAGTGAGTGACTTATCAGTCCTTTCGATTGACTTTTGAAATATTTTTACTAGGTGAGGAGCCATATCCCGGTCAATACATCGACGTCACACGTATGCGACGACAAAACGAGAATATAAATTGGCCAAGCCCGAGGTAAAAAAAAAAAACAATTGTTGGACGCGTACTCAATTCAACGTCGACGTGATGTACTCCACCCGTAAGTAGAAGATGGTCTCCGTAATAGTTAGGGGATAAGATTGCTGCTGTCAATTTGGTGCACAGCACTGATAAGCCATTATCAAATGAACGTGTCAATATTGCAAGGGGCAAGATTCACGTTGATAACACGATGGCTAACCATCTTTGATTGCATGACGAAATTGCAGGATGACCTCAACTCGATTTCGGGCAGAAATCGTGACAATTGTCACTTTGCTCTCGCTTATAACTTAACGCGGTACATAAAGGCTGTCCAGGACTGTGGAATGTGGTTGCTCCACCAAAACCACTTTCGAGTCCAACGGTGGAGCGGGTCTACGTGGCAAAAGCATTAATAATTTAAATGGTGCCCTGCGCTTACCATGAACTTCATGACGCTGGAGTGAAGCGGTGACAATGGTGACTGTTTCACAGGTAAAATCTAAGTCCATGGGAAGGTGACTCTATTGTTAACCTTGACAACCGAGTGGCAGACAGCAGGAATGCTTGCTGATATTATTCCAGCCACCTCGAAAGCTCCGGTCCGATGGTGCTCCTTTGGACATACCGTTTCTGAGCAGTGAGCGGCGGAAAAGGAGTTCACTCATGACGAGCACCTTCGGAGGGACTAGTTAGCCTGAAGTAAAGTACATGTGGAAGTAAACAGGACGAGAGATATATAGTACTTACTACACTATTAAGCAGGGAATAAGACGGATATGTTGCCTGAACGTTTTGGTGAGAGTGACAAGAGTGTGGCAGTGGTCGCATTTTGCCGAACGGCTCTTTATATGACCTCGACCAGTCTAAGGTGCACATATCTCCACTCCAATTCTACCGTCACGCCTCTCTCTACGGGTTAGCTACGAACGCCCGACATTCTGATTCTGAATCTTTATCTCGCCAACGTTCAAATAAACAGCTCGTGCATTCACGGGTTGGCGAGCTCGCCTGCTTTACTTGCCTGGGTTTCATCTAGATTGTCCAGTAGACCTCATTTCCTTCTCATTCAAGCGATAAACGCTCGATTGATACCGATACGCTTTTTCCAGTTAACCGAAATATTACAGATTGTGTTCTCCTTTGACACATGGATCGGTGCGCACCTACCTCGCTTCGCGCTCAAAGTGGTTGACAATTGACTTTGCTGAATTGTAGCTACGCAAAAATAGAGAAAGTCGGTGCGTGCCAGTCGTGTGTTCACATCAGACTACAATGAACTGGTGTGGCGCACGTTGTAGGAGAAGGTGCGCTCGCAGCCCACGTACTTTCGCTATTTATCGCTTACGCGCATTTAGGCACATATGGAGTTGTTTATAAAGCCCGGGACGTCACAACGAATCAAATCGTAGCACTCAAGAAAATCCGACTTGAAGCAGAGGATGAAGGAGTCCCGAGCACTGCCATCCGAGAAATCAGTCTGCTGAAGGAACTCAAGGATGACAATATCGTTAGGTACGGTGTCCTAAATGGTGTTAACCGCTTCTAGTGGCTAAATACCTGTGCTAGACTGCTTGATATCGTGCACGCTGAGCAGAAGCTTTATCTGGTCTTTGAATTCTTGGATGTAGACTTGAAGCGATACATGGAAAACGCCAACTCAGGCGGTACGCCTATTTCTATCGGCATAGTCAAGGTGAGTCGGCTTGGCATTCGAAAATAATCCCTATTGGCCCCCTGCCCTTCATTTACAACTTCTGACGCGTGGTGGACGCGTGTTTCGCGCCTCAACGCGTAGTGTGATGCGAAGGCGTCAATCAGCTGCTGCGGTCATAGCTTTTTCGCTGGCCCGAGTCATCGGAATGCTTGGCCCGCGCTATTCTTGTATATTTAGCCTTGATTCCTCTACACGCATTTCCAGATGCATCGTCACATCGATTGTGATAGGGGATGTGATGTGATATGATACTAGGGGGACGCGAAGCGGTCGTCACGTGATTCGGCAATTTGATTAACCGTTTTCCTATCACATCACAGAAATTTACTCATCAGCTCAATGCCGGCCTTCTGTACTGTCACTCGCACCGAATCTTGCATCGCGACCTCAAGCCTCAAAATCTGCTTATTGACAAGAAAAACAATCTCAAACTCGCAGATTTTGGCCTCGCGAGAGCCTTTGGCATTCCCATGAGAACGTACACCCACGAGGTAAATGAGCCTTCTTTCCATTTTTGCCGTGAGCTGAGCGTTTGTGGTGTTACCCTTTAGGTAGTAACGTTGTGGTACCGCGCACCTGAAGTCTTACTCGGTTCTCGGCACTATTCGACGGCTATTGACATGTGGTCTGTCGGGTGCATCTTCGCTGAGATGGTGATGCGTGGGAGTCCCCTGTTTCCTGGCGACTCTGAGATCGACCAGATCTTCAAGATCTTCAGGTGAACAGTGAGATTGATGTGATGGAGCAACTGATACTAGACCGTTTGATCCAGGATCCTCGGCACGCCAAGTGAAGAGACTTGGCCAGGTGTTACTCAATTGCCTGATTACAAGGATACATTCCCTCGGTGGTCGAAGCAAGAGCTTAAGAGTGTCGTACCCAATCTCGACGAACAAGGTTTGGACTTGCTCGCGGTATGTCGTTGTTAATTTTGCTCCTCATCGCACTACCGCGTTTCAATTTTCTTTTCTTGTTTTGTGCTTGATGCTCATGCCTTTTTGCAGCACACTTTGACGTATGACACAGCAAAACGGATTTCTGGTATGTACGGCAAGCTCACTCAATTTCTGTGTCTCACCCGTACTTGAAGCGAAACGCGCCCTTAACCACCCTTACTTCGCGCACTACACACCATCATGACAAGTTCCTTGCATTTGAGTCGATGGCATACATATTTGATATATTCCCGTTTCCACTTCCTTGTTACCCTTCAACTTTGTCGTCTAGTACCATCGTCTCCGTATTCGGCATCACAGTCAGTAGTTAAAATATGTCCAATGTGATAGTATGTGCATCGTTCGGAAGGCTCTCGGTGGGAATCCGGGCAGGTATCTCGAAAAGGATATCACGGTCCGGGATTATTAACGTCAAGGCGATAAAGCACGGCCTTGAGGGCAGCACCAAGTCCCACTCGTTCTCATTCCTACCGCCACCAACGCACAGACCGCCCCCTTCTCCTCAACACTTTCAGATTTCTGCTCTACACTGTAATCGACAGTCATCATGGACGACGAAGTCGAGTATTTGGGCACAAACCTTGCTGCACCAGCTGCTTGCCCCTGTGACCCACAGCAACCGGTGACGGGTAAGCACCGTCTTTGTTCGCTTGAATAATACCTCCTAGACACACCCAAAGGTATTACTCTACACGTCAAGTCGTGCGGTGGAAAGCCCGCTCATAATATTTCCTTCTTCAATACTCGCACCTCCCATGTGCACATCGGCCGCAAATCAATCTCAGATGATAGGTCTATGAGGAAAGAGAATGACGATCAGAATGCTGTATTTGCATGCCCCGTAGTCAGCGCAAAGCACGCCAAACTTGTGTTGGCCTCCAGCGGCCACGTAGGCACTGCTGATTCTGTCACATCGGACTGCACCTGACCAGCTGTGTCCCAGGTGTATATTGTTGATCTCAAGTCCCGCCATGGAACGCATTTGCGGAAGCAAGACGAAACAACATCTAGGATGTTGCAGCCTGATGTGGAGACCACCCTTACTGATGGCGATGAATTAACGTTTGGTAAAGCTGTGGGGCAAGGCGCTACCCTTGTTTCTCCGGTCACAGTCCGTATCGAGTTTCTGCGCGATATCTTGGATATGCGCGATTCGCCTCCATGGTGTCTAACTCACGCAGAGTCTTCGAGTCCTCGCCCTCGAAAATTAAGCACCGGGCGCTATGGTCTTAACAGTCCCATTTCATATACTTCTTCCCCATCTCATTCATCTGAGTCCCTTTCCTCTTCGCCGTCGGGCTCGTCCAACGAGGCCGTTGAGCATTCAGAGCATGATTCTGATATAGAAGAGATACCGTCTTGGGAGGAACTTCGTTCCTGCGTTTCATCCCTGCGCCAAGACTTTCCTGCAGACTTTCTGAGTGGTTCATTGCTCGGAAAGATCCCATCGCTCGGGTCATTGATGCAGGATATCTGCCATAAGATCGCGGACCCCCTTGACATAGATTCTCCCCAGCCTTGGACTCCTCCGTCCATCGCGGCCATTGCGGTCATTGATGATGATGATGCACCATCATCTGTCCACCTTCCGGGCTCGCGGTCTCATTCTCCCATGGAGCTCTCCACGCCATCGCCATCGCCTCCTGAGGCCCCTGAGGAGCCGGAAGTCATTGGCGCATGGCCACTATCGCGGGCTGACTCCACGCAGCCCGCTTCACGTCGCTCGGTTGAGTCGAACAGAGTCAAACTTCCGTCGATGTGCTCATTTGGACACATGGGATCCCTTGAACCAGGATCATTTGAGAACTTCCCGGAACGGCTCCCCTCGCTTTCTAATTTCCCGCCGTTTACGCCGCTGGAGGATGAAACGGCCATCCTAGCACCCATACCTGCCCTGCCCTCCAACGTCGAGGTGCGATCGTCGGATGAAGCGCAGAACGTCGGCCATGACGACCGTGAAGATCTGCGCGGTTCCATCAAGACCATCGAGGTAAATATATATTTTTGGAATCTAACCACCTTGCATTATAACTGTGTCTACCTAGGATCGGGTAAATGTGCTGCATTCCAGCGTTACTGACATCAAGAATCGCCATGCTTTGACAGAGGACGACCTTTATGACCTTCAGCATCAAGTTGACATGCTCGAACCCGAATCTGACCAACTTTTTGCACGCTTGGAGGCTGCAGAAGACAAGCTATCTACTCTGTCAGACCTACAGGAACAGGTCTCTGAGTTGCAATCAAAGATTGATGCGGACAAGCTTGACACGGCTGTGTCGCCCATGACAGATGTCAAGGCTTGCGCCGACGCTCTCAATGCCTTGGTCATCGGTTAGCATTGATGTCCGTGTTGTTGTTTAATCTGTCTGATCACAAGCTGCAGAAATGAAGTCGCTACGCGAGGAGACCGAAAAACGAGTAGAGGAGCGAATTCAAACGATTCAGACAGCTAGGACGGAGGCACTGTCTGTGATCGCTGCAGAAGTAGAGGTAACGTACTTTCTTACACTTTCCTCATCGCTCTCATACCTTTTCAGACTTTTAAATCACTTAAGCGCAAGCACTCCGAGATTGAAGCTGCTCCTCCCCCAGTCAAGATGGACATTGCGATGGCAGCCCCAGAGGCGGTCGTGGAATCTAAATCACTGGTCGAAGAAAACAGACAGGCCAAACGGCCCAGGAGGATAATGACATCCATCGCCCACACTGCAACGGCCGTTGCAGTTGGTGCAGTTGCCACTTGGTCTGCCCTCGCCTTCTCGTGAAGGAGCTTTTCAGAAGAATTCTCATACTACAATTGCTGAAATGCGTAATTGATTCTTGGTTTTTGTACCACCATTACTTCATGATGTTTCAATGTTTGTATTTTCCTTCGTACGCTGTACGTTATTGTAGGTTTTGTACCGATTACACGTCGAACAATGTATCAGGTTCCCTATCAGCATTGTTTGACCTGAGCAACGACCCGATTGATGGGAGTGATATGAATGTAATAGAGAGATTATGCAATAACATTGTAGCCACGTCATGAAACCTGTCATTTATGACTACCAAACTTAGTCCGTATATCCCTAGTAAGAGCACGAAGCATAGCAGATGTAACCACTGTGGACTTCTCCTCAGGAGGCAAAGATGTGGTGCTGATCGAGGGTGAGGTGTAGGCATGACTAGTGATGCTCAGTGGAGGACTTCCACTCTCGCTATGCGTCGAATCATCAGAGGTGGATAATCGCCTCCGCTTGGCAGGTGTAGAAGACCTGCGGACGACAGTCAGTTAAGTGAAGACAATTCAATCATTAATGACGCACCGGCTGGATGAGATATCGAGTGATGCAATACGTTTAGATGACTGTCGCAGCTTGGCGGAACGAAGAGCATTGAGCTCGTCCGAGTAAGAACTCTGCTTAGCCGAGATTTTCGACGTCGTGGCATCAAGATGGGTCTTCCGTATGAGGGTATGGTTTGCGGCGTTGGGGTTGAAGTGTCGAATGGACAGCTCCTGAGCGACGTTATATATGTATTGAATGAAAGTCCTCGAGGGAAACTCTGGAACGAGCAAGTTTAGCTGCGCACGCAAACGAATGTAGAGTTGGCATACCTCGGTCAAGGGTCTGGTGCGATCTCAGATCATCTGCGAGATGTCTACTGGCATCTTGTAGCGATGGATTGTCCAGCCATCGCAAAACCACGCCAAATGTCGAGCTGTTACGTTATAAGCGATAGAACGATTCGAGAGGAAGCACGACGTACTCCGAGTCTCTGACATCTTGCAGCTGCAGGCTGGGCAGGATATCTTCAAAGACGCTGCCACTCATTAATTGAAGCGCAGCACTAGAGATGGCGTTTAGGAGCTCTATGCACAACTCTAAGAATCTCCCAAGGAAACCCCAGTCAACTGGCAATCTTCGTCAGTACTGAACGTTCAGCAATGCTGATATTTGCTTACATTCGCCATTTAATGTGCATTGTTCCAATCGCCGGGAGGTAAATATCTGCCATATGGGTTTCCATCGTCCGAAGAGGTCTGTCCCAAAGTCAGATGCCAAATTATAAAGAGTATATCGTAAACCCTGTCATACCAGGTACAGACATCCGCCGTACGAGTTTGCCTTCAGTATCAAGTTTGAGTGACTGCAAGGCCGACTGAAACTTAGAGTCAAGGTCCAAGGCAGTGGATGTTAATGATAGATCAACATGGGAAGACGTGATTTCATCGTGAAGTATTGCAGCAATCTTCAAATGTGTTCAGCAGCTACCCAATTTTTAGAGAATCACTGGGTGTACCATATCATTAAAATCGGAAGAAGAGTCGGGCCCTCCACCAGACCAAGATATCGTCAAGAGGGATGGAATGAAATGCCTATCAGGAGGCAAGGACTCGATGATATCCCGTAAACGTGAGCAATCATCCAGCATTCGATATTTTCTGCCATGCAAAAGTTAGCACTCGTAGCCAGCAATTCATCACAGCTAACCTTTCCAGAGGGTCTTCAACCTCGCTAACTGGGGTTCGCTCAAAAACGATGATACCCGGGTATCGTGCTGTGCTGTTTTGTGGCTGTGGTGCCACCGGTATCTGGAATATATGGACATCCTTCCAGCTGCCAGAGTCAGGCACATCAAATTTGAGTTCGAGCCAAATGGCAGTTCCATCGTTATCCTGGTTCAAGGACAGCCACGCAGCCCAGCTTTCGGGAACGCCACGTGCCGTCGCGTTCAAGTGTTGCTGCAGCATATGGAGGAAGGATCCACGAGCCCAGCGCCGTTCGTTCTCTTCACGATTCTAAAACCACAAAGCATTCAAAAGGCGTGGTACGCTCGAGACGGACGGTGTACCAACCTTTTCGAACCGCCTTACAAGTTCTTCATCACTGGGCGGTGGCCGATATTCGCTGGACAAGCGATTTCTGAGACGCTTCCTGACAGGAAGTGGCCGTTCCGGTGTAACCACTTTGCGCTTGGTCTCTTGTGGCAACGAGCTAGTACTCTTGGAAAGCCGCTCTGCTTGTACACGCTGGCTATAGGCATCGCTCCGCCGACAAGCCTCCTTCCACTTGGTGCGAGCAGTCGTCCGTTCCATCCATTCATGGAAGGCCTCCTTCACGAGCAAGCTCCTTCGAGTAAATGCGAAAGCTTTAGATTCAAGTGTTTCTTGGTCCACTTTGCTTGTAAATGAAGAAGCCGATGTCTTGCCATTCAGTGGGCTTTCCAGTTTAGTCGAAATTGTTTCAAGATCAGCAGCGGTGGTCGTTACACGCAAGGGGGTTGGTAGTGAGTCACGTCGGTGTAGGCTGGCCATAGAACTAAAAGTCGATTTTGTCCCGGGTGATGAAAGTACCAGTGGGCTGAGAATCTCAGTTGGGGAAGGGGCAAGCGAAGTAGATTGAAGTTTCTTGAGAGACCCGAAAACGGACTTGCCAGAGACGGCTGAAGGGATAAATGTCGCAGTGGGTGTTGGCGGTAAAGATATTGGCTGAGGTCTGCTTAAAGGTGGCGGTTGAGCAGGTGGTGTTCCATCTAAGCCACCGAAAGAATCACGGGGAATGCCAAAAGTTGGCTGTGAAGTGCCGGGGGAGGGAGGATCGGGAGGTTGGTACGAAGGTGCAGGTTGTGCGCTAACTGGAGGAAGTAATGGGGCAAATACTGGTGCATGAGGGTTGAGAGGAGGTTGGGGTTGTATAGACGACGCAGTCTTGTTGACCTCGGGTATGGAGGGGCGTTCGGGGGAGGGGGGCAATAATTTGCTGAAGGTAGAGGAAGGAGGTGCCGGAGGCACTATGAACGAAGCCCGAGTCTTGTTCTCAACGGGCGCTACAGGGGTTGGAGATGGGACAAGTGGGGGTTGACCAAAAACTGGAGGTTGAGCTAAGTTGAAGACATGATTAATAAACAAGAGATCGGAAACAGGTTGCCCACAAACCCGAAGAGGGTGCTTGGCTGAAGGCAGGGGTCTCCGTTGCAGAAGATCCGAATACTGATGTAAGGACGGGTGCTGAGCCAAAACCAAATTCGTTCGTGGAACCGAATGTTGACGTTTGGAATGTCGTCGTCCCGAATACATTGGGAACAGACGTCAGATTTGAGAATGCAGACTTTGGAGATTGTGGCGCAGCTTGAGAAATAGCGTTCAAGAATGCTGATTCGGTGGGCTTCAGACCAAATGTATCGTTGAGCCATTGGGTTCCGCTTCGCTGCAGGGGCTTCGGGGAAGATTGTGGTGCGTCCACCAAGTCAGCCTCGAAGGGGGGTTCCTCTTCCTCGTGCATAGCATCTAGTTTTTCCTCGTGCATAACGTCTAGTTCTTCCTCGTGCATAGCGTCTGGTTCTTCCACGATGGCGTCATGGTGCTCCTCTACAGCAGCAGAGTTGCCGTCGATGATATCCGGAATGGCAAGATTTTCCCTCAGGCTCTCAATATCGTCGACGGTATCGGTGCCGAATAGGTGCTCTATGATGCATGCGACCAGATAAATCATGGCATAGTTTCCTTCCCCCTGAAGCACTATAATTAGTTCGTTGAAGACGCCCAGCGCCTCGTTATCAACGGAAAGCGCAGAGCTCCTGGTGATGGGAGCACTCTTCGCCTGTACGAGCAGCCGGAATTTGGTGGTGAGCTTGAATGCCGGATGACCGAGGATAAAATCAGGGATATTCTCCTGTCGCTCTGTCTGATCACGAATATGGATTAGGCGATGATAGACTCGCATTTCGAGCTCTGTTGGGGATTGATATTTTCCTCGTTGAACTTCGTAAAACTCCTTCAGACTTTGGAGAGCTGCCAGTACGATGTTTAGAAAGAAGGTGTGGCAGGTAGCGAGTCAACGCACTGTACTTCAGCTGCTGTTCCTCCAGATTCTTCTGGTCGCGCTCCAGGTGAAGACCAAGGATGTGAAACCGTGCACATCTATCATGGCATTCCATTGCAATGGAACCCATTTCATGCTGCATCGTGAAGTCACTTCGCACAGCACGCGAACGATCACGAATGAAATTGAAGGTGGCAGAAAAGCCACCTCGGGGAAGCAGGTCATGGAAAAGATAGTCAAGTGTACGCTGCCATAAAATACATTAAATTATGAATGTATGAATATATTGGAGCAACTTACTCGAAGAACTTTTGGGGGACGAAGGTCGGAGGGTAGCGTCTTGTCACCAGCTGCCCGCTCATACATTTTAACAGCTCTCTTGTGATCGACACGTTTGGTGCCTGGAACCTAACGAGTAATCAGCGCAGATATCTGGCACGCTTACGAATTGAAACCAGTCCCCATACAATTTCCCACTCAAAGAGGTTGTTCTCGCGTTCACGGCGGTACCGTTCGAATCTGGGGCACATATCCATGCACGTGCCAACCATTGTGATAGCATCTTCTAGTCGTTTTGGCACAGTAGGATCGTCCATTTTGCCCTCCGAAATAGCTTTCTTGCGCTCAACTTCTCGCGCTTTCACAAGCTGCAGACTCGAGTGAAGGCAATATAAACTGAATGAGACATATGACTCACCTCTTTCCAGAATCGTTCCCTTTCCTCGAGCGTCTCTGGCACATGTTCCTCGACTTCATCTACATCAGTGGCATCCTCCATTTCGCTATTGTCCCCTTCACTAGCAGCAGCTGATCCAGCGTCTAGAGCGCCTGCATGACGGAAATTCAAGGTAGTGTTGGGAAATTTGCCACGTGTGCCTCTTCCTCGACCCCTGCTTCCTCTGTGCCCTCCACGCTCCCATCGCTCGGTGTCTACGCCTCCATGAGGTGTGCTACTTCTGCTGGTGGCCCCATCCGCGACCCATTGCTTGTTTTTATGGTGAGCTCTTCGTCCTGTCCCAGCACCATCATGGTGAACACCGTTTGCGCGTCCTCTGTGTGTTCGAAAGTGGGGAGTGGGCTCCATGGTGCCGACTGCACTGGTGGTCACAGTCGGTCTTTACCAAGTCTCATCCGACACCTTGTATTGGTGTTTGAGGTTGTTTATTTCCAAAGGCTTTGGACAATAGAACCAAATAATGCCCGGAAAAGACTAGATTCGTGACTCCAGAACCTTACACCATGTCTGATGAACTTGTAGGGACGTGTTGCGCGCTCGGACTCACTGCGTGCTGCGATGTCTTGACTGGAATATGTCTCGACTTTATGTCAATACGTAAGCACAACGATTTCCCGGGTGTCGTTTAATTCAATTCTCTACACCGACAGGGCATTCATGCACAGAACACCTTTGCGACTGCTGCTCGTGTAGAAAGGCTCTTGACGATACGGTACCTGATGTTGAAAGAGAGCCGCTCATCTGCGGAGACAGACAGCCTAGTCCCCATCCATTGATGCGTAGCACTGAGTGCTCGTAATCATAGGCGCGCACGCTCGTTGATACCGTACCATAGTTGGTAAGTGGTGTCTTACCTTAGACATGGACAGAGCTGAACCTGTGGTCATTCTCAGATATTACTATCTTAGTGTTGTACCATCACTGTATCTCATACCACATCAAATTAATATGGACAACTACCAAAAGGTATAATAACCAATTCTACACAAATGACGAATATGTAGCAAACGAATGTGTTCAACTCGAAGACTGGGCTTATACATAAATAACAAATAACAATCAAACCATGTCCAGCTCGAAAGTTCAACCAACCATAATTAAGGAAATAAATCAGAACGAATGGGGTTGACTTAGACACCTGGGGTGGTGAAGTCAGGGTAATCAGGCCAGTTCCCTAGCTTTCCAGGGTCGCCTCCAATGCGAACCCAAGCAGAGTGCGATGGCGTCGGACCGTCCAAAATAAACAATTGGTGCCATCCTGGAGGACACACGAACGCATTCGGGGGCGCAGTGATGGTACAAGTGTTCCCAGAGCACGAAAAGTCGGGGAAGATAATCCTCCCACCGCTCATAACGTTTCCGTGCGTGCTAGACGAAGCTATAGTTCATAGTCAGAAACCGGTCCATCCACAATCACTAGTCTTCCTTACCCGCCACGAGTGAAATGCGCATATTGCTCGTCGTTCCCTGGAATAAAGTTACTGTAATACTGTACTGCCCTCCCAGCGCCCAGTCAGTGGCACTGATGGTGAACTCCGGTTGCTGCAACCCTTGATTAAGGTATGGCGGGATATAAACCTCAATGCGCATCTCCTCTGGGTACACGTAAGACCCGTTGGGATAGTTCGTCTGGGGGTCTGAACCAGACACCAGAACACGCCCATCAGGCAGCAGGGTCGCCTCAGAGTGATACAAGCGAGCCACGATGGTATTGTTGAGGATGGACATGCGCTGTCCGACCGGCTTTGAAGGGTCGTAGAGAATTGCACTCAGATTGGGGTCCGTTGCAAGGCCAAAGCCAGCAACACCTTGATGGGCGCCGTTCATGATCATATACGTGCCATCTGCGATCGAAGCAAAATTAGCCTCTAGACTTCTGTCATTCGTAATCATATTTACCAGGCAGGGTCACCATGCAAGGCATTACCCGTTTGGAAGGCTGGAGTGGCCACAGTTTAGTATTAAACCTTAACGCACCCAAAACAAAACCGGGCTTACCATGCGTTCTAAGGTCCACGCCGCGTTCTCCACCTCAGGGGCAATCGTGATACAGTTATCCAGCGCAATGGCGGCTCCGATGGTCGAGCCACCACAGATGAGAACCTCGATCGGATCTGTGTACGGCGCATACTGCGGAAGAAGCACCGCAGAGCCTTCCATCGGGTACGTCCGGCCAGCAAGGAAGTTATTCACGGCACCCGGCATGTTGGGCAGCACCGTCACTGTATCGAAGGTGACAGGGTCAAGAACGCGAGCCTCGTTGTAGTAGCCTTATTCATTTTGTAAGAAATAGCGCATTTCGTCATGATGTTACGTACCAATGAAGAACCGGCCGCTGGGCATCACCAAGAGGAACGGGTAGAGATTGTTGGGATCTGTCCGCTGGAGATAGTCCAACGTAATGACCGTATCGCCACCCGGTGGTTTTGGAAGGATCTCAAGGCTGGGCTGCGGGGAGGCATTGCTTCCTGACTCTCCGCCAACGACCAAAATACTTCCGTTTGGCATCATCATCGCGGTAGGATACCATCGGCCACGCTAGGCACAGATCAGCAAAATGCGCCCGACACCAATAGTTCAAGAGCTGACCTGGAGTGTGAGCTCATCAACGTTCTCTTCCCAGTCATTTGTGCCATTGACACCAGGGCTCCCATCGGGCGTATACAATCTCACACCGAAAGTTGACTCGAGCGACCATCCACCCACATTAATTTGCCTGATTGTTCCGATATATTCGTGAGCATGAGATGACGACATGGAGAAGCAACAAACCTTGCACCCTTGTCTGGCAGAATGATACTACCAGAACAAAACACGTCCGTCTTCAAATGCATCTCGCGCCAAGCCAGGTGGTAATTGTCTACCAAACTGATGTCCAACTCGTACGCGCCAGTTGAATTGTTATATTCCGAGGTGCCCCACTTCTCCAGGAAGGTGACTTTGTTGTTGATGCCAACAGTAGCGATGAGAGGGACGACGAGACCGCCTATGAAGAACTTCATAGATGATAAGCGCTTTGCAAATTCTGGATAAGATAGGGCACACCTCATAGTAGCCAGTATTCGCAGGGGTGTTCCACAAGTTCATCGTCCCGTTCCAGTAGTAAGTAGACAGCTTGCTTTGTCCTCCACACAGGTGAATTGGGTCTCCCGAGCAAGCGACGTTACACTGTGAATCCGAGACATACGTCCCACCACTTGCTGTGACATCACTGACGTCGCCACAGACTTGTCTCTATCAGCAGTCCGCAAAGAAGTATAGTAGATCAATGCGCTTACAACACTGTTCACCGTATTCAAGGCCAGCTGCGGGATACCCAAAGGCAGCACACTGGTTTAAGCACGCATCAACGGTGTTGTTAGTGGTCCAGTCCATCTCATATGGGAACACCCGAACGCCATTAGTTGAATCCCTGCATGATAACATCAGCATGTTGTGTGCAGGCAGTGAGGGATTACCGACACCAAACAGCCTTGATATTCCCATTGTCCTGGCAAGCTTGTGGTTTTTAATGTAGGAACAGGGAGTAATGTTATGTTTCCAGTAGAGGAATACACAGACATTCGGTTTGGACCACCACATGCCTCACTGATACAAATCAATAACATAAATCAGACCAGCAAACAGATAACACGCACGTCGCATTTCCACCACAGCCCATATTGCAGTCACTGTCCACTCCTTTCGTAGCCCCATTAATGAGATAATCACCGCAGACTAGACAGTCAACAGTCAACGGGGGTGAAGAAGAAAATAAAAGCTACTCACAGCATTGCGTGCTGTACTCGATAGCTGCGATAGTGAAGTTTTGCCCGGCACAGTTTGCGATGCAACTCTGCACTGTGGTGGAAGCGCTGTCAAGTTCGTTCCCCAATATACGCCCATTTACGTTGTCGACGTAGCATCCTCCATATGTCCAGTTGCCAGTTAAGCCAGAGGTCACTGGCGAGACAGTGCTACCTGTACCAGGATTACCACCAGCATTGGTAATAGGAGTTGTCGGAAGAGGCTGGGTGTAGTTATACATACTGAGCCGGTTAGGCCCTCCGCATAACTCGGACGAATTTCCCGCGCATGTCATATCGCAATCCGCGTTTGCCGTTGGACCAGAGTTGTTCTCGATGGTCAACCCACAGTCTGCAAAGACCTGTCAGCACAAGAAGCACTCGATCAACATGCGTGCGCACAGCATTCATCAGCGTATTCCATGCCCGCATAAGGGTATCCAGCATTGTAACACGCGGTGCTACACGATTCGACAGTCACGCCTCCAGTCACGCCCACACCGTATGGCAAGGCTCGCGTCGCTGAGTCGCTGTTACGAATGTGGGTTAGCTTATGCTTCGTGCTTGTACAGGGACGTACTTGTAGCATCCGAGCAGCGACCAGTTCCCAACACTAGGTACCAGGACGGGTGGAGGGGGAGGTTGGGACCCACTCCAGAATATATCCAGTCTGTTGCCAGCACCGCAGAATTCGCTTGCGTTACCAGTACAGGGCATGTTACAATCAGACGAGGTGGTATTAGTGGCGCCACTCGAGAAGTAGTTGCTGCAGTCTATGCGAAAGATGATCAAGAAGCAATACACATGAGCATGACGCAGCACGTACAACACTCCTGGGCATATTCGACACCTGCGTAAACGTAGGCGTTGGAGCCGGTCGAACAGAAGTTGATGCATGACTCAATAGTCATATTCACAGTGTCTGTGTATGCAGCTGCAGAAAGCGTTCTTGCACCACCAACATTATCGCTGGACAACGGTGGTTATAAAAATTTCCATCATCATGAAAGTGTATGTATACTCACGTCCAGCATCCAAGTGCAGTCCAACTGGTGGCACGTCGATGAAGATGGTGTGAGGGGAAGCGGTATGCATCGGCGGGCTGTGGAAGAGAGAATTTAACGACTCAGTACTTGAGACCACTGTAAAATCGTACTTTTGTGAGCGAGTATATGATCCAAATCAACGAGAAGGCGGTAAGACCAGCCATCTTGTCGTGATCGACACCTGCTGGGGAAAGCTGCATTTATACATCCCTGGAGCTTCCCTTCCCATCTACTTTTCTGGGTGATCTCTGCGCTGGAAACAGCTGGTAGACGCTGTGATGGAAAACAAGGGACATCAAGGAACTTGGTTCCGTCACCCTGGATAGACTTCGTGGCCAGCAGTCAAGCATTCACTGGCAGGTCGCATCAGTCGAATTCAGCCGGACGGGCTTGTTAATATCGGAGTTTACGTGTCCGGTGTCCCTGAAAAAAGGAAAGTTCTTGGTTAACGATGAGTCGAGAGAAGAAGGAAGCAAATAATCGCTCTGACGTGGTTGCTACACACTCTTCGAAACTATTCAGATGCTTACCACACAGCTCCAATCCGTGAACGCACGCTGTACGCTTCGTTAGCGTGAAGTAGATACTTGTAAGTGAATGCAAAATGACCGTGCCAAACTGGCACCTGAAGATCAGAACAGGCAGGTCTGGACATCCCGCCAAGTGTACTCTATTTTGGAGATAAGTTCTTGCACAAATAAGACGAACAGAAGTACTACTAATTAACGCACCGCTATCCCCACATGAAATCATGTAGAGTTGCGACAACACGTAGAACAGGTACGCAATCGCCGAGTTGATCACTTGAGCATCTAGACAATGTACAGGAACCAAGGATCAATCACGAATTTACTTTTTGGGCATCGGTGTCGTCTCCGACGAACAGATGAAACGCAGACAGGAATAGTCGAGCACTCACGTTGTTTGACAAGACTGTGAAGATATGATTGGTAGCCGAAACGACGGAATACGGACGAGGTTCGATGTAGAGTAGGCCTAGAATCCAGCGCTAGGTGAGCGAGAAAAAAAAATACACGCGGGTATGAAGTACCTCAAAAGCGATGAATGGAGATGAAATTCGGACCGCGGTGATGTCGGAAAGTTGTCGGAATGGTTTGCGCAGTGAAGAACTCCGAATCAGAAGACCGCACTTGGCGCTGTCGGTCGAATGCTTACCAGGTGGGGAAGCGTGCCTTTGATGAGCACAGGGGTATAAAGATTAATTCCACTGTACCCTTAGTTAGCGCAAGGAACAAACTAGACATGAAAGATGGAGCCTGTTACACGTAGGCGATTACACCATGGAATTAAGTACACCCGGAAACTCAAGCTTGAAGCTTGAGCTTGATTGCTCGCGGAGGGGATATTAGTCAGCGGCAAGATGGAGTCAGCTGAGCAGAACTTTGAATTTAGTTTTAGTGACCCCCTTCCGAGTTTCAAAGATTGAATTGAACGGATCAGACCTAGTAGGAGTAGGAACATTGTAAAATCAAGTAGACAAGTAAAGTTAGTTGATCATGGTAATAGAAAGAGGAAAGACATACGTTTTTGGTTATTGTGGCGGGAAATGGCCAAATAGGCTTTGTGATCACTCTGCAACCAACCCCGCCGCAAACCTAAGAACATCTCCGAGCAAGGTATGAACTTTAAAGGTTTTGGTTCAATCAACTTCGAATCAACTTCTCACTTTGTCTCCCACCATGCCTTCCACAGACTTCACAAATATTAATATCAAATGTCTGCAAATCAGCAGATCTCCCCAAATCCCAATCCACCTCCTTCTTCTTCAGCTTGGACAGAACCTCCTTGGTCAGGTTGGATAGAGACTACTGGCGATGCCTTACTCATCCTTGAAGCTGCTCGTCGTGGTTTAATACCAAGAGTAACTAGGCGTCTAGTCGATTCAGAGCGCAAGATGATAACATCTGGCTCAGTCTTTGTATTCGACGAGGACGAGAGCGGTATTAAGCGCTGGACCGACGGCTTCTTCTGGAGTCCAAGCCGTATCCTAGGCAACTTTCTACTTTATCGCGAGACCGACAAGCGTGGCGCAGGTCATCGAGGCGTTCGTTCTGACCCTGCCGAAATGAACGAACACTCTCAGTACAACGTGGACGGCGTTCGCCTCGAGGGTCAGACTTTAAGCCGTCCCAAAGGAGAGTCCAGCTCAATAGGTATCGACAAACACAGAGAACGTGTTCTCGTTGGCAGTCTCACAAACAGCTACAAGTTCAAGTCTGACGGCCTCATGAAGAAGGTCTGTCCTTCCACATCCTCCTCCTATACCCTTTTTCTCACGGTTTCATTCCTATCAGACCTTTTCCTTGACCATTGGTGGTGTATCTCAGCATCTGATATCCTACTACAAGGTCGAGGATGTGGAGCAAGGGCGCTTACGTTCTCCTTCATCACTTCCTGAATTGGCTTCTTTGGATATCAGTCCAGAATACCTCGACAAAACACATTTCCGCAACCCTCCCAAAGTCGAGATTGGTGTGGATGGTGTCCCTCGTTACCGCGGAGAGGCAGATGACATTGAATCCGGCACTTCCATGATCACCGCTCCTCTTTCGTCTGGACTTCCTCTTCTTACCGACGGTCGCATTACTGATGGAAAACGAGGCGCGCGCTACAACCCATATGCCACCGGCAGTGGCAAGCGCTCTCGCAAATCCAAGAGCTCTCAGCCAGAGTCATCATCTCCGACAGAGCACCATGCACCCCCTCTGCCATCCCCATCGACTCCTACTGCATCCCAAGCTCCGCCTCCCCCTGCATACCCTGACCAAGCAGTCTCGAGTCTCCCTCCCCAGCCTCATTATTCAGCATACCCGACCCCTTCTTACTACGGCGTTCCAGGATATTCCACTTCCCACTCCACTTCCCATTCCGCCACACATTCCGCCACCCATCCTCCCGTATACTCGGGTTCGTCGTACCCCACACCGTCCCCGACGACTCCTCACCAGCCATCCCCAACTCCGTCCCAGCCGTACCCATACCCTGGGTACAACAGCGCATCAGCCAGCGCTGACACGCAGCAGAATTTGATTCCTCACCACCCACCTGCCTCGGTGCCTCAAAGCAACTACTATCAGTACTACCCGCCGGCAGCCTCACAACCTTCATACGGTAGCTACCCTCCAAACAATACCTGGCCAGCGCCAACTTACGCCAATTACTCTTCCTCAACATCTGGTTCTTCCAGCGCACCACCGCTTGCAGCCACTATAGCTGAGCTACCCGACAAACCCTCGGAAGGCCGCGCGGCACCGGAAGCCGGCGCCAACAGTCCTACATGAGACTCTTCGTTTAGATTGTATTCTCTACGTGTTCCGTCATTTTTCCGCCTCTTTCCGGTTTTCTTTCGCTCTGTTGTCCCACTCGATCGAGTACTTTGTTTCAATAGGTCTATTTCGCATTCTCTCCCATTTCCATTTCCATTTCGTTTTCATTTCCCTCTTCGTTCGTTCTTTCGGGGATTCACTATAACTAGTATTCCATATCGGCCCTTGGCTTGTATATATGTACGAGTGCAAGTGTGTCGTGGTTAGTTTTAGCGTTAGCGTGACTTTGGTCGATACGGCCCTTACCTATGCGCTCTCTTTCATATTATAATTCTCATGCTGGTGTTCGTCTTCAGTTGATAAGTACTGTACTACCTGTTTACCTTGTGCTGTGGGTTACATACGGAATACAGCATGCATACCACTATCCCTGCCGGTGTGTAATGCGCCAGTCCCTGACTTCCGACATTGATGGTTACATATGGAATATGTAGAACATGCATACCGGTATCAAGTAACGGTCCGAATAACACGAAGAAACCACGGGAGAAACTAAGCTCGTGATCAACCAACCTGGCGTATACTATATCACCGTGACGGAGTTCGGATCTGAAGTCGTGACTATGTCAACATCTCCCAATCTCAAATCGATCTATAGTCAGATCTACTGGTTACCAGTCTAGAGAGAAACGGAGATGATATCGACGAACTCTAACATAAGGTCTTCAATTTCGAATAGCCTAATCATCATGATGGATTTTATTGGAAGGTCATCCAAACTTCCAAGGGCCTCCAAGGCCCCTTCAGTGCCGCAACAATTTTCCATGATCAATTGAACAGAAGCTGCTAATAAATCCCCTCCACTTCCTGGGAGTCGGGGATTGTCGACAAGCGCCTCGGGCTGGTGAGAAAAGTATTGCATGACATACAGATGAGAGAGAAGTCGTACATATATAGGCAGTGCAGATCATATTCTGATCAATCGACCATCCAACGGATAAACACAAACAGGTCAAAATAGACGTATCGTGGTCATGCGAACGGAAAACTGCTCTCTACTGCAGATCGGCGAGAAAAGTCTTCATCAACGTCCTGAAAGGTGATTCATGAGTCAAGATCAATAAAAGGGCGAGCGAAGCCTGATGTACTTCTTCCCACACGGGATCTTCGTCTCCGTCCTCATCAAGAGGTTGCCACGGTGGCATACAGTCAGGCCACCTGAGTTCATGTCAGAACATATATGACGAGTCTCATAGGTAACTCACAGATCATCTTCCGTCACTCGTTCCTCATCCCCTCGGCATCTCCGCCCGAACCACCCATTACTTCGGTGTTTCAGGGCGTAGAGAGGCGTGTAGCGGTACTGTTCAGTCTTGTCAAACGCCTTTCGGAGGAATGCAGCACGAACATCTGTCCACCAATCCACAGACGCTTCTCTAGCGGTGAGCGCTAGCCCTGCCTTCTCTCTGGCTGCGCCAGGCCATCATCATACTGCTAATGGTATCCAACCAATAGACGTACACTTGTTAGACAAGTAGAAGTAATACCCCGGACATGTGAATGCCTTGGTGACGAGATACTTGCCATGTAGCTCATTCGCCTTGTGGACAAGCATCAGAACCTTGCCCGGGGGGATATATTCCTGCAGGGGCTTGTGCATCACGAGGACAGCGCCTCGCTTGCCCCCCTGAAACTGAAACTCGGCCTTGAAGGAAGCAGAGGCCAGGTTGTGGATGGAGCTGACCGATTGGTGCATGTTGAATGATAGCGCAAGGGTGTTTGCACTCACACTTCTGGCTTCAGCGAAAATTCTTCCTGTTTGACGCCCTGCGACAATATGATCATGTTGTTATCGACGGCACCCTTCTTGGGCTGGTATTCAGATAGATTGATCTTCAAGCCTTGCTGGTTCAACGACGTTTGGAACGATTTATCGTAGATATTCCCTTCCACTTTAAGCTCTCCGGTGTCATTATTGATCGTCCCATAGTCCCCACCTACGACCTCATAGATGAGCCAAAATCGGCGCAGAGATCTAAACCAACCCTGATTTGAAGGGGTGGGTCCCAATTGGCCCACATGGACGACACCTGGCGAATGAGATCGATGAACTTGCGAGAGGCCGCTATGTCTCGCATTGCTGGGCGAGGAGGAGGAAGGGATGCGGAAATGTATGTCAGAAGTTTCCCACCTCCATTGCAATTGATGTAGATACAAGTGAATGCTTTTAGTTTCAAGTGCTTCAACACGTTACATCAGTGGATCACCTTGAGGCTTGGGATCAACCTATGTATAAGCATTCTATCGAAGCAACTCTGGTTTAGTCAGTGTCACACATCTATAACAAGCAATAGGACTTTGTTCACCGCAGAATCGTTCGGACAAGTAACAAGTACTACTGTCCGAGTGTCCAGGCTTCTGGCATACAAGGGTCCAAGCTCAGCCCTCAGCCCGATCTCGAGTTGCGGACGTATGAAGCAGCAGAAGCCTTCATACTACAGAGAATACAAGGCTGGTCCTCTTCATGCGCGCATAGCACACGGCTGGGCCCTTCTCGCAAGATCCGGTCGAAGCATGAATTTGTTGGGAGGGTTCCTTTCATGGTCTTGACTTCAAGCCTGTAGTATCCAGTAGTAGGTAACTTGAAGGTGTTACTATCGCAGCACGAGACAGGAAATCTATTTACACACCTCGTGAGTACAATGTCGGCGAGTGTTTGAGCATTGTCACAGTTGGCATCTATTGCCGACTCGGAGTTAAATCTCCGAGCCTGCTTGCCCATCGGGCATGGAGTTAATCAGTCCTGAAATTTTTGACTACGCCGAGAGCCTACAGAATAGTAAATGGAAAAACTTACAGCAAGGACATGGGCATGGGAAGCACGTTCCACCATGCGAGAGTTATGTGAGAATGTTCTCGTCTTGAAGGGGGCATTTAATGGCACTCGTTGCGCCAATAGGTCTCGAGTTGGCGTCTGAACTCCGAGTCATCCGAGTCAAGGCACTCCCAAAAATTTAAATGGTGCACGGAGTGACAGGCAACGCCGAAGATAAGAATTTATTGAGCATGGTGGTCTGGCTTCAAGTTGTACTTCCCGCGACAACAACTACCTTACCTCATTCGACATCCTGCATTATCTTTTCCGAGTCACCAGTTCTATAATATCAATTCTTCACTTGCTCTTCACCATATCCTTGCTAGCATCTCGCCTCGATGAGAGTGTGCTGGAGAAAATCCCCAGACTCATAGTCGAGAAATTGACCAACTACGACTTGACTTTTAACTTGTTTGCTCCCAGTCATCCCCTCTGCATTTTTGGCATGCGTGTTTTTAGCGACGTCATTGCTGATCCAGCCTACATGTAAGCAATGATGCGACAAACTTGCGGATGCCATCTTCAAGGCGAGCAATTCTCAGTGAGCATGGCTGTCTCGGATTATGCCAGCAGTGCTTCTTGCGGGGCTGGTGAAGCAGAGCATTTGAATTTTGGGAGGACTCTACCTGTAAGTTTGTTCAAAAACATCTCGAACGAGAGAGGGAATATGCGTCGAAGATCTTTTTCTGCATGCAGCACTGGAAAGGAACAATGGTGAGGTGAGAGTTTTTTCTTCTTTCTTTTCGCTTATATTCTATTCTCTACGCGTTCCGTTGGTTAGTGCTATCCCACTCGGTTGAGTACTGTCTCCATAGGTCTATTTCTCATACTCTTACATTGCCGTTTCATCTCCGTTTCCCTCTTCGTTCGCTTCGTTTCGGGGATTGACCACAACTGTTTACCTTGTGCTGTGGGTGTTACGTATGGAATACGGCGTGCATACCACTATCCTTAATGGTGCGGTGCGCAAGGCTCCAGTCCCTGACTGCGAGTGTGAAAATGATGTTTTAGTGCATGAAGATAATCGGGACGGCATCGATGAACTCTAACACATTCATTTTCGAATAGCCTGAGCATCATGACAGATTTTCTTGGAAGGCCATCCGAAGGCCTCTTCAGTACCGCGACAATTTTCCAATGTCATTTGAATAGAAGATGTTTGCAATCATCTCCACTTCGTGAGAGTCGAAGATCGTTGACAAGCGCTTCAGGCTGATGAGAATAGAGTATGTATGGCATGGTATACAGATGGAAGAGATGTCATACATATAAAGGCAGTGCAGATCTTCTGAGAAATTAATCAATTAACCATCCAACGGGCAAACACAAACTGGTCAAAAGGGGATCATGCGAATGGAAAAATGCCATCTACCGCAGATCGGCGAGCAAGGTCTTCATCGTCCCGAGAGGTAATTCATGAGGCATAATCAATAAAAGGGGCGAGCAAAGCCTGACGTACTTCTTCCCACAGGGGATCTTCGTCTCCGTCCTCATCAAGAGGCTGCCACGGCGGCGAACAGTCAGGCCACCTGAGTTCATGTCAGAACAGATATGATGAGTCTCATAAGTAACTTACAGATCATCTTCTGTCTGGTGAAGTTCCTCATCCCCGCGGAACCTTCGCCCGAACCACCCATTACTTCGGTACTTCAGGGCGTAGAGAGGCGTGTAACGGTACTGCCCGGCCTTGTCAAACGCTTTTCGGAGGAATGCAGCTTGAGCATCCGTCCACCAGTCCACAGAAACTTCTCCGCCAGCAGTCACGCCCATTGCAGCCGGAATCGGTACACTAGCGGCCAGCGCTAGTCCTACCCTCTCTCCGGCTGTGTTAAGCTATCAGTATACTGTCTTCTAATGATACCCAATAAGTAGACGCACACTTGTTAGACAAGTAGAGGTAATACCCGGGACACGTGAATGTGCTGGTGACCAGATACTTGTCCTGCAACTCGTCCGCCTTGTGGACCAGCGTCAGAACCTTGCCCGGGGGGATATATTCCTGCCGGGGCTTGTGCATTACGAGGACGGCGCCTCGCTTGCCTTCCTGAAACTGGAACTCGGCTTTGACGGAAGCAGAGGCCAGGTTGAGGAGGGAGCTGATCGATTAGTGCATGTTCAATGATGGCGCGCAAGCAAGAAATACGTGCGCTCTCACACTTCTGGCTTCATCGAGAACTCTCCCTGTTTGACTCCAGACGAGGACATGATCATGTTGTCATCGACAGCGCCCTTCTTAGGCTGATATGATGAATCAGATAAATTGATCTTCAAGCCTTGCTGGTCCAATGACGTTTGGAACGCTTTATCGTAGATGTTTCCTTCCACTTCAAGCTCTCCACTGTCACTATCGATCCTTCCATAGTCCCCCACCTACGACCTCGAAAATGAGGCAAAATCGGCGCAGAGATCGCGAGCACATAAACTGACCTTGATTTCAATCGGTGGGTCCCAATTAGCCCACTTGGACGATGCCTGGCGAATGAGATCGATGAACTTGCGAGAGGCCGCTATGTCTCGCATTGCTAGGGCGGTTGGGCGAGGGGAGGAGGAATAAATGTGGAAGCGTGGTTTAGCCTCACACACGAGGCTGTAGGGCTGGACGATTCATAACTTATAAGGTTTCTTAGGCGCTACGTAGTACTGCCTCGAAGTGATCGCATGACCTGTGTCATCACTCTGGAAATTGTCGACCGTTCAAAACTTCATCCAAGCACCACCGGTAGACCGGTCAATCTCCGGAGGCCGCGATGCTATCACTGGGAGCGCAGGCGCAGGCTGACAGTACTAGTTGCATGTTGCACATTATTATGAGAGATCGGCAGCAGTAAGTAAGTCGGCTGGCAAGGGGGCGTGAGAACAATATAAACATGTAATATGGGATCGACAACGACAAAACAAACAAAACGCATTGGATGGTACTACTATCACCTGATCCGGAATGCACAATCGATGGGTAATGCACAATGCACTCCAGAGCTCACCACTCTACGTATATTTCATTCGGAACAGCTGGAGAACAAGTATTAGCATATGTTCAATAAGACTGCCAAATCAAATATTTAAAATCGGCGCTGTGAAGCCTTCCCGAGATGAAACATTGTGCGAGTGTACCCAAAATGAGTGATTTTTGGACACTAAATCCAAGATCCACCCACATCCCATTGACCTATCAACATAGGAACTTCAACATGTATGAAATACACTATTCTGAATCTACCCCAGGTGTTTCTATGTCAATAGAACACCACCACAGCGTGCTATTCACGATTCATGAGCAAAGCGTGACGGTCAGGCTAGATTGGGAAATCACACTCTCGGCTTGGTTGAGTCTCCGCTTTGTTTGCATTCGGCAACACTGGACTTTCATTCGCTTTGCGCGCTGTCGGACTTTGGATATCATTGTGTATTGGCCGAGGTGCCGCGCGTGACATAGTGTGACGAAATTGTGCATTTCTACTGTGTTTTCGACATCTCAACTTCCAGTGCTGCCGCTGCAACAAGCTCGCAACAAAATAAAATAAAATATTGTTGGGCCTAATGCGCAGAGACACAAGGTATACACTACAGTAGATCCGATACGAATATGTGTTGTTGTTGTGTTGCTATTCAGCAATAAGTGAAAATTGTGCATTTCCCATCGAATGATAGTATACAATCCATAGAGATATATAGAGATTGTGGAGATACGTACACAGCCATGGAATGATTGTAAATCTAGAAATCGAAGGACAAACTCGACAAGCGGACAAAAGCAATCTGATTGAATGCAGAAGTGGCTACACATACTATGTAGCCTCACTTGCTACAGATGACGTGAATGGCAAACTGCCCTCCACCGCAGATTGGCGGGCGAATAAGTCCTCATCGGTCTGAAAGGTGATTCATGGGTCAAGCCAGATCAATAGGAGAGGCGAGCAAAGCCTGACGTACTTCCTCATACACAGAATCCTCATTTCCGTCCTCATCAAGAGGGTCCCATGGTGCTGGGCAGTTAGGCCACCTGGGCAATTGTCAGAATAGGTGACGAGTTTTCAGACAGGAACGAGTAACGTACAGATCATCTTCTGTCATGTGTTCCTCTTCCCCGCGGAAAGCTCGTTGGAACCAATTCTGCCTGCGCTTGAGGCTGTAGAGTGGCGTGTAGCGATACTGTCCAGCCTTGTCAAACGCTTTTCGGAGGAACGCTGCTTGAACATTTGTCCACCAGTCCACAGAAGCTCCCCCGCCAGCAGTGACGCCTATTGCAGCTGGAAGTGCATTAGCGGTAAGCGCTAGCGCTACCCTTTCTCCAGCTGCGTCAGGCCATCAGCATACTGCCATCAATGAAGCACAAGGCAAATAGACGCACACTTGTTAGACAAGTAGAGATAATACCCGGGACACGTAAAAGTGCTGTTGACGATATATTTATCCTTCAGCTCGTTTGCCTTATGGACGATACCCAGAAGCCTGCCCTGAGGAATATATTGCTGCTGGGGCTTGTGCATCACCAGGACGGCACCTCGTTTGCCGTCCTGGAACTGGAACTCGGCCTTGACGGAGGCAGAAGCCAAGTTGAGTAAGGAGCTGATCGATTAGAGCAGTTTGAATGATAGCGCAAGCAAGACGTGCGTGCGCTCTCACACTTCTGGCTTGAGCGAAAAGTCTCCCTTTTTGACACCAGTCGAGCACATGATTATGTCTTCCTCGATTGCGCCCTTTATAGGCTGGAACGATGGATCGGACAAGTCGATCTTCAAGCCTTGCTGGTTCAATGACTCTTGGAACGCTGCATCATAGATATTCCCTTCCACTTCAAGCTCTCCAGATGTCCTATCGATAGTCCCAAAGTGCCCCACCTGCGGGCCATGAAGATGAGGCAAAATTGGCGTAGTGTTTACTAAAGCGTTTAAACTGACCTTGATCTCGATCGGCGGGTCCCAATTAGCCCACTTGGATGACGTCTGGAGAATGAGATCAATGAACTTGCGAGAGGCAGCAGTGTCTGGCATTGCTGCTGCGGTAGCTGGGTAGAGGTGTAGTTAGCGCGCACGAGGATGTAAGGCAGGGCCAATTATACTTGTTCCTGGGCGCTAATCGTACCTCTAGCCGCGAAGCGATCGCCCAAATTTGTTGTCAGCCCTGTACAGCTTCTCCAAAGCTTCATTAGTCACTTTCTGGAGGTCGTGCCACCATTAAATTGTGAGCGCAGGCATGAGTGTTGTTTGCCATGTTGCACTGGTAATGATATAGGAAACTGACGTTAATGTTAGCTCAGTGGTCACTTTTGACTTTTCGATACTCAAGTACTCATTCCTCGATCAATACTTCACTGATCTCGCCAAACCATGAATCCAAACTCGTTAGTACTCTCCTGCTGACAGAATAGTACTCGTTGTGGGAGCACCCTTTCAACATGATGCGCTCATTTTTGACATGTTCCATCACCTCGATCTCGATCTGGTCTCCTGGCAGGACTCGTAAATACTTACTAGAGTTTAGATCTGCCCGTTGTAAGTGCTCAGTGCTGCACGTACCTGCAGACTGCGACTGTATGAGTGCACGAAGACGATGATAGAGAGTCACCGAGCCAGTTCATTTACATGAAAGTTCCTGCCAGGCTGCAGTGGAGCATAGAATTGGTTCCGCGGAAGGCTCATTTCGTGCATGTGATATTTAGAAAAAGTAGCATGTACATAAGCCCATATCGAGTCCCAGGATCAACACTAAAACTAAACATGGACGTCTACGTTTCAAGGACAGACACGGAATACTGGTGATAAGTATTCAATCACGGAAGAAGAGGGATCCGACGAAGAGGGAAGACACAAAGCAATTGCAACGGAAACGGGAAAGAGAATGAGAATGTGAAATAGATCTTGGAGACGAAGTACTCAAACACAGCGACAGAATCAGAAGCTGGACAAGACTGATATAGGGAAACTTCCTAAGTATAAAACGGCCTTGCCGGCTTGCCAAATAAGAGACAAGTGGACCAAAGGCTGAATTACGCTGGTTCAACTGTTCCCCTTATATTGATCCCGAACAAGGGTGTTAACTGGTGTTAAACGGTGAGCTATGGTTTCTGAATCCCCTGCAAAGGAAACCCTCGAGGACGCTTCAACCCCAGCGCAATCCAAAAGACCAACCCCCAAGCACAAATTTGAGGGCCATGAAGAGACTATTTCGAATTTCATCTTCTTGCACGACAACATCCACATCGTGAGCGGTTCGCTGGACTGCATGATGTATAAGTGGGACTCGAACACAGGGCTTCCTGTCGGGGAACCATGGGCAGGCGAGGGCGGATACATAGATGCCCTGTCGCTTTCACCGGACGGCAAGACAATTGCATGCGGGAGGGAGGGTTCAGCAGTGGAATTTGGAGGAAGAGATGATTGAAGACGTCTGTACTGGTCATTGCGACTGAGTGCGGTCACTCTCATGGTCTCCCAGCGGAGACCATCTTGCCAGTGGATCGAACGATGGAACAATCCTCGTTCGAAAAGCAAAAAGCGGAGAAATCGAGTTGGGCCTCATCGAGACGAAGCAGGGCAGAGTATTTGCTCTTGCATATTCACCTTCTGGCGAGAAAATTGCTTCAGGCGGAGATACTACGATTTGCGTTTGGGATACTAAGACCGGGCTGCTTGTTGTCGGCCCCATCGAAGAGCTGGCAGCCTATGTGACGTCTGTTGTGTGGTCGTTGGATAACTCCAGATTATACGCAGCCTCCGACAAATTCGTACGTATTTTCGACAGCAACTCAGGCATGCAACTCCACCACTTCGAGTCCAGCTTCGACTGGCTCGAGAGTTAGTGACACGATTTATTGGGTTGGGCTGGACCGAGCGTTAGCTCGGGATGGGACGCAAGCAGGTGGAGCCGCTGGAAGGGCGGGACAACTCCTTACGAATTCGATCGTGTCTAATGACTTTTCGAGTAGCAATAATTGGGACGGTAAAATGCAATTGATAGAGCAGACTAGCTATAAGACGTATGACTAAACAAATTGCTAGGAGTAGAATTACGGTGCGATAAAATTAAAAGGGAGTGGTGGGCGGGTGTAAAGAAAACTGTTCGAGTGAGTGAGGAGTGTAATGAACGACGAACTCGATGTCGTGGCGGAGAGGAAAAACGAATGGAGGAAGCGAACAGCGCAACCGCTCAGCTGAACGCATGGTGTCGGGATATTCCGACAGGCTGCATTACTCGGCACCTGGACATTACCTCCATCCGGTAAATTTTGTTGCGCTTTCACCAACAAACAATGTACTGGGATGTTGGCAATCATGGTATTACACAGCTGTGGGACGTAGAGCTCTAGAGTCTCATCAGCCACTTGGTCAGCCATTCGGCTGCAACAACGCCCTAAGCGCAGCTTCTTCGCGCGGCACACAGGACCAGAGGCTGTAACGGTCTCACCCGGAAGACGCAAACAGGTGAGCAGTAGTTTGGGTGTCCCTCGTTCCGTGGATGCATAACCAGATCTCTAGAGGATCTACGTCGCCCCTCCCCCTCCACCATCGGGCGAAAACACCAACACTAATGCTCTGGCGGGTCAGTCATCTTCTGCAGAGCAGCCACACGCGAAGTTCCACGTGCCACAGCATACTCAGAATACTCAGACACAGTCTGACACTCAACTTGCACAAGAGGACTGTGGTTGTTTGGGCAACTTTTGCCTTGCGTTGTGCATCGCATAGTGCCCTCCGCGGTTCGGCCTGCTGCATCCATGATACCACCCTAGCAAGTCATTTCCTGTCCTGTATCTCAATCCACTGTACGGCACGTGTAACAACTTTGCCTTGATGCCCCCTCATTTCCGGATACGAATTTCACGTACTAATTGCTTATCTGGGTCTATATTATTATACCTTAGTGTCTGTGATAACACATCCGTCGTAGACATGTCTGACTGGGACTCCGGCGGATCGTACTCATAGCCTGGCTGCAGAGACTCTATAAGTAGTACATATACTGTGCCTTGCATGTACAGATTAATAGCCTTTCTGACGGGACATTTTCCTTGTAGGCTTGGGCTGTGGCTCACGAAGTGATCGGTTGTCATGGTCGATCTTAACAGAAAAGGTACGGTTGTCTTCCTTATTCGACTGTATGACTACTAGGGAGGACCGGGAGACTCGGACTTGTGGTAGCCGATCGACAAGAGTCCGAACGTTGAACGTTCGCTCGACCCTGGCCAACGTTCATTCCATTCACCGTGTTCCAAGGTGTCAATTCACGTTCGCTCGTCATGAACTGGCCCAGTGACACTTCTCTTGGCATGTCTATCGTTAATCATTCCTTCTTGATAACAAAGAGAAGCTAATACATTTATTTCTCTGCGCGTCAATGGTGAATACACGTTCGTCGACGCGCGCTAGTCATGCCTCGTGTTAACCGACGGCCTCGTGCGCACGATTTCGAAGTAAGACACCCCCATTGGCCCGGCTCTCTGACGAGATGGGGTTCCTTCCATTTCATCTTTCAGACCACCCCACATTCGTAGTGTATAGTGGCACCCATTTCAACATGTGTGCCCATTAAAAGAGAATCAGAAGATAAGTCTAATCTACGGGGACGATAATGACCGTCTCTCGTGCTCTCCTTTTGATTGGTGGCTCCTTTGCAGTCTATAGCGAACGAAGGTGAGTGATTGCCATGTATTCTAAACTTTGAGCTGATGATCCGTCAGATATCTCAGCAAAGCAATCACATCCTTCACAGGATCGTCAACCATTGCAGCCTTTATCTTACTGGGATGCTCGTTGACAGCATTTGTCCTCGCCCTTGGTAGTGCGCTTCGCCCACAGCTCAAGTTCATATGGCATTGTTTCATCCGCCCTCTTCGCGCGGGCGATCTGAGTCAGCGAACGAGACTGGACAATGTCTGTAAAGTTGTGTTCATAAAGATGTCACAGATCACCCATCACATTCGCAGTTTTACAAAGGCCAAGCGGACGTTTATGATGCAACTCGAAGTGGTCTTCTAAGAGGCCGGAACACCATGCTCAGTCTTTCTGCCAGTCATGTCCGGACTATGCGCGCCAAAAACCCTAATCAGAAATTAATCTGGGTTGATATAGGCGGAGGAACAGGTGCGCACCTACCTGTTAGTCTGGTGGTTCCCTCCTGATTGCCATTCAGGCCACAATATCGAGCTTATGGATAGGCACTTTTCGGTGTCTTCCTTCGATGCTATCTATCTCATCGATCTTTGTGAACCCCTCCTCCAGGTTGCCAGGGAGCGCTTCGCTAAGCGGGGATGGACAAACATCACAGTACTGTGTCAAGATGCAACCGAGTTCGCTCTTCCTGAGTGGACGCGGAGTGACCCAAAAGGGAGCGTGAGTTTCGTGACACTCAGCTATTCACTCTCAATGGTAAGTTTTACTTATTCGGTTCCTGTGAGAAAGATCTGACGTTTGGATAAATTTAGATACCCAATTTCTATGCTCTTTTAGACCGTATCGATTATGTCCTTTCCCCTGAATACGGTCTTTTGTCTGTCGTCGACTTTTACACTTCTGGAAAGCAGCCGTCATTACACGAGAAGGCCATCGGAGGCACGAGCAAGGAATGCGGTTGGCTTAGCAGGTGGTTCTGGCAGATCTGGTTTGACTTTGACCATGTGTCATTGTCACCGCACCGTCGAGATTACCTGGAATACAAATTCGGCACGGTAGGTTCACCGAGTAGTTCTAGTATCAATCTTTCTGATCGCGCGTGTAGGTCAAGACCTACAACGGCAGAAATCGCTTTGTTATTCCCTTCATCGTCCGCATGTCAGTACCAGCCTCTTATCTGATATTTCCTGGACTAATATTTCACAGACCCTACTACATCTGGCTTGGTCGCTCACGTTCGTGTGATGTATCTCGTTTCTGCCATGCCTTTGAAGTCGAAGGCGGCAATATGATCGGCAATTGTTCACCAGCATCCTTTACGACTATCAAGGATTCCGAAGCTATACCACCACTCGAGATCGGAGAACCCGCTCTTAAGACTCAAGCTTCGGACGCAGATGCACTTATCACTGTAACCCCGCCTTTGAGCTCCTTCCACTACCAGCTAGGAAAGGTGAGGAGTCTACGCATCGCAAATTTAATGACAAAACTGACTACGGACTAAGCCTTGGAGACTCCCGTACTACGAGCAGGCTGTACATAAGGAGTTTCGAACGTTCATATATTCATTCACATGGGTCTGTTGTTTTGTCTTGATGTCACCCGTTCTGAGGTGCTGAACAGTATGCCAGGAAGATCCCGAGGTGGATATGAAGTACCTTGATCTTGGACCCGAAGACTCGATCTTGGTTATCACATCAGCAGGTGACAATGCTTTGCATTACGCCATAGCAGCGCAGCCTAAGAGAGTACGTGGAACAATCGAGCGTTACCATTGATGCACTAATGTCCGTCTAACAGATTCATTGCGTGGATATGAACCCTTGGTATGACCATCTACCTTTGGTCACCTGACTCGGCTGACGATTTGCCATACAGTCAAAATCATTTGCTAGAGTTGAAGCTCGCATGTATGCAAACTCTTGAGTATGAAGACTTCTTTGCCATGTTCGGCGATGGTCATCATCCCAAATTCCGTGCACTCCTCGACTCTAAGATCGCTCCTCTTCTCTCTTCCATCGCCTATCAATTTTGGAACATCAACGACAACGCTTTCTTCGGAGCCTTCTATCTGAACGGATACAGCGGCTGGGCACTGCGTCTCGCCAAAGTCATTTTTTCAATCGCTGGAGTATCGAAAGATGTAGAAGCTTTATGCAATGCGGGCAGCATAGCCCAGCAGGAGCAGATCTGGCGCGAGAAGCTGAAGCCCGTCCTCTTGAACCCCGCAGTTATTGCCATGCTCAAGAGCCCTATATTCTGTTGGAACGCATTGGGTGTCCCCCTCAACCAGCGCCGCATGCTCCTCGATGAAGGGACCATATATGAGTTCGTAAGAGATACCCTGGACCCTTTGCCATCGACGTATTCTTTTAAGGGTGGCGCTTACTTTTACCCATTGGTAAGTTGAGGATATCTGAGTCTTTTTCTCTCGCGCTTACAGGACAATATCAGGCGCTTCGTGGGCACTATACACCATCCTCCTGCCCAGAATATCTGACACGCTCCGGATTTCAGGCTCTCAAAGCTAATAACGGCGAAGCTACGGATGCATTTAGGTTGCACACCGATTCGATATATAAGTAAGCACCTCGGGATTATGAAGTGTCACTGATCTGATAGAACTCTTCAGCGTCCTACGAGGATTGACTTGCTGGTCTCTCACCCGAGCCGTCATTATGGATCACCTCGACTGGTTTTTACCAGGATCCAAGGACGTGGACGATGAGGTTGACGAGTTTTATCGCGTGCTTTCGCCCGGCGGCTTCGTTCTCTGGCGCTCTGCAGCCAGGAAGCCATGGTACTGCGAAGTGTGCGTTTTTTCTGAACATGCTGCTGGCTTCTGTGAAGGCTGACATAGTGCTGCGTCAGATTTGAGCGCAAGGGTTTTACCGTCACTGCTTTGGGAGTCAGGAAGGGGCCCGAGATGCCACTAGACCGTGTCAATATGTATGTTGTCGATTTCGGATTTCGCTGCTCAGGATTGCTTATCATAGATGTTTGCGCAGGTACGCGTCATTCTGGCGGGCGGTGAAGACGACATAGTGCTGTGGATTGTTGTAGAAATACAACTTGCGCACGACTTTTCGTCAAGATACCACTACGATATAAGTATTCCAATGTTTTTGGTGTATCTGCTTTATTGATGATATTTATGCCTTGAATCGAGCTGTTGTTATTTGACGTTTATTGCCAGTCCTGCATTCTGTGGGACATCATAAACATTCCTTGACGCGAGCCATCAGACCACTAGCTTGTGGCCGGATTGGAATATCTTTGGCATGTACGTTTATATAAGTCACCTTGGCGTTAGAGTTGAATTTCCAAAAACGCGCCACAAATCCTCGAAAATCACATTACATCATGCTCCCATATCTAGTATTCTAAGTTGACAATTTTGAATTGACCGCGTTAAACTTCAGTGAGTTGAACCGCGATAAAGGATGAAGGCTGACTTACCGTGTTTTGTAGCTGCGACTTGCCCCTTGGACGTGCGGTAGCATAGAACAGTTGAGACTGTTAGCGGTGGGTCACATAGTACAACTCAGATACTCCGCTACTCCGATCGCCCACAGTACTCTTTTTCCTGTGGATTGTCCACATCCACTTCGACTTAAAACCCCCTCACAAGCGAAGTACTCCTTCAAATTCACTGTACCCCCATACTCCTAATGGCTTCAGCAATGCCCCTTTTAACTGCCAACAGTACAATGCCTCGCGCCCTCTTAGTGTCTGAAATTTTCTCGCACATCATAAGTTACGTCGGCACACACCAAATCTCCACACCCGTCATCGACAGGATAACCCTTCATAGACGTGATCCTACCACGCTTTCCAGGAGGACTTTGTTAGCCCTTGCATTAACGTGTCGCGCGTTCGCGGAGCAAGCATTGGACGCTCTCTGGGAAACGATTATGCACCTTGCACCCCTCCTGCGATGTGCTGGGATTGTGCTCCCACCGATACCACCCCCGGGATTTGTTAGGGAAGAACTCCATGAAGACCACTGCATCGTCAGTTCTTTTTTTTCAGGAGAAATACACATATATTTACGGATGGCACAGATCCCAACAGAGTCTCAGCTGGCCATCATTAATCGCTACGCACATCGTATCCGGTTTTTAATCATGACCCATGCCAGTTGGCAGATTCATGTCGAATATTTTTTGCAAACCCTTGTCTGCTCTTCCAAGGTCCTGCTGCCAAACTTACGAAGCTTATTTGTCGATTGTAATCATTTCTGCCATCTGGTCCCCCCCTTGCTTGGCCCGCGTCTGCGGCATCTTACCATCAAGATTACTTACTACGAAAACCATGAGCACTACAAAGGTGACGAGGAAGATGTTTTGCCTGCATTTGACATGGTCATGCGGTCATTACCCTCCTCTTGTCCGTCACTTGAAAGCTTCAAGGTTTACGCCAACTACATACTTGGCCCATGGGATGTGCCAACATTGGCTCTGCCGCTGTCGCATGCTATCCAAAACTTGCACAACCTGCATAGCGTTGTCACTCCGGCCATCACCAAGGACGCCATGATTCATCTTGGTAGTCTCTCATCTCTTACCAGCCTCCAGACACATCTCCCCACCGGCAGTGATCTCGAAGATATTTTTGGCTCATCCCGCGGCCCCTTTCTCTTCGAGAACCATGAAAGTGTTGATTGGGTGATCAAAGAATGGCGAGACACCGAAGTCTTCACACGTCTATGGCCTCGTAAACTCACCACAATGATACTTCGATCCGACAAGATTACGCTCGGTGGAGGCCCGCTGCAGGTACTTTTCAACTCGCTCCATACGCGCGAGGCTTTCAGGCACCTGCAGCGCATACACTTACTCGACTCCTATCGCTGCAAACGCACATCCGCAGACACAGCCATCACAATTGAAACCATACGGCCGCTCTTCTACCTCAGTCACCTTCAAGTCGTGGAATTCAATACGGAATCCTGTATTGACATCGACAATGATGGCCTCGTGGAAATGGCAGAAGCCTGGCCTTGTCTTGAGGTGTTGTCCCTGAACAAGGATAGTGGGTGCCGTGCTCGAAACCCAGTTACATTGCTCGGGTTCGTCAATTTCGTCGATCTGTGTCCTCGCTTGAAGAAACTCTGGATTACTATTACATGGGCTGATGTGCACGAAGACGTTGAAGATATGGAGAGCTTACTCGACCTCGAGGGCCGACGTGACTCGGATTTAGAATATCTCAAGTTGTACTCGCCCCCTAAGGAAAAATGCACAGCTTGTGACTGGAGCTCGGAGGTGACCGTGCTTATAGAAAAGCTTTTCCCTCGGGTGGTCTTTGAGTAGCTTAGAAGAGAAAGCAAGGACCGGCACTTCTATTACCTATATTCTATGCTGATCGATTGGTCGCGGACGCACTCCAAGTTGTTGTGATGCTTGATACTAGAAAAAAGTTTTTCAGCCCTTCGTCAAGCTATGATAGACTCTCCATTCTTAACATTCCCTTTTCGTACATGTACGCCATTTCTGTTCCTACGCTACCTATGAGCTGCAATGTTTCTGGTGTATCAGCTTTATTGATGATATTTATGCCTTGAATCGAGCTGTTGTTATTTGACATTTATTGCCAGTCCTGCATTCTGTGGGACATCATAAACAAACATTCCTTGACGCGAGCCATCAGACCAGTGTTCTGCCGGTCAGTGTACGTTCATCAAAGTTAACGTACGTTCAGCTGCGAACTTTCCCATGGATGCAAGTGAACTGAACCCGTGCAGTGCCAGATGTCCTACTTGGATATTTGATAATCATGTCTGATTGGACGATGAAGCAGGAGTGAATGTTCAAAGTGCAGTACACGGTGCGTCAACGATCGCAGAATGGATAGTACTCGACTACTACTACTAAGGTAGCACTAATTTTCCGAATCTACTCGTCAAGAACATCGTCAGCTTGAGGAAAGTCTGGATCATCAATTCCCTCTGCATCTAAGTCAAGAAGCTTGTACAACTCAAGCTCAGCGTCTAAACCTCGAATGGCGACTTTATAAAAAGATCCCAGCCATTCCTCCGCACGAGAATAGTCAAGTAAGTCATTAATAGCAATGCAGGAGAATGAACCACCGACAGCACCAATGGGGACTGAGTGCATTGATTCTGTGGCGGAAATCTCCTCCTCCTCCTGAACAGCTCGGATAAGGTCTGCGGCAACATTGCTTATCCCTCGCCTCTTGAAAGCAAGGCTGCGTGGCTCCCGTTTGCTGCTTTCTCCTGATAGATCATCACCAACTGCATGAACTACTTGAGTAGGCTCTGCTTTGTCAGTGTCCTTGGTGTCACAGTACCGGCGCTGAAGCCGCTTCTTGACCACGTCATTGCATACATGCTCCTCATGAACATACATCTTGAGTTCTGCCAGAAGGGTGAGTGTCTCAGTTGAGAGCCGATTGCGCCATTTCGTGAGAATCATGCCAAACATGCTAAATAGGTGTTTGCAAGAGGCGGAATTCAGGCAAATCGAGAGAAGACGTTGAGTGATAGTATGAAGTGGTCGACGTGCTGAACCGGGATGTGACAGTCCTGTCCATATATTGATTGGATCAACCGAAACACCCTGAGGACTGTTAGCAATGTCTTCTGAACTTGAAACAATCAGTTTGACGAAGCATACCTCCTTTTCTGCGCGATATAACAGTGAAAGCTTGTAGTTGTCCATGTATGCGAAGTCATGGGAGCTATTCAAATAGTCGTCCAAGTCCATATAAAGATCGAGTGGTATATCATTAGTGTTGTAAAAACGGCACCAAAGACGTGCAAAAAGTGTCGCAAGCCCTGCACGCGTTGTGAGGGGTACATTCCAGAATGGAGAAACCTTATAGAAAGGATTCACAATGATGGCAGCAATAAAGACTTCCTGGTTGCACTGTTCCCAGCGGCACTCGACGCTTGCAAGAACAGCTGTACAAGCTGCCAGATCAGTGCTGTTGTTGATCTTGGAGTAGCGAAAGTGCAGAAAACCAAATGATATTGCAACATTTTCAGGTCTTGCCTGGGCTGCTTGATGAACATTCGTCATGAGGGAAATTGGCTCCAGCAACGTTTTCCATCTACAGAGAGCATTAGTTCCGATTTTTACATTTATTTTTGAACTGTACCGTGCCAATGCATGCCAAAACGTTGCGTTTTTGATTGTCGCAATGGCTGTTTGAGTCTTTCTGCGTGAGTGTGCATCTCCACCTGATATCAAATGAGCTTCGTGCTTCGTTACAAGCAATTCGAGTGCAGGACGAAGCTCAAGGAGGCGGCAATAGGCAAGATAATGAGACATCCAACGTGTCAGCACTGCCCTGAGAACTGCGAGTGTCTTTCTGAATGTCGCCATCTGTATTTCGTGGAGAATGGCGAGCACATGTGTCTTGCTGCATAGCCACGTAATTAGTTCTTGCGCCATGTCTCCATAGATCCTGTAGTCGTCTTTGACCTTGAAAAGGTCACTGACAATGAAATTCCACTGTTGTTGTGTCATTCATAATCAGCGAGTGTGACGAATCACGAAAATCGCCATACCTGATGAGCCAAGCAATTAGGAACAACAATGTGGGGTAGTTGCTCTTGAAGCAGACACCGAGCTTTTCGTGATTCACTGGACGCGTCTGTGGTGCAAGCGATAACACTTGCCCCCCACTCGGACTCGATCCTGCTGATTGCATCTAACATTTGCTTGAGAAGTTCTTCGGTGGTGTGAGGGTCCATCGAAGCATCGTGAACTTTAATCGTGTGCAGCTAAATAGACAATTAGTAAAATGATTGACGGTCTCCGCAGTTAGATTTACCTTTCGGCGAGCAGTCATCATAAACCCCAGGAGGTGATGGTGATTTTCACCAGTCCAACCGTCACATTGCAATGTTGCGTCAGCGCCTTGACATTCTTCTTTAGCGGTACCTTTGAGTATATTAAGGGCATGGGGTAGGACATGCTGTGTCAAGACTTTTGCAGAGGGAATTTTCGCTCTTGGGAGAAAACGGTCGCATAATACTTTCCATTCGTGGTTCTCAACCCACCACAGCGGTAAACCAGCGCTTGCGGTGAGTCTTGCAAGCCCGATTTCCCAATCAGCTTGATCTGAAGTCATCCAAGCTTGGTCACCAAAACCATTAAGTTGGTTGCCCAGTGTTATGGGGGAGAGAGGCGGAAGTGAGCCAGAAGCAGAGTGGTATTGACCGGATTGGATTAGACGTTGGTGCTTTGGATGGGATGGTAATGAGACTTCCAAGAGGGCAGGACTTGGACTGACCGACAGAGAGTCGCGGTAAAGGCTACTGGAAGAACTCGAGGCTGTGTCAGCCTCAGGAATTAGCAATGTGGGAAAACTCGGACATGCAGACTGCATAGTCGATGACATATTGAGATCTGGTGGGCTGGCGGCGAGAATGATTGGAGGTATAGCACTGGGGTGTGCTGGAGTTAGGACCCGAGTGGCACCTTTTCACGGTGAATATGATTGGTGGTATTCAAGCCGTGCTTGTGAACGGATATCCTCAGTGCAATGTGCAATCACGCAAGTGACATAATAGTGTCGTTGGCTGACTGATTAACCAGGTGCGTTGGGGATCATTCTGGCCACTGGCCCAAACTAGTACTCCAAGTTAGTAAAAGAAAGCTATAAAACAGGCTTGCATACAAGTGCCTGCGATCACCACTTCATCCCTCGGTGCATCTCGCTGGCCTGCGTGAACCTGCTGCTCGTCTATTGCCTGCTCATGCACAACGCGTTGCTCATAGAGCCTTGCACACACCACCTTTGCCTTTTCGCTGACCATTGAAGCTGGGTCTTTGACAGTATAACCTGGGTGCTCCACAAAATGATCCCACCACCATCCTCGGTTTGACTTTGATCTCTTGCTGATCTTCGCCATCGAGTTAGTGTGTCGAAAGTGGGGAGTCCATCTTCGAGTTATAAGCCTTGAAGTGTGCCCTTGAACCAAACACATGAAAACCATGCGTTTATGTGAGTAATGATATGTGAAGCGGCACAAAGATAACGTCTAATCAAAGATTCTAGCATTGACCAGATATAGTATAGTTCATTATAGTAGGACCAGGAAACTCCTCAAAGTCGTGTTCAGACGAACATCGATAAACTTCACCAGCTTTCCCATGAAATCCGGTCAGTGACCGTGACCTTGGTTCACTGACCGGCAGAACACTGCTACTACATCAGGAAATCGGCCATGAGGTGATTTTACAGCTATTTGCAAAAAGGTTGTCAGTACACGTGATCTAAGAGAATAAGGAAATTTTAAAAAAAGAAAATATAACTCACCAAATACCACCATGCCGTACCGTAAAATCAGTCGTGACCTCAAGCTTGCGGCTGTCAATCTTTTTGAACACAATTTACTCACCATTGGACAGATTGTTGACTGTGTCGGCTTCACAGAGCGCACTTTTTGGCGCATCATGAAGCTCTGGTGAGAGACAGGAGATGTAGTATGACACAACTCTAGTCTCCCTGGTTGACCACAAAGCCTCCACTTTGAGGACATCAGCTACCTCCTGTACCTCATAAATCACCGCCCAGACTGGTTTCTTGATGAGCTTCTCAGCATGCTCCAAACGAACCATTTCATCTCCATCCACTTTACAACAATCTATTGGGAGCTCACACGTGCAGGGATGTCACTCAAAAGGCTGAAGAAAATTGCTAAAGAGAGAAATGAAGAATGATGTGCTGATTTTGTCCAGTGGATGGCTCAGTATGAGTCAGAGGAGCTTGGTTTCTTGGATGAGACCTCCAAGGATGAGAGGACACTGGGGAGAAGTTATGGAAGGTCATTGAAGGGTACCCGTGCAGTAAAGAAGCAAGTTTTTGTTTGTGGCCATTGCTTGTCTGGACTTGGTCTGCTTACAGTTGATGGTTTGATGGCTATCTCTCTCATTGAGGGCTCTTTCACAACTGCAAAGTTCAAGACATTTATTGAGGAGGATGTTGTAAGTCCATTTCATTTTCATTGACAACCAAGCACATTCTCATACTCGACTACTAGCTACCCTTATGCATCCCATATCTAGGCAAACTGAGTGTCCTCGTCATGGACAATACAAAGATACACCATGGAGATGGTGTTGCAGATTTGATTTGTGAAGCTGGTATGTGCCTAGTTCTTGTATTGTGCCTATTCATGTTCAGTTAGTATGCAGGTGTACGACTCAAGTATCTGCCACCTTACTCTCCTGACCTCAATCCCATCAAAGAAGCTTTCTCAAAGATCAAGGCATTCATCTGTTGTAATCAAGATTGTTTTATGGATGATGTTAATGCCATCATTTATGATATGTATGTTGCAATGGACATCATTATGGACTTGGATGCCATAGGTTATATCATGCATGCAGGCTACTTCTAGATGTACGAGCTCTTACTATCATGCACTTCTGTTTCATGTCCGAACTGTGGCAAATTGCAATGCAACGAAATACAAATACAGAAGGGTTCACAACTCAAATGTGGGACGTGTGTATGCAGTACAACAGCAGATGCAGCAAAGGGAAAATTTACAACATGGACCAGTGTTGCATCACAGCTTTCATTGCTGCAACCTCTCCAAACTTGAAGCCCATTTCCTTCAGCTCTGTGATAATAAAAGTGAGTGTTTCAGTCCCAGTATAACCATTCTCATGTAACTTCGTTTGAATATCATCGCTGAGGGAATACTGAGTGTAGAAGTCATTGAGAGAGAGGTTGGGGCCAAGTTGAGCACCCGCAGGTATCAATGCACCTTGGTCTGCTGGTGCGACAGCAGTGGTGGCAGGTATGTGGGCAATTGTTATGATCAGTGTTCACCAAATGGTAAAGGCCTAACACAACCACTAGGACTCGTCAAGGATAAGAGCAATAGATGATATTGAGAGTGAACGTCTGAGTCTACACTGGGTAGGAACGAAGAGGTTAAGTCTAAGGAGTACTACTGACTACGACCTAAACTATATACTACTCTCTAGGCGGAGATATCTGAGTATGAAAGGTAGTGATATATCTATATACGATCATAACATTGCGCCTAGGGTATAGGGCGTCTTATCAACCAATCAACTACAAGAAGGGTCCATAGGGGTTAGGGGTATCGGTGATTAAGCAGGGTTCTCAGGGTACTGCTTCTCTTCAGGGTAAGCGGATATGAAGAAGGGTGTGAGAGAGTTCTGTGACAAGAAGTCTCGAGCGATGATTAAGGATCTTGATTAGAGATAGGATCTGGAGATGTATCGGGTGCGATTGTATCTAAGGGTTTCTCCAGGGTCTTCGGTAATGAGCATGTTTCTCTATGAGTGGCGCTTCTGTGATAGGGTTCAAGGTTCCAGCTGTGACTGTGCAACAGGTTCTTATGTAAGGGATTCGGTGAATGACAGAGGTAACTCTTAACATGTCATGTGTGAAGGTCTGCGATGTGAAGGGATAATGACTCTTCGAGAGATGGCTCGTAAAGGACTCTCGGTTATGGTTCGATCATAGAGGCGTATAGATGCTTATGATGTAACCTGTTGCCTAATCGTAGGACTTCTAAGGATGTGATGATGTCGGATGTCTAGGGTTACAGATATAGATGGATGACGTATAGATGTGATGTGAAGATAGTGATCGTTAATCGGTTATCCATCTTATCTTATCAGGGATCTATCTAATCTAATCTTATCGGATAGGTGACTTAGGGTTTGATAATTGAAATTTAGATGCAGTTGGTAACATTCATGACAGCAATATCTGTGTTGACGACATCTTGAACAGCATGGACTTCACTAGCAGGACACAACAGAGCAAAAAGATCAGAGGGGATGTTGAAATTGATGATGGGACCACTGGTGGTGTGTCCGGTTGTTGGCTGGTTATGCTTGGCTAGATGATGTTGGAGCAGGGGTGACACCTCAGATTTTCAACCAGGAATAAAGTTGAATTTTGGATGGTTGGGTGGAGTTTTGATATTTGCAAGCTCTTTGTCCTTGTTCTATTGGTCAAGTGATGAGTAACAGACAGTGTACGAGCCAAGCTGAAAAAAAATATACCCAGGCTGATGCCCACACCGAGAGTTGCTCATGTCCAAGTGGGAAGTGATCGGGATAGTCGGGATGGATGAAACAATGATTGTTAGAGCAACCAGCCTTTGAACACGACCATCTGTTCTGCAGCTGAACTATCTTTGATGTGATCTTCTCATTCAACAGTGACTCAACATGTGTTTTTGATTTTTTCTATGATGCAGGGTCATTTATCCGCATTGATGACTATGACACATACAAACACTCACCATATCCTTCTTCGGTTTCTTCTTCAGTTTCTCATCTTCGCTGCTACTGTTCTCACTCCCACTCTGGTTTTCATCTCCTGATTCATCATCACATTCTCTCCTGCATTTCAGTTTCTTCAAAAAGCCGGATTAGCAGTGCATATATTCACTCGAATACACTACCTTGGCAGCAGGCAGTGCTTGGATAACAATATTTGCAGTCGGAGCTTCTCATTTCAGTGCGTGATCAAGTAGAAACTTGTAGTTGTCAGGCGAAGACAATGCAAGTGGAGCTGTTTGAATTTGGGGTATGTACCACTCAACAGAGTAGTTTCCATAAGCCAGCATCTTTGGCTTGAGTTTCTTGGAGATTTTCTGGAGAATTTGGGCTTTGAGGGTGTCGAACTCCTAGTCAGAAGTCAGGAAGAGAAATGTGTTGATGGCTTTCCATTGTTTCTTGGGTTTTTGTAGTTGATCTTCTGCGAACATGGCTAGAAAGTATGTGATTTTGATCTTCTGTGGTTCACTGTTCACAACAGCTTCAGTAGGAGCAGCTGGTGCTTGTATGTTCTGCCCTGCAGACTCGGATGTAGTAGGAACTGCTACCTGCACATCAGTTGTATCATCAAAGTAGTACTAGCAACCTGTAAGGTGCAGGAACTTGAACTTCAAGATCTTGCTCATTTGTTTGTACTTCAAGTTCATCCTCAGGCTGTGGGTCTTTGACATTCAAGTTGTCTGCCAAATTGTCATCCGTTGGAGTAGTAACCTCAATGGTAGTATCATCTGAGTTGGATAGCTGATTGAAGATTGAAGGCATGGCCGCTAGTGGAGACTTTGCAAAATATGATAATGATAAGTTACAGTGCGTTAAGCGAGACGTGGTTGTGGCAGGTCTAGGACTTTTATTTTATTTTATTTCCTTATTCTCTCAGATCATGCGTACTGACAACCTTTTTGCAAATAGCTGTAATAGATATTTCTGGCAAAATCAAATCAAATATCAACATATTATATCTAAATACATAGTATTATATAGGCACCAGCCCAATGGCATTGAATGACAAGCAATTGCAAGAAAAACTCTAATATTGATGAAGACATGTATGTCTCACAAACATGACACTTTGTAGATAAAATATTGAAAGAAGTCCAGCATCGCTCCACAAAAATGGTCACCTGCTGCATTAAATATGGCTGTATGCAATGTTACCTAGTTGGCAATCAAGAGATGCAAGATCCTTGTAATATTGACACAAAATGGTCATTGCTGGCAGTTGTGACATGTCCAGGGTAATGCCTTGTCAATTGGTAGGAGCTTTTCACGAAATGGTCATCCGTTACCAATAGTGCCATGGTCAGTATAACTCAATATACATCAGTAAACCCCAAATTTCTCTACAGACATCAACATTTTCAACAGTTTCCCACAGTAACCCACAGCAGGACGGAGCTCACAGTAAATTTCTCCCAGAGCATTGACATTTTTTGATAGTTCCCCACAGTAACCCACAGAGGGACAGAGCTCACAGGATGTACAACTGCTCACAGTGTTTGTTGGCAAAATACTAGTAGTCACAATACCTCAAGTGCTAGTAATTCAGGCTGTACTTAGAAAATATTGAAATTTGAAGTCACAATTTGAAGCACATCCACCAAGTCAAATGTCAAGACAAAACAAAATTTCATGTCTATCATATTTACTACTACTAGGTACTGTTAAGATCGTGCTCAAGGGAAAGACTACTCAAAGGGCTTCAGCTTCAGCTCGTGCGCTGCGCCCCTTACCCGAATACATGCCCTTAATTTCCGAGGGGCAGAGGGGAAGTCCGACGGAAGTCCGGGGAGTTCCAGAGGACAAACGTTGGTGGAGTTCGGCAGAACTCTGGGAGACTATGTGGGAACAGAGTAAGGCTACTACAGACAAGTCCAAAGTAGAAACAGAACAGAGGTTAGACTACCCTAAGGTAGAGCCAGAGAATTAGTCCTAAGGTTTTACCCCTAAGACTCGGAGGTGGACAAGAGATGAGACTCAAGTCCAGAGATTGCAGGAATGAGCAGAACTAAGATGATATTTGAACTAAGGAGTTCTGGAGTTTTACAAGAGTTTATATACTGTAGGTATCATGTAAGTAAATCAGTCAGCACAGTAAAAGCTATGTCTGAAGCATATGGAGGGTCTATTAGTAAGTGTACAACGGATCAAGGAAATGAGGTCAGAAATGAAGTGCCAACAGACAGATCAGTAAGCAAAGCAGAAAGGTGTACAACCGGTAACCGGAGAGCAGTGTTCTAAAAGGAGATAGATGTAAGTCCGGAGATGAAAGTGGAGCGCCAGGTGGAACAGGACAGAGAACCGGACTTTCATAGGGGAGAATCCGGAATTCCAGATCCAGAGGTATGGGATATAGTGTCGGAGAAAATAAGGGTAGTGTCGGAGGAGCAGAATAGAGTCGGGTGGAGGTAGCAGGGCTAGTCCTGCTGAAATGCACTTTGTGCATTGTCGGAGAAGGAGGGATGGAGCAGATGGGGAAACAGGGGGTCGGACTAGTGGTAGGGATGTTTACAGGTGGTATTGGAGGTGCTTGGATCCGGTATATGACAGGTACTAGTACTGCTAAATACAAGGTTTCTATTTGATACAACTCAAAAGAAGGTACTCGTCATTAGTCCAACTGGATGGTTACCTGATGGCAGGATGTGAATGAGTCTATGATATGAAGGCATTAATTGGTAGTACTGTGTACATGATAGGCTTACTTGCCATGAAAACTGTGTGGCATTGGGTGGTGAGAAAGACCATGTTTCTTGAATGTGATGCACATATGACCCAGTCCTACATCTGCCTTGTCAAGCTTCCACTTAGAAATGGCAGACTTGTATTTTGAAATATTTGTCATGACATCATGTTCTTGGACAATGCAATCAGCAAGTGTTTTCTCCGCATTGAATATATCACATTGGGCCCTTGCGAAGTCCATGATGAGGTTGGCTTCAAGTTGGTCAACATCGTTGAGGGTCTGTAGACACGTGAGCAAGCATTGCCTAGTAAGATATCAGTCAATTACCATCGAGCCAATAGCATTGACCACATTGTACAAATCAGCAATACCACTGCCAGAGTCACCCAGAACATGGCTGACTTGCCACTTACTGATGTATTGTGGGTACATAGGGGCCATACATGACACTGATGGTACATCACTAGAGATATTTAGATGGATTGGTGTGCGTCTTGACTTGGACATGAGTGTTGGAAAAACTAATATGGGTATTGATTCTGAACATTACAGTTTAACTGTCTTCTGAATCTCAGAATTCTCACATGCACACTATGTTGTCATTCCAGTGTCTTTCATGTGGCAAAGGTGGTTTCAAGGACCATGTCACTGTTGCTCGTCACATGAGCCAACCTCACTCTGGCTGCAGTATGTGGCTGCAGGATCTGATATGCTTGCGCTCCGAGTCTGATGACTCCCGTATGGATGATGAACCAAATATAAATATGGATGATGGACCAAATATTCCCGACACCAAGTCTGGTGGTTTTGGAGATTGGGATGAGACATTTTGAGGGAGTTGTAGTGAGATCCAGGTTCATTATGGGGGAATGCCAACTCACAACTTGGAAGTTATTGACTCATATCCTGACTGCACTCAATCATACGGCAGGGGCTACACATTCCTCAATTTATTCAATTCTGACGAGAACAGCAAACACTGCAATAAATCCATATTATCCATTCAGCAGCCAGAAAGACTGGGAAGTTGGGTCATGGCTACTTTGCTCAGGATTGAGCATGGGGAAGATTGACAGTTTTCTTTTACTCAAGATGGTGAGTAAATTCTTTAATAACATTTACAAATTTTGAAAGTGTTTGGTTCAAATAAAGACCCTTCTGTTGTTGTTCTGTTTGGCCAAGGAACTATGCAGCAGAGCAGAAATGTTGCCCAGCGGTCTGTGCTGGATGTCTCAAATGATACCTACAGCACATCCCACAAAATCACCCATTGTGTTGTATTGGCATGATCCCCTGTATTGTATTTTGAGCCTTCTCAACCATCCTGCCTTTTATGATCAGCTGGACTTCACACCTTGTAGGGTGTATACCACTGTGCAGCAGCTGTGCTACATGTATTCGGAATGGATGACCAGTGATGATGTATGGAATATGCAGGTACACATAGTTTCATTTGTGTGAGTCATCGTACTTATTGGTTTTCAAACAGTCAACCTTACCAAGAGGTGCAACACTCCTTGGGACCATCTTATCATCTGACAAGACAAATATATCAACCATAATGGGCGACAGAGTTGCACATCCCCTTCTTGTTAGCCTTGCTAACATATGTATGTCCACATGACTCAAGTCATCTTTAAATGCCTTTGTACTTACTGCTCTACTCCCTGTCCCAAAATTCATCTACAAGAAAAAATGCATGTGAGGTGTACTCAAGGATCGCCTCATTCATGAATGCTTGAATATTGTTCTATGTCCACTCAAGCTAGCTGCTCACAAAGAGGTCATGCTGTCAGACCCTGTTGGACACAGTCACTACTGTTTTATGCTGCTCGTGAGCTATATTGTTGACACCCTGGAGGCCATGATGCTGGCTGCTGTTGGCAGGAAAACCTCCCCGGTCACTATGGCCATGTACAAACAGTTTGGAGACCCTTTCCATCATGAGCCTCGCACACAAGCAACTACACTCTCCCAGCTGGCCATTGCATGGAGTAAAGTTGATCCTGATGATATTGAGGCATTTTTTTGTGAGGCACAGAAGTTTCATTTGAATGGGGTGAATATACCTTTCTGGCAGGATTGGATCCCCAGTGATCCATCACATTTTCTCACTCTTGAATTTCTTCACTTCATTCATTGCGAGTTCTACGACCATGATGTGAAGTGGCTTATTTGCACAGTCAGTGATACAGAGATCAATTTTCAGTTCTCTGTGTTGCAGGCCATCACTGGGTTCCATCATTTTCATGGCGGGATTTCAAAGCTTAAACAGGTTACAGGACACACTCAATGTGACATCCAGTGCTCAATCATCACAGACGTGGTACCTAGCACCATTGTGGGTGAGGAAAATAGACTCTGGGGTAATTCAGATGTTTAACAAGGGTGCAAGACAAATACTCGTCCCAAGGGGATTGCTACTGGGTAGTGAGTCCTTAAGTGAGTGCGAGGAAAGCAAAGACTAGACTCTGTCTAGCGACCCGAATGGTTCCAGTCCTTACTAGGACTGGAAACGCACTGATACTGAAGGTGCACAACGAGCAGAGCTAACGTGCAACAAATGGAACTAATGCGCAACAAACGGATGAGTGTGCAATGAGTGGAACTAATGCGCAACGAGTGGAACAAACACATGGACAGAGATCACAGATACGATGGAGGGAAAAAGAAACTATGAGCCTATATGAGGAAGATTGGGCAAAGTCGGACCAGGCTTGTGTCTGGTACTTGTTCCAAGTTGTTGGATTTGGGGAGTCGGGCATTTGAAGCGGAACTCACGGATCTGCAGGCATCGTGATGAGGTCAAGAATAGATTCAGGAAGATATTTTAAACAGTGAGTGGAGTACTGGGAAGTACTCTGTAAGTGGAAGTGGAGTCAAGTCTAGCAAAAGGTAAAAAACTAAGATCCCATCTATTGCTATCTATATAGGAAGGGGTTCTGAAAAGTGCTATGCTACAACTGGGCGAGGCTGTGAGATAAGGATCCAGTTCCAAGTAGCAGAAAGATCCATATAAGTATCATAACACATGTGAAATGAGATAGCAACATGTCAGCAACACAAGGAACGTAGTGAGTACTCACCAGTGAGGATGGAAGGACAGGGACAGGATGGAGGAGGATGTTCTAAAGGCTAAAGGGATATGATGTGCGTGATGCACGGTTGTTCCGCTTGGTTCTGCATTGTTCCGCTTAGTTCCGTGTAGTGGGCAAGTCGGATAAGAAGTGGATATGTAGTGAAACACACGGAAAGATACTGGTAATGCTTGGGAAATATATGGGATACGGGCCTACAGTGGGGATGTTCCCCACACCGTGATGACTGCTGTATGAGCTCTGATGGACTTTCAGTACCTCATACAGTCACTCGTAATTGATGACATCCAACTCACCTGTATTTCCACGGCCCTTGAAGAATTTTATGCTAATAAAGATGCAATTATAGATGGTGGATTTCATTGTGATCAGCATGGCAGAGTCATTGAGAACTGGTACATACCGAAGCTAGAGCTCATGCACTCCATAGTTCTGAGCATAAGGAACACTAGAGTTCCTCTGCAATGGACCACAGACACCATGGAGCATGCACATATAACAGAAATCAAGGATCCTGCTGGCTCAAGCAATGACAATAACTATGACCCCCAGATATGTTGCCATCTTGACCGTGCTGATAAATGCCGCTGCTTTGACCTCGCTATGAGTCTGCTCAACAATATGCCAGACTCAAAGTGGCAGGGTTCAGATGATGATGGTGATGTTGATGACTACATTGATTTTGATTTTGATGACAATCATGATATCCCAGCAGACCTTCTGGCAACAATCAAATACCCTGGACATTCACATCCAATCACCAATTACTTTGAAATTGTCAAGATCCTCCAGAACAGGGAAATGGGAATGGTCCCTGTGCCATTGCACTCGTTCATTATCAAATGCACAGCATTTCACCTTGCCTATGACCCTTCCATCAGAAATATATCTGTTGATGATGCTGCCATTAAGTTTGGCCTTCCTGACTTATGACCAGCTGCCAACTTTCTTCATTGTGAGGCTACTCACGGGAGGGATCACATCTATACTATTGGGGGGACTAGAAGAGCTGGACCCATCATCGACAAACTACAAGTCTGGTTTAAGCTTTGGCTGCAGGACACCAATTTCCACAATATTAGCATCATACAGCCTGCACAGACCCTCAATTATGCACCCCCTTCTGATCCCTGGACCTCTGGTCAGTATGACACAGTTATCATCAACAATGAGGCGGGATGCTTATTGCCCACAGATGGTCTTTGTGGTATGTTATTCTTATGTTGTGCTGAATATTTACTTATCATCAAGTCATAGGTCATACTATTGGTCAAATCAGACTTATCATGCATCCTATCAGAAAGAGTGGCACAAATTGGTCATGGAAGAACCGCTTTCTGGTATACATGCATTGCTTTAACATTGTTCCCAAAAGCTCCAGTACCAATGATCATAAGCCAAGTATGCAGCTTCACTTGCTCAAATGAGTGAAGTGTTTAAATGGTACTTGGGTGGGTGATATCATACCTGTGATGCAGCTCAGAGCACCTGCCAACCTTGTCCCTCGCTTTGGTGCAAGCACAGACAACCACCTCACCCCATATAATAGCATGGAACATGCTTCACAGTTTTGGCTCAACAGATATTGGGACAAGAATATATATTTTCCTCTTTCCATGTAGCTTTGATGTAGGGTTACCTTGTTTACTTTTCATATGCAATGTTTGTGTCAGTTGAGTCATGAGTGTCTAGCCTATGGTTATTCTAGTCTGTTTTATTCTTAAATCACTGGACTAAACTTTGATGGATGCTGTGTGGCATGATAAGCTCGGTTGTCCCACTATTGTTGTACAAAAAATGGCATTCTTTTTCAGGATGGTTGATAATGGAATCAAATCATCATTATTGCTGTCTATTCCCAATGTCAATGATGTCCCTACTATGAACAAGATCATGTCTGATGAGCTTAATTGTCTGGTCACTCACAAGGATGCACCAAAGGCCTCACAACCACTAGGACACCTACTTTCCCAAATATTCCAGTCTTTCACAATTCCTCTTCCCAATGTGTGCAACCTTAAAATACCTTTCGGAAAAATCCTTTATCGTGACCAATGCATCAACAAGAAATTTGGCAAAACATCACAAGATACTCTAGTACCACTGTATGACACTGAAGCAAAGACTTGGAACTGGGCTCTTCCAGTTGACCCCCCTGCAAATAGTAGTAACCCTCCAGCTCAGGTTGAGTTGGAGGGCAATGTCACACAGCAAGCAGTATCATTACAGAAGAATATGAGCATCACCAACTCACTGATTGATGCACTAACAAGAAAAGTGGAAATGCTGCACTTACCACCAAGGCAGGCCAGAATAAGACCCATGGGTCTACATCCACCAACCAGCTGAATGCAGATGTGATGTGCTTCAATTGTGACTGTAAGGGCCACTATAAAAGTGACTGCTGGAGACCTGGAGGTGGGAAGGAAGGTCAGGGACCAAAGCAAACCCAGAAGAAGGGAAATCACTCACCGAAACAAGCTGTCAACACTGCAATGCAGAATGAGTCTCAGGATGAGTATGTGTTATGACCCACGTCCCTTAACCTAACTAGTAGGTGTCTGGAATTGGAATCACACCACAGGACTCAGTCTGAAGAGGGTAAAGCAAGATGGATTGAGAGGGAATGTCTAGGCCCTACAATGATGTAGAAATGAGGAGGTTAAGTCTAAGGAGTACTACTGACTACTACCTAGACTATATACTACTATTGGGGCGGAGCTATCTGAGTATGAAAGGTATGTGATATAACTATATACGGTCATAACATTGCACCTAGGGTATAGGGCGTCTTATCAACCAATCAACTACAAGAAGAGAAGGGTAAAGGGTTCATAGGGCCAAGGGTATCGGTGATTAAGCAGGGTTCTCAGGGACTGCTTCTATTCAGGGTGGACGGAGATTAAGAAGGGTGTGAGAGAGTTCTGTGACAAGAAGTCTCGAGCGGTAATTAAGGATCTCGATTAGAGATGGAATCTGAGGATCTAGATCTAAGGATCTAGATAGGATCTGGAGATGTATCGGGTACGATCGGATCTAAGGGTTCTCCAGGGTCTTCGGTAATTAGCATGCTTCTCTATGAGCGGTGCTTCTGTGATAGGGGTTCAGGGTTTAGCTGTGACTGTGCAACAGGTTCTTATGTAAAGGGTTCGGTGAATGACAGAGGTAACTCTTAACATGTCATGAGAAGTGAAGGTGTGCGATGTGAAGGGATGATGACCCTTTGAGAGATAGCTCGTAAAGTACTCTCAGTTATGGTTCGATCATAGAGGCATGTAGATGTTTATGATGTAACCCGTTGCCTAATCGTAGGACTTCTAAGGATGTGATGAGTTCGTATGTCTAGGGTTACGGATAAGGATGGATGATGTTGATATAGTATAGATGTGATGTAAAGATAGTGATCGTTAATCAGTTATCCATCTTATCTTATCAGGGATCTATCTAATCTAATCTTATCGGATAAGGTGACTTAGGGTTCGATAATCGAAATTTAGATGCAGTTGGTAACATTCATGACAGTATGCATTTGTCACATCGGACTTGGCAACTGTTGCGAAGGACCTGCATATCCCACTTGAGCACAGAGGAGCCATGATGGACTCAGGCACTACCTCCCATTTCTGTCCCAACTGCTCCAAATTCGTCAACTTTGTCAACTTTGTCTCTATTGCCCCACAGGACGTTTATACTGCAGACTGCTCAGCAGTTAGTGCAATAGGATTGGGGGACATCAAATTCGACTTACCCCTAGGCAACAAATATACCTCTGTCACATTTAAGAGTGCCTTATATGCACCTAAGATGGCCTTTACCCTTATATCAACCAACTGCATCACAGCTGCAGGGCTGGTGGTCTACTTTGAGGGCAATATGTGCAAAATCCTATTGAGTGGCCCAAAGAGGAAGATCATCATGGAGATACCCCAAGTTGAAGGACTCTATGCCGTCCTCAGTCATCAGAAGGAACACACTAACATAGCTAAGGCAAAACTTACTATATGTGAACTTCATTGCATGCTCAGGCATGTTTCGCAAGAAGCAGTTCTGGAGGCAGTCAGGAAGGGGCTGGTGGGAGGTGTCAAGCTAGACTCCACCTCCAAGCTGGAGTTCTGTGACACCTGTGTGAAAGCAAAGGCTACACATAAGCCCTTCCCCAAGGAGTCAGCGAGTTGTGCAAAGAGGTACAGTGAGGTCATACACACAGATTTGTGGGGCCTGGCATGGACCAAGAGCCTGGGCAGAAGCCTTTATTATATGACCTTTACTGATGACCTCACCCATCAGACCAAGGTCAAGTTCCTCACATATAAGTCCAAAGCACTGGAGGCATTCAAAGCTTACACTTTGTGGCTGTCACGCCAACATGATGGTAGTCACATTAAGACCCTTAGGTTTGACCACAGTGGCAAGTACTTGAGTCAAGACTTTGACCAGTACCTGCAAGACAAAGGGATTGAGAGGCAGCTTATGGTCCATGATTTGCCCCAGAAAAACAGTGTGGCTGAGTGTCTCAACCAAATGCTGGTTGAACACACCTGGGCAATGTTGATTGCCTACCAGGACCTCCCGAAGTTCCTGTGGGGCAAGGCCATTAACTATGTGATGTGGTTGAAGAACCATTTACCTTCCCATGCCATCCCTGACCATATGCCTTATGACCTCATACATGGCCATCCACCATCCCTTGCACAGGCCCACAAGTTTGAATTCCCAGTCTTTGTGCATGTCAACAATGTGGGCAAGCTTGAGGCTTGAGCTGAAGAGGTGATGTTCGTGGGGGTAGACATAGAAAGCAAAGGCTATCACATTTATTGGCCATTGAAGTGGTGAGTTTTGGTTGAGAGGAACTTGACATTCCCACCCATGGAGGTCATGGTAGGAGAAGATGTCCCAAACAATGGGGAGTCCATTAGCGCTGATAGGATATAGGCTGACACAAAGAGTGAAAATGTACCGCACGTCTAGGCAATCTCCCCTCCACAGACTCCAACCAGACCAACTCAGTGACCTGAAACTCCACCTGCACTGCAATCAACCAGAGTCCATCCACCTCCAGGCTATTATGCTACCCTTAACAAGGGACAAATGGCAACCCTTGCAACTGAGGCAATCTTTGACCCTGAAGTATCAGACTTAGCTGATAAACCAGACACCACTCACCATATCATGTTAGCAGCCACTGAACCCAAGCCAATATTGCAGCAGGCCTTGAACGGACCAGATGGAGTTGAGTGACAAGAGGTAGTCAATTATGAAATCAGCCAATTAGAGAAGCTTGGGGCATGGGAAGTGGTAAACACACTGTCATGTGCTAATATAATTCTATGCCACTTCATTCTAGCCACCAAATGTGGGCCAAATGACAAGAAACTCAAGCTACAAGCGCACCTCGTGGCCAATGGCCAACACCAGAAGCATGACATCAATTATTTCAACACATTCATGCCTACCTCTAACATGATGACCATCAGGACAGTACTAGGGATGGTGGCTCAATGCAATTGGGAAATCCACTAGGTGGATATTAAGAGCGCCTACCTATACACCAATGTCAAGGAGGAAATATACATGCATGCACCACCCGGCTATCTGAAGTCAGGAGATGCAGGAAAGGTACTGAGGTTGAGGAGGAGCTTGCCTGGATTGAAGCAAGCCAAGCAGGATTTGAGTGGGCAGAAGAGTTGGCTGGAGTGTTTCTGAGGATTGGCTTTACGTGTTTGCAGGTTGATCAGGTGGTCTTCTACAAGCGCATGGACCAAGAGCACATGGTCATCACCATGTCCATCAATGACATGGCTGTAACCTCAAAGCATCTCACAGACATTACTTGGTTCAAAGCCCAACCATGTGATCACTTCGAGATTACTGACCTGGGTGAGCTGAACTGGCTCCTGGGCCTCAAAGTCACCCAGAATCGCCTCACATGGACCATCACCTTATCTCAAGGTACATACATTTGCACTGTCCTTGAAAGATTCAATCTCACCAACTCCAAGGCTGCCCAGACACCTATGGATGTTGGGACCATCCTGTCCACAGACCAAGACCCATCGACTCTCACTGAGCATGAGGACATGTGCAACATCCCATATCAATGAGGTATTGGTTCTTTGATGTATGTGGCAATGAGCACGCATCTGGACATTGCCTTTGCAGTTGTGACCCTCTTGCAATTTATGTGAAACCCTGGTAGGGTTCATTGGGAGGTTAGCAAACATGTCATGTGTTATCTGAAAGGAACGGCAGATTTTGAACTCGCCCTAGGTGCAACAGATGCAGGACTTGAAGCCTAGGTGGACACTGACTGGGTGTCTCAACCCCACCATCATTCAATGTCCGGCTATGTTGTCTTGCTGAATGGTGGCCCTGTTGCATGGAGTGCCCACAAACAACCACTCATCACATTATCAACCGCAGGGGCAGAATACATCGCACTCACCATTGTTGCCTGCAAGATCCTATACCTTCAACTCCTTATCAAAGAACTATACAATGTACCAACCACCTCTACTCCCGTACACTGCAACAATCAAGCGGCAATTGCATTAGCATCTAACACCAAGTTCCATTCCAGAACCAAGCATATTGATTTGAGATATCATTTCATGCGCTCTCATGTTAGAAATGGCACGTTCACGCTTCACTACTGCCCCACTGAGGATAACCTAGCCGATGCCTTCACTAAAGCCCTAGCACATCCCCACCTTCAGAAGCTGCAAGCTTTGATGAGCCTGGATTGTGCTTGAGGGGGAGTGTTGAGCACAGACCATTCAGGGCATGGACTGGGAGGAGGAAATGAGATGTCAGAGTGAGACATTGCAAGCACAACCAGTCTATGTGATGCGCAACATTGTGACATCAGCCAAGACATAGTAATATATTTCCTATGCTACCATTTATTTATATCACTATACTAACTACTATAAAGTGTCAAGTACCGCGTTAGAACATCTCAGTCAAGTATCTCGAGACTGAGATGTAAGTCGTTACTATTATTTCCGTTTACTTATAATGAGCTAACATACCCATAGTATATATTCTTAACAGGTACTACAATAATTTACTGAGTCAAATATCTCAAGACTGAGATTATATATTCTTAACAGCTCCCTGTTCATCCCTGCTCACCTAAACTTGCTTTAATGCTGTTCTCACATGAATATCTACATAGTATATGTTGTATGTCCTCATAGGCATGAATGGATTTATGTCTCACTCAGATCTGAGACCATTTTTGCTGCCACTGCTGCTTAAGTTCAATCATTGAAGTCACAGAAACCAAGTCATTTGCTAGTGATAGACTTGAAGCAAAACAATATAACTAGGACTACAAGTTGTAGTACATCAGTAAAATTACACACCTCTTAATTTAACTTAATGAGCTTATTTTAGTAGCCAAGACGAGCTAAGACAGAATAAGGCAGTCTTATACTAAGACAAGTGTCTTAATCAAAGCATCTGGTCTTGAAATGATATGCAACTTGATAGCACTTAAATTTAGTAAAATAAGATGAATAAGCTCCAAGTTCAGCAAGACTAATAAGAGGCGGATAAGCGTGAGCCATGAAAGTAAGACATCAATAGACATAGTAAGAAGGATCAATCATTAATGGGTGAATACGGGTGGTTATGGTGAGGAGCGTGAAATGCAGTAGTCATAGTATGATAGAAGGTGCATGATGTGGTAGATAGTAGCGGTGGCCAGTCCAAACGAGTGAATGCAAGATGGAATACTATGCCCTTCGTGAATAAATGCATACTATTAAAGGTGAGTATAAAGGCAACTTACTTTTAACAGAATGCAAACAGGTCTGCGAATCTATTGTCCTCATTGGGCATGACATTACTTGTGGCCCTCGAGCTCCCAGTACTTCTCAGATGCTTGGCATACTGCTGTGCCTCTTGCACTATGCTCGTGAAGTTCTCGTCAGGAAGCACTATGATGGGCTGCATGAACTTCTGGGTCATAGGCCCCCAGACGGGTTTGCTAAAGGCAAATTGCTCGCCCTTCTTGATGATGGGTGTCCAAATATCTCCATTGTCTGTCTTCGTAGCTTTGGTGCGCTTGGCACGGGTTTCTGAAATGATTTTGAAGGTCATATTCCCATCCACAACTAGCTGAAGAATACGGCACACCTGTGAAAATATAAAGAATACTAATAGAACGGAAATAAAACATGACTCACTGCAGTAACAGCAAAGGTAAAGGTGGCCCACACACTAATTTCTTTGGTGTGGAGGTCGGGAATTTCAACATGGCCATAGGTGAAATTGAGGTGGGATGCAAATGTCTGGAGTATGAAGGAGGCCTTCCACATGCCCATCCAAGCCTTTGAACAGATAATTTAAATTGACATTGAATAGTAATAAATGATGCTACTTACCTTGGGAGCGAGCCCAGCATTATCCCTGAATATAAAGTGGTTTTGTTTCAGCATGGCTTGTGAAAATTCCTTGCAAGCCTCCAGATCCAGGAAATCAGTGTCCTGTGCAAAAAATGCTGTAAGAATGGAACAAGCAGCAACACCAAACCCTCCGCGCCATTCCATGAGGCATTGTTTGGCCTTCAAACTTCAGTAGACTCGAATAATATGAGAATGATGGACTTACTACTTTCAAAACAGTGCCAGAACTGGAAATTTCATGCTCGATCTTACCCTTGTATATATGGTCCCAGATATCTTGTATGATGTCCCTTAATTCATGGTCATCAGGGCCCCACAGCTCAATGTCTCCACTAGCCCAGTGTGCAACAGTGGGTATGAATACCTGATGCCAGGTGTTATTGTGCTGACAGCCATCAGGAAGATTATCGTTCTGGTACCGGTGATTAGCACCACTGCCATCACGGCGAGATGTGACTAGTCCAAGCCCATTGTGCCTTCGGCACAGGAAACAAGCAGAGCGCAAAGCACTCTGCTGAAGGCACCTTCAGTGCCTTGTCTCACTGTGTCTTCGACACAGGCTGACTATTAAATAATTATTTAGTTGTCTGAACTCAATAATTTCTTACATCTTACATTTAAAAAATGTTATATACTGTTGTTTTAGTTGTGGGATGTTGCACAAACAGTGAGACTGAAGTTTACCTGGGACACTGGCTTGTGATCCCATGGCCTCATGCCTCGGCCAGCAGGATGCAAGCCAGTGTCCCAGGTAAACTTCAGTCTCACTGTTTGTGTCTTGCTATTGACTCATGCCTTTTCCTCCCATCTCCCATTTCCTGTTTGCTGTCCCATCTTCATCTCCTGTCTTCTATACCAACTCTCCTCTTCACCCATCCACCCATCTAGTCATCCTCCCTTCCTCCCTTCCTCCCTTCCTCCCTTCCTCCCTTCCTCCCTTCCTCCCTTCCTCCCTTCCTCCCTTCCTCCCTTCCTCCCTTCCTCCCTTCCTCCCTTCCTCCCTTCCTCCCTTCCTCCCTTCCTCCCTTCCTCCCTTCCTCCCTTCCTCCCTTCCTCCCTTCCTCCCTTCCTCCCTTCCTCCCTTCCTCCCTTCCTCCCTTCCTCCCTTCCTCCCTTCCTCCCTTCCTCCCTTCCTCCCTTCCTCCCATCTCCCATCCTCCCATTGTCCTCCCACTGTCCTCCCATCCTCTTGTTCTCCTGTCCTCTTGTCCTCCTGTCCTCTCATCCTCCTATTGTCCTCCCATCCTCTTGTCCTCCTGTCCTCTCATCCTCCCATTGTCCTCTGTTATGATCAATGTTCACCGATTGGTAAAGGTTTCACACAACCACTAGGACTTGTCAAGATAAAGAGCAAAGGATGAGATTGAGAGTGAACGTCTCTGTCTACACAAGGTAGGAACGAAGAGGTTAAGTCTAAGGAGTACTACTGACTACGACCTAAACTATATACTACTCTCTAGGCGGAGATATCTGAGTATGAAAGGTAGTGATATATCTATATAAGATCATAACATTGCGCCTAGGGTATAGGGCGTCTTATCAACCAATCAACTACAGGGAAGGAGAAAGGGTTCATAGGGATATTGGTGATTAAGCAGGGTCTCAGGGTACTGCTTCTATTCAGGGTAAGCGGATATGAAGAAGGGTGTGAGAGAGTTCTGTGACAAGAAGTCTCGAGTGGTGATTAAGGATCTCGATAAGAGATAGGATCTGGAGATGTATCGGGTACGATCGGATCTAGGGTTTCTCCAGGGTCTTCGGTAATGAGCATGCTTCTTTATGAGTGGTGCTTCTGTGATAGGGTTCAGGGGTTTAGCTGTGACTGTGCAACAGGTTCTTATGTAAGGGGTTCGGTGAATGACAGAGGTAACTCTTAACGTGTCATGTGTGGGAAGTGAAGGTCTGCGATGTGAAAGGATGATGACTCTTCGAGAGACGGCTCGTAAAGGACTCTCGGTTATGGTTCAATCATAGAGGCGTGTAGATGCTTATGATGTAACCCGTTGCCTAATCGTAGGACTTCTAAGGATGTGATGAGTGTCGGATGTCTAGGGTTACGGATATAGATGGATGACGTTGATATAGTATAGATGTGAATTGAAGATAGTGATCGTTAATCAGTTATCCATCTTATCTTATCGGATAGTGACTTAGGGCGAAGATAATCGAAATTTAGGTGCAGTTGGTAACATTCATGACATCCTCCCATCCTCCCATTGTCCTCCCATCCTCCCATCTCCCTATTCACCCCATTTCTCCATTCTCCATCTTCCCATTCCTCTGTTTACCCATTGCCAAATTTTCCCATCTTTATATTTTTGCAATTTTGCATTTTCACATTTTTGCATTTTGCATTTTTCCACTTGCTTGGTGTTCTCTTTTCTCTTTTCCCCACAAAAATCCCAAAATCCCTTGTTGTCCTTCAATTTTTACTATTTATCATGTATTCACAGTCACAGTACATATAAAATTCATTGTTGTTGTGCAAAATGGAGGGACAGTGAGCACCTGCCAAATTAGTGAACCCTCGTATACTAACAGACAACAGTTTTTCGCAAATGGAACTCCAAAAATGAAAAGCACGCAAGATTTCCAAAATCGTCATTAAGCGTCACTGCTGAAACCATGTGCGCTACGCGGAAATGCCCAAATCCTCCCACCCCCCGGCATGCGTTCTCCCATACTTTTTAGATGCTTGTGATGTGTGATTCTGTCTTTGCTCGTTTTGAAGCAGGGGCATTGCTACTGATACCAACATCGGTCTAAATTTAGCAGAGATCAGACAGGTATCGTGAAAGAAGTGACAACTTACTGAAGTGGTGAGGCGTTTGATGCCTTTTCCTGCTACAGGTGCAGAAAGTGCTTCGTCCTCAGCCTCCTCAGTATCACCAAACTCGTAAAGTTCCATAGATAGATCAGACATAAGCTCAGGATGGCCTGGAAGCCTGGTAGTCACTCTTGATGGTTGAGTACAAGGGGGAGGGGAAGACCATGATTCAGTCATTGCCATTTTTTGGGATGGCACACACACTGGGCGTGAGGTATGCAGAGATAATAGGCTACTAACTTTAACCACATCCTGAGGTAAGAGTGAGCATCATGTAAATGGAAAAAAAAAAGTAGGACTTACTGAAGTTGTGCATCTAGCACTGTCACCAGTCTGAGTCTTTTTAGTGGCATTGTAAGCAGCCTTGTGCTCAAGCGAATCGTCGTCATCCAGCAATGATGTGTCTGACTCTCTGACACTGTGTGCTGGAGTAGGAGGAGGACCAGGATTGGTGCTGGCTGAAGTCACATTTGTGATCTTTGACACAGTGGTGGAAGTAGTGAGGAAACACGGGTGTGTGTTGCAGTTCAAGTGCTGTGAGCAACAGAAGGCCTGAGTAACTTGCTAGTTGCAAGTTTCTCCGCCCAATCCTTTGTCTTTCTGATGCCTGTATAGTCGCCCTTTGCTGTACTGACATCAGCTGCACTGAATTGATCAAGGTCATGTCACTAATCATCACACTGCATAGCTGTTAAGGTCGTGCTCAAGGGAGAGGTTACTCAAAGGGCTTCGGCTTCAGCTCGTGCGCTGTGCCCCTTACCCGAGTACGTGCCCTTTAATTTCTGGGGGACAGAGGGGAAGTCTGACGGAAGTCAGGGGAGTTCCGGAGGACTTAGTGTCGGTGGAGTTCAGTGGAACTCCAGAAGGTTTATGCGGGGACAGAGTAAGGCTACTACGGAAGTCTGGAGTAGAAACAGAACAGAGTTTAGACTACCCTAAGGTAGAGCCGGAGAAGTAGTCCTAAGGTTTAACCCCTAAGACTCAGAGGTGGACAAGAGATGAGACTCAAGTCCGGAGATTGCAGGAATGAGCAGAACTAAGATGACATTCGAACTGAGGAGTTCCAGAGTATTACAGGGGTTTATATACTGTAGGTATCATGTAAGTAAATCAGTCAGCAAAGGTAAGGGCTATGTATGAAGCATGTGGAAAGTCTATTACTAAGTGTAACAGATCAAAGCAGTGAAGTCAGAAATGAAGTAAGAATGGACAGATCAGTAAGCATAGCAGAATAGGACATAACCGGTAACCAGAGCAATAGCTAATCTAAAAGGAGTTAGGGGTGAGTGCGGAGATGAAGGCGGAGCACTGGGCGGAATAGTAAGACGGAGGATTGGACTTCAATGAAGTAGATCCGGAATTCCGGGTCCGGAGGTATGGGATATGACACCTCCTCAGGATTGCCCTCCATTGGCTGAATGTTATCTTCATCTACAGTATCCATCATCTCAACATCCTCTTCCTCAGCTATACCGACCAGTTTCTTTACCTTCGACACAGGTCGTGCCCAAGGCCTTGGCCTTGGTGGATCCATAATGATTGAGATCCTTCAAGGCCCTCTGATCCTCAATAGCAGCGATAGGCTCAGCATTGCACTGAGCTGTGGCTTCCTGTTCTTGCTGCTCGTGCTCAATGCGATTGTTGTCTTCCTGGATTTGACGAGCAGTACGTCTTTTCTGTTTTGTTTTGAGAACAATCTCACCAGGATGCTGGTTCGCATTTTTAGGATGTGTGTTTGGCCACATCATTCTTGGAAAAGGCCTGGTTGGTGGAAGTGAAAATTTGGCTGAGGGCAGGGAGGTTGTGAAGGACTTTGAAAGAGTTACGTGTTGCTTGCACCTGTTCCGTGTATGTAGTATATTACAATTTGCTTCATGACAGGTTCGCTAATACTTGCCAATTTTCAGTCCTTTCAAGTTGCAAATGTTCGCCCATGACATCCCTCAAACACAGCTCAAACGACAAGCATTTAGTGCTCAATGTATTCAGTGTCCATACCCTGGGTGCAAACACTGGTTGAAAAATACCTCCGGGCTGAAATTCCACCAAAATGTGATGCACAACAATTCATTTACTCACCCCAGTCAAGTGCTACACTCACAATGTGCTTCTGTTCAAGAGGTCGAAGACAAAGAGGCTCTGAGACTCACAATGGATGAGGAGCGCTGGGAGTTTAGGCATGGACTCATTTGAGACTATCATGAGGCACTGACCAGTAAGTACAATAATCCTGTTGCAGGTGATAGTTGTCTTCCATAAAAAATCACACCTGCAGGTCAAATTTGTGATGAGAATGGCAACTTTCTCAATCCTGGCGCTCCTCCCGCACCATACACTATGAAGAGTCCTGACGACTGGACTCCATACTGCAACTGGCTAGAATTTGAGGCTGCTGAGTTACTGTACACTGAAAACCAGATGTCAGCATGCCAAATTGACAAGATCCTCTACTACTGGGGTATCACCCTTGCTATTCATTGTGACAATCCGCTGTTCACTGACCACAAAGACTTATATGATACTATTGATGCAACACCGTTAGGTGATGTTGCATGGCAAAGTTTCTCCCTCAAGTACAGCAGCAAGAAACCTGCAGGAGACTGTCTGCTTTGGATGCAACAGTCATATGATGTTTGGTTCCAGGACCCCCACACAATCATGAGGAACATGCTTGCAAATGTGGACTATACAGGTGAAATTGATTATACACCATACCATGAATTTCAGGAGAAGGACAAGAAACACCGCTATAAAGACTTTATGTCGGGAGACTGGGCCTGGCACCAATCAGTATGTATCCCATACTCATACAATTTTGCACTAATGTTGGTACAGGACGAAATAGCACAAGACCCACAAACACATGGCGCAGTCTTTGTTCCCATCATCCTAGGTAGTGACAAGACAATGGTGTCTGTTGCTACTGGTCAAAACGACTACTATCCACTTTATCTCTCAATTGGGAATGTCCATAACAATGTTTGGTGTGCACATCATGATGCATTGGCTCTGGTCAGATTTATGGCAATTCCCAAGAGTACATACTAGCTGTTTTTCTCATCCTTTACTTTGAAGCTTACTTGTTGCATCAAACAAAAAAGGTGTGAATGATCCTGCATTCCACAAGTTCAAGAAGCAGATGTTTCACTCTTCGCTGTTGAAAATCCTCACCAATCTCAAACCTGGAATGACGACTCTGGAAGTTACGCGGTGCGGTGATGGCCACTACCACCGTGTTATTTATGGACTGGGACCCCATATTGCAGACTATGAAGAGCAAGTGGTACTGGCAGGTATCATCAAAAATTGGTGCGGAAGGTAAGATCTTCTTGTTTGTCTCCACTTCATGTCAAGATGTCTGTGGGCATAGTGTCCATCTCTGCTTTCATTGGTGACATGTCCATAAAACTTGACATCTGAATAGTGTGGTCTCCAAGTGATGACTGTGCAGGTGTCTTATCTTCATGTTGAGATGTCCATGAAACTTGACATCTGAATAGTGTGGTCTCCAAGTGATAACTCTGTGGGCATAGTGTCCGTCTCTGCTTTCATTGGTGACATGTCCATAAAACTTGACATCTGAATAGTGCGGTCTCCAAGTGATGACTGTGCAGGCATCTTATTGATATCCGCTTTCATGTACATTGCTGTCACCTCCTTCATACATGGTCTCACTATTTACTTTGGCAGATGTCTGGCATTTCCTACAAGTCTTGATGATGGAGGTGTTTCTTGGTCACACGAGCATACTGATGCGCTTGTGGATTCAGTTAGTTTTGGTATACTCTGGGATGAGTATGGTATTGTTGGTGAGCTATCATGCATCATGTCACTAATCATCACACCGCATAGCTGTTAAGGTCGTGCTCAAGGGAGAGGTTACTCAAAGGGCTTCGGCTTCAGCTCGTGCGCTGCGCCCCTTACCCAAGTACGTGCCCTTAATTTCCAGGGGACAGAGGGGAAGTCCAACAGAAGTCTGGGGGAATTCCGGAGGACAGAAGTCAGTGGAGTTCAGCGGAACTCCGGAAGACTATGTGGGGACGGAGTAAGGCTACTATGGAAGTCCGGAGTAGAAACAGAACAGAGGTTAGATTACCCTAAGGTAGAGCCAGAGGATTAGTCCTAAGGTTTCAACCCCTAAGACTTGGAGGTGGACAAGAGGTGAGACTCAAGTCCGGAGATTGCAGGAATGAGCAGAACTAAGATGATATTTGAACTGAGGAGTTCCGGAGTATTACAGGGGTTTATATACTGTAGGTATCATGTAAGTAAATCAGTCAGCAAAGGTAAGGGCTATGTATGAAGCATGTGGAAAGTCTATTACTAAGTGTAACAGATCAAAGCAGTGAAGTCGAAAATGAAGTAAGAATGGACGGATCAGTAAGCATAGCAGAATAGGACATAACCAGTAACCAGAGCAATAGCTAATCTAAAAGGAGTTAGGGGTGAGTGCAGAGATGAAGGCGGAGCACTGGGCGGAATAGCAGGATGGAGGACCAGACTTTTAATGAAGTAGATCCAGAATTCCAGATCCAGAGGTACGGGATATGACAATAGCCCTTCACAAATGACTTTCCTCATGCCGACATCCACCAGCTCCTTGCTCCTGACTTACTTGCATCAACTAATTAAAGGCATGTTCAAGGACCACCTGGTTGAATGGGTGGGTAAATATCTCGAAATGTGAGCACGGAAAAGCAGGTGTGGCAGAGGTTATGGATGATATTGACTGAAGGTAGTTGCACTTTTCTCCCATCTTCTTATGGTGAGAACTGACGACACGCTAGAATTGCTGTTGCACCCTCATTCCCTGGTCTACGGTGTTTTCCACAAGGGCGTGGATTCTCACAATGGACAGGTGACGACTCGAAAGCATTAATGAAGGTAAGTCCCATGCTTATATTATTTTGTGTACAGTAACACAACTATGTACTACTAGGTCTATCTTTCAGCAATCGAAAGCCACAGTACCAGATGACAGTGGTTTCGAGCATTTCGAGCATTTCAAGCATTTCTGGAATTTTGCTACATCGTTCGTGCCAATATCATCATAGATGACACTCTCACAGAGCTCAGGGATGCCCTCGAGCACTTCCATAGATACCGACACCATATTCCAGACTATCGGTGTCCGCTTCAACATTTCCCTGCCCCAACAACACTCCCTTGTTCACTATGAGATTCTCGTCCAATTGTTTGGTGCCCAAAATGGGCTTTGTTCATCCATCACTGAATCCAAACATATCAAGGTGGTAAAGAAACCATGGCGATGCTCAAGCAAACACAAGGCACTCAGTCAGATGCTCCTCACCAATCAGCGCCTGGACAAAATCGCAGCAGCAAGGGTTGATTCTCAAGTGCATGGGATGCTCAAAGGTTCTTGTGCTTTCAGCTACTATAATTCATTTTGTACATGCTTTATGTTTGATTTTGATTTGCTTTTATTCATTAAATCCCCAGTCAAGAATCGCTCAAATTTTGAAGATGACGACAACATCGACAACAACAACAACAACCATGAAGAGCAACGGCATGAAGAAACCAATCCATTTGCCATGGAAGCGGATGACTACGACAATGTCAAGGATGATGGTATTGTAGATGATGAGGATGTTATTGCTGATGTGAAATTAGCACAAAGTGCTCGTGCATATTCAAACTTTTTGACGAACCTTCGAGCATTAATGTGACATTCAGAACGTAACATGTGCACGTACAATTCCCGAACTTGCGGATGAACTTGATTTGCCATCACTCCCATGTCTCATTCATTTGTTTTTATACAGCCAGATTCATGCTGACGACAATCATTCTTCCGCCGAATGCCCCCCTTCATGACTGTCCATCTTTTATAGGGATGCATCAAGATTTTCCATTCCAGCTTCTGCTACTTTCATCGACACTGAGCGATCCAAGCAGGAATCACCAGCATGCGACACAAGCATATTCGTGCTGTGCCCCTCATGGTGCAATGGACCAGGCTGTTATGATTGTGCCCTTCAGTCAACATTAATGACAAGCAGGATGGCATGCTCAGCATGGATGTTGTTCGGATATTTTGCTTTTTATCTTTCACTTTCACTAATGGTCACACATATCCGTGTGCCCTCATTCAATGGTTGCCATCGGATTGTGGAGGAGCGAGACGAGCTCACAGGCATGTGGATGGTGGCGCCGTCCCTCAATGAGGATGGCTCTTGTGACTTGTCGATTACCCATATTGACAGTATTATCCGTGGTGCTCACCTACTCCCAATATTTGGCACTCAGTTTGTGCCTCAGGGCCTTCAATTCCATGATTCTCTAGATGCCTACCGAGGATTCTACATAAATCATTTTATTGACCATCATGCTTTCGAGCTGGTGTCTTAATATATTTCTTACTCATAGAATGCTTGGAATTTAACGTTGTCTTGAAATTACTTTTTGGCTCTTAAGTTATCTGAGTGTCTTTGTCAACTTGGTGCTAAGACACTTAAGTTGCGTTCCAAGTCAAAACAAGAACTTGCAAGAACTTGGATGTCTTAGTGGACTTGGGTGCCAAACCAAGTAGAATAAGTTCTGAATAAGTTAAATTAAGAGGCATGTAATTTTACTGATGTACTACTATGGTACTCAGGCTACTCAAATTTTCAAGTTGTACTGTAGAACTGTGAGTGACTAGAGATGGTGTATACTTTGCACCACTATTTGCTGTGATTGTGGTGCATCAGTAAATTCACACATTGCTTATTTCAACTATTTGGCACTTGTCACTGCTTTTGTCACTTATCAATAATGGGATCTACTTGTTTTTCTTGAACTAGCCACCCCAGCCCACCACCCTCCACTTGAGTGTTTCAAATTGCTAATAACCTATCAAATACATGTTGATAATGATAGAATATAGTCTTCTCAAGTGTAGCTGCCTAGGGAAAGCATTTAAGTCAAAATCTTCTTGCTACTGTTTTGGCATTTCCACTTGACTAAACAACCAATGTGGTTGTTTTGATATTGTCAAATGAGCTTCTATAGTCTAACAAATATTTTGGTGTACTCTAGTTGAGGGTGGTGGGCCCAGGTGGCTAGTTGAAGAAAAATAAGTAGATCCCATTATTGATAAGTGACAAAGTAGGGATAAGTGCCAAATAAGTGAACTGTGAAGTCTGTGGCTCACTGTCATGTAAACACAATTTTTGTACTTTCTGTGGAAGAATTTGTGATTTACTGATGTAGGTAACAGTGGTCGCTCCCAAAAATTTAATCTTTCTTTGCCATGGTGGGTGGGTGTTGCAATACGTGCCATCTCGGTGGTAAGCTGACAGGTCAATGCAACTAGAGTGTCACAATTGTGCATTTGGGGGGTTCCATCCAACTAAGTCCAGGTATTCAAAGCTTTCTCATGTGGGATACAATTCTGATAGGTATTGTACAGATTTTAGATCAGACAAAGCTAGCTAAGAATTTATCGTTTTGGGGTCAGTTATCTGATGTAGCTTGTGGCCGGATTGGAATATCTGTGGCATGTACGTTTATATAAGTCACCTTAGCGTCAGAGTTGAATTTCCAAAAACGCGCCGCAAATCCTCGAAAATCACATTACATCATGCTCCCATATCTAGTATTCTAAGTTGACAATTGACCACGTTAAACTTCAGTGAGTTGAACCGCGATAAAGGATGAAAGCTGATTTACTGTGTTTTGTAGCTGCGACTTGCCCCTTGGACGTGCGGTAGCATAGAACAGTTGAGACTGTTAGCGGTGGGTCACATAGTACAACTCAGATACTCCGCTACTCCGATCGTCCACAGTACTCTTTTTCCTGTGGATTGCCCACATCCACTTCAACTTAAAACCCCCTCACAAGTGAAGTACTCCTTTAAATTCACTGTACCCCCCGTACTCCTAATGGCTTCAGCAATGCCCCTTTTAACTGCCAATAGTACAATGCCTCGCGCCCTCTTAGTGTCTGAAATTTTCTCGCACATCATAAGTTATGTCGGCACACACCAAATCTCCACACTCTTCATCTCCGAGATACCAGTTCACAGACGTGATCCTACCACGCTTTCCAGGAGGACCTTGTCAGCCCTTGCATTAACGTGTCGCGCGTTCACGGAGCAAGCATTGGATGCTCTCTGGGAAACGATGATGCACCTTACGCCCCTCCTGCGATGTGCTGGGATTATGCTGCCGATGCCACGCGAGGGACATGTTAGGGAAGAACTCCAGGAAGACCACTGCATCGTCAGTTCTTTTTTTCAGGAGAAATACACATATATTTACTGATGGCACAGATCCCAACAGAGTCTCAGCTGGCCATCATTAACCGCTATGCACATCGTATCCGGTTTTTAACCATGACCTATGCCAGTTGGCAGACTCATGTCGAATTTTTTTTGCAAACCCTTGTCTGCTCTTCCAAGGTCCTGCTGCCAAACTTACGAAGCTTATTTGTCGATTGTAATCATTTCTGCCATCTGGTCCCCCCCTTGCTTGGCCCGCGTCTGCGGCATCTTACCATCAACATTAAATACCACGAAAAAGATGAGCACTACAAAGGTGATGAGGATGTTTTGCCTGTATTTGACATGGTCATACGGTCATTACCCTCCTCTTGTCCGTCACTTGAAAGCTTCAAGGTTTACGCCAACTACTCACTTGGCCCATGGGATGTGCCAACATTCGCTCTGCCACTGTCGCATGCTATCCAAAACTTGCACAACCTGCATAGCGTCGTCACTCCGGCCATCACCAAGGACGCCATGATTCATCTTGGTAGTCTCTCATCTCTTACCAGCTTCCAGACACATCTCCCCACCGGCAGTGATCTCGAAGATATTTTTGGCTCATCCCGCGGCCCCTTTCTCTTCGAGAACCATGAAAGTGTTGATTGGGTGATCAAAGAATGGCGAGACACCGAAGTCTTCACACGTCTATGGCCTCATAAACTCACCACAATGACACTTCGATCCGACAAGATCACGCTCGGTGGAGGAGGCCCGCTGCAGGTACTTTTCGACTCGCTCCATACACGCGAGGCTTTCAGGCACCTGCAGCGCATACACTTACTCGATTCCTTTCACTGCAAACGCACATCCGCAGACACAGCCATCACAATTGAAACCATACGGCCGCTCTTCTACCTCAGTCACCTTCAGGTCGTGGAACTCAACACGAAATCCCGTATTGACATCGACAACGATGACCTCGTGGAAATGGCAGAAGCCTGGCCTTGTCTTGAGGTGTTGTCCCTGAACAAGGATCGTGGGTGCAGTGCTCTAAACCCAGTCACATTGCTCGGGTTCGTCAATTTCGTCGATCTGTGTCCTCGCTTGAAGAAACTCTGGATTACTATTACATGGGCTGATGCGCACGAAGACGTTGAAGATATGGAGAGCTTACTCGACCTCGAGGGCCGACGTGACTCGGATTTAGAATATCTTAAGTTGGACTGGGCCGGTGAGGAGAAATACGAAGCTTGGAACTGGACCTCGGAGGTGGCCGTGCTTTTAGAAAAGCTTTTCCCTCGGGTGGTCTTTGGGTAGCTTAGAAGAGAAAGCAAGGACCGGCACTTCTATTACCTATATATGTTAATCGATTGGTCGCGGACGCACTCCAAGTTGTCGTGATACTTGATACTAGAAAAAAGTTTTTTAGCCCTTCGTCAAGCTATGATAGACTCTCCATTCTTAACATTCCCTTTTCGTACATGTACGCCATTTCTGTTCCTACGCTACCTATGAGCTGTCAAATATCGCTGCGAAGAGTCAAGCTGTAAGATTCAGCTTGTTCTCACTGCCTTGGTGAATGCGTTTGTGCGTTTGATCCGTCGAATCGCAAATAGATCGCCAATGCAAAGAGACTTGTGCGCGCTGAGACAAAGTCGTCGATCAGATCTCTCCGAGATCGTACATGTCACAAACCATTTTGATCCCGATCAACACGTGGCAAAACACTAAGACTGACTTGACTAGATTGTCGACTCAACGCTGTCCGAGGCTCGCACTCCAGTCAAGACCACGAAATCCACTGCACGTGAAATAGGTAGTCATACTGTTTGTGTAGATAGTTAATGTGTGCGAGTACGAGTACGAGAGATGACAGATGAGCAAGATTAGGAAGATGCCAGCCTGCATAATAGTACAGATTTCCGGCTTTTAGAATGTACGAAGGCTGCTATACTCTATGCGGTGAGGGGGCGTAGGGAACAACCCAAGGGAGGAATGGGAAGCAGCCGTATAGTGCCAGACACAAAGGAAAGTAAAATGAGAACCGGTCAACGAACGAATCTGAGAAGCGATGGGCGTCGACCTGGGATATGTTGTAGGCCGGTAAAAGGAGAACCACATGTAAGAGCACAATAGATGGTAAGCAGAGTGGAGAAGGCGAGAGACGGGATATAGAACAATAGTGGACCAATATATATAATTTTTACTTTTGCGCCATGTGTCGGGGAGACTGAGGTCGCCCCAGCAGTGGGGAGGGGGTAACCGACAGCCAGGAGGGATATGGAAGGTCTAAAAAATACATCCAGTCTACATTCGAAGTGTCGTCCTGTCGGACTGCTGCATCTCGAGCGAGCGTCGATCTTCAGTGTTGGGCAACAAGAACAGCTTCGGCAGCGACTCCGTGATAGCCTATCTGCACTTGTGCTTGTAGAGCCTGCTGCTGGCGCAAATACTGCTGCTGTGCGGACGAGTAAAGCATCTGCTGCTGATATTGCTGAGCATATGTCGGTGTCGAGTGTCCGCTCACTGGCGTCGAGTGGCCACTCGCCACTGGTGTTGAATGCCGCGAGCTTGCGGCACTACTCCGTCCGTGGGCGTGTTGCAGGCATTCGTGCTGTCCACTAGCCAGAAGAGCCAAGCCAATTGCACCATGGTCACCCGAGTGCTGGTAGTGATAACGCAAACCGTTCATAGTTCTTGTATCGGCGCTGGCAATCACTGACACCACAAGCAAAGGGCCGCAGCCTGCGTTCTGCCTCCCGTTCGACTTCGCGCATCTCACCCTCTGTGATGCCCTGATCTTCCTGCCCAGCAGCCTCACGAGCGGAGCGCTTGCTAGCCAGCAGCGCTTGTACTTGCTCGAGGTCTTTGGGTGGTGCAAAGTTACAGCTGCCGTGGGTCATGTGATATTTGAGCCCATTAGCTTGCTTGTAGCTCTTGTTACAATTTGGCTTAGGGCAGCGGAAGGGCTTCGATAGTAGTAATGATGATGCAGGGCGAGAGAGCGTGGTACTAGCACGCTGATTGGCTTGTTGTGATGTGAAAGCTTTAGAAGAAGCAAGGGAATCCGAGGACGCCGACGAATTAGGCGCAGCCGCGGAGGGCGCGGGGTGGCGCGAGGCGCTTGCTGGTGACGGAACGCGGGAGGCTGAAGGGGTGTTAATGGGAGTATTGCTCGTGGAGAATACTACGGCTGGAGGAAGACAACCGTAGGGACTACCCAGCTCACTGACAGGTGAGACAGGTGAATGAACATCATCGCTCGCGGGTGGGGAAGGAACAGTGCCAGGCATTGAGGATGAATAGTCGGAGTAGCCCGCGTAACCATTAAATGCATCGGGGGCATTTGCCACATTTGGGAGACCGTTCCGGGATGGTGGGAATGCAGAGCCGTGAATGGAGCGGGAGGGGAGGACCGTTGTCGTATCAAATGCCGACACGGGAAGATGCGGAGAGGTAGGCTTCGACTGACCAAAGTGGTTAAACGAATGAGTAGGGTGTGACGACAGTGGGGTGGTAAGAGGAGTGTCAGGGGGAGATGGCGCGTTTGAGGAAGGTGTGCTACCCTGATCAACGTCAAGTTCCATGTCATCAGGGTCGAAGCCACCTTGATTGTAACATGTAGGGTGCTGATGAAGTTCGGAGAAATAGGAAGCAGTTGCATCGCGAATAGATTGGGGTAGAGGAGGAACGACTGGGAACTGAGGGTGACCAAATTGGTCAAGTACGACAACGTGAACCTCCTCGAAATGCTGTAGCAGAGCATGCAGGTCATCTAACTGTAAACCACAACATGTGTAGTTGCGGCACTGCCAGAATAGAACTATGAGAGGTTGACACGAAGTACGGAGGCCACGAACTTACCAATTCGTCCTCCCTGTCGAACGCACCGAGAGCGTTAAGAATTGAACCACGGTCACTTTCGATTGAAGATGACTAATTTGGCACACTTGAATTCATAAGGACTACATAGATGATATCAGCACATAGACAACAAGAAATTAAAGTATGAACTGACTCTAATGGACCCAGAAGTTGACCAGGTGAACAACCGGGATAGAAACGGCTGCCGAATGAACCAGCACGCCATGATATCGGAGAACCTAGAAAGTAAGGCCTAGTATTGTTTGTACCGGTGAATGAACCTGATGCCATGTGGAAATCAGGATGGTTAGGAGACTGGAAAGCGATAGGTTGAGATGTAGCGGCCATAGCTACAAGATAGAAGATGGATTGATGTACAGATTGGGGTAGCCTACAGAAGTATATTATAGAGGATGAACTCGTGAAATAGAAGTACTTGATAGTAAACTGACAAGTTATTTGTTGTGGAGGAAGGGAGGGGGTGCTATCGGCCAACTATCGGTCATACCTAAGCCTATTTAGCTTGAATTCGTTACTGTACTACTCATCCACAAATTACATAAACCAATTTCCTTTTTAGTTCGATCAATCAGAATCTCGGCATTTCGGCACAAAAACACTGCCACCCGGCTCCTTTACCGCTACCGTAGCCAATTACTGCCGACTCTGCCGCAGCAACCCTGCCAGGCCCTGCCTCAAGCCCGCTTTTTCGTTTAACCCGTATCCGCTATTCAACTCTGTAATGCGTCCAACGATTCATATATTCTCCACCGCAGTCGTTTCAGATTATAGTGCACATGACATATTACCATCAAGGAACATGGCTGCTTCAACTCTCGCGAGTCGTACCACAGTAATTCGATCATGACAATCATTGGCGACTCCCATCAAGACGTCCATGGCTACGTCCCCGCGCCATTATTACCAACACAAAACCTGCGTTGGTTGAGTTACTACCTGTTACTACTGGCTACACGAGGCCTTGAGTGGAGTCCCGTGACCACTTCGATTATGTCTGAACCTCAAATGTTGGAATAGTAGTATGTAGTCTTACTCGATTCAGTGCCGCCAGGTTCTCGACTCCCAAGATTCAGCTACCAGTGTCCGCGCCCTTTTCGTGCCTCTGAACTCAGATTCTGAGAATCCGTCCTCGAAGGGCCGAACGGTTCCAGAGCGGCACATTCACGTTATACATGTATCTCCGTCTCCCCCAAAGTCTAATCTGTTTTCCGCAGTGCGCACCAAAAATTCCTACTAAATACTTGTGGGCGCACGTCATAAATATTGCCAACCTTTTTTGGCACCCACCAATGACACGACTTCTATATATCTTGCCCTCATCAGCATTCATTATCGTTCTCTATAGGGACGCGGAACCCAACGACTTGGACTCGGAGGTCCCTCAGCTTTTGATACGGCGATCTCTATCTTCGAAGCTTCAACCCTTGCTATGCCATTAGTATGCACGTGCATCCCTACTCGCATCCAACTTGGGACAAAACTCTGTGAAGCCACACCAATGAGTGACTGTACAAGGCACAGCGCCAGAACCATCATGACCTCAACCAAGACCTCTCTTGACAGAAAAGGTTACGGGGTAGCTACTACATAGTAACATACCGAACGGCGTTTTCACCTCAGGTCGAGGGCTTCTCGGTCGCGAACCTTGACCCTTGCAAAGCCGTGATTCTACTACGGTCGTAAAGGCCTACGCAAGGTACCTGGACACAATTTATGTCTACATCATATCTTTATCTTTACTTGGTTGTATGATGCGCCCTCTGTCGATAAAGAGGGCAGACCATGCGTTCAGCCAGGGCCAGAGTGTTTGTGAAGCATTGGTATTCTCGTACAACATGCAACATCATGTCGTACGCATACACTACCATCTCGTAAGTAATCCCTTCTATCTACCTAAGCTACACCAATTTTGCGTTGGTCCTTGAAGCAAGTTTGTCACCAGAAATGCAGCGGATCATACACGGATCTCGTTATGAACCAACCGTAAGGATCGCCACAGTCTATTTCCTCTGCGGTACCGACGAGAGTGGGGTTTTGAAGGTATCTGAATATACTGGTATAGTGAAATTCATGGTCATGATGTCCATGTGTCCACGGGGCGCTGATTGTGAGTTGACCGTCCACCAACTCTCAAGGAATTTATCTCCATTTCCATCAGTGTAATTTCAAATCTAGAACCGTATTCGATTTCGAAGCGATCCGCTCTAACTGAGCGGACACTGACCCACCAGAATGGCTCACTGATCTGGGCTATTGGCGTGCCTTCGCTGTCTGCCTCGCGTTTACTAATACTATTTTCGGTTGCGGCTGCGGGGCATGTCACACCGTCCTGAGGGATCGCTGTGTCGAAAGCTCGTCATCACGCATCTTTTGCTTCCAGATCTGAGAAAAGTCACTGCTCTCGGAAGCATGTATTACCTGGTATAGAAAGCTCTGAGAAGTCACATCAAGCAGGCGACGGTGAGATTTTGAAGCTTGGGAAGGTCTCAGGCCTTGGTGTGATAAGCAGGGACAATGTCCCGACGGACACGCGTAAACCTGGCTTCCAACGGTATTTCCCATCCTCGCCGTTCCTTGCCAGTCGACTATCAACCATGCGTAGCACTCACCCAAGCCAAGAGAATGCCCTGGTAGAGATGACAAGTCTAGATACTATCCACGTATCGTACGACAGTGATGTATGGAACGTAGCTAGCTGTCGTGATTGTCTCGGGCACGCCCCAATTCTAATAGCACTGGTTCGACTGGATACACACGGCACCACACAAGTACCTCGTGAGATCGAAGGCATTCTTACGTCGCTCTTGATAGCCCTCGGTTCAAACGTACGACTGAAATCTGGCATCTAAAACAATAAACTTGAATGAAGAGCCTACTTTGGCTGGATGGATCCGTTATTGAGGAAACGGTGTCATCATTTGTGGACAAGTTTGGGTAAAGCGGTCCAAGATACCCAAGCATCGAACACCAAGGCCCCGCCTTCGAGATCAAGCGTCTGATGTCCACAGATCTGAACCGGCTTTGTCCGGTTAAATTGCGCCACTCCGAGGTGTCGATGCCTCCCGCTCAGCCATGCTCAGCCTCAGCCTCCGGTGACTTACTGCACTCTACGCCGGTGCTCCACTCCCTCACTGCCATTGCCTTGCGCAGCCCAAAAACATATTCACAGCAACTCCGCCTCACTCCACTCTATTCAACCGTAAGCTTAAAGATACTGTAATAATTTTAGTATTTCGGAATGCATCAGCATGGATGACGGATCATGTGTATAAATGCATATGGTCCTTCCTCCGGGACTATACTGTAGAGGGCATTCCGGGGTGCCAAGCAGTTTATTTAATCTCGATCCATGTTTAGACTTTGCCTCGTGCTCAGATCACTTTTGCCACCAAGGTGCTGCAAAGCCAGCCCCGAGGCAAGTCTCAGTATTCATCCACCCTGAGCACAAAACTTCGAATTCCTTGCAGTTGAGCCTGATAGGAGCTTGCGCGGCGTGTGTCCTCGCTCAGCGGAGATACATGCATCATTTCTTGCTCGTGATCTTCTTTGCTCCCCACGTTATCGATGTTCCATCACGCTATCTATCGATTGGTATGTGATCATCTACTGCGCGAGACTTCGACGGTGATGGCTCCTTGTTCCCTAGACGGTGAGCCACACCGTTCACTTCGTTCCTCTCGGAGCTGTGGGACTGCTATTTCGTAGCCCCCGATACTTGCTTTTGATCCAAAGAGAGTAAGAGGCTCTCTGGCTACTCCGTGCTCCACGCATTCTGATTCCTGCAATTCTCCCCTACGGATAGCCCTACGATAGCATGATCTTTGACGCCCATAATTGCTTCTTTGTTTCCCCTAAAGGATCTGTTGCGCCTTCATCGGGGGATCCCACTCTATCGGGCAAACCTTCCACTCACAATTATAGATCGTTCGCTCATGTGACTTAAATACCACACATCATTCAGACTTCTCCGTTGTGCCACATCAAGTACACTCAGAGTCCGACAGCACGCAACACCCGCCCACCCACAGGTAACATGTCACTGATCCTGATGTTAAGTGACATGGGTTCTGTTTTCGACCGTTTCTGATATCGGAAAATTGTTTCGTCGCACCTTCCTATAACCATCAAGCTTGGTGCCCCACGATAACAACCTGCGAGTTATCTTATCTAAGCGCAAGGCGTGTTTCATCCCAAGTGTTGTACCCCAACAACCGCCTACACCGTACGAATCGCTGTTTCACCCTGGAGGTGTGAGACGCGCCCCTTCATATTGTATCAAGTAGCTAAGGAACTTCCGTCATGGTCTCACAGACTTGTATACATTCTTGTTGTAATCACATCCCTTCGGACACGGAATGCCAGCCTAGAAGATTGCTCTCGGTATGTCAGTTTCCCCACATCCCTGACCCTGCGATCATCGCATTAGGACTCCGCGGACTTACTGATTCGTCCGCGCTTGTGGCACGTTTCTAGCTGTCGTGGACTTGAAGATTTTGATTCTGAACTTGGACGTCCTCGATGATCGGGGGGCGGACTTACTTTGATGTGACTTCCAGTCACCAGTGACTCGTCCTGTAGAGTCGAACTTAACCTCATCCGAGTTGTGCATCACGTGATATGAGTCCGTCATGGAGCGCCGTAAGTGGCGATTGATCAAGCTACACCTACATAGTCCAAGTTCGAACTTTGATAGTAGTATGCCCGCCGTGCTTACTCCCCATTTGTGTATAGAATATAGTCGGACCGATCGAATTGAAATACAAAATCGCATCCCCCACTTTACGTCCCATAGAATAACCTCCCCGTAGTTGGACAGCAACCCTTTCGTGGATACTCGGCGCTCCGTCCCGTTCTGTCATTATTATTATCATTACCCCGCTCTCCAAGCGCAACACTGGATACATGCTAACGACACGCAGCAGAGTTGAGCAGGCATACATAATTCATGCTCGCACGTGAGCCTTCTTCCAGAAGAATGCTTCGTATTCTGATCGATTTGCAGATCACTTATGTAAGAGTGCTTTTAGCCTAACTGGGACCCAGGGACCAATGACCAAAGATCAATATTCAATCATCCTGCATCCCCTTTGGATCATCCTCTATCGTGTCCTTCGCGGCAAGCCTAATCGACTCAAACGACCGTATAGACGGTATAGTTGACCGCTGTGGTCGTGCTGTTCATTCACACTGACACGTTTAGTCTCACCTTCACTGCCATAAAATTGATGACATTTTATGCGCGATTTACATCTCAAACGGGCCTTACTCGGGAACGCGCGAGAGCGACTACCTCCACTACGACGAGATCCAGACAATGGATCATCCCGCTCGAGCTCGAGCTCAAGTCTGGCTACACCTTCACGCGCCTTTCCCCCAACATTTGCCAATCAAGCCTGACTTTCTCCGTCTTACGTCTTTGGAACCATGGGCTCCATTGGTACTTGACATCCAGATCATAATGCCGCCAAACTGCCGTGCGGCGGGACATCGATCCATGTCCGCGCGTGTCATCTAAGAAGAACGTGGGGCACAAAAGAGACTGATCGTTAATAGACGTCTGGAACAAGTTCTATTTATGTAAGAAGCCTTAACTGCGTCAATTTGATTTTTATCGTCATAATTAGAGGGCATCGCAGGCATCGTTGTGTTCTAGGTTCGTACAACAACGCACATCAGAGAGATCCTGAGGCAGAATTATACGGTGCGGTCTCTAAACTGTCTCTTCCTGCATAGTCTACTTACCCGACTTAATTAATGAATTAGTTTCCCAGCTGCCCCTCTCCAAAATGTTAAAACGCTGTCGCACATATGCATCAGAAGCTGGGCTAGGGAATCAACGCTTGTCTCATATCAGTATGGAAGATATTTGGGAGTTTCGCGAATCAACTCAAGTTAGCAGTAAATCGAAGAACGCAGAATCTCGTGCACGCAGCATACTAGCTGTATCTGACCTACCGGTAAATATCATTTGCCTAGAATCTTACTATGCGTGGGGTGAAGAGTATATTCGACAGTCACCAACAGATCAAGTCTAAGTATGCACAAAATCTAGAGCGTACTTATCACTAGAATGATCGTGGGACGTCGGTATTCCGGACCGCCCAGCCTGTGAAAGCTGTATGTAACAAAGTGTTGGTCTAGCGTCGAAGTTTAATATGCATATTAACCTCCGAATTAGCTCGTGTGTACCACCAGCTGGTGAGATGAGGTGGATCCTGCCTGAAGTCATGCTCTGTTTTTCAAGTTCTGGGTGTCCGAGTAACACTGGCATTTAACAGAATACGGTTCACGCTGATTCGCTGAACGTTGAACGTTCGACGGTTGGTTCCAGACTGCAGTCACCGGATATGATCAGCCACAGTATCGATTCACTTGCGCTTGCCACTTATGTACGTATTATACAGGAGGCGGCATCAAACTTCCCAAATCTCGACCTATCCAGGCATTTGCCAGCTCATTAGGGCAATGGGCTAGTATACCCACGCTGACCTTCGAACGATCTATGCAGCAAACGTCCAACATGAGCAGGATCGACTCCCCACTCATTCACAACATTCATGACGTAGAACACAACTATGGTTCCACACAAACATTCCAAGATGATGGAACAATCGCGAACGACAGACCCAGTATCACTGCCAGCAATGCCGGGCTGTTATTCATCATATCCTCCCAATTTTTCTTCGCATCCATGGACATTTCAGTGAAGATGCTAAACACTTTGGAGCCACCGGTGCATGCGCTTGAGGTTAGCTGTTTCTTTGTCTTTGGTCATCGAATGTGGAGTGAACCCAATATAACAGGTCATTGTAATCAGGATGGTGCGTCAGGGAATTTGGTCTTTTGTCCCCGACTCGAATTGAATACCGATTGTTCGCAGGGCATCACGTTCATAGGCTGCGTGGTATACATGTCTGTCGGTTTTTTTTTGACAACAATCTGAACTGATGACACGAAGGATTGCGATGGGAATCCCTAATCCGATAATCGGGCCCAAAGGTGTTCGGACGATCCTGGTCATTCGTGGCATTACTGGGCGCGTACTTACCTACGTGGATTTGAACGGTTTCTAATTATCCTTCCATGTTCCAGGTTTTTTGGATTAAGTGGCCTGTACTGGTCACTTCAGTATCTGTCTGTCGCAGATGCGACGGTCTTGATTTTTTTAACACCTCTTACGGCAGCGGTTGCTGGTTGCATCTTCCTGAATGAGGGATACTCCATCAAGCAAGCTGTCGCCGGACGTAAGAGTTATGCTCTGCCTTTGGTAATTTATGATTGCTTATGGAGGTTTGAAACCTTAGTTTGCAGTTTACTCGGTGTGGTCCTCATTGCCAGGCCCGCGTTCCTATTTGGCTCCCCAGATGACATCCCTCAAGGACTCTATACCTCTGCGCAAAGGCTGACGGCTGTTGGGTAGGCGCCATTACGTGCGCGCTGCCCCATTAAATTCACAATTGTTCTATTTTCGGTAGGGCGTGTATGATCAGTGTGCTTGGAAATACTGGAGCATGTAAGTATTGTGATTTATTTTCTCATGATAATGACCGCTTTAATGATTTTTACAGATACGTCAATTCGTGCAATTGGGAAGCGTGCTCACCCGATGCATGTAATGACATTCTTTTCGTTGTGGTCCACTATCATAGCATCTTTGGGGTCTGCAAATGCATATCTGCATTTTACGTGTCAATTAATTATTTGTAACAGGATGGTTGTTTTCGATGTTCCTATTGTATATCCTACATCGTGGATGTGGATTTTTCTTCTCTTCATGGTTGGCGTCTTCGGCTTTGTGGCGCAGGTAAGTGTACAAGTGACCCTGTATTTGCCTGGTAGTAATTCATTATGACTTTAGAGTCTTTTCACAATGGGGCTGCAACGAGAAACTGTGTCGCGTGGTATCACTGGAATGTATGCCCAGCTGCTTTTCGTTGTGGTGCTGGAACTCCTGTTTTTCGGAGTTATACCGTCTTTGCTGTCAGTTCTCGGCGCCGCCATCATCATGTCCTCTGCTCTCTATGTCGTCGTGAGTGGTCATCATTCTCGCTTTCTGGTTTCACGACTTCTGTGCTCATTTCGTTTCAAAGATGAGAAAGCAAAAAGCCACCCCAGACAGCGCTGCTGGCAATCCTGCAGCATAAAATCGTGCACGCCTGTCCACTCCGAGCGTTGGTAATTTTCTTGCACTTGCAGTTGTACTCGACGACTGCACGTGACACGGTTACTGTTCCACATTATGTATTGAGTCAGCCATATAGCGTTCGAGACTAAGTGTCTTTCTGAGGTTTTAGGTTTCTTGTTGTCGAACTTATGCGCCATGTACTACCGCTGCCTTCGTGAAAACCAATTATGGAACGGAGGGTTCGTTCCAGCGCAAGCAATTCGCATCGACAACACCCACTTCAGCACTTTCAACCCCACTTTTCCCTGAGCACACGCTCGGCGATTGCGACACCTGGGTACAATGTATCGTGAGGTCAATATGATGGGGTCTGATGTAAAGCAAGCAGTTGTCGTCACAGTCCCCTGCAATTAGGGGACTAATGACAATAATCACTGCTGACTGAACCTCTGAGGCATGCTGACTACAATCCTCGACCCTTCACAGTAAAGGTGAGCCCGTCTCCCTGTACTGAACATCGCCCCTCGAGTATTTTGAGAAACTTCTCCACTTTTTCGATGAGCTGTTCGAGGTGTCGAAGCCATGTGTATATCCTTTTTAGTGCCTTCCACAAGGATGGGAGGGACTCGAAACCGAATATGTCGTCAATTACCAAGAAAGCAGAGGTCCATGCACTCCTGATCACGTCCCACCACTCCTGTTCTGTAGGCGACAACTGTTCAGGTGCGATTCGGAGGAAAATAACAGCTTGTAAAAGGGCATGCGGCCGGTATGAATCGCAGAAATTTGCAATCATGTTAACGCACCGTTCTATATGGCGGTCTATGAACAAACTGGGGTGCCAGTTGGAATCCCTCGCGAGAGTGAAGAGCCGAGATAGCACAAGTCACGGTGATGGTCGAAGAAGCAGTCAAGACCATCATGGGCGGACGTTGCACCCGGTCGCGGACAAACCGCAATCAGGACGGCAGGGGATAATTTGGTCAGGACCACGTCCCGTAGCCTCGTATCGTCAATGGCACCGATTGAAGTCAAGACTTCCCGGGCACTGTGAGCAGCGCAAAGGGCAGCATCACGTAAACGGCGAGGCGCTTATGCTGCACAACGTCACCTGCCGTCTCGTGGTCTGTGGAACTACATAGTCCACCAGCCAGTCAAAGTCTTCTGACGAGCGGGGGTGTCCTTCTCACTTAACCTGATAAGTCCACAACGAGAAAGGATCGAAGAATAAGAATCCGCGAGCGTGAAGTGCAGTGCATTTCGCAGAGCTGCCAATAGAACTGAGGGATCATCTTGTTCGGTTGACCTCGCTCGCTGCTTGCACACGTCCAGGTTCAGCATCGTCTGGGATGAAAGTGGGTAGGGCCGAGCAAGCTCGAACATGCGACAGATGACATCAACGAGGTGTGTTGCCTTTGTCAATATCGCCTCCATCGTATGCCTGGAGTGCCATTTGGAACTGCGCCACAGGAGTCTCCGTGAGTTGAGGCAGAGCATGACTACATAATCTCTTATGTTGGACAACACCTAACAACAAAATGGTCAATATCTGGGGCATACGTAAGAAAACATAACTCACCATGCACAGACGTCACGAGCCGCTGGAAATACCTGGAGGCTGGTTTGAACATCAGCCTGAAATGTGTTTCAGACTGGAAACAACCACTAGAACTCACAAAAAGATCGTACTGTCGATGGGCAACACGCGCAAAATCGCCGATATCGACCGGGGTCTGAAATGGACATACTCATTTTGATGTCCCTGCCAGATGAAACAGCAGAAACCCGTCCAAGATAACACCACCGATAGCATAAAATCCTGAACCCCTGCCCACTCTAGGGCCACTTATCTTGAACTTCGAGATATACTGCGGCGTGTGACACCGTTAGGACGCCCGTCTGTACCTTTGCTGATCTTTGTTGTGTCATATATTCTCTTTGCTACATATATGGATGTCAAGGTGTCGGTGATATCATCTAGTAGTCTCATTGAGAACGCACGGATCTGGAAAATCCGGCACCGTCCATCTGGGTTCATGGTGGACGCATGAGCGCGAACCACCAACCGCATTATACTCCACCGTTAGTACGACAACCTTCACAATATACGTCCACGTTATCACCTCTCGGATTGAGAAAAGTCCTCAACTTGTAGATCGTTCTCATCTGATAGACAACAGATGATAACGTAGTATATGTTGTGCTCGTACTCACCGAATACGAGACTACTAGCCAGTGAGTGAAATGTGGTATAAACCCATGCTCGATATCCATCCATGATTAAAGGTCGCTCCTCGCAGGACAGTAAGCCCTTGTTTTTGATGCCTGCACAGACCTGCGAGACTTTCTCTATGTCTGTGAGGACATGTTTTCGCACAGAACGAAACCATGTGCCATACTATATAGTATTGGTGAATCTTGAGAATGTGAATGGGTATCCAACACACACCTCCAGTCACTCGTCTGTGTTTTGTGGAGTCGAATCCGACGGCGAAGGGAGGAGAACAGCACATACTGGTTGGGGAATCACATTGTGGTCACTGTCACATGATATGATGTACGTTAAGATGGACTGACGTCTCTGTAACTGTAACCCTAAGAAAGGCGCTTACTGAGTACGGGGAGTGCGAACCCTCTGGAGTAGAGGTAATATGTTCATCGAGATAAATGCCGGTCCGATCATGATAGCGGGCACGATGTACTGGGAAGGTTTGGTGCGGGTCCTCCGTGAGGGTGCAGGAGGTCCTGGCGCAGTGGCTGGAGTCCTGGCTTGTCGCAGTTCTACCTTCTGATTCTGAACGATCGCATCTGTGGCAACGGCGTGGAGTCTGGACCATCCATGTAGTGAGATTCAAGTATCGGCTCTCATAGCAAGGTTCCGTTCGCCCTCGTCAGCGTCATCTTTCCGTTGCATCAGGAGTTCGAGAAGTACTGGGTTGACTTCCAGCAAAGCAAAGTCCTTGGTCCCACTCGAGTTCACTCGATCGATCGAGATTTCAGGCCCTCGCAGAGTACTGCACTGAACATTCTTCTTCACTGGGTGAGGCAGACTCCTTACCACGGCCACACTTACGACGTTCGTAGAGGTTGGAGATACAGCACTAAATTTGTTATCGTCGAGTGGTACAACATTAATCATGACGGAGGTTAAATCGACTAACGCTGAAGGTTAGCGGGGTTTAAATATTCACCTTAACGTCTTGGTGTTGTCCCGATCTGAGTGACTTGAGGCTTGAGCCCTCCATCTCGTTGAACTATAACCGTTCTGGGACAACCGGGCACAGCCTGTACCTGGACGGCTGGTTCAACGAGACTAAGGCCGTGCTACTGTGGCCCTGTATTTAAACCCACCACGACGCTCCAAACAGTACTACAAGCGGCCCGAAGATGAGCAATAGCAAGTCTCCCCTCATTGACCGCACGACCCAACCCACTTTCTTACGCCAATACAATGGTTCAATACCGATTAATAGTCGACCCAGTGTCCCAGGCATCGCCGCCAGCAACGTTGGGATGCTATTCATCATATCCGCCCAGTTCACCACTGCTTGTATGTATATTTCGGTGAAGTTACTAAACACATTGGAGCCTTCAGTGCACACGCTTGAGGTTAGCAGTTTCTTTATCTTTGGTACCAAATAAAGTAAACACAGTATGACAGATTATCACAATCAGGATGGTATGTAACATAGCTTCTGGAATCAAGTTGAATATCAATTTGTCCCAGGTCGTCACATTCATATGCTGCGTGATATACATGTATGTTTACTGCTTGTGCAGACGGCGACTTATAGCTAGTGACACATAGGATTATCATGAGGATCCCTAATCCTATAATTGGCCCTAAAGGTGTTCGAACATTACTAGTCATTCGTGGGATCACTGGGTGCGTACTGATCCACGAGCAGGACCTCCGTTTTCCAATGATCTTTTCATGGTCAAGGTTTTTCGGACTATGTGGCGTGTACTGGTCGCTTGTATATCTGTCTGTCGCAGATGCGACTGTCCTAATATTTTTAACACCTCTTACAACAGCGGTAGCTGGATGCATCCTGCTGAAGGAGAGCTACTCCACCAATCAAGCTGTCGCGGCTGGTGAGGTTATGATTTGAGTTCTGTTGTCTATGACTGCTTATGCAGCTGTCCCTAGTTTGTAGTTTGCTTGGTGTAATCTTCATAGCCCGGCCTACATTTATATTTAGCTCTGCGCCTGCTATCCCTGACGGTCATCACTTGCTGAAAGGAACACCAGTGCAAAGGCTGGTGGGTGTTAGGTGAGCACCGTTATTTACACGCTACCCCACTCAATTCACCAGTCTGTGTTCGGTAGTGCATGCATGATCAGTGTGCTCGGAAATACTGGAGCATGTACGCATTTTAACTCCCCGTGGTACTGACGTTCTAATCGTTTCTTACAGATACATCTATGCGTGGAATCGGGAAGCGCGCTCACCCGATGCATCTCATGATACACTTTTCGTTATGGTGTACCATTTTAGCGTTGTTGGGGTTCGCAAATTCATCCCTGCATTTTGTGTCGATTCATTTTCGCTTCTAACAGGATGTGTGTTCTCAATGTTTCCATTGTGTATCCCACACCATGGGCGTGGATCCTTCTACTCATGGCCAGTATTTTTGGCTTTGCGACGCAGGTGAGTACATTCATGAACCTGCAATTCCCCACCGCTTCATTATGACTCTAGACCCTTTTGACAATGGGACTGCAGCGAGAAACTGTGTCGCGTGGTATCACTGGAATGTATGCCCAGCTGCTTTTCGTTGTGATGCTTGAACTCCTGTTCTTTGGAGTCATACCGTCTTCACTGTCAGTTCTCGGCGCTGCCATCATCATGTCCTCTGGTCTCTATGTTGGCGTGAGTGGCCATCGTTCTCGTTTTCTGTTGCATGATTCCTTTGCTCATTCACATTTTACTACCAGTTGACGAAGCAGGATCCTACCCCAGACAACACCACCGACAATACCACAGTATAGAATCATGAACTCCTGCCCACTCCGAATATTGATGCTTATCTTGGAACTTTCGAAGTGTACTCCGGCAGTTGTACATTCGACACTGCATGTGACATAGTTGGCACCACTGTACTTGTGTGAACCAAATGCATTGAAATGAACACAATAATGCAACTGTTCCACTGTAGCTACAGACTGAAAACTCGCACTACAGACAAATCAATACTGCTGCTACCTACTACTACCGACCGCAAGACTTGGCGCTGGTGTTGTGACTTCAGAGACTCGCCCGAACCTGCCTGCAGTTGAGCTTACAACTAGACATATCGACTGTCATATGGTCTGTATTAGGTCAGCAACAGGAGACTAGCAGTTGAGACCGGGATTCTCCGGCGGCTCCGTAAATTTACATTAGCTAATCGTAAAACTTTCCAGATATCCCAACATAACTTGGAATGTCACGTGCATGTCGCTAATGGCATCGATCGATTAGCAAACTTCAAAGTTGTGCAGTTCTGACCCAGTGATAGCCAGCGACGCGACGAACCTCGGAGATGAGCAATAGCGAGTCTCCTCTTATTTACACCATAGCGCAGAGCTATGACTCGACACAACCCGCTCCAACTTGTCAAGCGAATGGAGCAGTGAACGAGCGACCAAACATCATCGCCAGCAATGCGGGGATGCTATTCATCATATCTTCCCAGTTTTTCTTCGCTTGCATGAATATTTCGGTGAAGATGCTTAAACAACTTGGACCCTCCGGTTCACGCTCTTGAGGTAGCTTTTTCTTGATCTTTATTCCCCAAATGGAATGAATCTCAATATGACAGGTTATTGTAGTCAGGATGGTGTGTCCCAGAGTTTCTATGAACTTGACTCCAGTTGAATATTGATTTTTCTTCAGGGCATTACGCTCATAGGCTGTGTGATATACATGTCTGTCGGTCACTTCTTTAGACAACGACTTACATCTGATGGCACGAAGGATTATCATGAGGATCCCTAATCCAATAGCTGGCCCAAAAGGTGTTCGAACACTACTGGTCATCCGTGGAATTACGGGGTGCGCATTTTTCTACACGTGTGACCTCAAAATCATTGATGATCGTTTCATGGCTCAGGTTTTTCGGATTATGTGGCTTGTATTTGTCGCTTCAATATTTGTCTGTCGCAGATGCGACGATCCTGACTTTCCTAGCACCACTTACAACAGCGGTAGCTGGATGTATCCTCCTGAAAGAAAGCTACTCCGTCAAGCAAGCTGTCGCGGGAGGTGAGAGTTATACTAACTTCTACGGTCTATGACTATTTATGGAGGGGTCCTAGTTTTCAGTTTACTTGGTGTTGTCTTCATCGCTCGCCCCCCATTTCTATTTAGCTCCCTGCCAGCTGCGACCCCTGAACAACACTTTTTGTCAGAATCGACTCCGGCGGGAAGGCTGTTGGGTGTTGGGTGAGCAGTATTGTTCGCATGCCGCTTCACTCGATTCACCATTCTATTTGCGGTAGAGCGTGTATGATCCATGTGCTCGGAGCCACTGGAGCATGTATGTACTGTGATTCACCTTCTCTTGGTAATAAGCGCTTCAATTGTTTTCCACAGATACTTCAATTCGTGCAATTGGAAAGCGCGCTCATCCGATGCATGTGATGACATTCTTTTCGTTATGGTGCACCATCATGGCATCTTTGGGGTTCGCAAATACATTTCTACATTTTACTTGTCTTGTTAATTATCTGCTATGTAACAGGATGGTTGCCTTCAGTATTCCTGTTGTCTATCCGAGATCATGGATATGGACACTTCTTTTGCTCATGGTCGGCGTCTTTGGCTTCGTCGCACAGGTCAGTACACTAGTCGATCTCCATTTTCTCATTGGTGATTCATTACGACTGCAGACTCTTTTGACGATGGGGCTGCAGCGAGAAACCTGCGTCGCGTGGTGTTACTGGAATGTATATCCAGGCACTTTTTGCTGTAGTGCTTGAACGTCTTATCTTCGGAGTTATACCGTCCCTACTGTCAATTATCGGCGCCTCCATCATTATATCCTCCGCTGTCTATGTTGTCGTGAGTGGCTATTGTTCAGGTTATCTGTCGACTTGTACTCATCTGGATTTCACCCACCAGCTGACAAAGCAGGAACCTACCCAAGGCAGCCCTACCGGCAATACCCGCGAGGAGATTTAGTTTTTGTATGACTAGAAGGAGCATCCACATCTACAATCTAGCCAGCACTTAAAATAGGTTGAGTTGAATCACGAAGCGAAGAGTGGTGAAATTGAGGACATACCTACACGTGCATACCACTGCGAGTAGGTAATGATTGTCTGAATCTATTCACCGTCGACGTCTAATTGACGTTCAACAGACCTCGACAAAAAAACCCACCCCTGTCAGGCTGCAGTCTAATTGAAGCATGTGAAACCTGGCATCAGGGCGGAGGCTATTTCCCAGATTGGGACGATTCTCTTCGGCATGTAAATAACAAGAACTTGTTCGGAGCCCCGAGTTGCCGGTCCAGATTCTCGACCAAAATATGTGCTTCTCTTGGCGATTTTGTCTGACAGTTGACGGTATGTCAGACTCTGGTCAACTCTGGGAGGTTCTAATGTTGACATGATTAGTATGCTACAGGTCATGATATCTCGGGGTTGTTCTCCCACCATAACATCACAGATAGTCTCAGGTTTGGCAACATTGGGCAGTGAGAACTTTCTCAATGTCAGCTGGTCTTTATTCTTGTACCGTCGACTAAAATTGTGTGGTTTTCACTCGGCCTATGGTGGATATAGGAATTTGAACACTCAAGATGACCCTCTCTAAAGTTAATATCAACCTCGAACCCACGCATCATTTGTGCCCTAGACTAGCACATTCCGTTCCCCTCGTTGCATCCAGTCAAACGTGACTGTAATGAGCACGACAAATGCCTACATTGCTCTGTCCCAAAGCCCAACGGCAGACGAAGTTCATTGGGATAACATAACGTCTTCTATGCCAGCTCGGAGTCGGATTTTCGGTCCCCAGTCTAGATGGCTTCAGAATTCGCAAATACGATGGCGAGAGACAACATCGCGCACATCTACCTTCGTCGAGACGAACCTGGGGATGCTTTTGATCATACTTGCCCAATTCTTCTTTGTATGCATGAACCTTGGCGTCAAGCAGCTGAACAGCCTCGATGTGCCGATGCACACCCTTGAGGTATGTACACTTGTCTAGACCCCGGGAATTGAGCTTAAAAATCATGTAGCTCATCGCAGTCCGTATGGTTGGTATTGTCATATTTCCTAGCGGATATGAACATTGATCAAGCTATTCGAAACTTATCAGGCCATCACCTTTGTTTGCTGTGTGTTATACATGCACGTTGTTGAAATAACGCGCTGGATACGTCCTTACTTATATATGTTTTGATAGGGTCGTAATGAAGATTCCAGATCCTTTCCTTGGTCCCAAAGGCGTGAGGCTGTTGCTGATGAACAGAGGCCTCTGCGGGTGAGCTCTGACTCGGAGAATATGTAGTCTTGTTGACGCCCTCGCTGACACTGCCTCGAGTTTCTTTGGTCTTTTCGGGATGTATTATTCCCTGCAGTACCTGTCATTAGCAGATGCGACGGTGCTGAGCTTTCTTCTGCCACTGTCAGCAGCAATAGGTGGATACTGTGTTTTAAAGGAGCCTTATTCGAAACGTGAAGCAGTTGCAGCTAGTTAGTGGAATAATCTTCTGATGTCTTTCTGTCACTTATTGACCATCATTGCTCTAGTCGTAAGCTTGCTTGGTGTCATGTTAATTGCTCGACCACCTTTTCTGTTTGGCAATTCTTCCAGTACGAATTTGGGCAGTAGTGATGCGGCTTCTAGAGCTACCCCGACAGACAGGATACGAGCTGTCTGGTAAGTTCCGATTTTCCTCGAAGATTTTTGCTTCAACCTCCTCCACAGCGTCGCTCTTATTGGAATTGTCTTAGGGACTGGTGCCTGTACGTTATGTTTTTCTATGGGAGCTGCTTTATGACCAGTGTATTGCAGTGTTGTCAATGCGTGCGATAGGCAGACGCGCTCATCCGATGCATCTTATGACGTTTTTCTCTGTATGGTGCACAATCGTCGCTTCTTCTGCGTGAGCTCCACTGTCTTGGTTTGTGCTCATCCTCTGATGGAGTGCAGAATGTACTTCATGAATATCCCGATTGTTTACCCTCACAAATGGCAATGGGCTGCCATGCTGATTTTCATCGGACTTTCTGGTTTTTTCGCGCAGGTAGGCTGTTGTTATTGTCCTTGACTTTGGACACTTAGAATTGTGTAAAGACTTTAACTACGATCGGCTATCAACGTGAGACAGCAGCCCGCGGCTCTATGGGACAATATGTACAGCTCTTATTCGCTGGAGTCCTGGAATACGTACTTTTCGGCACTGTTCCTTCGACGCTATCACTCATTGGAGCCGCCATTATCATGGCGTCGGCTATATACGTTATTGTGCGTTGTTTCGTAATCTCTGTGTCGCGGATTTCAAACCTTTCTGCTAGGTCTCAAAAAAGAGCTCGCCGAAGGAACCTGAGGCGATTGGCCTCAGAGAGCCGAACTCCGCTATGGAGGAAGGCCTGTTGTGTACTGAATCGCTAGACAGGACAATCAAACTTGAAGACACGAGCTCAAGCAGTATGACAGAACATGGCGAGAACTTAAAGGAAAAGCCGCCATCTTCGTGAAGTTTGTGTATAGGGCGATTATCAAGCTACTGCTACACAGTTTATAATACACGCTTGGGGATGGTGATAAGTACAATGGTGGCAGCAGCGACGGCGTGTCTCTGACCATCTACAGCTCAGGTATGGTACTGATATGGATGGATATACCTCGACGGCTCAAAGCAAGAATGAAAGAACGAGAAAGAAAGGAACATATACTCGTCAGATCGTAGAGCGAGGGGTCGGGGGAAGGCCCGGGGAAGTTCCCCTTTATTCGAGAGGTCCAGGGAAATCAACAAGCGTAACTGGCGTAATATATTCATAGCCCACATGCGCGGAAAGGCATAACAAAGGGCACGTCTATACCAGGTATACGCAAAACCATGTTCGTCGTCATTAGTAGCTATACTTAGTGTACGAACAAAGACAGAATCAAAGTTACACCGTGTGATACACTGGCGGGTATCACGTGACTACATGGCCACTCGTATACTATAACTTATCGCCTTTGTATCGCCTTGCCGGTATAATTATGCCAATGCCTTCAAATCGAAGGTCTTCTATCCAAGTTGGAACTTCGAAAGTTGCAAGCACTTACTACGCTCAGCACGCCGTGTAAATTCCTACTGTGCACGGACCCTCGAAGTTTAAGGACAAGGTATAAGCATCTGAACACTCCATAATCCATTTGGACTGACCTTCAAGTTGCCTTTCAACAACTGCCACCTCATCGTTGGGTTGACGTAGATTGAAATACGCATACTCATGGAACCAGAAACCGATTACTATCAGATTGGCGGCTTCAGAGCTCACTCTAATGAATGGTAAGAGTACCTCGCGTTGAATCACTGCGCCCACCCAACGGTTCTCCAGGTTTGAATTGTACGACGACAAACCAATGATAGATGCTATTGCGAATGACCAAGGTCGCGAACTCAGGCCTGGAGGTCGTGGGGCACCTGTAGAGCTGGTTCTAGGTACTAGCATATTCCGAGGTTTCCGTATTGCACGTCGACTTATATTGCACAATGTAGGAATTCTGCCTAATGGTGCCTCGTACGTCCTCATGACGTCCCATCAAATGTGGGCATTCGTCCGTAAGCACGGTTTGCGGCCTCCCAGGAAACCGTGGAAGGTGGACAATTTCCTCTCGCTGTCCCCGATTTATTTTGCCACAAAGAATGATCTTCAGGAAAAGCTCAAGACCTACAAGGTGAAAGCTCAAAAGAAAAAACAGGATAAGGATAAGGAGGACAACAGTCCCGCAAACCGGGGTTTTATTCGAGGGGACTATCCGGATAGTCCACGGGCGTTCTTTGAGAACCAGAGGTTCTATGATATCGCTACGGATTTGATTGGCGACTGATCATTTTAAAGGGTCTTGTATGGGTTGCTTACAAAAAGCCTCACGCCAGGAGCCCTTGGTCTAATCACTCCGTCCTGGGCTAGCGCAATCAGAGTGATATCGATAATTGTAAACACGTGGCACAGGGATAGGCGTCCCGAACGTTTTGATAACCCCAGTATCATCGACGTCGGATGGACAGATGTGATGTTGCCGGACTACTTTGCATCAAGACGGGTAGCAGAAACTGTACACTTAAAGATGAAAGGAGCACTGAAAAACGAGAAAGAGAATGCGGTACCACTCTTCACCTACATTTATATGTGTTATCTAACGGTTTTTCTCAGTCCTTTGAGTATGGGACCACTAAAGAGGAGACTACGGTGGATATTCTTTACCCGGATTTACGGACGCTCTTCACACATGACGCTGCCAAGTGTGGTGTTCCCCTTGTGGTGCTGGTTCACGAGGAGGAGATGGTACGCGGAGTGCTCGCACGTTCTGGGATTGATGTTGGGTCATTTACCTCCGTCGCTGCGTTGCTCCAGCGCGGCCAACCCCAGGTAGTGTGTCTCTTCGTAACACTGGGTTCCAATCTAAATTATATTACGCAGAAAATTTCGCGCCGAATGTCCTCCAGATCACGTTCTCCGCGACGCTTGAACACTGGCGCGTCTCGTTCTTCGCGCGACTATGAGCGACGCTGGAAATACGAACCTGACGATCATGTCGAACCCTTTTCTGTGAAACAAGAGGACGGCCAGTTGACATCTGTACACATCAAACAAGACGATAAGAACCCGACCTCATCCAAACAAGATGGTGTTATTCCCCTCCCAGCTGCATGCATTGTAAACGTGCAAACCATGGTTAGAGCCTTGATGCGGACTGATCAAACTGGCCCTAGTGTGCAGGCGACAGCGCAGCGCTTGAACATACCAGCAAACCCACGTCTCCCTTGTGCAGGCAACGAATCTCGGTAAGTGTCCAGTTCACATGAGTGCGTTCCAACAGACCTCAATCCTCGCATCATGTAGCTTGCTGTTGAATATGTGGATTTCAATGGCAGAAGGACGTCCAATCGACGAGCAATGGATGGACCGCTTAGCGAACCCTCTCCAGCCCGATTCACCAATCCTAGCTCCAGTGGAGGCCGGTGCGGAAGAGGATGTAGACCCGAATGACTATATACCCCCATCAATGACAAATTCCGGCGCAACGGCTGCACGTGAAGAATACTGGTCCGATGACGACTGGTAGAAGTGGTTTTGGACCTTGGTACTAAGTCGTTATTATTTTTCTTGGGTAGCTGAACTTTCCTACCGTTGAGTATCCAACAGTATGAAGCGGACAACGAACCGCGATGTGTAGCATACTTGTCATGATCATCTGTTGTAGAAGCATTGTTGTCGATTACGAGAGGTACGGGCAGAGGGTCTTACAAATGTTGTTGTATCTAATATTCCAGTGCAATTTCACGCTACGATGTTCTTGAGAGATTTCACAGGCGCAACCAATATTGCAATATTGATTTTTGGCCATATGCTGGGATCTGATTCAATAGATCATCTTCCCAAGTAGAAGAATCACTGACTGCTAAAAATGAATGAAGAGTATCTCTACCAAGGTTTCCGCTGAGGCAATCAATAACAGGAGTTTCTGGGGCATTTATATATTTATACTTTCACCAAACACTCTCGAGGATCCAACATATGGCTCTTTGGTTAAATCAGCCCGGCTGAACCTTCTACATGAGGTGGTGAAATATAATGTCGAGCATGAAAATGTTCATAATTGGCTACCAAACAAAGGATAGTTAACAGCAGACGTAAATAGCGTAAAAAAACGTTTCAAGACCAAACATATCTGAGGCACGATAGCGTCCAAAGTAAAGCCTTCCGTTAAGAACTGTCAGGTTTCCCATTCTCCTTGAAAGAGGTCCGCGAGAGTAGAGAAAGGCTGTCTACCCCCGACGCCACGCTATAGCCCCTTTTATTGCCCAACAGCGCTGTACTGTCCGTACCATCAATAATGCCAAAGTCTTCTTCTGCGACTATGGCTCCCGTTCGTTTATCAAGACGGAAGGTAAGGCCATTGAGGCTGCCGTTCATCCGATTTACGTCATCGTAGGGCAACAAGAGCTCGCCAAAGCCAGAACGCGATGTGAGGGATACGATTGATGCGATCGAGCCAGGCGGACTTGTCAACCAAAGGTTTCTGCGAGAGCGTCTGTGCAGAATGTGAACGATGAACGATATAATTGCGATGCAAATCAATAGTATGGAAAGTAGGTGTGCTGGTAAAGTTCTAGGAAGGTGAGGAATGTCAGAAACGATAGTGATTGTGGTGGAAGTGATACGTACTCGACAAGCAGCCTCTGAACATCTGATGTCAGCTGGGCAGGAACAGTCTCGTTGAACGGCAGGAAATAGATGCTTTGCGCGGCAACGGAAAGATGTTGTGTCTGAACGCGACAAAGATAATAATTAGTCACTTGATCTTTTCGAACGCCATAGGTCCCACTTACATAGATCTTTGAAGTGGCATTGGCGAATCCATAAGGATCATCGAATACGGATTGTAAACCGCCCGTTTGTTGCGAGGCGTAATGATATATAGCTCCTGGTACACTCGAACCAATGGCCACCGCTCGGGCGCTAACATACGTGTTGTTGCTCGAATCGAAGATGACCCTGATGACGCTCGTTTGAGGCAATCGACGACAAAAGGAGGAACATACTCACCCATTGTATACTTCGCCGTTCATGGGGCTACCTGTGACGTTATTGGTAGAGTCGAAGGTATCAATAATTATACAGTCTCCCATAGACCCATCATTCGTGTCCATCGTAGTTGAGACTATGAAGATGGCAATACTTGGTTGGCAGAAAACGGCAGTCCCTTGTGGGTCTCCGTCATCAGTCACATGATAGAACCAGTAAAAAACGGGCTGAAAGTTGAGATCCTGGTACAAGGGTGCGCATGTTGACGCCGCTGTTACAGAGAATTGGTCGGGACCATCATTAGGGTTAAGACTGAGACTGGCGTTACAGCTAGCCGAGAAGGTAGCCTGTAATACAACATTCGAGCTGGAGATGTTGGTGGTCTCGAAGGAGGTTGGTTTTGTGCAGTTGACATGCGTTTGAATAGCTGTAGTGTTTATAGCCAGAGTCCCATTCAAGATAGAGCCTGGAGGAACCTGCAAAGCATATATCTGTGAACTCGTACGGTCCCGAAGAAGCGGACGGTTTACCGTGAATGGAGCAGCAGACCATCCACCATGAACGAATGATGGATCTTGAAGGTTATTGTAGACTAGAAATTTTGATTTAATTCAGTCCAGCGCATATAGTTAGAGCAGGTATCCTACCTGCAGCATCTGCATACTGTTGATTGTGTCAGCAATGTGTCGTGATTGTATCTCGAAAATATTACCCCCGCAGAAGCGAGAAATGAGTTAAGTTGACTGATGGTAGGCGAAAGCCCGACGGTGCTTATGCTTATTGCGGTGGCAGCTTTACATCAACATCTTCAGTCTAAGCGGGCAGCAGGAGGGAACTGACTTTACCTTCGGTGTAGGGTACCTGTTGTACCTGAAAGAGGGATCCGGCCAGCGGCTGCATGAGGATGGCAAAAAGGGCGGTAAATGTTGATATATTGATTAACCAATGTCGATATTTGAGGGAATAATACAAGGTGGTTAGCCGACTGGGCAATGAGTCATCTTAGCTTGTCAGCATAGCTGTGAGTGATTGATTCATACTTGAGTGCGATCTATTGCAAGATAATCACACTCCATTAGCCCGTCATTCATAACTCATGAAATCGCTTACATAGTCTAATAGGATACTACGTGCTGCAGGTGCGTTGCCCTCGGATAGCGTGACATATGGCTAAGCCCTCTGCAGTAAGCGTTAAATGCAAATGATATAGATGGTTGTGTTAACCTGGTACCACCTGAGCATCCAGTCTGCTACAGCCCAGAAAAACACGAAAGGAATTACCAGCAACGTCGGAACGAATGACTGTCACGTATCGATGAATCAAGATGTGCCGGTGAGAACATAGTTGGCATTACCGTTATGAACCGAGTTGATAAGATGGGGATCACATTCTTTTGAGGTACCGAGTAGCCTGGAGAGTGTCAGTGGGTGCACTACGAGGAGGTAGACTCGCATACCATTGTTTTTATCTGACACGTGCAGAGCTACTTCAAGTGCAATACCCATACATATCATGAGTAGAGCAGTCCCTCCAATGATGTAAATGTTCAAAACAATGGGCTCCTAGACTCCAGTCAAAGGTGAGTTTTTATAACAAAGGAGCATGATACGAACATGACGCCTTGGCCGGTGTCCTTCTGTACCAGGTGTCGGGATGTTCTGAACAGAGTCTCGGAACCGCTGCGAACGTGGAGTGTTCGACGATGGCGTTGTAGAGCCACTCATGTCTGGTGGGAGAAGGCGAAGCCTACCTGTCACTACCTGACAGTCAAGATATATGCGCAGTTCGCGGCATAGCCTCACCTCGTTACTGACCTGGGCAATTCCAATGCTGAGGCGCAAATGAAATTCGAAGGCGAGCAAGGAGGGCAGTGCTGATAACACCAGTGCGATATATGTTCATTAGACTAACTAAGACTATTGCACGGGCGGCGAGGACCGCTCGCTCGAAAAAGGAGCATTTTGAATGATAGCAACTTCGCTCAGCGCTCAGCGCTGTGACATTTTCTACGCTGGCCAGGCACTTACATAGTACCATCGATAACGTTCGTTGAACCGCTGGCCTCAAGGCAGACTCATGGCATAATATCTTGATTCATAGGATAAGTGATTATGTAAGTATCCTTACATACGGGGAAGGAAGAGTCGCCTCGTGGAGCGTTTTGGCGGCGACACATGTCGAGTTTCTGCATGACGGATCATTGGACCGGGTGGCTCAGGTCATAATTATGGGCGTCCTGGCCTTGCCCAACCCACTTGCCTGCATTGTAGATACATAATAACATGCCAGCTCTCAAGTACTACACCTGCAAGCTAAATAGCTTGCCGACGACATGCTACAAGCAGCAGGCCCTATACCGTACACAAATACGTAACTGCCGATAAGTCTGTCCATCGGGCGATTCAGTGCGCAAGCAAAGGTATAACGACGTGCTCTTGTCTTGGACCAAAACTGAACGAGTTCACAGAAACAAATGTGTCGAACAAGCCTGAAATTCAGAAATCGTAGTAGAAACGCGGTATAGAGGTACCCTTAAGCCACACTCCGCCCGCCACCGAAATTTGTCGCCGCTTGAAAAATAAGCGGGCAACCCTTGACCCGACTTTCTAAGGCCTCGTTTTTGACTGCACCATCATTTGTGTCCTGAACGCCATCCTTTCAACGACTCTTTTTCCCTAATCCCCAATGTACGTGTCTATATTCTTCTTTTATATTTCAGGTCAATGGGTTCGTCTCCATTCGTGCTTGGTCGCGTCTGGCGCGATCTTCGCGTTTTCTGATTCAACCAATCTCGTGTTTTACTTATCTCTAACTTGCACGTTTCAGCATGCGTGAAATCGTCCACATCCAGACCGGCCAGGTGTGTTTCAGTGTTTCTAATTTCATCATGATCAGTTCGTGTTGACATCTCTTTTAAACTAGTGCGGTAACCAAATCGGTACGACTCCATGACTTGCGCGATTGCCTAATCTTCTCATCATATCGTGATCTGACATTCAGGTGCTAAATTCTGGGAGGTGGTCTCTGACGAGCATGGTATTGAGCGGGATGGTCTCTACAAGGGAACCAATGACATGCAACTCGAGCGTATCTCGGTTTACTACAATGAAATCGGGTCCAACAAATACGTTCCTCGTGCAGTTTTGGTTGACCTTGAGCCCGGAACCATGGACTCTGTTCGCTCGGGACCTCTAGGTGGTCTCTTCCGTCCCGACAACTTCATCTTTGGACAGAGTGGTGCTGGTAACAACTGGGCCAAAGGACGTAAGTTTACCACTGCGTCACGTTGATCAATCTTGATTTAAACATTTACCCATAGACTACACGGAGGGTGCGGAGTTGGTCGACTCCGTTCTTGATGTCGTTCGCAAGGAGGCTGAGGGCACTGATTGCCTACAGGGTAGGTGATTTTTGTGCTACCACCTCTTTCTATTAACATCAGTGGCACAGGTTTCCAGATCACCCACTCGCTTGGTGGTGGAACTGGTGCTGGTATGGGAACTCTCTTGATGTCTAAGATCAGAGAAGAGTACCCCGATCGGATGATGTGCACGTACTCCGTCGTGCCCAGTCCCGCTGTCTCGGATACCGTTGTTGAGGTCAGTCTCTTTCTCCAAGTTCCAACTGTTCCTGGAGCTCACAATCATATAGCCTTATAATGCCACGCTATCCGTTCATCAACTTGTGGAGAACTCGGACGAAACTTTCTGTATCGACAACGAGGCCCTTTACGACATCTGCTTCAGAACGCTTAAGCTCTCCACGCCAACATATGGTGACCTCAACCACCTCGTTTCCTTCGTCATGTCTGGTATCACCACTTGCTTGCGTTTCCCTGGTCAACTCAACTCTGATCTGCGCAAACTCGCTGTCAACATGGGTTCGTCAATATTTTCAATGTTCGTCATTCATTCTCAATATATTCGTTCGCAGTTCCTTTCCCTCGTCTCCACTTCTTCATGACCGGATTTGCTCCCTTGACCGCCCGCGGCAGTCAACAATACCGTGCTGTCACTGTTCCCGAGCTCACTCAACAAATGTTCGATGCAAAGAACATGATGGCTGCATCAGACCCGAGACATGGTCGCTACCTTACCGTAAGTATAATTGACAATGTGCGTTTAGGGATCTTGTGCTGATGTGGCCTTGTTCAGGTTGCTGCTGTGTTCCGTGGTAAAGTGTCAATGAAGGAGGTCGAGGAGCAGATGCAAAACGTTCAGAACAAGAACTCTGCATACTTCGTGGAGTGGATTCCCAACAACGTGCTGTCTGCACAGTGTGACATCCCTCCTCGCGGAGTCAAGATGGCGGTCACATTCTTGGGTAACTCAACTGCTATCCAAGAGCTGTTCAAGCGTGTCAGCGACCACTTCACTGCTATGTTCAAGCGCAAGGCCTTCTTGCATTGGTACACGCAAGAAGGTATGGACGAAATGGAGGTGAGTACTTGTAGTTTGTCATGCGATTGGCTGATCTGATTGGATTTCATCTTTCAGTTCACCGAGGCCGAGTCAAACATGCAGGACTTGATTGCCGAATACCAGCAATATCAAGACGCAACTGTCGAGGAGGAGGCTGAGTACGAGGAGGAGGTACCAGCCGACGAGGAGTCGTAGATCAAAATGGTGACCCACGTTTACGATCCATCCCTACGTCACCCATTTCCCTTCATGACCAAAACTTAGGTATTCGTCTATTGGTGTTCTCTTTGGCAGATGCCCCGTTTGTTCTGTTAATCTTTTATCGCTACCCTAGCCAGCATCGCGTTCATCTCATTTTTCCTTTCTTCTGTCGTACACCGCCGGAGCAATACATTTCATCGGAAACTGCAGTATACCCTTGTTATCAGTTGATGATCGATGTGAGCAAGAGCCTTTGAATTTTGGCAGGCTACACACGAGCTTGCCTCAGACTGTGATCACAGAAGGAACGTCGTTTCAATCTCAAACTTGTGCTTTATTTTTTGGTTGTCACGTTTGGTGGCCTCTGTCTGCAGCAATTTCTCTGTGCAGAGGCCATCAAACAGGCATACACGAGCCGTCACGTCCAGCGTGCTTCACGAAATATCATCATGTCTGCCTACCGTTGACCACGCTTCACCACATGTAGGTTTTAGCTAGGTCTAAACCATCGATCAAGTAAGATTGTGACGGTAGTCACGAATGTTCCATGGTGTAAAACAAGTCCTTTGTTGGGCTGGCCAGCGGGGGTTTATGCATCGTGACGGTAGGACGAACGTTCCGTACAATTTGAAAAGCCGCCACTGCAGAAAGTTCTAAGGAAAAACAAGTCCTTTGATGAGCTGGCTAGCAAAGATCATGGCTGGTAGCTACGGACGTTCCGCACAATCCGACACAACCTACTAACTGCCACTGCAGAAAGTCCTTTGATGAGCTAATACCAGTACTTGCATAAAATTAGCTGCGAGTCACATCGGAGCATCATTCACAGATGTGGCACAGTAGGGATGATCTGCGTGGCAGCTACCCAGTTACTGATACGGTAGATGAATCAGCTGCAGATGGGGAAACGGACTTACATTCAACATAGCTGTATAGGACTGGAGCGCGTCGGTGGCAGTAAGCTAGCAGCCTACTGGGCAATGTGCATCTGATCAAATCTCCGTGTGGTTACCATGATTAGACTGCTCGCAATGATCAAGTACCTGTTTATAGGTCAAGTTTAAGTTTACTGTCAACCAATACTGCTGGCAGGATAGATATAAAGCTGTGCTGGCGCTTGTAGGTCACCTACCATATTTGGGTTTCGTACATTTCACGATTGCGTTTATGTCGCAATCTTTTTCTTCTCTTCTTCTCTCTTCACCTAAACACCCTAAAGACTTTGGGTGAAGAGAAAAGAAGAGATCTCTTGAGGTCTCTTAATATTCTACCACTCATTTACTGTCTACATCTAGCTCGCATTTCTCATCATGTCTGACGGTCTTCGACCCAGTTTCGCTCGATCTCAGAGCAATTATGGTTTTCCTGCTCCATCGGTCACGTTCTCTCCATTGAGTGACGACGATGATATGTTTTCTTCTAACGAGGCCGTCTTGAAACTCAACGATGGCTCTGCGTTCAGAGGTATCAGCTTCGGAGCAGAAGACAAAAGTGTTGCTGGCGAATGCGTCTTTCAAACCGGTTGGGTCGACTTTCAATGTCTAATATTATTTTGCTAACATACCGTCTCTCAGGTATGGTCGGGTATACTGAATCTTTGACCGATCCATCATATGAGGGCCAGATCCTCGTCCTCACCTATCCGTTAATCGGAAATTATGGCGTGCCCGAACGCCCAAAAAATGATGTCGATCTCCCTGCGGAGTTCGAGTCATCCCGCATTCATATTGCTGCCCTCGTAGTCGGCTCATATACTGAGGACTACAGCCATTTCTTGGCAAATTCTTCACTTGGAGCTTGGTTGAAAGAAAATAATGTCCCTGCCATTTGTGGTGTGGACACACGCGCCCTCACTAAAAAGATCCGGGAGAAAGGTTCCATGCTAGCCAAGGTTTTGGCACGCCAGTCAGATGTCCCTCCGCGCCGCGTGCAGCTTCTCGTTCCCGAGTCCCGCTCGGCTTCTCGCTCATCCTCGCCGCCACCCTGGGATGACTACGTTGACATCCCGTGGCACGATCCCAACTCTGATAATCTCGTTGCCGCAGTATCATTGCCAGCTCCTCGACTTTTCAAACCTACAGGCCAACCTCATTTGCATCCGAGCGGACGTGTCCTTCGCGTTGTCGCTGTGGATGTTGGCATGAAATATAACCAGATCCGATGTTTCACCAGGCGTGGAGTGGAGCTCAAGGTTGTTCCTTGGGATTACGACTTCGTTAACGAAGCCGAGCCATATGACGGATTGTTCATATCAAATGGTCCTGGTAACCCTGTGACAATCATGTCCACGGTCAAGCGACTTGCTCAGGCAATGGAGAAGGGTGATCGCCCTATCTTCGGTATTTGCCTTGGGCACCAGTTGCTCGCCCTCGCCGCTGGAGCTGCTACCTCGAAAATGAAATACGGCAACCGCGGACATAACATCCCGTGCACGCACGCGCTGACCGGAAGGTGCTATATCACATCTCAAAACCATGGTTTCCAAGTCGACACAAACACCCTCCCGCAGGGATGGAAAGAGCTTTTCCGCAATGCCAATGACGGTAGCAACGAAGGCATCTATTGCGAAGACAAACCATTCTTCTCCGTGCAATTTCATCCGGAATCTACTCCCGGCCCTCGTGATACGGAATTTCTTTTCGATGATTTCATTCAGTGTATCGTGGATTGTGTCAAAACGAAGAATCTGGTGCCTATGTCATTCCCGGGCATGCGCAAGGAAGACGTTGATAAGAAGTTCCCTCGTGCCGATGTCCAGAAGATTCTCATCCTCGGCTCCGGTGGATTGTCCATCGGGCAGGCAGGCGAGTTCGATTACTCGGGCTCGCAGGCTATCAAGGCGCTCAAGGAGGAAGGCATCTATACCATCCTTGTCAACCCAAACATTGCAACCATCGCCACCTCCAAGGGTCTCGCGGACAAGGTATATTTCCTGCCCGTGACACCCGATTTCGTGCGCAAAATCATCAAGTATGAGAAACCGGATGGTATCTACGTGACATTTGGTGGACAGACTGCCCTCAATGTCGGCATTAAACTCAAAGATGAGTTTGCGGCTCTCGGAGTACAAGTTCTTGGTACTCCCATCGAGACTATCATCACGACAGAGGACAGGCAGTTGTTTGCTCAAGCGATGGAGGATATTGGGGAGCGTTGTGCTCAGTCTTCCACGGCAACAACTTCAGACGAAGCGGTTGCTGCAGCACGCGAGATCGGTTTCCCGGTCATTGTTCGCGCTGCATACGCTCTGGGTGGTCTGGGATCTGGCTTTGCACAGGATGAAGTCCAACTTCGTGCTTTATGTAGCAAGGCATTTGCCACAAGCCCTCAGGTGCTCGTAGAAAAGAGTATGAAAGGTTGGAAAGAGATTGAGTACGAAGTTGTCCGCGATTGTCGTGACAATTGTATAACCGTCTGCAATATGGAGGTAAGTGTCGCTGTTCATTGAACTGTTTATGCACGATCTAACATTGCCATATTAGAATTTCGATCCCCTCGGCATCCACACTGGAGACTCCATCGTGGTCGCACCCTCCCAAACGCTCTCTGATGCGGACTACAACATGCTCCGAACAACTGCCATCAATGTCATTCGCCACCTTGGTGTTGTTGGCGAGTGCAATATTCAGTACGCTCTGAATCCGACCTCGAAGGAGTACTGTATCATCGAAGTTAGTCTCGCCATCCTGACTGATTTATATTATACTAACATTCAAATAGGTTAATGCGCGTCTGTCGCGTTCGTCAGCGCTGGCTTCGAAAGCCACGGGTTATCCCCTGGCATTCATTGCCGCTAAGCTCGGTCTGGGTGTCCCGCTCAACGAAATAAAGAACTCTGTTACGAAAGTGACCAGCGCTTGCTTCGAGCCGAGCTTGGACTACGTTGTCGTCAAGATCCCACGTTGGGATCTCAAGAAGTTCAACCGGGTCAGCCGGTTTCTTAGCAGCAGCATGAAGAGTGTTGGTGAGGTCATGAGTATCGGCAGAACTTTCGAAGAGACCATTCAGAAGGCGATACGGGCGATCGACGATCAGTTCCTTGGATTTGCGAAGGTATGTAAGAGCTGCCTTGGTCAGTTCAGTAAGATTAAACTTGCCGTCATAAGAACGACTTTGTGGAGGACATTGACGAGGAGCTGGTCAATCCCACTGACAAGCGGTTATTCGCCATCGCATCTGCTTTCCATCGGGGCTATAGTGTCGACAAGATATGGCAGATGACTAACGTCGACAAGTGGTTCCTGACGAAACTTCAACACATTCATCGCATGGAGAAACGCTTGTCGTGCGTAGACTCTGCTTGATCTTCGATGTTTTTCTAACGAATGCACTACAACAACAGAGAGTATACCATTTCTTCGGTCAGCAACAGAACCATCCTCCAAGCGAAGCAATTTGGCTTCTCCGATCGCCTGGTAGCCAGTTGTTTGGGTTCAACGGAGTTAGCTGTCCGGAGGCTTCGTCAAGAAACCGGCATTTCCCCATTCGTCAAGCAAATAGACACTGTCGCAGCCGAGTTTCCCGCATTCACGAATTACCTCTACACCACATATAACGCTATCGAGCACGACATTGAGTTCAATGATCGTGGTGTCGTGGTCCTTGGCTCGGGTGTCTACCGCATCGGCTCCTCAGTCGAATTTGACTGGTGCGCAGTCAGGGCTATCAGGACGCTTCGTGAACAAGGTCTCCCGACAATTATGGTCAACTACAACCCAGAAACTGTCAGCACTGATTACGATGAAGCCGATCGCCTTTACTTCGAGAACATCAGCTTGGAGACCATTCTTGATATCTATGACACAGAGCGGTCGCGCGGCGTCATCTTGTCAATGGGTGGTCAGACCCCGAACAACATTGCCCTTCCCCTCTATCGCCAGAACGTGAAAATCTACGGAACTTCTCCCGAAATGATCGACACTGCGGAGAATCGCTTCAAATTCTCTAGGTTACTCGACGAGATTGGTGTTGATCAGCCTCAGTGGAAGGAATTGACTAGTTTCCAAGAGGCTCTCGCCTTTTGCGACTCAGTGGGGTACCCTGTCCTCGTCCGTCCTTCCTATGTCCTCTCAGGGGCTGCCATGAATGTCGTCTCCACGGGCGACGACTTGGCCAACTACTTGACACAAGCAACCGCTGTCTCCCGCGATCATCCTGTCGTCATCACGAAGTACATCGAGCAAGCGAAGGAGATAGAGATGGATGCTGTGGCGAAGGACGGTCAGATGATCATGCATTTCATCTCGGAGCACGTTGAGAATGCTGGTGTACACTCTGGTGATGCCACTCTCATCCACCCACCACAAGATCTTGATCCCGCTACCGTTCGTCAAATTGAGGAGGCCACTGCAAAGATCGGAAATGCCCTGAATGTGACCGGACCCTTCAATATCCAGTTCATAGCCAAGAACAACGAGATCAAGGTGATCGAGTGCAATCTACGTGCGGCGCGGTCTTTCCCCTTCGTCTCTAAAGTTACCGGCATCGACGCTATTGAGATGGCGACCAAGGTTATGTTGGGGTTGCCGGTAGAGAGCTACCCGGACCCTGGTCTTCCTCCGGACTATGTTGGAGTCAAGGTCCCTCAATTTAGCTTCAGTCGACTCTCTGGCGCAGACCCTGTTCTTGGCGTGGAAATGGCGTCTACTGGAGAAGTCGCTTGCTTTGGACGTGACAAGTATGAGGCGTATCTGAAGGCTTTAATATCCACCGGCATTGTTCCGCCAAAAAAGAACATCTTGCTTTCTATTGGAAGCTATCGGGAGAAATTGGAAATTCTGCCCTCAGTGCAGAAGCTCCACGCTGCTGGATACAACATCTTCGCTACATCCGGTACTGCTGACTTCTTGACTGAGCATAATGTTCCTTGCAAAGTAAGTCTAATATAGCTCTGGAGTATCACTACAGCTCATCAACCTATATAGTACCTCGAAACCCTCCCAGAAGATAGCAGCGACAAGCAGAAGTCTGAATATTCCCTCACGCAGCACTTGGCCAACAACTTGATCGACATGTATATCAACCTTCCGTCGAAGAACAATTACCGCCGGCCCGCTAGCTACGCTAGTAAGGGGTACCGCACGCGACGCATGGCTGTTGATTTCGCAATTCCGCTCATAACGAACGTCAAAAATGCCAAGTTGCTTGCAGAAGCACTTGTTCGCAAGCTCCCGTTGGATGTGTCGAGTATTGATTCCAAATGCTCGTATCTAACGCACGCTTTCCCTGGCCTCGTTAACATTTCCGCATTCCTACCCCGCCTCACTTTACCGGGAGCAGATGAATTCGAACAGGCCACCCGAGCTTCTATCAGCGCAGGCTTCACTACTTCCCTCGTTCTCCCAGTCGGTCCTTGACAGCGCCATCACCGATGCCTCTTCACTTGAGCGGGTTCATGCCGCAGCTGCAGGGAGTGCACGTTGCAACTATGCTCTCAGCATTGCTGGGAAGGACAGCAATGTCCAAGCTCTCGACGAGGAAGTCAGAGCGGACGTGAAGTCGTTGTATATCTCATTCCACGGGAACTTCGCCTCTCCTCAAATTTCCGCCGTCGCAGCCTACTTCGCCTCGTGGCCCGAAAACAAGTTAATCGTGACCGATGCCCGTAGCTCAAACCTTGCATCGGTGCTCCTACTAGCATCTCTTTATAACCGCAGCGTTCATATCACCGACGTCAGAAACAAAGATGATTTGCTTCTCATCTCGCTCAGCAAGGCAAAAAATCTCAAGGTCACTTGTGACGTTTCAGTCTTCGCTTTGTTCTTCACACGGGAACAATATTCTCTACCAACGTCATTGCCATCCGCCCAGGATCAGGAGGCACTGTGGAAGAACCTTGACGTCATCGATGCGTTCTCAGTCGGATGCTTCCTCATCAGCTTGCGACAGGAACTTCAAGAGCCGGCTTCTGCGTGGTCCGGAGCGGAGGAAACATTGCCATTATTACTTACTGCTGTTACCAGCGGTCGACTCACTCTCGAGGATATTCGTGTGACGCCTTCACGATAACCCGATTCGTATCTTCGGTCTTCCTGAACAAGCGACAACTCACGTTAGAGGTCGTCCTAGGGCGGCGAGCTCAGCATCAGAATCGCAGCGCGTGTTGGTCTCCTTTGCAGAAGAGCTCTGTCACTGGATCACTGCACAGAGTAGTCGTGCATGGCAAGACGCTATTCCTTGATGGTGAACTCTCTGCTTTACCCCTAGGGAAAGATGTTTCCAGTGCGACAATTGTGCATGTCGCTGGAGAACGACAAGCAGGCGCGCCTCTGGCGAAATCGCAGCTCGTCTCTGGGCCTTCTGGTGCTAGGGTCCCCGACGGCTCTGCGCTCCCCCCTCAGATGGCTTTGACATCATCTGCTACTGGCTCCACTGGTTCAGCTGTTATTGTGCCACCGGTTGTTGCTCTCGGTCGTCATCCCGCATTCCATCGTCGTCATATACTTTCTGTGAAGCAGTTTACCCAACGCGACATGTACGACCTCTTCTCCTTGGCCCACGAAATGCAACTTCAGGTCGAGCGCAATGGGTCACTAGACATTTTGAAGGGCAAAGTCCTTTGTACCCTTTTCTATGAGCCGTCCACCCGTACGAGTACTTCATTCGATGCAGCCATGAAGCGCTGTGGAGGTGAGGTATTCAAGTTAACGCGGATACTTCGTCAGGTGAAGAAAGGAGAGACGCTGGCCGATACTGTTCGCACACTAGGGTCTTATGCCGATGCCATTGTGATTAGGCACCCCGAGGTCGGCAGTGCCCAACTCGCCGCTAAGTATTCCCCTGTACCTGTTCTGAATGCTGGCGATGGCATAGGAGAACATCCTACTCAGGTAAGGGCTCGAAGTTTGGGAGCAGTCCGAATTTTTTAACACATTATAGGCTCTTCTCGACATTTATACCATTCGATCCGAGTTGGGGACTGTCAATGGCAAAACGATCACCATCTTAGGAGATCTGAAGAATGGACGCACAGTTCATAGCCTGGTCACTCTACTCTGCCACTACTCAGTCCGTCTGAACTTCGTCGCGCCTCCAGCCCTTGCGATGCCAGCAAAGGTGGTCTCTGCAGCGCGGAAGGCCGGTATATCTGTGCAGCAGTTGGAATCCCTCGAGGAGGTCTTACCTGATACCGACGTTCTCTACGTAACTAGAGTGCAAAAAGAGAGGTTCAAGAGTGACTTAGAGTGGCAAACGGTCAAAGACTCTTATCACATCGATCACGCCCTTCTTTCTCGAGCCAAGGAAGACATGATCGTGATGCACCCTTTGCCTAGAGTGAACGGTAAGTGCCTGCCTTACATACATGTTCCTTAACTAAACATCCTTTGCGTCCAAAGAAATTGATCCCGAAGTTGATTTTGACTTCCGCCGTGCCGCTTACTTCCGTCAAATGCGTTACGGACTTTTTGTATGTCATATCCCCTTTGATGTGCTCGCGTTCTGACCTTTTGTTAGGTTCGCATGGCCCTTCTTGCTAGTGTTATGGGTTGAAAATCAATGATATAAGTGTTGCATAAACAGCGCTCGTACGGCTAGTGATGAACTTGACCTATATTGATATCCGCATGCAGCTGAGCAACTCGCAATGTGTAGACCAGTAGATTCTCAATTGATTCTTGTGTTTATTACTGTCTCTGCGAACTGGTTGGTCTCCCGTAGTTAGCCCATGTTGATGAGTTGTTCCTTCTCGATCATGGGAGTTGACAGATCACAATAGAATAAGGACGGGAGCTACGGCTGCATGATGAAGTAAAGCAACAACAACTAAGTAGCAGAAAGTCTGAGATTCGCACCCGAAGTTTTTAACGATTCCCAGATGGGCCCGAGTCGCCAAGTACATGTTCGTTGTCCCGCCAATGTCCCGGCCGCTGGCATGTCATTGTCAAAGAGGTGCATAATTACAAGGCGGCCGATTACCAGTATATACCTATTATGGTTGTGTTGCCAAATCTGCATCCGCGATCTAGCGCTCAAAGAGCTCAAGCCTGTTCAACTTGATCGAGATCCTCGTCGGACTGACGGCGACTCGGGCATGAACCTTACTTATGAATGCGAGTCGACTCACGCGGTTGGTCTATGGGCTGTGACTGCACAGCAGACTAAGTATTGGAGATTATCAGCAGGTCGCTGACTGTCTTCCTTCTATTGATCTGCACAGGAGATGATATTTAGTATTAAGACTTGACTGAAGATATCTTCGAGTCATATTTATAAATCTTGTCATCTTGACGACTTATAATAAGGCGTTGTTGATCTTTCTTCCTCAATGAGCATCGCGGGGCGCCACAAACTCAGCAACACATAGCGCGTTACGCTTCAGTTCGAGTACCGGAATTGAAGAACATTTCCACTTGATTTGACGTAACTTAATTACGAGGTGAGCGTAAATTTAAAGTGGCGTCGATCATGGTAGGAACAATAGGCTCCCTGATTTTTGGGGCGCTAAAGCCAAACTGTCTTAGGAGCCATTTGATTATAAAACAAAAGGCTTACCCGCGAGCGGCTTCTCTTCAGCGTACATGCATCTTGATCCTCTCGGGTCACTAAACATGTGGCTATCTCTTCCACGTCCAAGAGGGCAAAGTTTTTCATGGATTGCTGCCATCGCGTGCATTCTCGGACCTCCTACTGGGACTTTATGCAGTCGAATCTTCGATGCGTGCCTGCCAGTGCCCCCTGCATGGGCTGGGGATTCTGCAACATGCTTAGGTAGCACTGCCCCAGTCGATCCAGAGCCATGAGGACAGGAGGAATCATTAGACAAAAGTCTGGAGCCTTCGTATCGCCCACCTCTTGAGACCTCTTGGATAAGAGTGCAAGTTCTGAAGATTGCATAATAAGATTTTCAACTATCAGGCTATTGCCACTGCCGTGACAGAAGCAAACTGCAGGGCGTGGATCGGTGCTAATTGTAGCTCTTAGCGTCAGCCGCAATAATACCAAGGGTCACAGCATGCTGTAGACAACTTGATCCGATTGATGGGCAAAGTGCACCACGTTCCGCATGATCTTCGGTGCTCAGAATAACAAACTATAACAATTGAAGCAACGCCTAATCCTCCATACACTATGAGAATTCGAAGTGGGAACGAGTAGGAACGAGTGCTTATCATGTATGCAAGATCAAGAAGTTTCGGCTGAATGTTCAGATGCATTCGAACGTCCAAAAGCTGAGCCTGTGATGTCACACCTGGCCTGAACACCTGCAGGGAGGCATCCGGCTACTACATATGCAGCATCGTGCTGACTTGCCAGAATCTGGAAATGACAGGCAGACTGCTATGATAACGGAGCTACCAGATTCGGACGTCTACAAGTAAGTTCCTGTTTAGTCGACAAAGTATTCTCACTGGGCGAACACACTTGATGGTATTATCCCCTACACGACCCAACTGAGCCAACTGATTCCCTGGTGCCAAGTATTAATATTTGACCCGCTTCCGAATACCGATACTGCCCATCAGATGTTAACGAAGTCAACGTCCGAGATGCCTGGAAATAGACGAGCCTGGGACGTGAAGGAACTTTCCAATGGCAATTGGAATGCGATTCCTAATATCTTCGGCTCCACGGCAGAAGGACACGTAGATCACCAGCGGCATGAACACATACACTTCTGGTTTGAAGCAAACTTGTATGCTACGGATGCTTCCGAGGTGGAGTACTTTGAACTTTAAGTTGGCTACGAAACTTCTCGTGGCGGCGCTAGCCGGACCGCACCATACTATACTGATACCGCAGTGCCTTGTTTTAATAGAAACAACAGGCGCCGAACCGAACTGCCATTATGCAGAATGACATGAGTCTCATAGAACGAGGCGTGGGTGCTCGGCCCTCGGTATAAAGCTTTCCAACTGAGGGTTGGCTCGAATAGTGTTGGCCACACGACTACCTGACATCCGCGTCGCGGACGCATCATGGATCCTGACCATAACGTGCCTCCCGTCGCTACTGGACGATCCTCTCAGCCCCGAGCCCAGGAGCAATTCTCTCAGCACCAAGTTCAGGAGCAGCCCTCGCCGTCAGTGGAACCTGAACATGTAGATAGCAGAGGTCGTCCGCAGAGCCAGTCAATGGCGACTGAGAAGCCCCTGCTTGGCAGTTCAGATGGACTTTCGCCGACTCGCGATCGCAGTGATCCCTATGCAGATTTTGAGCCTGTTCCTCTGCCTCCTCCCGCTGCGAGAAGCAGGGACGGTGTGGACGGACATATGGTGGGTGGACCGTCGCGGCGCTCAGATATGGGCCATACTCGTGCCAACACCTCTGGCATAGGCTGGATAGTGCCCGGAATTGAAGAGAAACCTCACGTTCGTGTGGTCACGCACTTTTGCGCTGATATTTTATCCTGAACTTGACCTTATAGCGGCGTACAATCGGAGAGCGCCTCGCCCCATCTATTGAAAATGCGGAAAAGGAGAGGGCGCAATACGCCATAAAAGGTTGGTAAAAAAGTTAAATATCAACCTTATCATGCTCGGTATCCGAGCATGAAAGGTTTCATTATTTCTGGGAAATTTCTGACAATCTTCTTTTGAAAGCACGATGGACTGGCCTCGCGTTGAATATTGCTATAGGTTTACAAGTTTTGCTTGGGGCACTTACCACGGGTATTTCGGCGGCGACGTCGGGTAAGCAGGTTAGTTCAAAGTGCATTGACGTGAACGTCTGACAAACTGACCCTGAGACCATTCATTCAGACTTCGATTGGCATCTCTGTTCTCGGTGTGTATCAGGGTCCTGTATTCAAAGTAGATCCTGAAAATTAATATGCTCCAGGGGGCCTGGCGACGTTAGTTGCTTCCTATCTCGCTCGGACGCGAGGATCAAACGAACCAGAACTATCCATAACTCGCGTTAAGGACCTAGATCAATACCTGAGAGACTGCTTAGCCTTTCAAATGGATCACGGGCATGAATATGGGACACCTGGGGACGATCTGAATGATCGGCTAGAGCAGCTTAGAAGGAGGTTTGAAGAGCTTCTTGGAAATGCTGATGGGTAGGTCATGTTGCATTTGCGTTGCTCGGGTTACGGCTGACAACCTGCTTTATTAATAGGCAGCGAAAGCTGTCCCCGCTGGTTTGAATAGTTTTTTTTTGGTAAGATTCTATGATGCACATTCCATTGTACTAGTCTTCCACTCGTTCTGCGCGCTATATTTCCGAGTGAACCTTGTTTCACTTCGGCACTTCTCTCATTATATATTATATACCATATCCATTCAGATACGATACCATCTTGACCACTTGCCTGTCTTTCACGTGTTATTCTTTCTGCATACAATTGCCACAGTTCGAACAATCACGCGTTCACTGCATTTGCCAGACTGAAATCAAGCGCAAGGAACCACGTGTAGCGTTGGAGCAGCGACCATTCTTCCTAATTCGCAGGCTGTAAATAGTGCTGCTTTGACATGTTGGGTGTAATGTGCCTTCCTTTTACCTCATGTCACCGGGTGAACAAGGCGGCCGGTGGGTCGTGGCGAGTACTCTGCACTGCATCGTGAATCGATATCATGCGATTCGATCGAAGCTTTGGAACCTATTCATAGGACTTAGGACCTTTATGGAGGCTCAGCATTAATGTGACAACCGAACTGTCAGTCATTTTGCGACGCGTAGAGCGCACGTGCTACTGACTTTCTGGACACGTGATTCCCTTCGTACTTGGCTCAGTACCGTACTAAACAGAGTCAGCACACATCTCCATAGTCCGTCAAAATATCTAATATGAAGACTAAGAACAAACAGACGAAGTTCCCTGTTGTGAGCTCCTGTGACCAAGTGCTCACCTAACGATTCGTTTCTCACGTGTGTGCGTGTAACAGGCACGAATCAAGAAGATTATGCAGAAAGATGAGGAAGTTGGGAAGGTTGCACAAGCTACACCAGTCGTGATTTGTACGTCTTCGCGCACCGATTTATCCCTTATCTCATGGACGCCTTTCACTCCTGAACTGAATATCCGGCGTCCTATGATGCAATAGCAAAAGCGCTGGAACTATTCCTGGCTATGATTGTGGACGAGGCAACCAAAGTCACGGTGGAACGGGGGGCAAAGAAGGTTGAAGCTTATCATTTGTGCGTTCATTGCTGCCTTAACTGTGTCTTATTGTGAGATCCACACAGAAAGCATGCGATCGACACAACAGAGATGCTGGATTTCCTAAAGGAAATCGTCGAATCAGTACCTGACCCTTCAGCGGGTGGTACCATCGACCTGCAAGCTGAGGCGGCAGAGAACGCAAAGCGAAAGAGGAGCAAAGCAAAGAAAAATGGGGCGGCACCTGGAGAGGGCCCAAAGAGGCGGCGGAAAAAGAAAGACGATGCTGATACGGAGGGCGTACCGGAAGAGACGATGGGAGAAGCAAAGTCTGAGGAAGGAGACCCTCGAATGGACGATGATGATGATGCATATGAAGAATCGTCGACTCGCCCTCGGCGTCGACGAGATGATTATGGCGAGGAGGACATGCCCTACGTACCACGATAACAAAATGCGAATGTTGTTGGGTTGGTACCAGAAGTTTAAAGCGTGCGCTGTAACTCCTTTGTGATATTTATCACTTCCATCATACCCCATATTCTCTTGTCCATTATATCTGACCAGTTGTACTGTACAACATATTATAGGGACCTACACAAGTTCTACCTCGCCCCGAGAAATTAACTGCTCCACCACCGAATACGGGGTCAAAGATATATGCCCTTTCCGCATCTCTAACGCGGTCCCACTGCAAGTCTGATTAGAGAAAAAAACATTGGTCGATATTCGGCAACATACTCTGGTAACCGCACTGGTGGACAATCCTGTCGAGCAAGCACAAAGACTGCACGAGTTTTTTCTGGTTCGGTAACTGGATACAGTCGTAAGCACCACACTTATTGATGAAATGCTGACTTCCATACCCATAGAAGGTACAAAGGGAGGTTGATCATCGAGGGTCTGCTGGGTCTCTGGCAAACTCTGCAGAACTGAATGATAGAAATGTTGATCAGTCAATCGGGCAAACCTGGAGACATTGTTAACATCCATGCTACTTCCTGCGATAGGCCACAACATACCGACGCGCGTGCTCCACTTCGCTTTCTGAGAGGCGCTGCTGGACTTCAGGGTTGGTCATGATATACCGAGCAAACTTCTCGATCTGTAGTACATGATGTAGTATCTGAAAAGGGACTATACAGGAGGGAATGACCTTGAATAGACGGGTGCGAAGGTATGACCTGACTATAAATTTGACGCGTTCTACCTCCGTCTGAACGAGCATGATGCGAAAGTGCTCCTCCTCAGATGATGAAGGGTCTGTGCGAAGGAGCTGCACAGTCTCAGACTGCATCAGTCATTCAGTCAGATTTGTCCACTCGACATTCTAAAGTCACAACACGGCTCACCAACCTGACTCCTGATGTGGTCGAGCAGTCCTGCCAATAACCCTCCTTCATTTGGGAGAATGTCAGGTGAATGCCGCTCGTTCATCCAATGTCTTATAAGCTGCTGTAGTGGTGTTGCCTCCTCTTCCTCGAGCATGAAGGGAGGTGCATCTGGTATTTCTGCATCATCGTCATCCCGTGGGGCTTGTCTAAGTCGCTCCTGAAAGGCATTATTGTTAACAGCACGGCCGGGTCGGTCGAGGTTCGTGAAAAAATCATCGTCGTCGATGTCCATGAATTAGGTGGTCACTGGTTCTGCAAGAGTCGACTCGCGTCCGATGCGATCAATAAACGCGTTTTCGGTAATAACGTTATCCGAATCTATACATACATAAATGATAACACAAAGAACCTCGACCGACGACTATACAGAGAAGGATACGTGCAGAATTATGAAAGTGGGAGACGGATCATGGCGTTGTAGACGAAGCGCATACTAGTTGATACGAGGCAGTTTATGAACTGATTCAACGCAAGCAAAATGGTACAAATTCAATCACACAGCATCGTTTTCAACAAGCCTTCCGCCGACGATATATTTATTCGAGAAGTGCTCGATCCAGCCTGAGTGTCTCGATATGAGTGATTGCTCCTGTTCAAGCGACTGATTTGACCTCACCTTTCATGTTCTCGCTAAGAAATTGATGATCATATGAGCAGTGCAAAGATGGAGGTAAATGAGTTCCTACATTTCGTCTGGTCGGAGATCCTCGAGCTTGTCGAGAGGTTGGTCAATTGGCGTTAGCATGTCTGATGGCAGATACGTTAGGCGTGTAAGGAGTGTCCATTGTGGTTCACCAACCTAAATCGAATGACTGCTTGGCCATGCCACGAGATGCGTCACGACCCGCAAAATTACCATACATGCCATCTATGTAATGTGAGTCAGTCGTTATAACGACTTGACGAGGGAAACAGATGCACCTGGCCCATAGAAGTTCCTCCCTGCTGTTACGTCGAACACAATGCCGTTGATGGCGAGCAAAATTCTACCCCCGTCCTGACCATTGAAGGGTTCTAGTGTCTTCGGGGTATATGTCTGGAACAATACAGTCGGGGGGTGTGCCTTAGGCATCCATGAGTAACCATGCTTGAACTCGTTTGGGATTGTGGTGGGTGTGGATGTAGAAGGGAAAACAATCTTCTGCACGGAATAGAGAATGTAAATGAGGAGAGCCGTATTGACGGGGGTGCCAAAGTCAAGAGCGTATCCTGACATGACGGTGTTGGCGTCGGGATGGTGGGTCAATCAATAATATTATTGAGGCTTGCGACCCGCTTACTAGCTGAACTTACTGAATAGTGACGTGGCTTGTCCGAGGCTGAGTCTGGAATCTGATACTTACCATATACGCTTACCAATGTTGGTATTGCTTATAGACTTGCTATAACTACTAGCCATTACTAGTCGACGCTCGCGCGCATGCTCGCAGCTCAGCTGCCTTCGCTGCTTGCCAGTGGACGAAAACGGAACGGTTCGAACCTATGATATTGCATATGTTCCGAGTCCTGGTACCCCAAGGTCTGATGAATTTAGAATTTCGAAGGAGCAATTATCTTCTTTTAGGTTATTGGTCTATCCAATACATCTGTTGGCTTCCGGTAAGCTAGGCGTCACACCAGTAAAGTTCGCCTTGCAACCGCGGCCCTTCACAGATCGCTGTTCTGATTTCACAGATCGCTATGATCACCTTCAAAATTCACCATTAACGAAAGGCCCAGGCCGTCCTGCAGATCATCCCACAATGCCCACTGTCCAGACCCCTTTCCAGTGTGGGGCCTATGGCTTGTATTGATGGGCAGTCACCACATAAGGTTGGCCCACCCCAGATCCAGAGACGGTGAATTGCCTGAATAATTTCAGCCAGATGCTGTCACATTATTCAACGTGCCAACCAGTACGTGCCGCATGAAGCGTTAAAAGCTCTAATTGCCTTCATCTCACACAGTCCCTTATCCCTCAGGTTGGTTCATTTGACCGGTTGCAATCAGACCGACAAAGATGGCGCGTGCGTGCTCTACAAGTGTGACAACATGCCAGCAACCTGACATGCTGTATCTCAGAACCTACCTCCTGGTTTATTTCTCAATTAGGCTACCTCCCAGGATCGTCTTCTTAATCTCTAACCTAATCGATCGATGAAATTCACGTACCCGCGAGTTCTAGGAGATCTTGTCATTCCGTTGGCTGTTTCAGGGGGCAGCGCCGACACTAATGCCAACGGCTCATTGACAGGACAATTCCTACATAAACGGCATAGACTTCGATTCCAACGGAGTCCTACAGGCAACATGGTATATCCCCGGTGGGTCTCGCCATTTCCGGAAGCAACACAAGTTCTATTATATATAGCACCTATCGGGACTGCGTCAATGACACTGGTCAGGATGGTAGTACATATATAGTAGAGGCTGCCTCCGATGGACCCGATAATGTGAATATTCATCAAATTCCCCTCAGTTGACGTTAACATCTTATCAGAACCGCGATATGAACTTGGCGTACTTACAGCACTGACCTAGAGCGATCACTCGGTGCACGGCTAGTACTTATTCAGACGAGCCCGTCCTCCCGAACTCTGAAAAAATCACAATTACCTCCATCGCGAAATATGCACAACTGTTACGCCGCGCCACATGCCGTAGTTTAGCCCTAGATGTTATAGGGCATATTGAATCAGTTCGTATATTTCCGTCATAGCATACGTTCTCGTTTACGCTGTATCTGATCAATCATCCGTCCAGTCTATCTGCTCGAGCTGAGTTCTACGTTGACGCTTGAAGCTTTCCTAGCCATTGAAGTAAAACCCCCTACATGGTGGAAAGGACTCGACTCTGATCAGGAACAGGATGTCTTCTATTCCAAAAAGGCTGCTCGGATTTTGAGCGATTGGATCTTTATAGATTGGCGGCTGTCACATCAATATCGGCGAAACGCAACAGGCGCATGGAGGCGTACCGCTTCCAGTCCAACATACCAGTTGATAACAACGTCACCGGGACATCAATTGTGATTGGAAAACTCAATCCTTCCTCAAACACACAGAACTCCGCCGCAGAACACGGGTACTCCAGTATTAGGATACAGTACGAGAAGTCCTGAATGGATGTGGATGGAATCGGCGGCTCTCTGTGCCACAAGAAGCTTGTGTAGTAATGGAATCTTAAACTCGGAAATGGTTAACACAGACGGAGGTGCCGATATGGGTCTTGGTCACTCGGCTGTTCGCGGTTTGTCGACGTACTGCGAGCAGTACAGTCTGTGTCTTTGTTCTAGATAAACTGCAAACCATGAAAGTTGTCCGTGAGGGGTTTATTCGTTTCAGTTGTTCACTCAGACGAGCGTTCTCGGGTTGCGTCGGCCTTATAACACGCATGTCGGCTGAATTACTCAGTAATCCAGATCTGTGAGGCAAGAGGCCCTCGAACTGTAACTTCCGGGGCCAAGATGGCAGGACTTGGGACAGACCACTTGGAGCGAGAACGTTTTGATCAGTTGACAAGGTCCAGCGCGTGGTACCTTCGCGTAACAAGCGATCCTCATCGTTCACCTAAAGACGCCATCAAGGCGGCTATCGACGACTAGTCACTAGTGCGCTGACAAGCCGATTGAATCAGGATGCTTGCTGGTCCAGCGAAACAATCAGTTCCGATGCAATTACGAACGTGAAATTGAGTACGGGGGCAGAGATCAGCGTATCAACTAAGTAAGATGAATGATTTTATCTGAGGGGTAATAGACGCTAAGAAGGCTACAATTCCATCAGTCAAATCGTTTTTACGAGCGAGAGTAATAAATATATTAATGATCAACTGAATGCTGACGCCTGAAGTGCGGCGAGGCACAGCGTATTTCGGCTAACTGCCTTTTGGTACTCATGCATCATGGAGTAGAAGAGTGGGTACGCATCACATTTTCTTGTACATAATCGAAGACGACTCCGTGTGCACTGAAGGAAGCCAGCGTTGGATAATGTGAAGCGAAACATGATCGCGCACTACACTACTCGACGACCGACTTCCCTCAACGAGTTATGATGCGTAAACGGAGATGATCATCCAGAACATAGGGGCTTCGCACAACCCCGAGAGACTGGTTTCAAGACTTAGATCGTGGTCGTTCTATTAGGTGTTGACATGGTCAGCACAAAATGTTCACACTGTATATATAATGCCATTTGGATCTAAAGCACTCACAATTAGTCGAGTCACTCGAGTGTGTTCGTCCTGATAGTCCTGACACAGACCAAATCAATCAAAGCCCGTCACGGCCGGTGGCAGTTACACCAGTAGCGACGTCTTGGAATACGTCATAATCAGGATTTCTCCCTGCAGCCTGCAGGCCAACATGAGTTTAGCTGCCGAGAGGTTCCAGGGTCTTGTTCTGTTTCCGAATGTTATGGTACACGTCAATAGTAGTATTATAGTAAGTACTTTAGAAACACCTTGGGTCCCGAGAAGAAGGGTCTCCTCGCGGGATTGCTAAGGAAGATCTTTTGCATCTATAGGTAGGACGTACTTGATAGTCAAGAACGTTGAAACAAGCCAAGAAGGTGGAAATTTTAAAAACACGCGTTGTCACGATACACGAAGTGTCACACGCCAGTGTCACAGTTTGAGGACATCACCATATGACATCGTTCTCGTTTTGAGTCTCGACCGACTCGACGACCATGCAACCATTAATCATTTTAGAATAATGTGGATGTCGCGCATATGATAATATTATTATGGAGCAAGTGATTCAATTTTTATCAAAGAGACTGGACTCGACCGGAATGTTTGTGCTTTAACAGGGTTTAACAGATCTGCGTTGTGTTGACGCAATTTTTACATGTTGTTTGAGCCGCTGTCCTTGTCCTTTCCGTCTGTCCGGAGAGTCTGAATCGTAAAATGTGATGCATTGCGCAATGCAGGCGCCATATGTGATTTCCTTCCATCGAAGCAATGGTAGGTGGTTCTCATCTTAATCTCGCCTTCGCCCGACTCCTCACACCACGAGTGACACTGACACGATTACCTTGTTGATGCTGTCATGTCACCGATTCATGTGGCAACGTGCAGCGGTTTCTACAGATCACCAAACAAATGAGGGATAATTTGAACTTAGCTCCCTTGAGTCGAATTCCACCGATGTCTCGAAGGGACGATGCTTTAACAAGTTATTCGGGAATGACTCATCTAGAATCACTGCACATATTCGAGATCTTTCTCTGACATCGAAAATGCGTCATGTATTTGATTCAAGTTGGTCAAGAAGATACCTCTTATAATGTCGACCCATCCATCCATTTTGACAGATCGTTCCCAACCACCCCTTCACCAGCTGGTGCGCTCCCGAACTGCCTGACTGCAATACTCTGTTTGCAGCTTTCGGGTGCGATGTTGCCACTTCCGCCCCTCTCACCGGCTGAAACACTGGTTGATTATGAACCCAAAAAACTTTCTTATACTCGCAGGCATGTTCTACTAGTTATGTTCTGTCTTGCTCAGTTTTTGGACGCCTTCAACAACTCAGCTCTCTTTTCTGCGATCCCTGCACTCGAGGTATCCATGGGTATGACTGAAAGTCAATCCACTTGGATCATCAGTGCATTCCAGTTAACTTTTGCATCCTTCCTGCTTATCGTGCGTGCTCAGAGTCCCGCTACCTTTCGCCTGTACTTTAATGTGTTCTTCAGAGTGGCCGTATCAGTGACGTATACAATCCAAGTTAGTGCTCTGCCGCCCCTGTTAGATTGGAGTATTAACAGGCTCGCAGAAACTGCCTTCATTGGAGGAGTATCTGGTCTTGGTGTCATCTCGCTGAGCGCGGGATTTGTTGATAACACCATTCCGATCATCATTCTCAGAGCATTGAGCGGAATAGGTGAGCATTCCCGCCGGTGTGTTAGTTTTGGCTGAACGAAGATTGTTTCTCAGCTTCTGCAATGACAATCCCCTCCGCCTTAACACTCCTGGTCAAAATATTTCCCGATCCACTTGAACAGGCTCGGGCAATAGGCTTGTTTGGAGGCTGTGGTTGCGTTGCTAATGGTGAGGGTCCCGCGTAGCTAATTATTCATGACAGGCTTCATGGTTTCCTTACATAGTTCTCGGTCTTCTGATCGGTGCAATGTTCGTCGAATGGGCGTCTTACCATTGGGTGTTCTGGTTTGTGGCCTTTGTGGCTGTACCAGTAGCTCTGGCATGCGTCTTCATCATACCGCCACAAATTGCAGAGACTACAGACAATCTTGAGCATGCAGAAGCGAAATGGAAATGTCTTGATTTAGTCGGCGTAAGCATTCTGACCGGTATGTATGTTCCAGCGTACTCCACTTCGCATCACTCACGAGCCCTGATAGTTGCCTTAATCTTATTCATCTTCGCTGTGACATCCGGCTCCACTGATGGTTGGGCATCCGCAATTGTGTTGGTCCCGCTCATTATATCACTTTCAATGGTGGTTGGTTTTTTCTACTGGGAAACACTCATGCCGGTGGAAAAAGCTGCAATGTATGTTATCAGGAATGTCCGCACCAGTCACCAATCATAGGCTAATCTTCTACCAGACCACCCCGGACATGGTTTTACCATAACTTCTCCATTCTATTCGCCGTCGCAATCATGCCATACCTTTGGTGGAGCACGGTGTTCACAATTTTTACCACCTTGTGGCAAAATGTGTTTGAGTGGTCGGTAATATCGTCGGCCGTACACATGTAGGGTCTTCGCCGTCACTCCATGTCGCTCATCATCCAGATTATTTTTTTGCTCACCAGGTTCCCGATCGGTATCGTAGCCTTCGCTATGAGCTTCACCGGATCACTTTCTCGCATCTTCAGTCCGAAATGGATTATTCTCACTGGTCTGTCCTTGTGCATGGTCGCGACCATATTACTAGCACTCGGTGGGGGAAAGCCCCAGGATTATTGGCCATATATCTTCCCAGCTTTTTCTCTAGGAAGTGCAGGGGTAATGCTGACTTATACACATACGAAGTAAGTTCCAAATCTTCACGCTACATCATGCCTTTATGAACAGTGTCTGATCGCTTCACAGCATTGCTATTTTTCAAGCCGCACCTTCATCCATGGCCGGCACAGTTGGTGCTATATTTAACGGCGCGCTTCAATTTGGGTCAGCAATTGGCCTCGCTGCTGTCAGCTCAATAGAGACATCTGTGGAGGCCACCCATGGGGGTTCACACGAGTACGGTGGACGCGCCGCGACGTTTTGGTTCCTCGTTGGAGTTACCGCTCTTCAAATCATTTCAGTATCAATCTTTTACGACCGTAGTACTGACCACGTACCACAACCCAAACACAGTACCATACATCCTGCTCAACACAGCACGCACTTTGACGAAAAGCTTAACGATGCGAAGGTGACCAACACGGTAGTAAACGAAAAAGCTGACCTGGCGGATTTGCCGGTGTAGTTTATATTTCTTTTGATTACTTGCCTCTTTGACTTGCCTTTGACGACCGCTTCTTTTCACGACTTATTTCTTTCACTACTATTTATTTTCACGACTTGCAAGGAGATTTGTTTTCCATTTCGTTCTTTGGGTTTTGGGTTACGAATAGAGGGCCGAGGCAGAACAAACTCATCTTTTCTTTCTGGCATACTACTACCTATCTGGCCATGGCTGGGCCAACCATATTGCATATATGAAATGTTCATCACGGATATAAGGATTTGACATTGAACGGTCCCGCACAGGCTTATGCAAGGGTGCATCGCCACCAAAGGTTGGATGACCACAATTTCCTTTCAGGGATAGTACTCGGTCACTTCCAGTCGCTGCCTTCGAAGCGACCCTTTCGCCAGTCTCTGAACGACGACAATGAGTTCCGCATATCCAGTCCAGCCGTCGCGACAGTATATTCCACATATACGCTCTCAGTGCTCGAACTGTAATTTGCAGGTTGAGTTTCCAGTGCCGTCCCCTACACCAGCACAGGGTACATTGTTGCGCATCCGGTGCTTTAAGTGCCAATCAATCTATGCACATGCATTCTACCCTGCACAACTTCCACCCGGCTATTCTCCTATGTCGGGCTCGATGCCTCCGTATAGCTCGATAGGCTCTGGAAGCACTCCACCACCTTCAAATGCCAGGAAAGGTCGCAAGATTGGCACGCAGGAGAAACCTTTGGAAACAGGATACTATGACCTTCTAGGCGTTCCAATAGATGCAAGCACAGATGACATTAAAAAATCATACCGTACGGTTTCCCTCAATTGACGATGACAGGCTTCCACTTACTGCCTCATTGTCTTTATAAAGGGCGGCTTGCAATAAAGTATCATCCTGACAAGAACCGCGATGACCCGAACGCAGAGGAAAAGTTTAAGGAGATTGCGATTGCGTATCAAACCCTCTCTGACCCAGAGCTCCGCAAGAAATATAACGAGTTTGGTCCTAAGGAGAGTCAGCCAGAAGGCGGTTTCGTCGACCCTGAGGAAATATTTGGGGCCATGTTTGGTGGAGAGAGGTTTGCACCGATAATCGGCCAAATCAGTCTCGCGAAGGACATGAAAGCTGCCCTCCAAGAGGTAGAGGAAACCGAGGCCGAAGACGGTAAGGAAGTGAAGCGTGATGCAAAGGGTAAGGAAATCCTCAGTGAAGAAGAGAAGGCTCGGAAAGAGGAGAAAGAGAAGAAAGCGACAGCAGAGGTACTCCTTTTCTTTTTCACTTCTAAAAAAAATCTCACGGCACTACTCTTAGAAAGCAGCAGCCCGTGCGGAGCGAGTTCAGAAACTGTGAGATCTCATCATCAGTGACTGCCTGTTATATTAACAGCTACGATAGCGTGGAGAACCTCGAGCGGAAACTTAGCATATTCACTGAGTCCGCAACTGGTCCTAATGACCCTGATGTTTCAAACAGCTGGCGCACTATCTGTCAACTCGAAGCGGAGTGCGCATATTGCACACATACATGCTGCGCTTGCTGAAATCATTTTTCTAGGGATCTCAAGAAGGAGTCGTATGGTGCAGAGCTTTTGCAGGCCATAGGCTTTGTGTATGCCTCGAAATCAAAGCACTACCTTGCTACGAATCAGACGTTGTTTGGAGTCGGTGGCTGGTTCCACAATGTCCAAGGCAAATACCACGTATTCAGTGAAACGTAAGCACGGATAACTGTCAGATATTGTCATGGGTTAACATTAGGTAGTGTGTCAACACTGCGATCAGCAATCGAATTGAAGAGCGTATTTGATCAAATCGCAGCAGCGGAGAAAGCTGGCAACCTGACTCCGGAGGAAAAGAAGAAATTAGAGGAGCAGGCCGCTGAGAAAGGCATTCAGGCCCTTTTCAAGGTTCTCTTTTTGTCTATTAGAAGCCATTGACGCATCTGACGACACTGACAGGGCACGAAACTTGAGATCGAGTCTGTATTGCGCGAAACTTGTGACCGCGTCCTCGAGGACCCGACGATACCCCGCCATAAAGCTCAGTTACGAGCTGTTGCGATGCAAATTCTTGGAGAATCATATGTGGCCGTCAAAAAGGACGTAGATCCAAACACAGACGAAACCGAATATGTGAGGATCGAGACAAAGAGCAGTCGAGAAAAAGACCGTCAACGAGGTCCTTGATCTGCTGCCTCCACGTTCGTCTCAGTATACCAAGCAATGCATCTTACCCACAGCTTACTCCTTCTCATATCCATCTAATTACTCTTCCCACTTCGTGCATATCAATGTTGTATCGATGTCAATCATACATTTCATGCGTCGTACTTCTTGCACTCATGGCTAATTAAAATCATTCTAGAGCTCGCCAGTAGTCCCCGGTTGAGTACTTTCGCTGATAGATGGCGGTGGTTCACTCGACTCGGCAGAGGCTTTGGTCATATTCTTGCCCTTCCCAGGCGGAGGCGGATGGTACACCTTCTCCTAACACAAATGCTCAGTAATGAGATTAAATCAGGACATACGACCAACCTTCTTCTTCTTAGGTTCTGCTTTCGCATTTGGATCGGGGTACGCCAATTTCTCTACTTGTTGCCACTCTGGAGACTCAACAAAGGCCTTTCGAATCGGTGCCAACAAACTATCAATCCCCTTGTTCACAGCTGTCTTGAGATCACTAGGGTGAATCTTTTTCGCCGCAAAATCGTCCTTCAGCTCCTTGTAGTCCTTGTAATGACTTGGGGGACCACCGAATTTGCCCTCTCGTCTGATGGTAAACACAGTCCCCTCTGGTGCATCATCGTCTACAAATGGATTTTGGTCGCCGATCGCACCCTGACCTTCTTCACTGTCCACACCTGTCTCTCCCTTCCGACGTTCGATGCGAAGCTGACTGATCGGTATGAGTACAGCTTCGATGAACGCAAGAAGTCCATTCTCTGTGATATTGCCCTCCTCACAGAAAGCTTTCTTGATCTTGCGCTTAACAGCTTCGGGAGGGTCAAGGAAGTCTATCTTCGAATCTGGGTCCGAAGATGACATCTTACCCCCCATTAGACCTGGAACCATGGGATTCATGAGGTGGGCGCGTTTGGCGTAGCCTAACCGAGGAAGATAGAGTTCTGCGAACGTGAAAATTTTACGCTGCAGTCCAGACACGTAAATCTGTGATTATTATCTGATTCGCAGATGCACGCACCTGATCGACCCCGCCAAACTGGAAGTCAACACCGAGGTACTGCTCATCAAGAGCCTGCAAGCCAGGGTAAAGCAAGCCACTGAGAAGTGGACTCTCGACTTGTTTCACAACCTCTGCGCCGGCCTTCTTCGCATCATGCTCTGTCACGGTCGCGCATAATCTATAGTTGTCGAGATTGTATTCGCGGGTAAGCTGGTAATCTGAGCCTTGAACAAATATTAATTTTGATGTGGGTATCCCTAACGAGGTGAAGACAGTGCGGAGGACAAATTCGTAGTATTTTGTCCGGTGGGCGACAAGCTCTAGAGGAGCCTTTAGGTTGTCGAGGAAAGCGTGTACATCTATGAGATTTCTATAAAATACTGCTCGCTTTAAGGGGGCGTTTTTTGACGTACCAGCAAGTAAAATCTTGACCTCCACGCCAGCTCTCAAGAAATCAGCGATTTTGGTTAATGGGGCGAAGTAACCGATGTGTGCTGGATAGCAAGTTAGTTATCGGCTTGATTTAGCATTGCAAGCATTTTGTACGTACGCCTTCCAGTAGGCGCAGTCCCTGACCAATGCACGGACTGTCAGTTTCGAATATTCGATCAAAGTTAATAGACATACCCCAGTAAGCCTTCGGCGGTCTGCCTTCTGCGAGAATGGCCTTGATCGAGTCACCACCTAGAACTTCTTGCAGCCTCCGCGTGATCAAATTGTACTTGGCCTCTACGTCCGACGCCGACGCCATTCCTGCGATGATGATGGTATGAATCAAGTATGAATTGAACGTTACACTGCAAGGTCGATGACTCGAAAGTCGATTCACTGCCGCCTTTTTCCTAATGGGGCAGTGATATGATTGGGAAGCAGCTTACAAAGTAAGATCAACGTTATCTACAGACTCAAGTGTACACTGTACACTCTCGGTGACTCTTACTTCCAACGATGTCCCTGTTAGCTAAGTAATTTGTTGGCAGGGTAGTCTATTTTGGAACACAGACTCGATACTAGGACAAAATTTCTTGTGTTCCCTATAGAGTACTTAATAACTTGAAATGTTGATCACTTGGATCATTTCCCGTACGTGCTACACACCACCGCCAGTTGACACGTCATGTGCGCGTTCCTGGAAAGCAAGTGTACTCATGCCAGTTCCTGCGTCTGAGTCGTCCACGAGGTTAGCGTGATATTCTCGAACACTGAGGATGAGGCGTGGTCCCAGCACAGCCATCTGAAGGGACACGGTAATTTGAAAGATGCCATAATAGACCTGAGTTCCCACAGAAGAAATGTTCTATAATGAGATGATGAGCAGTGGTCAGATGCACATGGCAATCACATATCTGCGTACCGACAGCTTCGAAGACAACACGCCAAAGTTGAAGCAAGAGACAGCGGCATAGCTAGCACGTTAAGAATGTTAGCGGAAATTTTGACCACGTTCAAATTACGAACTCACGCTGCAAAGTAAAGCACATGAGTTCGCATTAACACCGCGAAAGTGTCCGCCATGGTCCATCTTGTTGACGATCTTCGTAGTTCACGGAAGTGTTTTACAACTATCCAGACTGCAAAACACAGTGCTAGGACCTCCCAAGCAAGGCCAAGCATCCAAACTTTGTCCACTAGAATGTGGTCAACTCCATTCTGAATGCACTGATAACTGCCGGAGAGGATGAGCTCCTCTGATATTGATCCCGTGAGCATGATGCGCTTATGTTTTATCCATAATCAAAGACTGACCCCCTGAAGTATAGCCGCTTGCTATTGCCGAAATCACTCCACTTGCGATTGTGACAGCCAGGAAGAGTACAACAAAAAGGATGAGCATCTTTCTGGATCGCTGATACATGGCATATAACCGAGTGACCATGATGACTTGTATGATATTTCAGTCGAGTCAATGTCACTGAGATACATCAGCTGAGTAGCTCACCACCTAGCAAGGTATCTACCACCGGAGACGCCCAAAATAATGCGAAGACCATAATATTGCCTGGAAAACCCAGTTACCGATGAGTATGGGAGGACTAAGCATTTCAAACAAACTCACAGCTGTTGCAGTCGTTATTTTGAACCAACAAGTTGATCGAGAGTCTCACTCACCCCTACATAGAAAGAGTCATTGGGCAGTAATGGCAGGGGTCGTTGTTAAACACTCACTGCATCTGCCATCTTAAGTGACGGGATACCTGCTGCATGCCGCCGGTCAGATGAAAGTCAGATAGATAGAACGCGGTTTGTGTAAGGAGACATACACAGCATGGTAGTGCTGATTGCGAGAGATGGCTTATTAGCTCAGCGCCAACTCATTGGCCTTGTGATCATACCCAGCATATAATATTCCAACGTAGCGCACCTAGAATATTTTGAAGTCAGCACGACTTGCCGGGTTATTAATGACATAAGCTACGTACACTGACATACAGAACAGTCATGAGGGAACAACGTTGCCTCTGCCCCAATTGTTATCCTGTTTTTTTTTGATATGGGACTCTGCTCACCCAGATCAATTCAAACTATGAACCATTATTAGCGGGATGGCTGCTCTGGTAATGACATCAACCTACCTCTTTTCCAAATGTCAGTACTGGAGAATACCATAGGGACTTCAATAATTCTCTCGATAAGTACTATGTTGCTCACCCCAATCGTATACCACCGCAGTAAAGGATGCAACTGCGAAACCACAGTCCAAGATAGTGAGACATCATTAACATCATCCGACTTGTTCTCCACACACCTGCAAAGTAGTTGAAGACAAGATTGAAATTGATTAGTGGCCACCAGCTGGGATCATCTGAGATTACTGTCATATTCGAGGGATTAGTGTTAATGGGTGGCGAATTTGGTGGACGTACACTATGGCGTTCGTTCAAGATATATACTATTACATAGCGCTTTACTATAGCCGAAATAGGTGATGCAATGTCCGTCCCTGAAGGCCTGAATACTGATCGGCGATCTTGACGGGCTGCAGTGAGTAAGTACACTGTCATACGATATCGAGTAGTCTGGGGGTGGATCTGCAAAGCAGTGTTCTAAAAGCTGTTCGTGATGTTGGAAGCGTGCTTTCGATGCCATTCTCTAGACGTTCTTGCCCCACCTGTCAATCAGGAGATTCAGGAGTTCCATTAGTATTAGTCACATCGACGGCCGTGGCGTCCGGACAACTCCCAAAAAGCATCTTCGCTCTCGCCAAGACCCGGGGAGCACAACAGCCTCAGGCTGCAGCTCGTCAAGGTATAACAAAGTTACTATCTATCGGTCAGTAGAGGATAAGTCCAAATGCAGCAAACAAATGACTCACCTCTCCCACCGTCCGGTCCGTCAACCCTCTGCAACGTGTCCAGAAACACTCCAAAACGCTTGATCTCCCGTCAATGCGTCATTGGCATCATCCTCCCAAGTCCTTGGCATCTCGAATACACTGCCTCGGCTATTGTCATGGATAAATGCAACTGTGATACAAGAAGCCTGCAAAGCACACTAATGTCATCCGTGCATCAGCCTTGCACAGCCGATACCGTAGTAACCCATCGGGATATTTTGAGCGTGTGACTACAGAACAGTACCCGGACGGAGCTCCCGTTCTGTGTGCATCTGCGAAGACTGCTATCTTCTTCAGAGGGCCGATGCTCACGCGCTGTTCGACACCGTTAGATGCGCTCCCATCTCAGTCTCGACTTTTTGCACGCTTAGTATCAAGGGAGCCGTTCGTAGAAACGTCTTGGCTACAGTCGCGAGACTTGTGCTTGAGCTGGGTGGTGTCAACTTTGAAGAGACAGCGGGGGACACCGTGCACTGGAGACATGACTCGGTCACTTCGAAGTCTAGATTCAATTATCGATCAGCAGTTTCAGAGGCCTCGGAAGTTGACCACGCTGCGCTTCCTGCAAATCATAGGGAATCGTGATTAGACCTAAAGGCTAAAAGTAAGGCTATCAGTGATCTCACTAGTACTGCTCAGAACTTGATGGAATGCTCACAAAGTTAACGCACGTGATCACGACGCGTTCAAGTGAACTCAATGAACTCACACTTGACTTCAACCTTTCTCCTGCTCCTGGTAGAGCTTTTTTCCCGCCATACATCATATATATATATATTACTACGCTAAAATTTGCCACGGTTCAACACTATGCTTACAGTCACTCCTGCATTTCAACTTAATCCCGCGGGACGCCCTCTCGTGCACGCTCTCTCAAGATCCTTCGAGCCCTTCGCGCAGCGCTGCTTCAAAGACTCACTCGCCGTTTTGAGAGCGGCAGTTAACGCAGCGTTGTTCATTGTGATCGTCTTTATCCAGCTCGCCCTCAACGCTTACGGGCGCTTCTCCGGGAAGAACAACCGTCAAAAGGCCAAGGACAGGAAGAATACTTATCAGGAGGGAGTAGATCCATCTTCAAAGTTCCCCCGGAAACGCCTCGAAGGGTTCTCACGCGTTCTGTTTGAGCTGGAGAGGTTGGAAGTGGATGCGATACATGACGACGACAAAGAAGACCCTATCGATGAGGGCAGGTCTCGGAACACCGACTCAGTAAGCACCACATACTTCTAGAAGCTCAAATCTGACAGCAGTTATTACAGTCCCTGGAGTTGCAACTGGTAATTTCTCTCTCCCTGCCTGGAACGATCAGATTAGCTGACGAGAGATAGCCGGCTATGTCATTAGCTTCCACCCCTCTCACCTGTAAAGACTTAAACGAGCACCTTAGTTCTACGACAAGCGCCCGCACGCGTCGGGTCCGTCGACTTATCTCCCACCTCGCGCAGCGTACCGCCAATGACGAACCAGTTCACTGCCACGACAAAAAGATCCGAAAAATCAACTCGGAGTATCGTAAGAGTCAAACGCCGGAAGAGGAGGTTCTTCTGCAAGACCGGAGCCGGAGCCGGACACTACGTATTTCAAACCAGCCGCTGGTTCGGCAGATGACTCACGCTGTCTCGTCGGTTTTCGGCACTCCACTACGTCTTCCAAAGAATACCGTGACTGTGGCCTACGCTCCTGAATCCGTCGAAGGGCCCACAGGGGGGGTGGGAAGATTCACGTATCCGCCGTATCCAGTTAGCAAGGCGATCGATACGAGCGACAGGAAGTGGCTATGGTAGACACGGGAAATGCGAGGACCGTGCATTGAAGCTTAGGCAGCCGATGAATTGTTAATATAAGTATGTACAGATGTGATATCAAAATTTTCACATAGACTTGAAACCATCCATGGAGCACACTTCGGGTTATTGTCCTCAGGGTGGTCCGTGCTTAGGTCTAAGAATAAAGACACGCAAAGCTTGTGGTCCCGACGCGTTAATGAGGTCACGTGACCAGTGCCTACATATAAACACGCCAATCTAAATCAACAAAGAAGTCGCGTTGTTCACCCTCTTACCACTACCGCCACCATCAACCGTGATCATCTTCTGTTCACCCAACACACACACCACACACACACACCACATAAACTATAATGTCTGGACGCGGCAAAGGTGGAAAGGGTCTCGGAAAGTAAGTGCCAGATATGTTGCTTATCGAATTAAGTTATATCTGACTGGGGTTGTGCAGGGGCGGTGCCAAGCGTCATCGCAAGATTTTGCGTGACAACATCCAGGGTATTACCAAGCCTGTACGTCCTTACTCTTATACACAATCTGCACTTGTCCGATGTTATGCAGGCTATTCGTCGTCTTGCTCGCCGTGGAGGCGTGAAGCGTATCTCGGGCCTCATCTATGAGGAAACTCGTGGTGTCTTGAAGATTTTCCTGGAGAACGTGAGTCATATCGCTGCCGCGGAGATGTCAGCTGACAACTATATAGGTTATTCGTGACTCCGTCACATACACCGAGCATGCCAAGAGGTAAGGCTCTGACTACATGCTAGTGTTGGTTCTCACACTGATGACTGGGTGTTTGCTAGGAAAACCGTCACGGCGCTCGATGTCGTGTATGCTCTCAAGCGCTCTGGCCGCACGCTCTACGGCTTTGGGGCATAAGCCTTCCATATTTTTATCTTGCTTGTGGATGTTAGATTTGGTGAGCAATAGTTACGAGCTGGTGATAATCGAGATAGCGCTCGTTTCTGGTGTAGGATGTGCCTGATATGTTCAATGCTACTAGGTTTATGATACGATGTATATTATTCTTGCCATACAGATACCTATGTGCCACGTACCTGACAATGCGACACGAAGCATGCAGACCGGTGACGGATTCGACCGCGAGTCTGCGTATCAGCTCGACGGTTTTTGTTCAAACACTCAGCTTCTGTAAATGTATAGGTGCCCGGGGCCGTTGAATTTACTCGCTATCATTGATGCTAAACGTTCTAATTCTGTTCTACAATTGCAACGCTGAGCACCTAGATGTCTTACAGTCACCCTTTCCATGTACACTGGAGCTTGATCAGTGCCTCAGTGAACGCCTCTACAAGGCGCCTGAAAACATCAGCTGGTCTGGTCATACAGTGACCATTAACAGCAATTCGTTCTGCATAGAGGCCGTTCTGGTCCTCCTGTGCACCTTTCGAGGGTCGTAGTTCTTCCCTGTGGCCCACATTAAGATACTCAAGCTCATGGCACGGGCGGTTTCGTAATGAAGGCGATGGTCAGCAGCCGCCAGGTGACGGGTGAGGAGGTGGTTTTCAAAGTTATCAGCCCAATTATGGAGCTTTCCATGGGGGATCGCCTCTGTCGCGTGATGAGAGGTTGTGGTTTGAGGAACAAGTGAGAGACTTCGCTTGGGACTAAAGGAAGAGGTGGGGGAGAGTGGTTGATACGCGCAGAATCCTTTCTTTTTGGTCAGACTGTAGGGAGATATAAATGTTAGTCGATAGACATTTGCCCCAACAGCGTGAACAGACTCGCAGTGTACATGATGCTTGTTATACAATTACGTGCCATGAACCCTGTGATGCGAGGGATGCAAAAAGCGATGGAGTGAAATAATATGAGTGTCGAAAGAAGTTTGCCTGCCCAAGGATACCGATTACGCCCTACCAAGCCAACCGCGACACAGCCAGTAACCTTCGGCAGAATCAGAGCGGCTTGACTCCGGTTTGATATAATGTACGAGGTGGAAGTTGGATTCTAGACATTCCTTTCGGAACTCTTGCAGTGAAGGATGAGCAAAATGCTTCAGCCTGCAACAAGTGTATATGAGCAACTCGTCTTCCGAAAAATGAAGGACATACAGTAGTATCCCACCACCCCTGAGCACCTTCCCTCGTTCGTCCACTTGCCGAGCGGTTAATGCACCTTTTGCAAAATCGAAGACTGCATGACAGATATCCAAACTCGATTGCGTGTCCCGAATTTTGTTTCCCGAAAAATTCGCCGCCATATCGCTCAGCACGACATCCGCTGTGCCCTCAGGATTCTGCGGGCTCTTCAGTGCGTCTCGTATGACACGCGCCGAACCCGGAGCTAGAAAGTCCATTTGTAGCGTCTGCACGCCAAGCATTGGAACAATTGGCAGCAGGTCCAGTGCAACAATTTTCCCTCGCCCAGTAGACTTGTTCTCAAGTTCGGTGCTCCAGGAACCGCGTTTCTGCACCTTCGCCTCCTCGCGTAACCCAAACTCTTCTACATTGTCTTCCGCGTCAAAGGTCCACCCTAACCTTTCTGCGACAACCTGGCTCCACCCTCCCGGAGCTGCACCAAGGTCCACGACACTGCGCACGCTAGGACATGAGAGAAAGCGCCCCCACTTATCATCGAGCTCGATGAGCTTGAAGGCAGAACGTGAACGGTAGGATGATGGCGAGGAGAGGCGGGCCTTGACAAAAGGGTCACGGGATTGTCGTGCTAGCCATGCTGTACTCGACTTCTTGTGCAGAGGAAGCGTCGGGCGGAATGACATCAAGCTAAAACCGAAATTCAAGAAATGTGGAATCCGTTTTCGGATGATCGAGATTCGAGGGCGGTTGTTTGTCAAGAGCCTTTGATCCAAACATCACGGCAACAGCTTTGGTCAGCCAAAAGAATGAGAAACCACAACCGGTGTTCTAAATATTTATTGCTGTAGTACTGCGATGTGCATGTGCCACCTACCCGGGGTATTAATATGTACCTAACACAGCTTCCATCTTTCTTCCTCCCTCACAACCATCCCATTCGTAAACTGTCTAAACGTTTAATGCAATGTCTAAAAAATCTGCACCATATGGCCTTTGGGAGTCCCCGATCACAGCTGATGCTATTGCTCAAGATGTATGACATCTCCGATCACTCGTTATCTGAAACTGATCTACGGCGTAGAGCATCGCCATGGGCGACATCTTCGTGGATCCAGTCACAAAGGATATCTACTACATAGAACAGCGTGCATCGGAGGGTGGTCGATACGTGCTATTGAGTAACAAGACTCAAAAGGAAGTCTTCGGCACGGACTTTAATGCGCGCACGCGCGTTCACGAGTATGGTGGAGCTGCTGCGATCGCTTATAACGGGACTGTGTACTCTTCCAATTTCGCGGACTTCCTAGTCTACGCCGCCAAAGATGGGAAGATCAGACCGATTACACCAGGTGCCTGGGTTAATTCCCCCGAACATTAACACCATACTGACGCTTTGTGCACAGAGGACCCAAACAAGATTTATCGCTACGCAGATTTTTGTGTGCACCCAGTCCACACAGACCTACTCGTTGCTATCCTAGAAGACCATACCAAAGACACGCCACACACCGTGCGCAACTCTCTTTGCGTCATCAACTCCACAGCTAGGACTGTCACGTCCTTGGTTTGCACCGAGGATGCACAAAATGAATTCTATGCAGCACCCACATTTTCCCCTTCTGGCGATAAGATCGCATGGCAGTTCTGGGAGCACCCAGACATGCCTTGGGAAGGTGGACGGATCTATGTTGCTGACGTCCAGTACGATCACAACGCCCATAAAATTAGCCTGAGCAATACGAAGCTGGTAGCCGGTAACGCTAACACAATCAGTGCGTGTTACCCCTTGTGGGCTTCTGACGACAAGCTTCTCTTCACCTCGGACCAACGCGAGGAGGAAAGCAAGTTTGCAAACCTGTGGGAGTTCACAGAGGCGTGCACCAAGCCAGTCCTCTCATCTGTTGTGGAGCAAGACTTCTGCGAGCCACCCTGGACGCTTGGGAACTACCCATTCGCATTCCTGGATGCGAATGGCTCAAAAGCCATCTGTGTTGCATGGCGGAATGGTCGAAGCGTCCTGTATGTTGTCGATATCGCCATGGGTTCCTACATGGAGATCAAAGACAAATTATTCGACTTTGTAGTTGTCGAACATGTCCGTCGTCTGTCGGACTACAGTTTTGTCTTCACAGGACTGCGAAGCAACGCCCCTAGCGCAGCTATGCTCTGCACTCTTACTGGACCATCATTCGTGCCCGATTTCGAGGTGCTCAAATCTACCGCATCGGCGTCCGCTGCACCGTTCCCTGATGGTATCATTTCGCTTCCAACCCCGCTTGAACTTAAACTTCCGAGTGGAAAAATTGTGTATGCCGTATACTACGCTCCAAAAAACCCAGAGTATGAGGGCTCGAGCATTCCCGAAGAGAAACCTCCCTGTGTACTTAGCGTACACGGTGGTCCCACGGGATTAGAGACACAAAATTTGAACTGGTTGAAGCAATATTTCACAAGCAGAGGATATGCTTGGTAGGTCCTGGCGTCCCCCATAGCATCACCATGCTCATAAATTGCAGGTTGGATGTGAACTACAGTGGCTCTTCGTGCTATGGACGTGCATATGTGTACGTTCCTAATTACCACCATGTTTTATAATAAGCGGTGCTGAAAAAGTGACCAGAGAGCGCCTCAAAGGGAACTGGGGCATTACCGACGTAAGCGACTGCATCGAAGCAGTCAAATCAGCTGAACTCGGCCCCCTCATCGACACCAAGCGCACTGCGATCCGCGGCGGGAGCGCGGGTGGGTATATTGTACTTGCCTCCATCTCCCTCGACTCCTCCGCAGCGAGCAATGTGAAATTCTTTGCGAGTGCCACGAGCAACTACGGGATCTCAAACCTGGAGCTACTTGCGGACGACACGCACAAGTTCGAGCTTACGTACATGGTAAAGCTTCTCGGCGGTACGAAGGAAGAGATTCCGGACGTGTATCACAACCGGAGCCCCGAGTATTATTCTGCGAACATTAAAACCCCGTTGCTCGTAAGTAAATACTTTCTGTGTTGATGAAGTGTGTTCTAACAGGTAGATCGTTTTTCCGACAGGTTCTTCAAGGCAATGATGATGAAGTTGTTCCGCCCCCGCAATCGTGGACTATTATCAATGGGATCATTAAGTCTAAGGGGCATGTCGAGGCACACTTCTTCGATGGGGAACAGCATGGGTGGCGCACGTCAGAAACGATCAAGAGGGCAATTGAGTTCGAGAGGGAGTGGTACGAGAAGATGATGGTGAGGGGCAGCACCTAAGAATAAAATAGCAGTAGTGTATCATGTATGAATATGAGCGAGGCGAAGTAGAAAAGAATATGTCTGGTTTCAGACTTACTTACGTTGAAGCTTATTTGCACACGTACATGTTTGTTTGGCAAAACCTTTGGATCCAAACAAACGCCCAGTCACTAATTTGGGCTGACATCAACTTTGAAAGTGAGCAAGCTTTTACGGATAACTAGGCTGGACACCATCATGGCCACTACATCTCCCTTCACTGGGTATCGTCAGGTGGACTCTTTCGGTCCTGACGAAGATTATGTATCAGAAGACGATGTTTTCTATGTCATGCTCGACCTCGGTACCGTTGAGCCAACCCTACTTCCCAGCAGCTCAACCTATAGGCTTGTAGTGAGCGCAGGAACTTGTCTATCGTAGAATCACTACAAGGCAAATAAAGGGCTTAGATACGCCTACACCATTTCTACAGCTTTCTGGCTCTTTCTTCAGAGGTCAGCATGATACGCTCCTTGGGTCTGAGCTTTTGTTCACGGAGGGTAAAAGTAAGTCACTATTCGTTGCATCGATATCAATTGATTGATCTCTTTCACTCAAAGATGATTCGGAAAGAAATACGAGATCTTTAACACATGTTGGCATCACCGAGCGACGTATCCGATTCAAGGAGGTACAGCTACGGGAGAAGTCGCGTGAACGATTGGACGAAGATAAAAGTGCCCCCTCTGCAAACGCTCCTAATAGTGTTGCGCCAGCGGGAGGTGCTGGGTACACACTTGGGCGCATGATTGGCAGTATCGCCGATCCCCCACCTAGACCACGCAAAAAACGACATAACAAGGGGAAAGAGAAGAATACACCCCCCCAAGAAGAGGGGAAGGATGATGCTATGGATATTATTTAATGTCGCCATTAAGGTGATTTGCTTTTGACTGGGTTCTGCGTCGGGGAGGTGCAGTTCCCTCTTTTTTCCATCCTGTTGTTTCTAATGTACGCCCACGCGCATAAGTATGGAGGTCGTGCTTGCCCTGCTCCACTTTAGCGATCCAGGCTGCCTTAATCGATTTTTATGCAAGCAGGCTTAATTGATGTGTTGTCACTGGGATGTCTCATCTGGCACGGTTACTTTCACTGACCGCCCCAAGGTGATACTGTGTCCGTCGACGTTCTAGCTGGGAACTGTGTGAAATCGAATTTTGCGCCCCTCAATCTTACATGCATAAGTGCTCGACAGCTTACGTTTTGGTTTTTATGCGACTGATCGAGAGGTGTCTGGCTGTGGTCGTCGCTACAACGTTGCTGGTGATACGGGTGGGACAAACACCCTCGTATTACACTTATAATCATAGATCTACATAGACGTGCTGCAGCTTCTACGACATAGATGGGCCCCTCTACTTTCTCTTGTTCAAATTTTACTACACAGTGGGGAGTTCACTGACTGTGGAGCGCGCTGTTAAACCAGGCAATTTTCGCAACTAGTCACCGAAGCACTTCCCCACAGACAGTAACCTCCTTCACGACTGAGAGCAATGGTTCAAATATATCCATATCAACTTCACTTGACGGCGTGGTCGTCTGAAAGTCTACCGCTGGCTCGTGGCAAGAGGCAACCGCCAGCGCCTCCATAATGCAATCAACTGCCGGTTTTTTCAGGTCACCCACTTCCACTGTCAATTTTTGCAACATAGGGAGATGGAAACCATCGAGTATGTTGATGAAACCCTGCCTATAATAAGGATCCGATGTGACGCGAAGGCGGAGGGGGAGAGTCATCGATTTAAGGCAAGATTGTGTGACCGAATCAATTCTATCGCCAGAACCTACGGAAAAATCATCCACCGCAAGGGTCTCCAGATGAGGGAAAATCACCGAAGTGAAACGTATAGTGTTGACGGAAGTGTGATGGAGGCGGAGATGTTGTAGTGTTTCGCAGGTGGGGGTGGTGACAGAAAATTCACATTGGTTGAAGATTTGTAGCCGATGGAGATTTGGTGCATCAAATCTCTTGAACTCTCGCCGGAAACACTCCAATGTTCTCAACTGAGGTGCGTCGATGTTATCACTCCAGTCACATATGTCAGGTGACACAACAACCAGCGTTTCCCAACGCCCCTTTTCAGAAAGGAGGATTCCGAGCAGTTGAGAATCTGCCTCTGAGGGGTAAGAGAAGAGAGGCCTGCATCCGGCGCGATGATGGCGCGGGTAGAACAACTGCTTGGACACGATACTAAGGCTAAGAGGGTGACTGCCTGAGCGGGCAAGCCAAGACTCCAGCAGAAATGGGAGGAACGGCTTCAATGGTCTTTCTCGACCGGGAAGTGTAACTAGGATGCGCGACCATAGCCCTCTCGTTGAATGTGCAATGGCTCGCCAACAGCAACACACTTGGGTGAGGAGTAGGGGAGGACTGGTAACATTGGCCGAGATGGTGTTGTCTCCAAATGAGAATATACCGGGGTAGTCCGGGACGTCATTAACGACAAGCAAGAATATTTGCTGTAGAAGTTCCACTGGCAGCCGATTGATGAGTGGTTCAGCCAGGTAGTCGGTAACTTTCATGTTGCAGTTGAAAGAGAGGAATAGGGGCTTCGGTTTTATAATCTACCCTGTGCAAACAGACGCCAATACCTCCGAGGACGATAAGGGCACTGCATGACTAATGCACATGCAGTAAGAGTGGTACGGAAATAGCAAGTCAGAAAGTGACTGACCCGAGCAGTACTTGGAAACGCATCAAGCTTGCTGGTAAAGTGCATACATAGTTCAATGTAGTAGTATAAGTGTTGTCTCTTTGCTGTCGCAGTGTCCTATCGCTGGACAAGATGCATGTATCATTCTAAGATGAGAAACAGGAGCTCCACAATTGGCCCTTCCCGACAGTGCAAACAAACTTAAACATTACTATATTTCCCATCGGCCAAGTTGACTTAGAAGTCCTCTCTTAAGCAACTACTTACTATCAGCTGGTGGGTCATACAGAGATCACACCAAAAACTGACACCATATGATTTAAGAACAGGAGAACCTTATAGTCTTCCACTTACCACCGCAGGCTGTCATACCACCGTAAATTAGGACGCCCCTCTCCTCTCGCAGACACACCATGATTCCGCGGATCTCTAAGCGGTATGCAAGCACCGCCAAACCCAACCCCAAGCCTCGCAAGGGGACAAAGGGTCTATCTGGCGTAACGCTGGAGCATCAACCTGTAACCCCAGAAGAGCAGGTGCACATCTTAAATCGTCGCATCGAGAAGGCCGAGCGAGACGGACGCATGGACATAACCATGGCACTGACCCCAGTCAAGACGTGAGTAGTGTTTGCTGCATTGTTCTTCCTCTGTCTTTCGCCACGAGAGTCCATGGACCTTTCAAAGATCCGGTTGCTCCACAATGACGTCATATATTGATGTTATTTTTGCCGCCTTTATCGTACGCGTAGCCTTCAAAAGGCACACCATCTCTCCATTCTGTCCTCGCTTGCTCGTCCTTCCCGGGTACTGATTATACCCCTCTTCACAGGTACATGGGAGGTTTTACCCGTCCCCGTGAAACGCCTCCTGCTGCGGTATACGTCCCTCACACCGTCTACCTTCTCGAAACCCGTTATCCAATCACCGGACAACAAATCCGAGCATTCCACTCTTCAGCCCGTCGCACATATCCATCCGAGTCTTATAACGAAGACCACATCGTTCCCAACTTCTATGTCAAGCACAAGAAAGATCGGAAGCGACAGGCAGACAAGTTGATGAAATCACCTGTCACGCCGTCCACCACCTCACCATCTGCAACCAACACCGCTGGTCTTGACGTTGAGACTGCTGAGCAAGCTGCCCATGATCCGGCTCGACAAACTAGAGCCGTCAAAAGACGCAAGCACGAGGAGTCTGCACTTATGGAACACCTCTCTGACTCCATCCTTGGCGACGACCTTGTTGCCGGCACGCGCCGCCTGGTCTCCAAGATTCCTGTCGAACACTACGACAAGGATGGCAATCTCGCGCACCCAAGCGGGTTTGTCGTTCCTGGCAAGGGTCACTCGAGCACCAGTGATGCTGCGCGTGCCAAAGAGCACGCGAGAGACGAGGACGAAGAACGTGCTGCACAGACAGCCTCAGTAGCTGAACGTGTCCTCGAATCTGATCCTCGATTATGTGCATTCTGCCATGGCAAGTACGCGCCCGCGCTCTCACAAAGTGCCATTCGAAGTCAGGGAGCCTGATGGGACAGTGAAGCACCCGAGCGGCTTCGTCCCTCCAACTCCTGCCAACGAGTTCAAGTATTCCGACAGTGCCAGCCTTGAACGGGGTCTTGCAGGTGCTATTAGCAGACAGCGCGCCCGTGACGCGGAAAGCAAGAACTCGACGACCATGAAGGGCCGTGGTTTGCACACCTCTGCCGTGGCTGCGTGCAAGCGAGGTAGCGCTTCCCACGTATCTCATACAGCCTGTGCCCGTTCCTGAGGTTGACTCTCAGGTCTCACCAGGGCTCTCCGAAAGCGAGCCAGCCCCTGTAGACGCTATCCGCGCCAAATACCTCCCGACCCTCGTCGTAGCTATGGCGCAGGGGCTTTCTGGCGCCCGTGGCGGCTTCGTAGGCATCCGGTTCTCTCCTCACGAACGAGGACGAGGCGTGGATGGGGAAGGGCTCGACAAGGCTTTGGACTGGAATAAGCGCGTTATTGGTGTCGGGATCGGCGATTGGTTTCCCCGTGCGCAGGAGCTGGAGGAGGGGTTCAAGATACCCGCGGAGGAGGGGGTCGTTACTCCATATACCTCTGAGGGGATGTGAGTGGACAGTGGCCCGTTCGATGTGTATGGGCTTGACGATTGGGGCAGGCGTATTGGCAACGAGACGGACAAGAAGCTTGCATACCCGTCGGAGCCTGTGCCTGCTAAATCGATTTGAAGGGGAGGCGTAAGCGGGCGATTGCGATGCAACACACGCATGAGCTTGCGAGGGGAGATCGTGTCGTGAACAGGACTGTTCTGTTACCCTACAGACGGTTGGTCATGGAAATTGTATTTGTACAATACCCATCATCGCTTGTTTTCTTCCACATAGGACTATTAAATAAAGTTGTTTGCATTTTGAACAGTCCCCGTAGTCGAACGAAAGTGATATCATCTGGGTGGAAATCCTTACACAAATGTCTCCCAGATAAAAATGAGGCAGCATAGGACAGCGATTGTAGTCTGCGACTCGTGAGTCGAAAGTGGAAATTTCCGATGTATCCTTGTTTGAAATCTTCTTCTAAGTAAATGCCTACTACGTACGGTATACAGCATCGAATGATATCGGCACCAAAATCCCATCAAGTGAAACATCCAGCCTTTGTGCCAGTCCTCGTACCAAATCGTGACGGTGCTTACAGCCTCAAGTCTCCGACACTCCGAAGGTTCGGTATACCCCTGACATACCCTAGCTTGCCAAACCAAAGTTATCGAAGCTACAATTAGTGATACCTCGTATCAGCTGAACTACAATCTACATCAAAACTGACGCATGGGGACACTCAAGAAACCTTGAAGTTGCTTTGAAGTGTACACTACTATACGTGTATAATGTGATTGAAAGTTCAGTCATCCTAGTCTCCCTGTAGTCAAACCACTTATAAGTGCAACAGTGATTTCATGAAGGGTTCAACGCAGTCAGATCGCCGGATGAACTGTACTGTCGGCTGCAGAGGAAATCAGAGGAAAATGTTCGTTCGTGTCCGACAATGACCCCCCCACTAACGTGGGAGTCGGGGAAGTACTTATCATCATGGGGGGGTAATCTAATCTAATCTAATAGAGGATTGGGATGATACAACTGGTCAAGGCAAGACTGCGACTAATAATTCGGCAATTCTCGTAACAGATGGTGATCTGCTGGCATACACCCGGCTGTCTGCAGACGGCCAATGCTCCTTCTGCAGCTGGGTTTCTCGTCTCCCCCTACCTCTTCACATCACGTTCAACAGTGATTCTTCACAGGAACCTTAACCGGACAATACTTCAGCCCAGCCACAAATTTGCCGTTGTTCTGATGCCATCGCTAGCATGTCAACCGAGAACAATGAGCTGCACAATATCCAGAAAGTACTTACGGTGGAATACTGACACAGCACTGTCAGACCGTCGATCTTAACGCCATTATTGTAACTGCCAGTCTATCAGTTACTTTTTCAATGAAGATGTGTGGGGGCGACGCACAGGCAAGTTGTGATCCCGCCTGGGGTGGTCTTGGTTAGTTGTATGACTTTATTGTCGACCGTCAATGTAGCTGGGCATTGTATACACGCATTTGCGCCAGCGAGGAAGCTGAGTAGCACAAAGATGATGGAACGGGAAGTCAACATGATGGAGTTTCTGGAAGAAAATGAGGTAAAGCCCATGGTAGCAGGCAGGTGTTTTATAAGCTGAAAATTCCAGTGTGACGAAAGACTTTGTTAGCTTTGCTGCTAAGATGCCAAATGCCCTACTTCAGGCGAAACAGTTGAGCCAAAATGCATGATGATCTCCACAGACTCGAGAAGGACTATGAACCTCAGGAGAAGTTAATGTGGAAGGGCGATGTGCGGCACAATGGGGTTGTGCGGCACGAATGAATCTCCGGTTCCCCAGCGGCCTTGCCTTCGCGTTACTCGTCAGATATATGTGCACGTTCATCGGACGTTGTGACGTCCCACACAACACTCACCGTAATATCACTATCCTTGAATCGATGAAGCTCAGCACGGGCGTCCCATAGATTTCAAAACCCTGCGTAACGTTTGATTTTGGTCTTCCGGAGAAGATTCGTGGCAAGGGGTACCTTACACTTACACAACAACCCTTGCACACCACCTCTTGAGATAAAGCGAGGTACAGATTATTTGAGTACTCTACTGTGTATTCTACTGATTTTTAATAAAATCATTGCCCTATATGTGCATAAAATCCGATATCTGTATAAAAGTCGACTGTTACCCCTTAATCCATGACATGTATTTTACTTCCCTATCCACCACATCTAGCCAGATCGGTCTGAAACATTAGAGCCAGTTCGTCAACGAGATGTTGACGAACATCTGGCAAAATAACATCACGTGCGAAGGTTGTCAGCTTGGGCCGTCCCGAGGGTCGGAACTTGAAATCTGAACCTTGCTTCATGTTTCACCTATACATTTTATCATCATGAATTCGTATCCCTTGGACGATCAATGTCGTAAACAGATCTGCACTTGGGCGGCCACTATTACCGCCATCTGTGCCCATTATACAACTGTTCTCATGGCCCAACCAGTTCAGGCTGCCAACAAGGCACAATGGAATGACCTCGAGATTAACTCGCTACTCGACTACCTGATCATAAATTGTGCAGAGGGTGGTGATGGAGGAAATTTTCCACAGGAAACTTTCAACAAAGGGGCAGCTTTCCTGAATGCTAATGAAAACCTTGAATCAGTGGGGCCGCTGAAGACTGGGAAGAAGGTGAGGACTAAGTGGACAATGGTAATATGTTATCTTGATCTTAATCTATTACGAACTGATGGTTGTTTTTAGCTCAAAAAAACATTCTCTAGCATTGAGACGTACCGCAACCAATCAGGTTGTCACTGGGACAACAACATGGGAGCATTGATCGAAGGCACAGACGCGGGAGTTGTGTGGAAGGCCTACGTTGATCAGCAGGTAAGCTATCATGATTGTATGTGTCTCATATACAGGGACTGATTACAATAGTGTCATGCTTCGGTGCGTCCCTTCCGGAACAAGGGCTGGGTGTTCTACGACAAGATGTTGGAGATCTTAGGGATGAACAGCGGCACTTGTGGAAGGCATGCCTTCTACCCTACCTCTGCAGGTCCACCCCCCACCTCATCAGCCAATGCACTTGAAGCTGAAGAAACAGGGCATATTATTCCAACAGCTGCCAGCATGGGTCCCATTGGGGACGCTGTCAGCGCCGCCCCACATGCAAGTGATGACATCATATTCCCACCTAGCACCATGGTCCATGAACCTCCTCTTTCCACTGTTACAACAACCTCTCAGTCCTCCGGCAACAAGCGCTTGCGCACCGACACTTTTCTATTCGACTCTACTGACTCAACATCTTATGCCTCCACAGCTGCTCCAACTAGTTACTCTGACAGTCCCCGGCTATCGTCCCTCCCGCTTTCCTCGACCCTGGTGTCATCTGCACAACCAGCCATAAAGAAGGCCCGTGCATCCAGACACAGTGGTCAGGAACTCATGAGCAGTGCTGCCAGGGCAGCCAAGATCACCCCTGCAGCCGCTGTCATGGGTATGCAGGGTGCAATCAACCGCCTGACTGATGTTCTTGAGAAGTCATTGACTACCCCATCCACGTCTTCTGCACCATCACTCAATGCCAGCACAAACACCATGACCTGTGCCTTGGAGATTATGCGTATCCAAGATGGACATCTGTCAGTCATAGAGAGAGCGACGTTGATGCAGATCTTCGGCCGTCAGGGAAATGAGAATACTCTTGCTGCTTACATTTCGCTTGATGGGGACTTTGAGACACGTTCTCAATATATCACCTTGCTCATGGTGAAGCCGTAGATATCATGTACCGCTCATGTTGTGTTTAACATGTCTCATACTCGTAACACCATGTAGTTCCTATATCATGTACCGCTCTCATATCATGTCGCTCGTATGCTCGTATCATGCCGCTCGTATCATGTCGCTCGTATCAATGCAATCGATTTCGCGCAAGTGCCAGTTACATGTACTCGATGTCGTCTATTCTAGAACCGACCCAATCCATCCTCCTCATCCTCCAATAAAGCCTGGTCTGATAGATCATCGTCCGAACCACCTTCAAGAACACTTCTTTCTTGCAAAACTCGCTGATAATCTAACCACATCTGCTCCGCAATGTGATCACGAGATGCATGAACATCTGCATCAGCAGGTTCATGGTCATCTGCTACTGCCGGTTGCTCCCAGTCTCCAGTGCACACATCACCAAGGTCATTGTCTGCATCAACAGGGATGGGGCCTTCTGTAGGGTCATGGAAACGGATAAAGTTATGTAGGCTGCACAAAGTGGCGGGGATCTGTGCCTGAACCTCCATAGCATATGACGGTGATAGAAGGAGAATGCGGAAGCGCTGTTTCAAGATGCCAAAGATGCATTCGATGACGTTGCGTGCTGACGCATGACGCAAGTTGAATAGTTCTTTTTTGTTAGCTGGTCTATAGGCAAAAATTAGTGTGCTCCAGCGGCTGAAAAAAAAAATCTCACCTTATGCTCGCGTGGCCCCATTCTGCAAGGTGGTAGCGGACACCACGATATGGTACAAGTAACTCAGGCCATAGAGAAAAGCCAGCATCTGCGAGAAAGTACTTTCCTGGAGGTATGTGAAGGTCATGAGCACGGGCATCTGTGGCCGACCCTTCCCAGCCAGTAAGTGCATATGTAAAGTTAATCCCGAAGTCACAAGCAAAGAGACAATTTTGAGATACAGATCCCTTGCGATTATGATAAGGCCCACGTTCAAACGCCCGAGGTGACGCGTGAATATGGCTTCCATTGATAGCCCCAACGGTATCCTTGAAAAATGGCCAGAACTTGGGGTTCTTGCGAATTTTGCATGGGATAGATGCATCCGGCAAGCGAACATATTTCAAATAGAAGGGGGGGACGAAAAGATAAAGAGCATCCTGTGAAAATAACTATGTACAATGAGATATAGCGTGCAATTAAAAATATCACCCTCACCAAGATATAGTCTCATTCGAGCGTTGAAATCTTTCACTGGTGTGTCTGATAGGTAAGCCTGTGACTACTGCGTAGAGGAAAATTGCTAGTTGTTCCTCTAGCAAGATGAACTTGGAGTCCGTGTGCCCAAGGGTATGAATCTCTGAGATGAGTTCTGCAAACACATGCGCATGTACACCAAGCTCGCATCGTATACGCTCGGGGTGACCAGTTAATAGTTCTATGACCCACGCTTCTCCCAAGAGAGCAGATGTGTGATATGGTTCTGGATCTTTTGGATAGATTGAGTGTAAGATACTAGTTGTAGCGCTAATCAAGATGCTGATCAAAAGGATCGTGTATTGTATGAGATGTTGCTGGACTTCGGGATGATGGGGCATGAATAGCGGGACATCCAATCGAAGGTCGATGGGAGCAGGGACTGCTGGTAGAGCGTCCATTGTCAGGAATATACAGTACATACATTGTACTAGTACTGCGACAGCTAGATAGTATGTTCAAGTTCCGACCCTCAGGATGGCCCAAGCCGACAACCTTCGCATGTGATGTTATTTTGCCAGATGTTTGTCAACATCTTGTTGACAAACTGGCTCTTAGGAATATGTTTTCCAGTGTCTGCAGAGTGTTTTCCATGTGTCTGATCATACAATTACTCTCATATGATACATGAACATCCTTATCAGTCAAAATAACAGCTAAACCCCTGATATCGATGTTCCGCCCTATTCTTCACTGATCCTGGTCACGGATCGGCTTTATATACATAATATTGATGATATCTATACTTACTAGATCATTTGTGCAACAGTCAAGGAGTAAAATCATCGAAATACGAAAATGTGTGTCTCTGCAAGCAGAAGGAAGTATTCGCCTACACAGGAGGATTCTGTTGCTGTTATGATATTTATATGACACATATATACTCTATATACACCTAGAAACATAGTCCCTACATTTCTAGAAGGCTAGAGCCCCAGGAAAAATTCCCAGGGGGTTGAACCAGCAAGAGAGGGTAGTGATATAGCATCACAGGTGTCATGAATGCTCCCTACTGCATCTAAAATTTGATTATCAAACCCTAAGACACCTACTGGATAAGATTAGATTAGATAAGATCCTGATAAGATAGATGGATAACCGATTAATGATCACTATCTTCAATTCACATCTATACTACCTCGACATCATCCATCCATACCCGTAACCCTAGACACCCGACACTCATCACATCGAATACCTTCACTTCCCACACATGACACGTTAAGAGTTACCTCTGTCATCCACCGAACCCCCTACATTGGAACCTGTTGCACAGTCACAGCTGAACCCTAAACCCCTATCACAGAAGCGCCACTCATAGAGAAGCATGCTCATTACCGAAAACCCTGGAGAAACCCTCAGATCCAATTGTACTCGATACATCTCCAGACCCTACCTCCTATCGAGATCCTTAATCACCGCTTGAGACTTCTTGTCACAGAACTCTCTCACTCATTCATATCCATTCACCCTGAATAGAAGCAGTACCCTGAGACCCTGCTTAATCACCAATACCCCTAAAAACCTATGGACCCTTTCTTGTAGTTGATTGGTTGGTAAGAAGCCCTATACCCTAGGTGCAATGTTATGACCGTATATAGATATATCACCACCTTTCATACTTAGATATCTCCGACCCAAGTATAGTATATAGTCTAGGTAGTAGTCAGTAGTACTCCTTAGACTTAACCTCTTCGTTCTTACGTCATCGTAGACCTAGACGTTCCCTCTCAATTCTACCCCTTGTTATTCTTCTCTCAGACGAGTCCTGTGGTGTGATTCAGCCTCCAAACATCTACTAGTTAG